CATTTCGTTCTTCAAAATAACTCGAAAAAATATAAGTTGCCAAGAAAAGGCCGAAGTTAATAAGAGAGCAGTTGAGGAAATATAACTTGACGTGAATGAGCTGTAAATGCAAAATCTCTTGAGCAAAAAGTGGTGTCGAAAAGAGAGCTATGCTTGAAAAAGACTCACTGCAAAACGTTATGTAGAACAGACATAGTACATTGGAATTGAAATCATCCCATAATTTGGCAGCTGCTTTGTCTTGACTCTTTACCACTTTTGCCGTAGTGTCGACTTCTTCAGAATAACTTAGTGTGGTTAACTCTTCCAAAGACAAGTTGACATTTACCCAGTTGGATTTTACTTCAAATTTGCCTGATAATAAAATTTACCATATAAGATAAACAAACCAGATACAACATAATATAATTTCCGGTGAATTTCCAGCGTTAATCTTCCAACCAAATACATTTGCGTTAAATACAAGGAAGCTTCCAACAGCAGGCCCAAATGTTGTTCCCAAACAGTAAGCTCCATCAGCAATAACAAATATACCAGCTCGTCTTTTTTCTGGGATGTTCAGAACAACCTGACGTAAAAGCAAGCCGTGTGATGCCTGCCCCATTCCACTTAAAATTCTTCCAACCAATGGAAAAGCTGCATTTGTGTTGATAGAGTAAAACAAATTTCCTAGAACCTTCAATGCAATAGAAAAGATAATCAGCAAACTGTCCAGATCAAAACGATCTGCAATACGTCCAATCAACGGCGTTGTTATAAGCGAACTGACGTAGTATGATATTACCACTATACCCATGTATTGCTCTGTTTGCCCCAATGATTTTATATAATACAAAACAGTTGGCAAGATAAATAAATTCTCACATCCATCGATGAAGGCACGCATCATAATAAACACGAACATATTGAGGTTAATTCCTTGTGCTTCACTCATCATTGATCTTTTGAAAACAAGAAATTGATACAGAGAGAAACACTAATCTGAAGTGGCTATATATATTGGATTAAAAGTTATTTAAAATTGATACCAATTATGAAGAACAATAACAATCGATTAGTCATGTTCTTAAACACATTTCATCCAGATCAACACATATTTCGTCGCTCTTTTGATAAACATCATCTTAACTGATAAACATCATCTTAACATCATCACTACTTTCATCCACACTGTTACTCTTATTGATTGCTCTTAGTGCGTTTTGCTTTCCATGATCAACCAACCAAAGATATATGATTGTACATCAACAACAATGCAACTACGAAATGCAAATTCTGAACGTTTAGTTGATGAAGCGTTGCTTCGAGTAAGATTTCGAAATCAACAAATAAGAGTTTTAACACTCATTAACACCGAGAACAACGGTAAGAATGTTTAAATTATGAATGAAAATAAGAAAATTATATTTGCAATTGGCAAAACATCAAGTAACTGTTAATTTCTTTCATAGTTTAAGGAGAATAGTTCAAAACCAAGTAATTGATGTGCATGGCCCAAGGCCATAAGTGTACATCACACTATAGTAAATATACAGTAGGGCCACTCATTGAATTTTTTTACGCCACGCATATTTTATTACGCGTGTGATTACAACAGTGGTGGCAGCAAGTCTTTGACGGTCAATTGCTTTTTTTTGACCTATAGGAAAGATGAAATGGCTAACGGCATCAAGTTGCTGACGAAGTGGACCTACTGTCTATCCTCCCATACTGTGGTTTGCACAATAGGAAGAAGTTTACGTACTACTCACAAATTTCCTACTGCCACTAGAAAGAAATTTGCCAATTTGTCAATTCAATAGAGTATATAAAGATACATATCGGCGAGTTCACAACATTGTCGAACTATAATCTGGAATGATCGTTACGTTTCTTTGATAGAGAATTCGACGATTTGTGTAATGAATCAACTCGAAGGTCTTGGTCAGTCTGTTTTTGCTTTTATCGTTACGCGATGCTTTGCAGACGGAATTGAACTCTATTTTATAATACCGACAGCTTGGTATTACATTAAATCTCTTGGCCAAAACGAGAAATATTTGGCAATAGTTCTTGTGTCGTTCAACATGACCAGTCTTATAATGACGCCATTGATAGCTCGTATTGCTGATCGCTTTGGTCGCGTTAAAATGTTGATTATCATCACAGCTATATTCAGGGTTTTAGGCAACTTGATATACAGTATCAACGCTATCTTACTATTAAAGTTTAAAAAGCACAAATGCTACTAAAAGCTAGTGATTTAAAAAATTTTTTATCTATATCAATTGAATAGAGAATATTTCAAACAACAATTCAGCAGAATTAGAAACCAGAGAAATTTCATAATTTCGACGGATAATATCAGTTATCTTATCAGCGTGGGATGTTATCCAAAAAGTATCAAAATCGTAAACACTTGGACACGATTGGAGCTCAATTGTTCATGGGATGAAATGTACTGTCGTAAATTAGGGGAATACCTTAATATCTACAGGAAGGCTTCCCGTAAGACGGGATGATAAAGATGTTATAGTTTTGATTGAAAAGCACAACGAAAAAAATTAAAAAAGAGAAGTTTTTGTACAAGCATCTGTCTCCGTACGAGAAAGCTTGCACAGCTATTTCGGCTGCAGTACTAAAATTTACATCTTACAAGTGGAACAAATTGGGAACTGAAAGAAGTTAAGAAAATCAGCTTCTGCTTGACTAAATGGTGCAAATGGATTTAGAGAGAACAGGAAGTACATTGTAGCAGACTGGCGAACTGAAATTTTAAATGCGACTGACTTCGTTTTTGACAAGACGCGTTACGTAGTTAGTAAATAGCATAGAGAAAGAAAGTCCCCCCCCTCCAAGATATATTATCATAAAATCTAAATTAAAGAATCCCGGAAAACCTAAACAGCACTAATTAGACTTATGGTAATTTCATACTGCCATGTGAAGAACGGGGTCACTCGTGCTTCAAAAAAGACGTATAGTCTCTTCCATTCAAAAATACTCAAATTCTAATCTAGCATTAGTAGATAGGGTACAGGTATGGTCCTGAAAGTTACCGGAGCTCCTACCCGTGTCGATTAGTTTCCAGTCCGTGAAAGTACACCGGGCGCACTCATGTCAACCGGAAACTGAGGGAAAGTTAAGTGTAATACAATGATGAATGGGAAATGAACAGATGTAAATGACGATAAAAATGGCGGCTGTCAAATAAAAAGACTTTCTCAAAAATAATTTAAAATTTCGAAGATTATAACAGAAAAAGATTTGATAAAGACTTGTCATCGTGTAAAACCTAAAGCGAACATGGATAAGGTGCTGGCAACATGTTTCTCATCTTTTACCTTTATAGTTTGATTCAGTGGAAAGTGGTACGGACGAAACCAAAGGCTGCTTGTTGTCTTTTCCAATAAACAGGCATTGCGATGGAAGAAGTGTAAAGATGTAATATGGTATACGGACAACTTATACGATAATTTTTTTGGTGTAAACTGGAGAACATTGATAATAGACTACATGCAAGACCACGAACAAATGCACCTGTATACAGCTGAAACATTTAAATCTCAAATCGAATTTTATTTAGCTTTTTTTTGTCGCAATGATAAATATACGTAAACGTTATAAAAAAGGACGCGTCCACCATTAACGATTCAAATGCTTTCTTGAGTGCTCGTCACCTACGCCACTAGGAGATAATATGGCGTTGGAGATAAGCAGTGGCGCAGCTGTATTGTTATTGGGGTGAACATTCATATGTTCAGATGTGCTCTATTGATTTCTTTTGAAAGCCAATTCATTTTCAAAAGAATTCAGTAGGGCATAACTGAATATACGACTATACACCTCACAAACTCAGTTAACATTCTACCTACGCCACTTGTGTAAGCAAGGCTAAAATTGCTGAGGAATGAAGCAAGTAGTTCTGCAAGTGGCCTGATTTTGTTAAATGCAACTTTTGAAGAACAGAAGAAAAGAAGTTTCTGCATTTACTATTTGCTACCCAATGGCACACGCATTGTCTGGGCAATGAAAAATTAGGAGCTTCTGGGATACCACATTTTGGTTTGACAGGATTCACATATCCAAAACACGTACACGTTTGGAAAACTTCGAGAGGCAAAAGGTCGGGTTTGCTACTTGAGAAACCACATGAGCAATATTTTATTTATAGCAACATTTAAAAAGAGAATCGTTCTTATTTCGCTTATCCCAACAATTGCTACATTTGATTACAACGTCTGTACCATATGACTTCACACAATAGTCAAGTACTGTCCATGGATGCATCTAATCCGTTCAATCGTCGGGCACATTAGCGTTCTTTGCATCCACATCCTCTCAGACATCTAGTCACCCAGGTAATGTTTAAGAACAGACGAGAATAACACGCTTCCTTTCTGCAAAACCTTGGCCAATTCCTTCATTACATTTTACAGTTCTGTCTTGATCATGCCAACGTCTATGTGTTTTGCATGTGTAAATACTTTCAAATAAAACGGTTGTATTCCAGAAGCTCCAAATGATTTGGTCGTAGTTACAAAGATAGACAGAGAGTGGGTGTACGAAAGGGTAGCAAACAGCAAAGTTAGCAACGTTTACGCCCATTTTTCAAGAACAAAAAGCAATAAATGTACTTGCTTCGGCATATTTAACTTTACTTTCTTCAACGACTGAGAAAATAGAAAAATTCCATCATTTCGATGGATATAAGCTATCAGTTGTGTACAGTATCGAAATGCTACCGGGTTAAAAATGCAATGTCTTTAAGAAGGAAACAAACCAAATACTTAATGTACACAGGAAGGCTTCACACATGATTAGATTACAAATGTGCGGTAGTTTCAATTCAAAAGAATGTATATTCTAATTCGAAATACGTTCAATTCCCTTGGATTTTATAGTAGAACTATATGATAGCCCTTCGCTACCTCGAAAATTTCATTTTGCCTTTCTAAATTTCCCTGGACGACTAGCAAACTCTTTAAAACCGTTATTCGATTTAGTCAGAATATAAGAAGTGCATGATGATCGAGAAATTTATTTACTGCTTTCTACAACGCTCTTCATGTACAGTCAACTTGCGGTATGCAAAAAAATACCAAACAGCACCAATAAACCACATTACAATAAGGCCAAAACTAAAATAGATCATCCCAATGCGTGTAAATGCAAAACTCATTAGTATACGACTTACAGTATATGCAATATGAATAGTGGCAACTGAAACACCTTGAAAGAATCCAGCATTCGTTGGATGGGTGATTTTTGATAACAAAGAGCAACATTGTGAAAATATTAAAAACGGAGAGCCTAGCATGATGTATGACAACAAAATATAGTATTGACTGTTGTTGAAGTCCATCCAAGTAATACTCAAACAGGTTAACAACGGTAGAGCGATGACCTGAAGTATAACATAGAATACGACAATATTTCGCTCTTCAAAATAATTGGACGAGATGTAAGTTGCTAAGAAAAGACCGAAGTTTGTGAGTGAGCAGTTCAGGAAATATAACTTGACGTGAATGAGCTGCAAATGCAAAATTTCTTGTGCGAAAAGTGGTGTCGAAAATAATGATATGCTTGAGAAAGCTTCACTATTAAATACTAAAAAAAACAAACAAAGTACAGTGGAATTACAATCATTCCATAATTCAGCAGATTGTTTATGTTGACCTGCACCATGATTAATAGCAGGTGCAACTTCGTTCGGATCACTCAGTGTTTTAAACTCTTCCAATAATACTTCGTCTTTTACCCATTCTTCCTTCACATCAAATTTGCTTGATAAGAAAAGTGACCATATAAGGAAAATAGACCAAGTAAAAAATAATATAATTCCAGGTGAGTTGCCAGCATTAATCTTCCAACCAAATATATTTGTGCTAAATACAACAAAGGTTCCAATCGCAGGCCCAAATGTTGTTCCCAAACAGTAAGCTCCATCAGCAATGACAAATATACCAGCTCGTCTTTTTTCTGGTATGTACAATGAAATCTGACGAAACAGCAAACCGTTAGAGGCTTGCCCAATTCCGCTAATTATTCTTCCAACCAATGGGAACGCAGCATTTGTGTTGATCGAATATAACAAATTACCCAAAACTTTTAATACAATACACAAGACAACCAATATATCGACTCGACCAAAGCGGTCTGCAATACGTCCAATCAAAGGCATTGTGATAAGTGCACTGAGATCATATGATACCACGACTAAGGCCATAAATTCTTTGGTTTGCTCCAACGATTTAATATAGTACAACGCAGTTGGCAGGATAAATGAAATTTCACAACCGTCTATAAACCCACGAAGTAAGACATACACGAGAAGTGTTAAGTTCAGTCTTTGCGTTTGATTCATCTTTGATCTTTGCGTACAACTAACAAACAACGAAATTAAGCGTTGGATCCTTGTACTATTATATAGAGAGTTGCTTTAAAAAGCTAACGATAAAACCAACACATTAGTTTAAATAAGCATAACCTATAACTTCAAGCTTTTGGAGTAAAAACTAAGGGAAAACATTATGCAAAACAAAATGAATATGAAGCGCGTAAAGGATCATGGTACAATTTGGAACACGCATCATTTTACAACAAATATGTCTTGTCCATTAATTGCACATAAACAGCAAATTTCAGCGCTTTTTAAGATAAATCGTTGCACAAAACAGTTGAATTCACCTGAACTGAAGTAAAGTGATTTTTACTGAAATTATCATTGATATCTTAAAATTAACAACGCCCTTGCTGTTTTATTCTAATTTCAAACACTTTTCATACTTTGGCAAACTATGAAATGTTTGTCATGTATGAAATATAAACTATAAAATCCCCCAAAACAATACCATGACGCTTTACGAATCATAACCAGTGAGCTCTATAAAAAACTGGAACGACAACTTCGCCGCCATATTTGAAGCAAATCATGATGTTTTATAGGTATGACTTTGAACTAAAATACATGGAACGCTACCTCAAGCAAATAATTGAAGCCATATCTTACGCCAGACACGCGAAATTTCACCTCAGACACGAGTGTTTAGTATTTCGAGATTCTCTCGCGGAGTAATAATTGATTGACTATATACACACAATACAATGACGTAAGAATCAGATAACAAATACGGCTGACCTGACGCACAGAATAGATACATACAGAAGCGCCACTCAGCGAAAAATCTGTCCCCTACTTGTACCCAGTTCTTAAGTGCGCATCTTTTGCGTCCGCCATTACTCCAGCCAGATAAACTGGCCAGAATGTATATAGATTAATATTATGAAGAGTTGTTTTTCGAAAATTTGACGAATTTAAATTCACTTAGGGACAAAATTTTTAATGCCATCGGATAGGATACCAAGCATATGAGGTGAGAAACAGTTTTGTTGTAAAATACGTTCTTCAAATATAATTTTACGGGTTTTATAGTTTCTTGCCTTGAATTGTATGCGAGATCCATGTTTAGAACGTCTCTTATATTGAACGGCAGTTGCCCTAAGAATTTATAATTTAGGACAAAAGTAATAAATATATTTAGTGTGATTCCATTTCTGTATTTTCTAGTAAAGAGTTTCCTATTAGAATGGTCAACGGATTTGATAGAAGCGATAAAAGACCTACTGTGCAAAGAACGTTCTTCAGATGAAGACGTTATTAGTATAAAATTTGGACTAAACTAATTTATATTTGATTCTTGAATCGGGGCTTTTTATTTGCAATGTAGCTTGTCTGCATAATTGTAATTGAAAGTTTTTATTTGTAATTGTATATTGAGTTCCTGTGGCTATCATGTCTGTCAAATTTGTATTAACTTACAAATAAAGATGTTTTTTGTTGTCTTATTTTTAATAAACAATATATGAAATTACAATTTTTTAAAGAATGAAGTTGTTGATAAATTGTTAGAATTAAATTAACTTTACCATTATGTCAAACATATTGTCAAGCTCCTACAGCTTACCTCTTTGGTTAAACTTCACTTGTGAGTTGTGACCAACAATTGTATGTGAAAAATGATTAGAATTATGTTTGATTCACCGCATTGATCAACCAGCAGAGAGAAATTATTGTAACAAAGGGCTCGAAAATTTAATTTTTGCTAAAATCCATAAACTTCATTCAGTAAATTAAAATTTTTATTGTAAGTAATCATGTCACAAACAGAACTTATTCTGACAAAAACCAGTTATAGTTACTCTTAATGCCATTATTTAAATCGTAATACTTTACACAGTAAAATGTTTACCAAAAGGTGAAACACAGATACACCAGAAAACTTTTTTAAAACATTTGACATGGGGAAACTGTGCCAAGCCAACACCAATCCAATTCACAAAAGCATTCAGGAAGCTTTTTTATGTTCACTTCTCACATCATCAATAAGCATCCATGTCAAATATATAAATAATCTCCTGATTGAATTTAAAAAGGCAGAAATAACAAAGTTAAGTCATGTGGACCATATGACAGTATATGCTTTACAATATTGGTGGAGGCCAACATGCTGCTGCTTATGTTCCAACTTGCTCAAAAAGTCAATCAAGCTTCACAAGTCACAACTGTGATGAATACAAAATATTTTGGCATCAGATGACTTTCATAGTGGCCATGCAGCATCGCTTCTGATAGTTTAAAACACCTGGCTAGACAATTTTGGTGATTCGAATGTCCTGCCAAACGTTGTTTACAATATATAAACTAACTGGAGGATAATCTGATTTGTCACTTGTTTCAGCCACGACCGAGATTTCAAATGTTAGAACAAATGTCTTCAAGATTCTCTGCAGAATTCTTATATGATAAAATTAAAACTGACGACAAACCATATACCGAGTACGCATCTCGTCAGATTACATATCTACTTTGTAAATATTCCGAATAAACCCTCATTTATCAAAACGGACGTCGAATTAATGATAAATTGTTGAGAGCTTGATGTGTTAACTGTATCCACACAAAAAAATATTAAAAAAATGGCCAATCTATAGAAATATTTGGGTTTATTTGCCAAAACCCATCCGTAGAACTATATATTATATTGCGATCTGGCTGCATTTATCTGGCTGGAAACATGGCCGCCGTGTAAAGTTGCCCGGATGCTGGGGACACGAACATCAAAGGTTCCGACATCGAGTGGCGCTTCTGTATGTATCTATTCTGTGCCTGACGTTTACTCCTCATTTGACTCTGAAGATGACTACCGCTAAGGTTGTCGAAACGTCAGTCAACAACCACAAAAACAGTCCTTCTCAGGACTTTACCAACCTGGACGATCTACATTTAACAAACATGTAACGATACTCCAGGGTTCAAACTATTCGTTGGAATGTATTATTATTGTATGTTTTATTGCAACGTATTATTTTTCTGGGCTACAATTTATAATTTGAAGCTCTGTTATATCGAATTTAAAAATCTCCTGGATCGTTCTGGTCTTTCCATTCATTCAAGACCTTCGTTATCGACAATGCTTGATTATCTAGTGTTTTGTTCACCATGATCAACCAACCACAAATAGTATATGATACACACAAGGGCAGTAGCTAAGGCCAAAAGCCTCAAGAATCGGTTTCGTTACAACCCTTCCGATATAATTCAACATTAAAGTAAAACGCATTTACCAATAAAAAAGGGCCCGATTGAAATGTGCATTAAATAAATAAATAAACAAATAACTAACTATAATAAATTCAGGGCTTCATACGCTAAATAATCTTGGGAGATATGGTTTTTATTATATAGTATTCTGATTAAATATAAAAATAATATATAATAAAAAACATAATTTGTTTCTAAAAGAATTACTGTGCAGTCGTCAAAAGCAGTTGGCGTTATTAAGAAAGGAATTGCGTACAATACAGCATTTATAACCCCGACAACAATAAAATTTAGACTATAGATACGTCATTCTATTTAGGTAAAGATAACAAATGTCAGAACAGATAGTTACCTAATAAATACTTTGAAAGATTAAGGTGTTTCCTTGGCTCCTTGATTTATGACAGTACCAAATTACTTAGGACAACGTCAATAGACGGATATGGTAATAACAATTCTCGCGAATATTCATCTATTCAGCTCTGCCCAGCTGATTCTTTTGAAATTAAAATCGTTCACAAACAAAATCAGTCGAGCAGAGCTGAATAAATGAATATTCATCCAACCATCTCCCAATAACGTTCTAGTTTCTCCCCTGCACGGAGAAGTACTTTTTTATTTGGTGTATACAATTAAGGGTATACTGCTTAATCTGGTTCAAATAAATAGTTCAAAATACATGTAAATGTTCTCAGTGTCCAAATGCAAACAAGTTAAAGATTATTGCACCAATCAGCACAAAGTATATTTTTAGACTACAACAAAAAATGCCCGGGAAAGTTTATTAAGAACAAAGGAAGTGATACTACGTCAAACGCTCAAAACAGAATTCGTGCCGCAAGAGATCGATACATTATTAGAAATCGACCACAAATTTTTCCATAAGGCGCACCAAGAGAAAATATCGATTTGGCAAATACTTTTCTTATAACAGAATTTTTATCCTTTATGAAGGGTTGAAGGAGAGTGTAGTGTTGTAGACACGCCCCTTAAAAGTGACAATGACATGTATATATATAGGAATGAGGTTGTGTTGTTAAGAAACAGATATTAGAGAGCACAATAGATAGATACTAAAGGAAGAAGATAAATTCTAAACATTACATTGGCGACGAGGAATAAAATATCAACGCAAACATGGCAACATTTTTATCTCCCATGCCACATTTCAATCCGGATGAAGAAATCGGAGGAAACATTGCAAATAGATGGCGCAAGTGGTTGGCAGATTTTAAAACATTTTTAACAGCCAGTAATATAACAAATAGAACTCGGCAACGGGCTTTACTTCTTTATCAAGCAGGACCCCGAGTCGTGTACGAAAACAAGCATTAAGAGATCCTAAATATACCTTAAAAGATCTGTTGCTTGAAGCAAGGCGTGAAGAAACAAGTAAAGTACAAGCGGCGGACATCGAAGAGCATTTGGACAGCCACGTTTTACATACACTAAAAAACCTACAAATAAAAACTCCCAAGCCGATAAACCACAGAAGATATGCTTTTACTGTGGAGGTAACTACCCCCATTTAGACAAACCGTGCCCAGCGAAGAACAAAACATGTGCCAAATGCGGGAAGTTAAATCATTTTGCAAGCCAATGTCGCAGCCGAAACTTGCAGAAAATCAAAACACCCGCTAAACCACGCCAAGACATACGACCGGTAAAGGCTGATGAGGAGAAAGATAGCAGCAGCGACAATAATTCGGAATACTGTTATGCGGTTTGTAACAACAACAAGCCTAAACGTCCTGAAACGTCAATATCGCTCAACGGACTATATGTCAGAATGACAATTGACACTGGCTCAAGCATAAATATAATCGACAAGAAGACTTTCCGGAAATTTCGAAATACTGAGCTTGAACCCACATCCGTGAAAGCATACCCGTTTAACTCAAAACGCCAGTCAAGATGGAAGGAAGTTTCGTGTTCTTGCGGAGTCAAAACACAAGTTCACAGTTGCTACTATATATGTGACATCAGACGATGGCGGCTGTTTACTCAGCTCGGAAACAGCGCAAGAACTTGGACTTGTAAGCATAAACTTGAACAAAATTAACACATCGCCAGAAAACTCAACACTTACAACAAAGGATACAAAGCTCCATCACATTTTGGACAAACATGCACCTGTCTTTGACGGACTTGGGAAGTTAAAAAATAAACAAATTAGACTAGCAATTGATGACTCCGTGCTCCCGGTTGCACAACCACAGCGACGAACACCGTTCCATCTACGCCTGAAAGTGGAAAGTGAAATACACAGATTAGAGAACGATGACATCATAGAGAAAATACCTGAAGGCATGCCCACTGACTGGGTCTCTCCGGTGGTGATTGTTCCCAAGCGTGATGATTGGACAACCCACATTCGATTGTGTGTTGATATGCGGATAGCAAATACGGCTATCAAACGAACCAGACATCCAATACCAACTGTGGAAGCTGTATCCATGGAACTCAATGGAGCACGTATATTTTCAAAGCTTGATCGTGCTCAAGCATACCACCAACTACAGCTATGTCCAGCATCTCGCAGCATCACAACATTCTCAACTCATTGCGGTCTCTATCGTTATAAGCGATTAAACTATGGAACTAATGCCGCAGCTGAATTGTTTCAACATAATCTGCAGGAAACATTGCTAGGAATTAAAGGGGTCAAGAACATTGCTGACGACATAATCGTATTTGGAAGTAATAGAGCAGACCATGACCGTGCACTGGATGAAGTTCTTACCCGATTACAAGATCCCAATCTCACACTTAATTGCCAAAAGTGCAAGTTCCTGAAGAAGAACCTTGAGTTTTTTGGGTTATCATTCTCAGAACATGGGGTCTGCCCGGACCCAAAAAAGGTAGAAGCTTTCGTTAAAACTACAATACCCACCACGGTCAGCGAAGTGAGAAGCTTACTAGGGATGGCAAATTACAGCTCTAAGTTTATCCAAAATTATGCTACCATTACAGAACCCCTTCGAAAACTAACACGTAAGTGCGCGCGCTTTGCATGGACGTGGGAACACCAAGCAGCTTATAACAAGTTAAAAAATGCACTAACCAACAGTCCAGTTATGAGTCATTTTGATACATCAAAAGAAACGTCGGTATTAGTGGATGCAAGCCCAGTTGGCTTATCAGCCATATTAACACAAAGAGATCCTAAAACAAACGCCGATAACGTGATCTGCTATGCTAGTCGGGCTCTTTCGTCAGTAGAACAACGATATTCGCAAACTGAAAAGGAGGCCCTTGCTATTGTGTGGGGTATCGAACACTTTCACATGTACCTATTTGGGGCATCGTTCACCCTGATCACTGATCACAAACCATTACAACTTATCTATAATAATCCTCGGTCCAGACCTCCCGCCAGGATTGAGCGATGGTTATTGAGACTTCAACAATACAATTTTCAAGTCATTTACAGACCAGGTGACACGAACCCTGCAGACTTCTTATCCAGACACCCACAATTACAGACTCCCAAACGCAACATCGCCGAAGAATACATCACGTTTGTCACGACAAATGCAGCTCAAAATGCCATATCAATTGAAGTCATCAAAGAACATACGACCAAAGACATAAGTCTTCAGGCGGTAAGAACAGCGGTCGAGTCGGGTGATTGGAGCAATCAGTCTGTGAAACCATTTCTTAGCATCAAAGATGAAATATCTGTGGACAACACGAATGGCATACTCCTACGAGGAACGCGGATTATCATTCCAACAACCCTAAAAACAAGCGTTGTGAAGCTGGCCCACGAAGGCCACCAAGGAATAGCCAAGACTAAAGCTTTGCTACGCCAATACGCCTGGTTCCCTAATATGGACAAGGCCGTCAAGGATGAAATTGAAGCTTGTCTACCATGTCAAGTAAAGCGATCAAAACAGCCCGTGCGGAACATCGCAATTGGACACAAGAACTTTCAAGATTCTTACTCAGCTATCGCACTACGCCTCATTGTTCAACCAATGTCCCACCAGCTCAACTACTATTTAACCGACCATTGAGAGGTATCCTACCAATGCTAAACCCCAAGGACAAAGTGCTAAATAGACATAAAGAGGCGCAGGCGAATGATTTTGAAGCGAAATCGAAAGGAAGAGAATTGGCAAACAAAAGAAGAAGAACTAAAGAATCAGATATCAGGGTGGGAGACAAAGTCCTCTTAAAACAAAGGAAGAAAGATAAATTCACAACAAAATTTGAGCAAACACCATACACAGTGATTTATCGCAGAGGAGCTAAAGTAGTCGCTGAGAACCATAACCATCAAATAACCAGAAACACATCGTTCTTTAAAAAGATAAGAGACAAGTCGAGAGAATCAACTGATGAAGATGAATACAACATCCACGAACAGCCGTACAGACACAACCAATGCGTACCAGAATGTGAAGAACCAGAACACATCATAGAACCAGAACCAGAAGAGCCAGCTCCAAGGAGATCAACCCGACAAAGAAAAATAACAGAACAATATGGGAACTCAATAAACCCTGACTTTGTTATCCGTTAAGTTGAGGAGGGATGTAGTGTTGTAGACACGCCCCTTAAAAGTGACAATGACATGTATATATATAGGAATGAGGTTGTGTTGTTAAGAAACAGATATCAGAGAGCACAATAGATAGATACTAAAGGAAGAAGATAAATTCTAAACATTACAGAGAGCAAAAGGGTTTAAAGTTTTTCTAAATAAGAAATAAGATAATAAAAGCAGTGCGTATAGTTTTGTCACAAGCATGACTCCGCAAATGCCTTGTCCAGCCGAACCTAATTTTTCTCACAAGTAAAAAATCCCTGCTCCATTTCTCTAACCAGACCACAACCAGCAAGTTGTAGAGCTCAGGCAACCAGCTTTAAACATTTGCTGTTCTTTAAAATACTGAATATTTCCGATTTATGTTATGTTATGTGTTGACATGTATTATTTAAGGCTGTAATAGTGCAAAGTCAAATAAATAGTAATTGTAAATAAACATTGAAAATTCTCATTGCAGATATATTTTCATTCAGAGAATTATAAAAAAAACAAACCATGAATTCAGCATAATAATTAGGCACGCTTACAAACCTATACTTTTTGAGAACATTTGTAATTTTGTGGACGAGAACAAACACGATAAAATGAAATTATGTCAACTACATGAATTGGAAGTATATCATCCCATAAGAATTGTGACATTTCGCTAAGCAATATTTAGACAAAATAATGGCTGTTTGTTTGAAAGTATATACAATAGCTTCTAAAAGGTAACACCAGCCATATCGAACTCAAAATTCAAAATCATTATAAATTCTGACATTCTGATTGGTGCTTTAAAGATCTCTGAGCAATCAGGAATGTGATTTGCGGGCATATTAAGCTAAGGACTTTTCAAATGCACTTAAAAGTGAGTGCCCAATTCAAAGACTTTACAAGAGCTTTTTAAGAGCTCTCAAGAAATTAAATGGCGGGACGCGAACCCTCCCTACATAAAAACCACAAACCTAGCAGAGCCGCAAACAAAGTAGAACTGGTGTAAGTAGAAGCTTTAAAAGCAATTACTAGTTTAGTTTTATATTTATACAAAGATTTCTAAAAACAGGTGATCATAAAATTGGTGTATACATCTACACTACTTTAGGGAAAGAGCGACTGATTGTCGGAGCTCGCGGGTAGAATGTCGCAGGTTCAAAAACGATATTTTGCATAAAAAAAGTTTGAATAAAGTTGAAAATAAATTCAAAGGAAATCCTTTCTTCCATACATGCACATGTTGAATGTTCTCTTGGAGCCAGCATCCGGCTATATAGCACGCTCGTTCACAGTTGTCAACATTTCAAAATGTCAATGGCGCTTTAAAATTTTATGATACAATTCTGTATTTGTTATCTAAATATATATGCATTGAATTTAAGGTAGTGTATTTTTGCCACCATGAATATAGTTCTACAGTAATCCAAACGACCAAGCGTTTGACATTTAACAATTACTCCATTGTGAAAATTCTCATGAATTCAAAAGTGAAAGACTTACGTCTGTATTCTAAAAGACAATCACTGAGTGGGGCTTCAAAATCACCTCGCATTTATTCGACGATTGCATTTTCTCTACAATAATTGCTTGATTTCATACATATTAGCAAAACGTTTGCTACAGCTGGAGAATGCTTTCGCAATTGGTTAGAGAGAGCCCAATTTTTACGTCGCACTGAGCGATTGTGGGCGAGCTCTTAGAATAAGGACATTAGTTCGTAGAATAAAAAGAAAGATAATCCATCCAGTTTGTGCAGTACTATATGTGGAGTCTGAAGGTTAGATATAATTAAGCACCCACTGCCAAAATTAAGATATTCGATTACTGTCGAAATATTTCAGGAGTATTCATGTCTCAGTGCAAAGTGCAATTAAATATTCATCTGTAAAACTTTTCAAATCTGCTTATTGCATGGCCCATGATCAACTGCATCACATGTGCCGAGCAATGACGGTGTATTGTTATATCAACTTCGTTTTCTGTCGCCCTCTCCAGTAACTATTCCTAATTTGCAGTCCAAAATTCTTCCGACGACTTATTGAATACTCTTAAGAAAGCAATTATAATTTAATAATGCGACACTGATTTCATTCATTATACAAATGCTGGGTAACGTCTTTGGACCAGAAAGCCTTTTTTTCTTTCTCGTCTAGCTTGCGTATCATTAATCAATACCTTCCGCGGAGTCACAACTTGCAATGTATTTATGACGTGCTTGCGTTTGGAGTGTTCAACAAATTTCCAGTTGCATTTATGAAACCATGCCTCTCAGCCGAACAATTTTCAACATAGATCCACGGACACATTTAAAAGTACGAAGTTTAAGTTATATTTCACGTTGCACATTTAATTGAATATAGCTGATTCATGTCTGACCCAGTTTTATTGCGTCTCTTTTATTCTCGTTTGTTAAAGAGAGTCCTAGCTACATAAAACAAACTTTCAGCGAAATCAGTGTCGGACTTTTTATACCTTTTATGACAACACTTTTAAGCCCAGCATCAATCCTAACGCCAGAAGGAAAGAAATAAGAATAGAGACAAAGAAGATAATCGCCATGCAATTTAAATTGATGAGATGGGGAGGAGAGGGATGGGGTTTTCAAGCATCGGCAAAAACGTCAGCTATGCAGGCACCAAGCACTTATCCCTTAAAGTTCTGCAGTATGTACCACGCTGTTTGGAAATTTATCCTCAGGTTACCTTAATTTATACTTCCCATCACTAGGTGGACACATATATATCCAAACTTTTAGACTGAGTAACTGCGCATATATGTGGAGGTTTTTACGTAGAGTGTTTTTTGCGTAGCTTTTTTTAAAAAGCCCATCAAAAGTAAAGATTTCATTAATAATATTTGGAAAGAACGAAACATTCCTTCTAAGTATCAGCGAGCACTTTTTCCACAACTTGGAAAAACATCCTTCTTCCTGTCAATTCTTCTTAGCTTCGCTTTGGCAGATAGCTAACATTGACCTCGGTCTGAATAATAACCTCATCCAATAATTGTTCATTATTCCACGTCAGATCATTACTAAATATGACTCCAAGTAGTTTATAACACTTTACCCTTTTTAACTAAGTTATTGCCAATTACCATTGGTCTCATTAGTTTGAAGCGGCTCGCGAAGTTAGTTACCGTTTCTTTACATTTCAGTGGATTGAGAATCATGTGATTTATTGAAACTGACGTACTTCACAAAGTTATTGAGAGAACTGATCGAGTTACTCGACATAATCACCAACGCAGTAGTGTCATCAACAAATTTCCCTTCTTAGATGTCAGTCTAATATTATGGTACTTGTTATAATCGAAAGTAGGATAACAAGGAGTTTATTTGCTCGTGGAATATCACCATTAGGATATATCCAGTCTGAAAAGATAACATCTGTTCTAGAAGCCTGCTTTCTTTTAAAAAGGAAAATAGAAGCCCAATTTAAAGTACAGGATGAACCTCCAATTTGATCGTCTCATTCTTATAGGCGATCAAATCCTTTACTGAAATTAGCATTGAAGAAACGGGCGCAAGCATTCCCATTGTCAAGTGCTTCGTAAACATGTTGTAGCAAAAATAGTAATGCGTGCGTTTTAGAAACGCCTTTTTACATGCACGCAAACTGTCGATCACCAATTTTTCCAGTAAGTTGTATAAAAAATCTTTTACAGAAGAATTCTTCCATGATTTTAGCGAGAACACGTGTCAGGGAGATTGAACGCAAATCACTTTCGAAAAGAATGAAGCTGAGAGACTTTTGGTACTGGAACTATGATAGATAATTTTAATAGTTCCGGGACATGTTTTTCAATGATGGATTGATTATAAATGTCCTGTACATGTAACCACTGAGAGTTCTAAAGCAAATTCTTTTAATACCCTGTTTGAAATTCCATCTAGATCAATAGATTTGGCTACTTGTATAGCAGAAAGTGACTTGAAAAAACCTCTTGTTTGAAAAATCTCTTGTTTAAAAAACTTCTTCAAAAACGAGGAGCCGGCCCGAAACTTGTTGATTTATGCAAGGAGGTATTAGGGGAGTGAAGTTCTTTGAATACTTAAGAATGGTCGTTTACTTCATCTACAAGTACTTTTATGTTACATTATCTCCTATAGGGACCGACCGTGCCACTCCTGTTGAGTATCCAGACCCATAAGTGTTTTTATTTGTTTCCACAATTAATTTGTGTTAGCCTGAGATAATACTGCAACTTCAGGAGTGTAATAAAGCGATTTTGCTGTTTCAATTTCCTTTTAGATTTTACTCCTCTAATATATAGTGTCGCTTATACGAGCAATGCTTATGCGACAATTTTTATGAGACAACTGTCTATGTTCGTGTCAACTATACAGGAAATATTTGCTAAGAGTAACTGTCTTCGTGCAAAAAATATAAAATACTCCCAAAATAAGCAAAGTTCTCGCCGACATTTTGTTTTTGCATAAGCACGCTATCACTTCCGTCACATTTTATTTGACAATATTTTTCAATGACAATTTCTATTTGTCACATAAAAGCTGACACGCCAGCTTTTCAACAAATGTAGAGCTATTGCCTTTTAGAGCTATTGCCCTTTGAAAATGCCATATTTCTGGCTCCATATACAATCTTTAACTGACGCTGCGAAACCAAATCTAAAACTAGGTGTATCAAAAAAGGTAGACTCTTAGAAAAAGTTCTCTAAATCATGAAGCGCGAGGAATAAAGCCAAAGTTTCGGTTAAAAGTACTTTAACGTTCTCTCGTGCAGTTGGTAATAAAATTTTTAAACATACAAAACATTCTTATTAATCCTATGCATTTCATTAATTTGCATAAAATGCATAATAAAATTAGCAAGCCAATCCCTAAAGGTATAAATGTTCTAATAAAACCTATAGAGTGAATTGCGAAAGCGCGAAAATACCCAAAATTTAAAGATCTCGCGTTGGTCAGCACTTGCTCTAAATTTCTTGAAATTTTGTTAGCTTGTACAACATAGTACATATTTTGATCCGGGCGCGCCTTATTTTGGAGAACGTTTCCCGATTATTATCTTATTTTTTTATACACCTTGTATAGAGCTGACTCCCTCATCGTCGACGTCAACGAACAAACTCTTCGATAATCGACAAATAAACTAGCAGAGCGTGGCATTTTGAAAAAGACATTGTACCTTGCAGCCTGCGATTACAGGTTGTCGCACAGATCTTGTAAAGTCGAGTAGATTCGAATTCAAATCCATTCCCAAATATTTTCTATAGTTGTCAAATATTTGTGTTAAAAATAACTACAGCAAAAAATGTCCTGGTAAAACTTAAGCGGTGAAGTGCAAGTACTGTTCAAGTATTAATAGAAGTAGCAAATGCATCAAAAATTATGTACTTCAATACAGTGAATTGTGCAGCCACATTGCAGTCCTTAATTATCAGTAACTAAAAATGAATATTATTGATTTCACTAAATCAAAAATATAAAACAGAATCTTTGTCACTGTGAGAGTACAAAACGTTCCAAATTTTGAACACATCAAAGTTCTCACTGCAGTAATATAATGAAGTTACCGCAAGTTCTCTTCGAAAGAACAAGCCTAGCTAGTTTCCGTAAAGTTCTTTAGCACTACCCCATGTTTTGATACGATAAATTTAGACAGTTTAATCGCTTAGCGTACCTTATTTAAGATCATCAATCATCACATTTCGTTTCACAATTATTACATTTTCGATAAATATTTCTTGTCGGCAGGAAGACTGTTCTCAGAAATCTTCGAATGAGGTCGACTGCTAGGAAACGACAAATAATTTACCATTGAAATTAAGCTAAATGTTTTCCAGCGTGGAACTCATATAATATGGAGTCCATATTAGAACTACACAATAATTATTGTTCAAGATATTTTCCATAATTTATGCAATTTTTTACAGCATCATGCGTCTTTTATAATTACCTGTGCTCTTCAATGAATCTCTTCAAAACTTCGTTTGGATCACCTTTCGATTCTATAAGAGATGTGAATGATAATAATGAAGAGAAACATTTTTTGTGTTCAAACAATAAAACCGTGTATAAAATCCTATATAAATCTACCCGCTCGAGCTCGCTTCATTGCTTCGAGCCTACGAAGTCGCTCCTCATTTTTTTGTGCCAATTCATCCACGTTGAAACTTGTAGCGGAACTCAATGAAGATCCATCGGGAGTCACCGACTTGAAGTCGGAGAGCTGAAAATAATTGTGAAATAATTGTAAAATATAAAATAATTGTAAAAAAAATTAAAATTTATGTAAAGATCATCCAAAATGTGCAATTTATAAATTGTAATTGAGTATCCATATGTTATTTGTCGGATGGGAAGTCCGGATGGAAAAATATTGCCTTGAGGTCTCAAGAAGAGCCCGAGGTCGCAGGCCAAGGGGCGTTTTTGAGACCGAGGGGAAATATTTTTGTGTCCTAACCGACCTAAACAGTTATTTAACGTAACCGTTTACATTTAAAAAATAACGTAGTTTTTTTTTGCTAAGGGCAACAGTCTTATTACATTATGCAGTTAGATTCAAAAATGGCGGCAAAGTAAACAATCTTTGCTCTTCGTTTTACTTTGGAAAACTCATAACTCGCTTAAAATAAAATTATTAAAGTTAAAAGTTGGTTGATGATTTCTTTTAAAACAAAAACAAAAAAAACAAAAACAAAGCAACTCTTTGGTCAAGTATTTAGCTATAGGATTCTGCACCACGATCAAATATCGTAAAATTTCGCCCACTGCTACAGCCAATCAGATTGCAGAAAAGGGTGGCATTCTGCCCGTGCTTAATTTTAAAAAATAAAATTCTATTTGGCCATATCAACCTTTACCCATAGTAAAAAGAAATGTCGAGACACAATGAACACCCGTGAATGAAAAATTATGTCTGCACGTAGGGCAGTATATTTGTCACACAAAACACAATTTACCTTCGGAGCTTTCGCCAAGTCTTGCAACTGCTTCCATCGTCGACGTTCCCTCGCACTTTTTAGTCTGGGAGGAAATTTAACAGCATCGTCTGCAGGGGGGTGTGAATTTGATTCAACCACGGGAACAAACTGACTGTCGGACTGAAGCAATGTCGTATTACTAGAAGGGCGCTGTAAAAAACAACAAATATATTATTATGCAATCCAGTGGAATTCTTTATACAGTTATAGATACATTGGTATGACGTCATTTGTGATGAGAACTACAAGAGTGGCCGCGAGCCGTATACAATAAAATGAAAAAATTCCCAAATAAAACTGGAAAACACTTGGAAAATACAAAGTCAAGATTTTGCAAATATCACGCGTACACAATCTATAGGATTGAAGTTCAATGCTATTGGCCAGTATAAGTCGAGTGCAAGAATATGATTCCAATTGTTCTACAACACTCCACGTTCACATGTAGTTGTAATTGTTGTAATTTCATAGGCGATACATTCCAATTGTTCTACAACACTCCACGTTCACATGTATTTGTAATTGTTGTAATTTCATAGGCGATACATTCCAATTGTTCTACAACACTTCACGTTCACATGTATTTGTAATTGTTGTAATTTCATCGGCGATACATTCCAATTGTTCTACAACACTCCACGTTCACATGTAGTTGTAATTGTTGTAATTTCATAGGCGATACATTCCAATTGTTCTACAACACTTCACGTTCACATGTAGTTGTAATTGTTGTAATTTCATAGGCGATACATTCCAATTGTTCTACAACACTCCACGTTCACATGTATTTGTAATTGTTGTAATTTCATAGGCGATACATTCCAATTGTTCTACAACACTCCACGTTCACATGTATTTGTAATTGTTGTAATTTCATAGGCGATACATTCCAATTGTTCTACAACACTCCACGTTCACATGTATTTGTAATTGTTGTAATTTCATAGGCGATACATTCCAACTGTTCTACAACACTACACGTTCACATGCAGTTGTAATTGTTGTAATTCAGGTGTTCTTTGAACACTAGTATCAAATTCACAATCGGCTTCTCATCGCTCATATTTGATAAAATACGTCAGGGTTGTTGTAGACCTTCATCGTCGATAGAATTACAACAATTACAAGTATAGGTGAACTGGCTTAAGCGGGCTCGTGCGCCTAACAAGTACACAGGAATTGCAAAATTTTTGTCGTAATGAACTCGCTAATAAGCCAATAGAGGCCATTTTTAACAATTGTAAATATTAATTAAATAAATCAACATTCTTATTTGACAAGATGGAAAATTCAATGATGCAATCAAATTGAGGTTGTTTTTCATTTTATAAAGAGTTTAAGCATTTTCCTATTTTTAGGCGATTTTCAAGTGCACATAGCAAGCAGGTATACGATTCGAGGGCTATAAAAGAGCTTCTTAAGAAGTTCAATGGAGCAGCGCGAACCCTACACAAAAATTTAAAAACAAAAGCTAATACGTTAACAAAGAAGAGCTGGCTAACAGTAGAAAACAAATGAAAAATATGCACCACATGTAGTTACATAATTATTTATTCACAACCGATACTTTCAACCCTTGGCCAATTTAAGCTCAAATATATTCATAGTTTAAAACTCACCCCAATATTGCCCAAGAAATCGAGATTTTCTTTGTCAGATGAAAGTGTAGCATCGTGAAGAGTTTCCAAACGTTGCTGTTGTTCATTTAGCAAAGATTTCTGTTGAACATCCAGTGCACTCGACGAGGTCACTGGCTCTGGATATCGACTCAAGAAATCTCCGCTTAGAGAGCTACTGTCTAAAACAAAAAAGTAAAAAATAGTGGGCACAGTCATTTGGTAGCAATAACTAGCACAAAAATATAATCACATAGTCAAAAACCGACAGAAAATTTACTTAATAGCCATGCCTTAAGTAACTAAGTTACTGTAACATGGTTATTTTGCGTTGAACGATGTACAGTACACAAGTAAGGACCAGGTACAGTAGAGGCCCGCCGTAAGAGCGTCTTATTATAGTAAGCTTTCCCAAGTCCATGGTGAGTAAGATGAAAAATTCTCCCTCTACAACACACAATAGTCTGTCCGCCATATTAGTAGAAAACCTATAGCTGCAGTGATGAGAATTTATCTTGACTTTTAGCTCCTTTAAGCATTGGGCCTTCGAAGTATTGTACCAACATAGTCGCCATGACGTCACATTAAAACACATTACAACGTCACACATATTAACGTCGCACATATCAACGTCACACATATCAACGTCACACATATCAACGTCACACATATCAACGTCACACATATCAACGTCACACATATCATTAAACTGAATGACTGGAATATCTCTTGCTAAAACTTGAAGTTAGAAATTAAACTATAGTCCTCATCATTACACGCACGGCAGAATGAAAGTGTCTGGAGAAAAATTTTTGCTTTAGGCAAGTCACAAAGTACAGACTTATTCACTTAAAAGCAGCGTTGCAGCTCAAATTTCTCATAGCAAGTTAGGCAATTCTATGGCTTCAGTGAAAAAAATTCCCTTTTAACTTAATAAAAGTATCGCTTCAAAAACAACAGGAGCGATTGAGGCATTCTACTTTAATACATTCAATTACCTTCATATTTCAACTTATTGAATTCTATGATTGCATCATTCACCTAAACAGGAAACAACACCGTCAATTATTTAACAAATAAATTACATTTAACCGTCTCCTGTTCAGTTATAGGTACACGGGTATGACGTCATTTGTGATTAGAACAAAAAAGTGATCAAGTGTATCTAGAGCTGAAAAGACAACGGTTAAATGTCATCTATTTGTTTTATACATCATAAAACCAAAAAATCCCATTTTTGACTGGCAAGCAAGTTGTCTTTGTTTGACGAAGTACAAATCAACGTCTGAAAACTCGGTTTTTTCTTTTATTTATGCTCAACTGCTTCAACTAGGTTTGCTGATATTTTCATACAATATAGAACAAAGTATATGTGCATAATGCTTAACATAAAATTGAACAGAAACCGGAATGCTGGTAACAAAATCATTGTCCATCGCAAAAAAGAATATCCCCTCGGTTGAATCGACAAACAAAAGTACCGCTTCGTTGCATAAATGCTTTCTTCGGCGGTAATGTTCATCTTTGTTTTTTGAAATCTTTACACACAAAGTTGTTCATCACTAAATTTCGGTACATCCCAAATGTAATCGTCAGAAATAATGATAAGCAGTCGTAAAAATGGTAAAAACATAAATTGTGATTTAATTTGAAAAGTATTTGTGCGAACTACAAAGCTGTTCAACAGCACGTTACAAAACCAAACTATATAATAAAGACGTTGATTATCGTAGTTAAAAGCTGCTCTAAGGCCCTAAATTGAAGCCTTTAAGATGCAAGACGATACAAAGAACACAAACAAATCAAAACTTGTCTCCTAAATCACAAAATAATGTAACTATACCTGAGCATCGTGGTACATCTGTGCACTACCATTTTGTTTGCGAAATACGTTGTCGAAAACGTTTCCAAATGCAGGTTTCTTGGTCCTGTTTTAATATGATCACAAATGTGTGCGAGAATTTAAGTTGACTGTATTTCTAAAAGCGAATTTTCCGAAAGTTTGTACAAAGTTTTTAGAAATTTCTGCACCACCCAAATTCAGTACACACTGCACACTGCGTGACGTAGAAACCAGAATTTTTCGAATTATTATACACTTCTCTTACGAGCAGACGCAATTCTCATTTTGAGTGCCGGTTCAATTTATAAACGACTCAAACGACGTATGAAAAACCATCTCTTGTACTTTTTTGGGCGTTTTGGCTGTCGTTGCAGCAATAACAATCATAACATGTTATTTCAAAACAGCAGCAGTCATATAGCTAGTGTTTGATTCAGCCATACGAAATTTTTCGCTTCAAAAATTATCGCTTCGCGCGAAAAAATTCGCAAATGGAAAACCGGCTTTATGGTAACAGAATTGCATTTATGGTTACAATTACAATTTCTGTATTTTATATTTTACATCTCTATCATGGAAACCAGCTTTTGCTGACGATACCAGCGTGGGTAAATAAAGTTATCTATCTATCTATCTATCTATCTATCTATCTATCTATCTATCTATCTATCTATCTATCTATCTATCTATATTTTTGTATTTCTAGAGTTCCAGAATATGCCAAAACTGCAGAATTCAAAAAGATCTTTTAATCGCGTGATTCAAAACCGTGTTTCGTTACCTTCCTTATAATTCTATTGATGTGATGACTGAATTAGATACGCTGGAATGTTACATTCCAATGTACGACGAACGTACGACAGAAAAGCCTCAACTGGCAACATCAACAGCAAACTTAAGCATGGACAGTCAACAATAACTTTAAATTATACCTTCTATTTGCGCTGTTCTCTCGAAGTTGGACATACTTCTCCTTAAAGAAAAATAAAAGTTTTTCAAGATAGCGATAATCAATACAAAAAAGAGCGCTTTTCCCGACAGTTCAATGAACGAACTCAGCCGTCACATGCTTTGCTAGTGAGCTAAAAAGTAGCAGTTTGTAACTTCTTCAGTGAAGAGCGAAGTGAATAGTATTTCTAACAGTCAAAATCGTCAAGCCTAGTTTCGCCAATTTAACATCACAGGAAACTTGCCTTACATGAGGAAACCCCTCCCCCTTTTACATCAGAGACATTTTCTAGGAATAATACCTTCCCTGGGGAGTAGCTAAATTTCCTAGATACACTCCCCCCCCCCTACTTAGGAATTTCGTCTGACCAACGTTTGATCAAACTGTAAACATTTTTTCCCAAATGAACTTTTTCGGAATAAAAACAATTTTTCGTGCACCTTATTTTCGGAAAGCTGTTGCTGAACTTTCAATTCCTCCTTCTTCAACTGTCGTCGCAATGACGTCAGCTGGCTCAAAACATCTATGTCAGCAGTCGAACTCGAAGGACGCAAACGAACATCTAAAGCAGAAAAATTATCAGTAAGAGCTGTTTTCTCATTAATACTAACAAAATATAGGTACCTGAAATTCTAGAAGTTTGACTTTAAGCAAGCGCGTAAAAATTTTATTTGTTTTGGAACAGATTTTCATTTCATTTGTACCTATGTACAGCTGAACAACCTTTTCTCGGTCCTGCACTTGAGCAAGGCTTATCTCTTATTATTCATTGTTAGTGCCTATATACTAAAGCTAAGAGAAATCATTTCCCAGTTATCAGTTGCTAGAAGTTCCTATAGAAATGAATTCGTTAAATTGAATGTTTTGCTCGGTGTTCTATCAACAATAAAAACATCATGTTTTGTTCTAATATCTCATAAAAACATTCATTGAATAACAAACAGATTTAATAAAAACTGACAACAGGTTCGTGAGACTAACTAACTGGTCCTAAATTCAGCCAATCACCAATCCTGATCACAGAAGAGAACTGACCCGACCTGGCATTTACCATCGTGCTTTTCGTAGAAATCATTCTCTAAGATCTTAATTCAACATTACCTTGACCATCGTCAAGTTCAAAGTGTTCGAACAGATTTGAATGAGAGTTTCCTTTTTGCCGTCGCCGTTTCGTACTCGTTGATGGCGGAAGTTGATCATCAATAGACGATTGCTGTTTCGATGCCTTAAAACAGGAACAATATCACTTACTAAATTGTCTATTTATGGACGAGACGACATAAATTACAATAGGCACGATATTACACAAAGCAGCTGAATGTACTCTATGTCAAATACCATAGCCGTAGGGAAGCGGGGCGCTAGTGGGGACACTTTAACTTCACTAAATTTTGCAATGGGATGTCTTACCCCTCCTTAGAGTCAAAAATGACTACCGCTACCGGGTTCAAACCATTTACTTTAATCAGAAGTTATGCTAAGATCATATCGTAATAATGGAGATGACTGAAATTAACACGATTTGCGACATCATGAACACGTCCGTCTTTGTCAATGTTTAGTAAAGCTATAAAATTCTTTATACCCATTTAAAAGTGCCACTGAGATAGTCCCCATTCTTAACTCTTCAGAGAGTAAAAACGTACATAATGCACACGCAAAAAATTAAGAAAAATCGTCTTAGTCTAACTGATATTGTAGTAGAATACGTAGCTTGCAATACGTAGCCACCAATCGTTCTTGCATCAATTTTACTAAGTGTACTTAAAGGAAGACTAAATAATAAAGATTCTATTACTTTCTCCAAGTACCTTGTTGGTACAGGACACTAATGACACTAAAATATTTGAAAGTTTTAGACCCCCCCCCCCAAAAAAAAGCTTAAGAGAATAAAGGTCAGCTATCAACTACTCGTCGACTTCAGCCCTCCACTCTCCCAAGTTTAAATTTCCTTCCTACGCATGAGCAAAATCATAACTCCTTGAAGAAAAGCTTTGTGTACAATTGGGCTTCTTTTTGGAATTCGAGTCCATCAGATACTAGAGATGGCGAAAGCGCGTCGCTTTTTCAAAATAAAGTTGCCACCTGTATTTTATTATTTAGTTTAGTTTGTCGTCATATTTAATAATAGAATAAACTTCATAAATACCTAAACCTATCTTTTAGCTCTGTATATAACTACTGTTATCTTATTTCTGTTATTTCTCGTTGCATAGAATTGTATTTCTACAAAAACACGCCCTACGTAGAAATAAACTTCGGTTAACGAGGACAGAGTGTCAAAACAAAAATTTCCATTCATTCATTCATTCATTCATTCATACGTTATTGGAAATCGATTCTAGTCTGTAATCGACCATGGATTAGCTTAATGGAGCTTTAAACAAAACGAGAGTCGCAGACTTGTTAAACATGAAATCAGAGAGGAAGTCAATCCGAATTGTCACTCCTGCAATACTGATATTTTTCAGTAGAACTAAAGTTCAAGTCTGTAGAAAATTATTACAAAATGTTTACATATAGCAGGAGAAAAAAACCAAGGCTGTAGTTGCCCCTGTGTAAATATAGCAGGAGAAAAAAACCAGGCTGTATTTGCCACTGTGTAAAACATGCCTCAATAAACTCACCTTATTTTGGACAGCTGGTACAGGAGATGGTGCAGCTTTAGTTTTCGTCTGTAAAGTCTGTATTGGAGGCGAAGATGGTTTCTGTGTCTGATCAACTTTATTACGTAAAGTAGGTATTGGAGGAGAATTGGCCCTGACAGAATTCTTCTCGGCTGGAGGCTGAGACTTAATGGACTGACTGTCGTACTGAAAAGAGACACGGCGAGATACTAAAGCTCAGTCATAACATAACATTCATCAACATCGATCATAACATTCACAACACGCTCACAACACGTGATATCGATACTGAAGATAGCATGTCGTAATCATCACAGTATAGAGAATATACAGTAGGTCCATTTCGTGTACAACTGGCTGCTGACTGCTGTATATTTAATTACATTACTGCTTGCCGTTAACCATTGCGTCATTACTGTTGGTAAAAAAAGCAACTGATTGGTTGTCACTATGGTAATCACATGCGTAATAAGATATACTTGGCACGAAAAAATTCAATGGAGTGACTCTACTGTATATTCACTATATTGAGGTAATCAGTAGCGGACCATTGTTAGTCGAAATAAATTAAAGATGCTTAATTTTAAATTCAAAATACCTTCACAACAAAACTATTGGTTATGAATTTCTAAAGAATTAAAATTTCACCAGTCAAATTAAATCTAAAGTATTTGGAAATGTAATTATATCCAAAAATGAGGTGTAATCACTCAAATTGATGTACCCTAGATTCACCACTGGTAATGACCGACCACGTGCATTCACTGCACGCTCAAAACACGTGTTATCGAGCCTTATGAAACACATACATTTGCTTTGGCGGCTTTCAATCTTTCGTCCAGCTGTTTTCGCAACTTCTCCTCCTGTTTTCTGTCTTCTTCCAATCGTTTTCTTTCAATTTCCTTCTTCTTCTCTTCAGCTGCCTTTCTTAGTTCTTCGTTCTTCTTGCGTGCCTAACAAACAATCCAACAGCCATCGTCACCAGTAACGTCAACATCCTTCAAATGTTACGTCAGATGAGTCTCGCATTCTGACAAAAGTTTGATGGATGTTATTCACTCGGACAAAAGTTAACGTTTGCCATTTATCATTGTTTTTAATTCATAAAAGCTCCAGTGATATAAAGTGCATATACCCCACCCTCCCTCCCGAGTCTTTCCCTCGCTCAATAATCAATCAATATAAATTTGAAACTTAGTCATGAATACATGTTGAAGGAAAAATTAAAACTTATGTTTTAAAGTTATCTATTTCGCATCATTGTAACTTTAAAAAAGAACTAAAAGATGTTTTTCGTGTTTGCAAAGGCTTATGCCAGCTTCGGAGACGTTTGTGAGAATTGTCGAGCATGTGCAACCACTGATCAGCTCTCAAGTTCTCCCAAAGGTCTCCTCGGTTTACATAAGCCTTTGCCAACACAGTAAACATCTTTTATTTCGTAATCATTACATTATCAAGACAGAAACGACCGCTAATTTATAAGCTATATACGTAGCTATCATTCAAAAAATTTCCTTTGTTTCAAATGAACAAAATGGAAACATACAGCTTCCTCCTTATCTTTGGCAGCCTGTAATTCTTTCTCGTATTCTTCGCGTAGTTTCTTTTGTTGCTCTTCGATTAACTTTTCCTATACAACGTACAACAACAAACCCTTATCAACCGAGCACAAGGTCTTTACGCAGAAACATAGGACCGAGGTTTTTTTGCGCAAACCGAACCCGAAGGGCGAAAGTTGGACAAAAAGACAGAGGTATGATATTTCTCTGTAAAGACCGACCAAGCAAAGTCAATAAAAGGCTTATCATGTAGCATTACCTAACCTGTAATGAAGCGTTGTTTCATTCTCGTCGTCAATGTTTTTCAAGTATTGGCTTTCATTCCTCTAGTTTTTCGTCAGTGAAAAGTAAACCGTTTGAAATTGTGTCGTATGGATATTAAAACTCACTGTCTGACTTACGTTCGTACATGTTTTTTACTTCGCTTTTATTTTCGTTTTTAAAAACGGTTGACGTTGGCTTTAAGAACTTTGTTTACATTTAACTATAAAATTACGCTTATCGAACCGTCGGTCCATTATGAGAAAGGAATGGACCTGCAAAATTGTTCCTAAACCAATCAAAACATGCCATTTCACCGGAAGTAACGCGTGCCAATAATAATAAACACGGGTAACATGGGGCAGTTCAGAAAAGAAGTAGTAAATCGTAAATTCAGTCAAACCTCACATAAGCGGTCAGTGACTCCCTCGGCACCACGTGTCCTCTCATAACCTCTCACAAGGTCCCCACTTTTGAGAGGATATGTGAGGTGATATTTTATTGACAAGGATCTGAAAGCTATGTCCGCTTAAGAGAAGTTTCCTTAAATAAAGAATCGACTGTGTAACCATATATTTGGCAATGCGGACCTTATGGTCAGTTGGAATTTTCCCGCCACTCGGTCACTGTCCTTGGACGTTGAATGACTCAAAACAACCGATAAAAGCAGTCCGCAAAGCGAAACAAAACAAAAAAGTTTGAAGTATTGTAAAACGACATTCATAATCCAAGATGAGGTAAGTTTTTTAAAAAGAAAGATGGTCCAACTACAAATTTTGCAGTATTACAATCATTTACCTTATACAGATGCCATGTGGTTCAGGATACAAAAGACCAAATTTTATACACGTACACACGACTCTCACCTGCTTTTCCTCGATTTCACGGATTCTGTCTTGTTCTTCTTTCTTCTTTCTTTGCTTCTCCTCGACCTGGAGCATCGAAATTTTCAAGCATTAACTACGATTTTCAACAGCGATGTGGAAAGACGCATTGATGTCAGGCCAAAAATTGAACGAGCACAACGCAAAGAAGGTAAAATACAATTCCTTTGTTTGGTTTTACCATGGACATAAGTCGACTCGAATGAAACAAACATAGATTTAGTTTACATCAAGTGCATTAAATCTAGCTGCCTTGTGTTTCAGAAAAACTGACCTGTTGTTTTAAAAACTCTTTGTATTCAATTTGAGGATTCTTTCGCACTGTATCCTATATTTCATAACATATAAAAGCAATGAACGTTAAAATTGACCTGTTGCAAAGACAAAAATATAACAGTACATATGACGTCTACGATAAATCAGTTGCCTTTTCTAATAGGAAACCGACTACTAACATTTCCTTGAGAGGCCATCACACGATCCACTGTTGCTGTTGCATCACCTTCTAAAGAACAAAAAAATTTATGAACAATTAAACGATAAAAGGTCTTAGGTTTCAACATAACATCACTCCTGATGACACTAGAGAATGCTAAATCCTCAACGTCAGACTGTTTTTTGATTAAGAACAAGCCATTTGCATAAATATGAAGTTATATCATCTTTCTACTCCTGAAAAAGACATTTAAATACGCTATACATGAAGTCTATGTAAATAAATAGATAGTAAATTACCTGCTGATTTAGATTCGCCGTCACGATTGGGAATGTTTTTTAATAGGGAAGAATCTTCAGTTTTTCCATAGTCTCGAGGACTGATGATAGTGCCCTCTTTGTTGTATTGATGCATTTGACGTAGATCAGCTGAGAAGACAATATAATCTCTTCAATAGAGCACGGAAATATCTAATATTTTTAAATATAGTGTCTAACAGTCATTAACAATGACAATGCACCATTTGCCTTAAACTATAGTGTGTACAGTAATATAACAGTCATTCACTATGGCAATGCACCACTTGCTATAAACTATAGTGTACAGTAATATAACAGTAATTAAAAATGACAATGCACCATTTTCCATAAACTATAGTGTGTACAAAAATCTAACAGTCATTAACAATGACAATTCACCATTTTCCATAAACTAATGTGTGTAGAGCAATCTAACAGTGATTCGCAATGGCAGTGCACCATTTGCAGTAGAGTACTTCAACTCTTGCATTAGAAAGTCTTTGCAAGCAAACAAAGTTTCGAGTACACACGTACACACTAAGTTGCCAGACGGATCCCGTATCGGTGCACCGCCACCAGATTTGCCCCATGGATTGTACACTTCAACTTCGCGCTCCAGTTTCAAGTTATATCTAGACAAAAAAAAACACTATAGAAGTAGCAGTATAACGTAGTCGTTTTTCACTTACAATACTTTATGGTGTCATCACGATCTTAAATATCACCATAAAGAGGCAATCAAAGCATTTTGCAATCAAAGCATTTTGCAGCAGGATTGCCAAAAGCTACTTCTAGCACAGTATTTTGCGCCAATACATTACGCTCAATGGAACATGATCCAGTTCTCAAAAAACGGAATGCGCAAATTCTTATTTGCCGTTTTATTAGTTATCCAGTTTATTTGACTTTTTGCTGTAACATGGTAGCCTAAAAGCAGCCGATAATTTGATATAGCAGCACATGCACTTTGAACCCCCCGCCCCCCTCTCTCTGTGAGTCATTGCAAAAAACTAGTAATAACAACCATCTCTCAGTTATTCATTAAGTAACTAATACGTCACTTTGGGGGCGTGTCTACAACACTACAAAGATCTGGCCGGTTTGTCGACGAGGACAACCAATGTCAACTATATCTTATTTGATAAGAATTAAGATGTCTTCATTCAAAGACAAAATACCATTCATTAAGTAAAACCTATATATATATAAAAATGGTAGGAAAAAAAATTACATATTCAATATTTCGGCTTAATTTACTTTTTCGCACAACAACAGTTTTTGAAACAGCGCAATCTAGGAGAGCGAAACTTGTTTATATTATTCTATACAGCACAAAGTCATTGCACTACGCAAGGAGCGTAGCCAGCCGGCAGCACAAAGTCATTGCACTACGCAAGGAGCGTAGCCCGCCGGCAGCAAAAAATCATTGCACTACGCAAGGAGCGTAGCCAGCCGGCAGCACAAAATCATTGCACTACGCAAGGAGCGTAGCCAGCCGGCAGCACAAAGTCATTGCACTAAATCATTGCACTACGCCAGCCGGCAGCACAAAGTCATTGCACTACGCAGCGTAGCCAGCCGGCAGCACAAAGTCATTGCACTACGCAGCCAGCCGGCAGCACAAAGTCATTGCACTACGCCGTAGCCGGCAGCACAAAGTCATTGCACTACAGCCGGCAGCACAAAGTCATTGCACTAGCCAGCCGGCAGCACAAAGTCATTGCACTACGCAAGGAGCGTAGCCAGCCGGCAGCACAAAGCGTAGCAAGCCAGCAGCACAAAGTCATTGCACTACGCAAGGAGCGTAGCCAGCCGGCAGCACAAAGTCATTACACTACGCAAGGAGCGTAGCCAGCCGGCAGCACAAAGTCATTGCACTACGCAAGGAGCGTAGCAAGCCGGCAGCACAAACTCATTGCACTACGAAAGGAGCGTAGCCAGCCGGCAAGTTTTGGTAATGCAATGTAAATTTTAGGGTACTAATAGAAAATTCGCAGACTTTGTACTACACCTTCCCTATTACTGTGGGTACCTTTCCAATTCTTCTTTGTTCTTCTTCTTTCTTTCCTCCTTTTCTTTCAACTGGCAAAAATCAAAACAAATTATTGTTGAATTTTCAATAACGTTATAAGTAACCTCAAGAATTATCTGCGGCTTTTAGCCAATCATGATCGAGATTGCATTAGCATTGTAAAATATTAAACAATTGTTGAATGAGGCGAATAACGTTGACCGAAGTCTGCATAGTTCTTGCTATCATGCAAAACCGAATTCAATAACTGTTTTATTATTCACTTCAACTTTCTGAAATATTATTAAAACTGATCAATGTAAAACATTTTCAAGACTTCACTAATTTGTCCTTATCAGACGATTTATTCAAGGTCTTCTCTTTAAATGTGTTTTAATGTTCAAAGCCGCTTCCTTTTTGCTTAAAAGCTTTTGCATATCGTTTTTAAAAACTGTGGCAAACCTCGCTTTATTAAATAATTTTTTCAAAACCGGCTTTTAATGGCGTCAATAATCAGAGGCGTAACTAGAACTTTAATTGGGGGTGGGTTGCATATTCATATATTTCGTTGTGCCCTACTGATTTCTTTTGAAATTCAATTAACGTTCTAGTTACGCCTCTGTCAATAATTGTAGAAACTGTTCTTTGTAGATATGACGTCATAATTACAGATATCGAGGATCATTTGCAGGTGGTGGACCAATCAAAAGCGAAATTTTTCATAACTGTTGTTGAACTTACTTGTTTCGACAATTCTTCGCGATATAACTGTTGTCGATTCCTACTGTCCACAATCGGAGATGTATCAAAACCTGAACCGAACCCGAACCCTTGATCAGATAACCCGTTGCTCAGTGGATTAGGCCGATTCAAAATCGGGGGATTTCTATTTCCCATGGCACCTTGAGAGAAGCTATCGGGGACCCAACTCGGTTGATATGCACGGACTAACGGTTCTACGTAAAAATGCAATGGAAAAGTAAGGTTGAAAACACCGCGAATCAGTTAATGTCACATGCAACTGATAACGTAAATTGCTTCTTTCGCATTAAGGCTGAAACACACTGGGCATCGCGCGTCCAAAGCGAATTGATGCGCACGCGTCAATCGCTTGAACGCTAGAAACACACATGCAGCGACCATCGCGACATTTACCGTGGCGTCTATTGAACATGGCGGTGATTTTAGTTTGTTACAGACACAGATATCATTTAAACTTTTTATTTTGGCCTTTATTATAGCTACTAATATATGAATATTTACTCAGTACAAACTACTATGTGGAGAAAAGAGAACAAGCCAGTTAAAATACGCCAATATGATCATAGCACATTACGCGTATATCGTGGATAATCCTATTCTGTGCATTTAGGTTGTGCATTAGGGTTCCAGTTTGTAGCTCCTATTGTCCCTATTTGATAAGTCATATAAAAACTGAAAGATTCCAGTGTGAATTCACTGTATATTGCCTTCGTTTTCCAAGGTATAATCTATAAATTTCGTATGATGCTTATGACAGGAAATATGATATGCATTTAGGAAGTTAAAATGTATCTATTGACCAATCAGTGTAAAGCGACTGAAGCGACCAAAGTCAAAAGTTCAACATGTTGAACTTTCAAAGCGACTAGCTGACGCGACTACGCTACTAGCTTAGTAACCACGCAAAGCGGTAGTTTTAGACGCGCGACTAAAGCGACTGCCTAGTGTGTTTCAGCCTTTACACTCGTGTTCAGATCGGAGGCGTCCGGTAAAAATCACATCAATATGAAAACACGTAGGTATTTACCGGCGTTAGTCGAAGGCTCGATAAAGGACGTAGAATTAGACTTCAGAGAAGAAAATGCATGGTCGATAGGATGGGGATTCGAAAGGCCGTTATGCTGAGTCGGATTCATATACCCTGCATGATAACGTTGATCGTATGCAAATTGATTCGGCCCAATGGCGCGAATCTCTGGTGCCGGATAATGTGATTGGTATCTTGGACTGGGAATTCGAGGATAGTCTTTATACATCTGTTCACGCTGGACATGTTCATGGACTGGAAAGGAAGGGTCGTAACGACGAAACTCTTGACCAACGTTTACCTGGTTAAAAACAGATTTTCAGAAGATACGAGCAAAACATGAAAAACTACATGAAGTAATACGTCATACCGTAGAATTTGGACCTGCCTCTCGCTTAACACTCGCATTTTCGTGTGGCAACAGACCTTTCTCTCTAAAAAAGATATCAGTCAAAATTGACAGTGACATGTTGCTAAGACTATAAAAAAGGACCTGGCACATTTTTGGACTGGGAAATTTTCTCCGCTCATGATTTTTTTGTGTAATGACTGCGAATCAAGTTTTTCAACTCAGATCTTTCGAATGTTCACGCAACAAGCAAAGTTTGGGCAGCATTGTTTGAAACACAAACAAATTTTCTTTGAATTTATCTGAATGTATTTGAATTTATTTGTTAAATGACAAAAAAATTCAGTAAAGCAAAGAGAAATCCTTTTGCTAAATCCTGATGCTAAATCCCAGAAAGGTGTTGGGACTTACTCACTACAGTCAAAAATTCTGAGACACAAACCGGACATCCGTTAAAAAAACACTATCATGCAGAAAGATATCGTTCCATTCTCACACTCTGTTGGTTGGCTTGATAAAAACGTGTATCAAACAATACTGTGAGGGAAAATATTTGACGTAGCAGATTTTCAAAATACGCACCGTTTTTTCTGTATCTCCCTTTCTTTCATTTGAGCCTGGAGCTCTTCACGATACTTGGATTGGCGTTTCTGCTTCACTTCTGGAGTAATGTCTTTTTCTACAAATGTATGAAATGATTCGTTTGGCCTCCTTAAGCTTTTAGAAAGCCCTGAGAAGGGAAAGTTATCAAAAGACAGCACGTAAAAACCTAAAGCAGTGATATTTATTTCTTAAAAATCAAGCAACGGGCGGAATCCCAGCCTTCCCTGTAATCTAATTGGCTGCAGCAGCGAGCGAAATTCTACAATATTTGACCGCGGTCCGGAATCCTATAGCTAAATACTTGAGGGGAGAGTTGTTTTTTGTTTTGTGTCTGTTTTAAAAAGGAAATCATCAGCCAACTTTTGATTGCAATAATCTATTTTAAGTGAATTTTGAGCTTTCCAAGGTAAAATTAATATGAAAGTTTGATTGTTTACTTTGCCGCCATTGTTAAATCTGACTGCACAATGTACATAATAAGAATGTGACTAATAGCAAAAAATTAAATACGTTATTTACTGTTTAAGTCGATCTGGATCGAAAAATATTTCCCCTCGGTCTAAAAAACGTCGCTCGCCTGCGGCTTATGACTCTTTTTGAGACCTTGGGAAAATATTTTTCTGTTTGAACCTCCAGCCGGTAAATAACATGTATATTTTCACCACTCAATGCTACTACTTCTACAGAAGATGTTGATTATTACCAAGTAGAGAATGTCTTTTGTTCGACGATGAAAAAATAGCGTTCAAGCTATTGCTTGGAGCAGTACGTAAATGGGATTTAAATCATGGTTAAATTGCACGTCTCACTTCTGAGTCACCATGAATTTAAAAAAACGCATGATTTCAACTGTTATGACTACAACAATTATGACTTAAACAATTATGACTTCAACTATTATGACTTCAACTATTAAGACTTCAACTATTATGACTTCAACTGTTATGACTTCAACAATTATGACTTCAACTATTATGACTTCAACTATTATGACTTCAACTATTATGACTTCAACTGTTATGACTTCAACTATTATGACTTCAACTGTTATGACTTTAACTATTATGACTTCAACTGTTATGACTTCAACTATTATGACTTCAACTATAATGACTTCAACTATTATGACTTTAACTGTTATGACTTCAACTATTATGACTTCAACTGTTATGACTTCAACTATTATGACTTCAACTATTATGACTTCAACTATTATGACTTCAACTATTATGACTTCAACTGTTATGACTTCAACTATTATGACTTCAACTGTTATGACTTCAACTATTATGACTTCAACTATTATGACTTCAACTGTTATGACTTCAACTATTATGACTTCAACTGTTATGACTTCAACTATTATGACTTCAACTATTATGACTTCAACTATTATGACTTCAACTGTTATGACTTTAACTATTATGACTTCAACTGTTATGACTTTAACTATTATGACTTCAACTGTTATGACTTCAACTATTATGACTTCAACTATTATGACTTCAACTGTTATGACTTCAACTATTATGACTTCAACTGTTATGACTTCAACTATTATGACTTCAACTGTTATGACTTCAACTATTGACTTCAAGAAACCTTTTCCCTCATCATCTCACCCCATCCACACCATAAATATTGTTTACTGGACGAAGCTGCATACCTCCAATGAGAGGTATAGCAAACGGTGGGGCAGATCTAGATATACGGTTATCTGAATTCTCTTCTCTTGATTCACGACGTTTCACACGTTGATCGTCCATCGATCGAAATTTATCGTTATCCATATTCCTAAGTCGCAAATCATGACCATCAACTTTTTCAGGTAGATCCCATCGTCGCCGCGTACCATTCTGCAACCACGTTCTGCAGGATATTGACATGATTTTATGTGGACAGTAAAGAATCCTTTAGGGGTTTTTTATTAGGAGTGATTTTATGTTAAACCTCGAGTTCTTACATACTCCTGTCGAGTACTTCATCAGGAGTTATCTAACGTTGAAACTTGAGTTCTTTTCTACTCCTGTGTAGTGTCTTCATCTGGAGTAATCTGATGTTCAAACTTGAGTTCTTTTATATTCCAGTCTAGTGTCTTCATCAGGAGTAATCTGATGTTCAAACTTGAGTTCTTTTATATTCCAGTCTAGTGTCTTCATCAGGAGTAATCTGATGTTCAAACTTGAGTTCTTTTATATTCCAGTCTAGTGTCTTCATCAGGAGTAATCTGATGTTCAAACTTAAGTTCTTTTATATTCCAGTCTAGCGTCTTCATCAGGAGTAATCTGATGTTCAAACTTGAGTTCTTTTATACTCCAGTCTAGTGTCTTCGTCAGGAGTGATCTGATGTTGAAATTTAAGTTCTCATATACTCACTTTTCATTCTCGGGATATTATGTTCGATCTATCTAACTTGTGACGTCACATTGCATACTGAGAACAAGAATTATTAGGTATATTTATTGATATGTTACTTCAACAGGGCAAAGTTACCTTCATTGCGACATTATACAAATAAGATACTGGCTACTGGTCTTAACATAAAGTTGTCAGGAATCTGAAGAGTATTTGAAATTTTGCGACTCATAATGCAATATTACGTCACAGGTTAGATAAGTTTGAAATAAGAAAAATTCATAATCTCGAGAAGGAAAAGAGGCATGCATAAACCTTTTTTTCGAAAGTACTCTGTCATTTAAAAAGTTCTGGTCAATGCACATAATTTAACTAGCAATATTTTCTGTTCATAGGCACTATAAATATTCTCCCAGTATGCATGTTATCTTACTGTTTTTGTGACGTACGCCGCGATTCGTCTTCAAAGCGCACATGTCTGAAAATATTGCATTGCTCACGATCAATAAATATACATGAACACTGAAAAACACAACAAAACATCTTTATCAAAAAATAATGGCGAAACTGCAGAACAAAAAAACATACGCCGTCAATTGTAAAGTCAATAATTGAACTTATACCCAGCTAAACGGGTTTCTTTAAAACCATACAATACAAAAATTCCGATTTTTCGATGCATTTTGTGTAGAATGAAAAAAAACGAGATGAGGTGTGACAAGAGGTGTGGTTTGTGTAGAATGACAAGAGGTTAGTTTTGTAAAATGGCAAGAGACCACATTTATATCGCAAACTGACGCCATCATTGACAAACGCTGCTAAAACAATTTAAAATTAGCCCAAGAATGTGAAACATTTACCTCGGGTCAGAGTATGGATCATCAATTTCATTCCTATGAAGATAATCATGTAATCAGCTTCTCATCTATTCTAGCTCAAGTATTCGAGATAGGATAATCCAACCAACAACACCAGAATTATTTCAAATGATATGTTGCGGTTGGGATTTAGAATTCGAGGTAGATTAGCAAATTTGTCCTTTCAAAAACAAATTGGATCTTTAGATATGGATTGTGTCGCCTAATGAATACAATTTACATATAGTTATTTCAAAGTTTAAAACCTGTATCTTCGTTCATCTTGTCGTTTTCTTTCCAGTAGTTCCTCGTAAGCGTCGTACAATTCATCCAAAGTCTTTGGAAGCCTGTCATTTCGCACTGAAGCTGAAACCGAAAGAATCTTTATACGATATAAATTGACTGGTTTCCACATTAGATAAACACTGGTGAAAAAATGACAACCGAAAAGGGTTATACAAAGACTCAATTAAAAATTCTGGCCACTCCTGATGAAGATTGAAGATACTACGTAGACTGGACTATATAAGAAATCGTGCCTAAAAATCAGATCACTTCCGATTAAGGCATCAGACAAGAGACAAACTTGATGTAGATACGTCTGACTTTAAAAGACAAGAGTCGGACTTTAAGCAACAGATCATGTATGAAGTGGAGTAGATGCTGCAGCCATTAACACAAACAAGGCTTGAAGAGCAGTTCCACACAGAACACACTAAACTACCTTGACGTGCATTATGTTGCTCTGCTAAATCATTATACGTTCTTCGCTGAAATGAAGAAATTGAAAATATTAAAATGAGTAGCCGAATGAAATTGATTATAAATTGATGGGAATAGCTAAAGCAAAAAAATACTGCATAATATCCAAATGATCAACTGAATCTGAATTAAAAGTGAAATTCACGGATAAGGCACAAAAAAAGCTCGACAAAACCTATTTAATTTGGATTCTTTTGTAATAATGGCAGCTCTTGCAGCAAAATTAATTCAGGCAATTTAAGTAGTTTCATTTCATTTACGTCAATCTTCAACAAAATGTCGAAAACTGAGGAAAAGTGAGAATGAGTTTGGGTTCAAAAACATGATCATATACAAAACAAGTAGAAAATGCTAAAGTTAGACACGGCGATCAAAAAAAAGCATTATTATGATTGAGAAAGTTCACAAATCTCGTCTAAAGAAAAACGATCATGTTGCTATAAAGGAAAAATCTCAAAGAAAAACTTTCACTGACCAAAAATTTCACAAAATCAGTTTCTTTTAACGTCAACTGAACTCAATAAAAGAGATGGACATAAAACGGTCAATAAAACGCAATTCTTTTATGCAACAGATTTTGATATCCCCAAACCTACTTGCGTATCTCTGAGGTCATCGCCATTGGACAGATAACGAGGGTAGACGTTGGTTTGAGCGTCGTACGCCGAGTCGAAATCTTGTTTCATTGCGCTCTTGGTAGGTGGCTATATTAAAGTAACACAACAGTTGAAACGTGTACGTACATAGTAGTCCCTCTTTATACACACATGCTCATCACTAGCTCGAGGTGAGGAAATCACGCGCCAGTGTGCATTTGAAAAAAATAAATTCGTATTTGTCGAGAGTGAAAAGACTGGGACGAGTTACTTCCTAGGCTTATAATTGCTGCTAAGACGAAAGCTACAGCCCCTTGAGCATAAAGTTGCAGCACAGCATAATAAAGAAAACAAGAGCTACTGGTCGTAAATTTATAGAGGTGTACAAAAATCTTAACTATCCAATTTTCTATTAAACTACAGCGCAAACTAAATCATTTATGAAGTTATAGTTTAATCATTTTAGTTGAAATCTTTTTGATATTCTGAAATTGAACGGAGAAACTACAATATTCGTAATATCGTTGATGTGCTAAAGGCCATTCCATAGGTATATTACATTTCTCATTGATAAGTTTGAATTTTAGTTACTGCGTACTTTCAATAACCACGAAAATATACGTATTCGTCTATAAGACATCTTGGGAACGAGTTTCATTTGTGTTTCAAGTTGTGGCAATCGCAGTGAACTCACGTATATTTAATTGGGTCTGGTTGAATACTGCTCTTCATACCCCTATATTGCCCTGCGTGATTGTGAATTTAATTAGATGGTGGACTGGGGAGACAGGAAGTTACAAAAAGTGGAAGCTCACCTTTTCTTTTATCTTCCTGGTCTCATTACCTCTTGGTGCTTTTTCACCTGTCGTTCTGTATTTTTTCTACACACGTATTATCAATCATTGACACGTCGCTTGTCGACACAATGAAAAACATTCAGGCTCAACAGACAGGGATGGGGCAAGGAGAAGTAGGGGATGGTATGGTGCAAGTCAAGGTCACAATAGAGTGAATATACAGTAGAGCCACTCTATTGAATTTTTTCGTGACAATTATATCTTATTATGCATGTGATTACCATAGTGACAGCCAGTCAATTGCTTTTTTCTGACCAATAGGAATGATGAAATGGCTTGACATGGACCTACTGTATATTTCCTATACTGTGTCATAGTGGATATTTTCCTTATTAAATCCATTCCAGTTGTATGTACACAAATATATTTTATTCAGATGTACAAAGTACCTCTGCCAAAAACTTTCTGTATTCCTCAGCTCTTTCCTTTTGAAGCTTCTCTTTAACATTTTCATATGCACCAAATTGGAGACCTCCTTGCAATGATGAATAACCTTCTTTGGCTGAAAAATTTACTGTATAATTAAATACTATTCTTTACGATTGCTAAGAGCTTTCAAACTTTGAAGACTTTAGTTACCCCCCTTACTCCCCCACAGCCAATTGTAGAAAAAAATATACAGTATGAAATAAACTATTCCAGGAATGAAGGACCCATCTATTTCATGGGATATCTCATTTCAACCCATGCCTAACAACAAAACTCAAATCATAAAACCATGGGTGTAGGAAGATCAATAATTGAGGGGGGGGGGGTAATATTTATATATGCATGTTATGTTCATTAAGGCTATGTTTACATGATACCGGATTCGCTCAACACGACATCTTCATTTGCTTTCAAGGGTTAACTGTTCGGAGCAAAAGCTTATTAAGCTGATAGATTTAGTCTATTTATTTGTGTTTCTGACGTTGAAAAATTTCCCTGCCTTTTAATACAAAGAATATTCAATCTGCTATGATAGCAATCCGGCATAGTACAAACGGGGACTAAGTCTTGACCCCTCACCACTAATTATTGATCTCTCTATGCCAATGCATTAAACAATTAACAGAAAGCTCCAGCAAGCTGCATACGGCTTCTAACATTCACACAACATTTAATAAAAACAAGCTCATCATCATATCATTTCCCAACCTTTTTGAGGCTCCTCTTGCTTTCTGCTAAAAAGTTTTGAGCAATGAATAAGAAAATAACACAGACTATGAATAAAAAGTGAATGGTTTCTACCTGATAGTTTTGTGACAAGTTAACAGATGTTGATTGTCCAGGTTAATGCAGTCCTGATATAGGCCATTGGCTGACAATTTGACAACCTTAGCAGAAGTCATCTTTAAAGTCAAGTGAGGGCATTTACGACATCTGTCAACACCAACACCTACGGTTGTTCTCAGGAATGCACTAACCTCAGCAGTCAACATGCGTAAAAAAAGTAAAAATATTGAAATTTAATTTTACTCAAACTAACACGCTACTGATCTTTCTGGGAGATTGATCAACTTGTTCATAACTTGTCAGATTGTCCTAAAAAACAACATAAAACAATTATAATAACGTTCTATGTACAGAAAAATAATTCCTACACTAAAAGCACCTATATACTTAGAAATTTCAAAACCAAGTTAAATATTAAAGAGAAAAGCCACCAGAAAAGAAAGACAAGTATCTCAACCGACACTGCACTAACAACTGGCTTGACTGTCACTAGAAAGCACGTCATTATAACACACAACTTTTTGTTGAACACCTGGAAATTCATTCCAAAACAACTTATCTTGAGTATTCTTAAAGAACGTCTGAGTCCAACTTACATTAAGGCGAGAAGTTATTCTCGTTTCAGCTAGCCCAGCTCTTTCCTGTTCAATCCTTCTCTTCTGAGCTGCGATAAAGTTTTGAATATCATCAATTTCGGTCATGTTAACGTAAAAATTAAGGCGGTCACTGCTTTGAAAATCCTTATATGACGACGCTTTTTCAAATAAATTTTCGTCTGATCCCCTCCTTTAACCAAATATTCGATTCATGAACAAGTTAACAAGTTGTTTTAATGTGTTTAAATCGAAGTACTGCCAACTGTGGCCAATACACTGACAACAGCGGTTGCTGCACACTTCAATGTCTTTTTAATGAACAAAACTACTCTTAAGAATTACAAGAGGTGCATTCCAATATATCTTTTCATTTGAATGAAACACAAAACCGCCAGATATTGTTTTCGAAGTATAATTAAATCCAACTCAGACGGCCGACATCTTGTGTTGTTGTAGTAACAATTCGACATGCTTCCCACTGAACTGTATGCACCGTCCATCACTAGCTGGATGACGCATACGCAAAATATGCAAATGTTGCGTGAAGTACATACGTCTACGCTTGAATGATTCTAAACGAAAACAGAGATCGTTGTTCAAAAGCTGATTTTCAACAGACAAAGGCTTTTTTCCTACACGCAAAAATTTATTTACTTATATTTATTCATCTGTATAATCTTTTAGGAGCTCAGCGAAAACGGTGATTGTCGAATATGCAAGTGGTATTTCTCAATTTTCAAAGCATCTTCACAGCATAAGGTGTGAAAACATTAGTTGCAGGTCGTTTTTTGATTTTCTAGAAGAAGCCATTGATGTGTGCCATTCTTTAGCAAACACTATTTACTTGGTAATTATGAAAAGATATATGATGCTGCTTATGTCAATAGTTGTGGTATTAAAATGTTTTTTTCCATCGACAGGAGGTGAGTTAACTGTGATACTGCTTAATTCAAAAATTCTCGTTATTTTCCAAAGTATCTTAATTTTCTATTTGTCATTGTTCTATTATGACAAATGGCGAACTAAAAAAGCGAATTCCTTAATTTTTCTTGATCAATCGAATTTATTGCACATTTACGCATATCTTTGGATTCAAACAGGGCATTTACGACTGATTTTGACAGCAAAAGCAACTTGCCAACAAAAGACAACTTTGCCAGAAAATAAAATTTCATCAATTCAAGTTAATTTCAGATTATTATTGTCGTATCGTGGTCAAATATTACTCGAATCATTCGATTTAATATCTTTAAATAAAAAATCTGCACTGCAGTTCCAATCCTCACGGAGAAAATTTTGTCTCAGATAATGGAGTTTCAAAAACACTTTCGTCTATCTCGAAGGCAAATCATCAATACTCGCATCTATTGAATTAAAAATTGAATTAATACTTACAAATGTATATGCTATTTACTTTTCGCTAGCCTATGTTATGAAGTATTTATTCTTCTTTAGCAAGAGTTTCAAAACATGGTCTCAACAAGAAGGTGGAAGGTACAGTAATTACTAACTTCTTTGCACTTCTAGACCGAATAAATTCAATCAAATAGAAAAAATGGTCATTACAATAATTTGTCTTATTTTTCACAATATGTTAAGTGGAAAGGGCGTCGAACCCAGTGAAAAAAGGATTGAACATATTTCATACGACAAACAACATTCAAGGTATCACTGATAATTTTCAAACATGCACTTTGACCGTTCAAACAACAAAGAATATTTTTAACGGGGAACTGAAAAAGCGACTGTTCACTTTTTAGATCTCATTCAGAATCCATCGGCAATAGATCGTGAGGAGTTAAATGAAATAAGTCGACTGGACAGTATGAATGACCTAATTGTGAATCCACAAATTAATGACGAGACGCGTAAGTTTTAGAGTAGTTTCAACTTAAATATCTGCAGAAAATGTTTCGCCCTCCGATCACAAATGATGTTTTTTAATCGGAATATACAAGGACTTGTTTATTCTAAGTTTCAACGTCAGATCACTCCTAATGAACATTGAACACTCCATACTGGAGTATGTAAGAACTCGAGTATCAACATCAGATCACTTCAGATTAAGACACTAGACTGGAGTATACAAGAACTAGTGTTTGAACAACAGATCACTCCTGATGAAGACATTAGACTGGAGTATATTAAGACGCAAGTTTCAACATCAGATTACTCCTGATGAAGACACTAGACTGGAGTATATAAGAACACAAGTTTCAACATCAGATTACTCCTGATGAAGACATTAGACTAGAGTATATAAGGAACCAAGTTTCAACATCACATCACTCCTTATGAAGACACGTGACTGGAGTACATAAGGGCTCAAGTTTCAACATCATATCACTCCTTATGAAGACCCTTGACTGGAGTATACAAGGAGCTAAGTATCATTTTTAGATCAATCCTGATGTAGAGACAACATAAGCATATAGTGGAAGTTTTATGTTAACTCATATTTACAAAATTTATATTTAAGTAACGTGTAAATGAGCTAAGCGTTGTACTTATTACAAAACAGAAAGCCTGGCACGACAGGGTCTGGATCCAAGAATTGCAATGCAAATCTCAAAAATGGACCACAACCTGAACGATATTCTCGGTCCTAAGCGCCCAAGCTCACAAAAAAATACGAACGCAGAACAAAAAGGTGACATTTTTAATGACTACGGCGAGGAATACAACCCTGATGGCAGTTTAAACATGAAGAGCAGCGATTGGCCTGAGTACCAAATAAAAGACACTTACCCTTATAGGAGCATTCATCATGAGGGACTTGACTCCACGTTCCCAGGCAACAATGATGCCGGTCGTTTCCACAACGCGGGCGGAGAAATATCGCCCGAAATCTCACAGGCCGCGCTTTATTCGAACCCAATTCCCGGTCATAAAAATTACCTTTCTCTCGGCATGAACATCGGCATGGACAAACCCCAGGATGCTTCGCAAATGTCACGATTTGTCGAAGATGTGACGAGCGGAAAATCGATGGACAAAAATTTGTTGAGTCCTGCGTTTGGAAAGCCCGTGGCGAAAGGTGCGGGATTTCGAATTCCAGGGGAGTTTAGCTTCAAGGGAGATCAGAAGCCGTTGCCAGATAAACAGCAGGAGGCGAACTTCATCAAGAATTTTATGAGCTCAAGAAAAAACAAAATCCAACGGAAAAAGACACAATAGAGAGCTCAAAGAAGAAAAGCAAAAGGTATATTAACAACTGACGGTTACATGATTTTTCGGATCAATCACTCAACACTATATTTCTCTGAAATGAAGGGAATACAAAGGAGCTTTGTTTTTGGAGCATTTCACAACCTTCGACATCGTTTCAATTGTTTTTCAGATAAGTGGACGCAAAACAAAGAATGGTCTTTTTCATTATTTATACCATTGCTCCTGGGATCAAAGCTCCTGTGAACGACGTTGCAGGAGTCCTATTTATTGTAGATTAACATGAGCCAATTGACATGAACGTATTCCCCATCACCGTAGAGCAGTTTGCTGTTCGTTGTCTTGGAAAAAGGGTTTACTTTATTTCACATTTTGTAAACGGTCACTGCATGGTAAACGATTTAATGATGAAAGAAAATAAATGTAAAGAATAAAAGCATTGTTTTTGTTATCTTGCAATAGCGAAATGAAAACTTTAGACTGTAGTATTAATATTAAATACTCAATGACAGCTGAACTTTTTGCCTTAGCTTTTTCAAGCAAAGAGTGAAATGAAAATACTCATCACAACAATGCCTCCGCGAACAAAGACTTCAATTTCTTTTTTTCTGATGTAAGGTTTGGAATCGCTTGGCGATGCTAGCGTATACGTCATTCGCATGTTTGCCTGATGGATCCAACACGTTTGCGCGAAGCCTACTGGGAATGTTTCCGGGCGGGTTGTACAACGCCACAACGTAGAACTCGTTCTTGTTCGGGTTCTTAAAACATCCCATGCCAAGTTCCAAGACGTCTTTCCAAACAACCTGATGACATATAAAAGAAGTCGGATTGCTTGGAGAGCAACGACAGTCGATATAACTTTTCTCAAGTTGCTACCTAGCAACATTGTTTTACGCAGAATTATGGCTACCGTGTACTGTAGGTTGTGTCTCTGGGTGTATAAATAATAAATCAGTCATATGCAAGCCCATAGCACAAGGTTTACATGTATATGGGTGGTAAGTAACTTGGACTCAATCACCAAGTGAATCTCTTTTGTAGCTATAATAGCGAAAGGCAAAACTGATGGTGTTATACAATTTTAGGTAAACGTTAACCCAGTTATAGTTATACTAAAGTTAAGCTAAAATGAAGTATATATAACCAAGACGAGTGGATCTCTGAAGTGACTAACATTTGGGCAAGCAAAAGCCGCCCTGCGTTGAGAAAGAATCACCAACCTAGCTACAAGAGTGGCTGCGGAACAAAATATTGGATACTATGTGTAAGAGGGGTAGCTGAGCAATTTGGTAGTTAGAGAATTTGAGTTATAAGTACTGATGCAAAGAATGTGTCACAGGACTTTGCTTATTGAAATTGTGAATCATAAAATATGACAAAAAGTAAAAGAGTGTAAGAAAAAACAAAGGCTTGTATTCTTTTAAAGAATATGTCTGATATAGTTCGGTGTTTTTTCTACATAAATAGAAAGATTTCTTTTTCTGATCTAAACAAACTAGTCGGAAGAAAGAGTACGATCTCAATTGATATCAAACATCAACCGATCGAGGACAGAGTGTTTTTACAAAACGTAAACGGAAAAAACTAGTGGTTCCCTAGCATCGTTCAACGTTTTTTATTCAGCTCTTCATAATAGCATGTGCTTCGCAAAAAAATTACCTTATCCTTGTAAATGTTTTTAAAATAACATTGATATAAATACCTGCGTAAAGGTGTCTGTATCAGAATTGAGGCTGGGAGCAGAGAAGCTGTAAGTCTTGCCTTGATTATACCAAAGTTTCACCGCTTCTTCAAATGCATTGTCGCAGCTTGCAGAATTAGGATCTTCATAAAAAATATTGTTACAGTTGTTTATTTTGCTCAAATCAAATTGCGAGAACTAATGGCTTTCATCACTTTAGCAGACAACCGTTTAAAGAAACGACACCTCGTGTACTTTAGTGATATTTATGCAATTGAATTTGGAAAGAACGCTATGTTTTTCATATTTAAAGTTCAATGTTTCAATTTTCCTTTTCCGTAAAGATACCAAAGTTGTTCAGAGTATTGCTAGGTAGAACATTGTATATTTTGACCTGCTCCTTTCGTTGAACTTTGAAGAGTCTTTGGATACTCTTCATCAGGAAAGATCAATGATTGAAAAATCGAATCATTACCTGTATGAGCTCCAGTCTAAGAGGGCAATTGTACATTTGCTCTGACTTCAAAACACAATCCCCTTTTCAGAGTTCACATACGGAAGAGTGCTCGTATAACTTAGTATGATTAATGTCATTATGATTACCGCTGACAGCAGACGCAATGGCATCAAACTTTACAGCCGTGAGCACACAATTTTCCCGCAGGCTAAGCTAAAATAAAAAAAAATACCTGAAATGCGGGCAACGTTCTCTCCATATTGAGTGACAGATTTAACGAGAGCAACGTCAAGAGTTCCTTTAGTAGCCATTTCAGTCGCCATCTTTACGGCTTTTGCAGCAATTTCCTCGTTCCATACCAAGGGCGAAACGTTATGCTTTTTGCGATACACGTTGTGAAGAAGCAATCCTTTTTGGCCCCCTATGACCGGAAACACGTATGTAAAGGATTTTGATGATCATAGAGGGTCTAACGTTGGATAAATTGAAAGATTACGAAAGAGGGCAGCCGCTTCGCCCCCGTAAATTGGCCCCTGTATAATTTCGAAATACCATCATAACAATGCTGTTGGTTAAGTGTTTCCATAAAACAAGTCTGCACCTATGCACATGTTTTTGAAGAATTACTGAATATATTCATGAATACGTTTATGTTGTACTAAAGATTGCCAACCGCAAGATTTGCCATTATGACAATAATTTATTACTATCAAGAGTAAACTTGATGTCGAAATAACATCTTCATATACTCTGGTCTGGTGTCTTAAACAGGAGCAACCTGATGTTGAAAGTAAAGGTATCGCATATTCCAGTCTGGTGTCTCTGATATTAAAACTTTAGTTCTTATATACTCCAGTATAGTGCCTTTATGAGAAGTGATCTTATGTTGAAACTTGAGTCTTTATATACAACAGTCTAGTATTTTCAACAAGAGTGACCCAATGTTGAAACTTGAATTCTTATATACTCCAGTGCAGTATCTTCATTAGGAGTAATCTGATGTTAAAACTTGAGTCCTTATATACTCCAGTCTAGTGTCTTCATCGGGAGTGATCTAATGTTGAAACTTAAATCCTTATATACTCCGATTAAGGTGCTTTCATCAGGAGTAATCTGATGTTGATACTCGAGTCCTTATATACTCCAGTCTAGTGTCTTCATCAGGAGTGATCTGATGTAAAAACTTGAGTCCTTATATACTCCAGTCTAGTGTCTTCATCAGGAGTGATCTGATTTTAAAACTTGAGTCCTTATATACTCCAGTCTAGTGTCTTCATCAGGAGTGATCTGATGTTGAAACTTGAGTCCTTATATACTCCAGTCTAGTTTCTTCATCAGGAGTGAACTGATGTTAAAACTTGAGTCCTTATATACTCCAGTCTAGTGTCTTCTTCGGGAGTGATCTGATATTAAAACTTGAGTCCTTATATACTTCAGCCCACTGTGTCCGAATCGAAGCTGCAATAAAAAGACTTACCATCGTCAGCCAAAGTACAAAGAATAAGTTCAAAAACAGCGACAAACGCGAGCAATGAGCTCAAATGCTTCTTCGTCATTGTAAAATCAAAGCTGTGAGACCTTGTAGAAAAAATTTTAATTACAAAGGGATTGAAATTGTTATAGTGGCTTTGAACGAGATGTCCAAAAGACATTTGTTTCCATTTTATGGCAAGAAAGAAACGAACACTAAGAAAAAAATATCTCACCTGACTATGATACGAACAAATTGAAAAGTCGTAATATTAAGTTGCTCTGACGATATCTAAAACAAACAGGATGATTAGTCACACTAAATCCCGCCAGTATCCATGACAGCGACAATGTTATCTGTGCCTTTCTGCGCCTTTCTGCTTGAATGGACGTTGAAAAAATATAACAGGTGAGATGTGAGGACAAAACAGGTGGTCGAGTAGATAAAGACGTTGTCAAAATCCTGTATTATTTGGATGTTCAAATGCCTAGGACCAAAACTATGTGCGCACAGCTTTTATTTTCAGCAAAATTAACAAAAAGGTTCCGCATTTTCTTTCTGGAAAAATTTCTCATATCTTACAATTTCTTTCGTTCGATATGACGAATTTGCTTACGAAATTAACCATTGTCCTCAGACAAGAGGGCGACAATTCGATATTTTACCAATCAAATTAAGCGCAATTTCACGAAATACGAGATAATCAAATGGTTCAAATCACTTTCTTAAGAGGTTATGACGTAGTAACCGAAGTCAATGCTGTAAGAACGGCGCGCGCGGACTGTAAACAAAGATCATAAAACGAACTGTCGACAGGTTGCATTGGAAAACAAAAGATTTTTGCCTTTCCATCCGAGCTTAATTCTGTGTGCTAAGGTGCATATGGTTGGGGTTAGGCTCTCGATGATTGGGATCACTTACGAGCATGAGTTCCAACTCTGTCAAATTCGAATCGGGCCCAATCCCCGTCTGCAGACTGCACTTTTATAAGGGTAAGTACATTAAGTGACGATGGATATTAACACAGCATGGCGAAAAAGACGCATCAGATATTTTCTTATCAAGAACAAGAGCTAGCTACAGACAAAAAAAGCCGTCTCAATGAAAAAAAGATGAAGTCGAGTTTTGGCATTCCGTAAAACAACGAAAAATTTTGACAAGTCGTTTTGTGACAATAGAATAACGATAATACTTGGCGATTGGACTGTGAATCATTGAATAAAATTCATGCCCTCCGTTTGAATATAACACATCGCTCAATAGTCATACAAGGAAATGCATATTTTGTATTTAAGGTATTCTACAGCTGACTAACGAGGTATTTGACACGTTCCCGATTCATTATTCCTTGACTCTTAATTGAACATCAAAGATTACGGTCATTGATAACATTACATGCTTGACAACAGTTATCTCTGATTAATTCTGCTTCATTCGACTTCGCGTTTCACAGTCGGAACTTAAAGCTACAAGAGCTTTTCGTTGCGGTGCAAATTTTCAAGCAAAATTACAATTCATTTCTTTAGAAAATTAATCCATTCATTGTGGTTTCAATGATTAAACACAAAAATATTTGCGCTGTGGGAGTAAAAAACGGGCTGGCTTCACTACTGCTGACCGTCAGACAATACATCTGTACAATTAAGATTGTAGGATCACTGATACAACTTCATCCTTTTACAAAATAAGCACTTCAATGATATTCCATATCTTTCGTAAAATAAGAAATTCCACCGTCCATCATTAAGCTATCCGCGGGCTCATCCCGTAGGGGACTGGACACACTTATCTCCGTCGACTGCAAAAACTCGGGCTCGTCACCATGAGCATCCAGGATGTTTTCGTGCAAGGCAGGCTGGGAAATAATGACCTGCGTGCGACGACCGTCCTCGGCTATGCTGTCGATAGAGGATTGGGACTGAGTATTGCTGCCCGCGTGTGTAAAGTGTAAAGACTGGGGTGCGATAGGAGATGTGTAGCCTTGATCCAAGGCATCATGGGAATGACCGTAACATCTTCTCTTTGGATTACCAAATTTTTCCAATCTCTCGCAATCTTGGATTTCTAAAAGTCGAATAGAGCCAAAATTTTTAAATTCGTGTAAAAGAAGACTCGCAATCGTATAAAAGTTCTGGTAGAAGCATATGTCGAGGTTGTACATGACTAGCGTGCATTACAGTATTTAACCATGGCAAGCATTGTTGAACATGTTACTCAAGCCTCTATAAAATATTTCTCTTCCAGATAGCAGATGTTCATATGCAAAACAATTTCCTTCAAAACTGCATGTGTGTTTACTCAATGCATTGCACAAATCTCTTTTGTTTAGTTATTTGCTATTTTAAACTTCTTTGAATTAACACTGTTAATTGTTTCATTTGATAAATGAAAAAATGAATTTATTTGTATATCTTTGTGCGCATGCGGTATGCATTTGGCATGTTTTTTCTCCAAAAGTTGTCAGTTGTCAAAACTTAACATTGACCTCGGTATGAATAATTCTTGATATCATGCGAAAAACGAATTCAATAATTGTTTTATTATTCACCTCAGCTAACTGAAATATTATTAAGACTGAAAAATGTGAAACATTTTCAAACCTTCGCTAATTTGTCGCTGAAAGAAATCGGTTTTTTCACGTTCTTCTCCTTTAAATATGCTGTAAATATGTTCAAAACAAGCTTCGTCGCTTTTTTAGTGTTTTCCACTTCTTTTTTGCTCAAAAGTTTTTGCTTATTGTTCTTAGAAACTGTGGTGAACATCGTTTTCTGATTTTTTTCAAAACCTGCTTTTAATGGCGTCCATATTTGTAGAAACTATTATCTGTAGGTATGACGTCATAATTGATATCGACAATTATCGGCAGGTAGTTTATCAATCACAGCCGAGAATACTCACATAGTGAATAATAATTAACAATTATTGGATGAGGTTGAGCATGATATCAAGAATAATTCAGACTAAGGTCAATGTTATTAACCCAAGCGAAGTTGAAGCGGATAACGTTGACCGAAGTCTGATTAATTCTTCATATCATGAGAAAACCGAATTTAATGATTGTTTTTTATTACACAATTATGTATATTTTGTAAGGACGCCATAAGGTTTTCCGTGCTTTGACAAAGTAATCTCAACGGTTCTAATTTCTCTTCCCCCCCCCCCAAAAAAAAAACTATCCTGGCTGACAGTGTTGCTAATTTCGTGTTTTTTCGAGTCCATATTTAAAATAATTTGAGTCAAATTCGTTTGTAAAGCGCTTGCAAATCTCCAAGAAGATTCCGCCACTTTTTGCGTTGTCAGTTGTCACATCAAAAATTGTCACAACAAAAATTGTCACATATATAAATGTTACCTATTTATAATTTTCAATATTTTGTAGGTGGCAATATATTAAGAATCATCTATAGGCTCTTAGCCAATCACAATCAATCTCGGTTATTTTATAATAATTTCACTTAATTGCAAATTTCAGTTTAACTGATTGTAAACATCGTCAAAAACCATTCCAGAAAAGACAAAGTACCATTTTTCAACGAATACTCCAGCAAGCCATGAGATTTTTAAATGAAAGTCGCATTCGTGGGAGTTAGTTTACTTTTACGTGCAAATGTTGAACACAAAAGCGGGACGTGGCTTGCTTTTCTCTTGTATTAAAGCGCATAAAGAACTGCAAACAGTAGCAAAGAAATTCGACAAATCGATATGAAGCTATGCTAGAAAAGTTCAATCGAGATAGGTGAACCAATCCTGTCGTCAAGCAGATCAATATCGATATATTTTGATTAAAATATGTTATAATTATCGATACCTTCAAGTGATGTTGTCGTTGAAATTTCCTCTTCAGAGGCGCATTCCAGTTGTTGATTGTGATGTAAGATATCAGAGACAGCCTCCTCCCCTCTTCCACATACATTCGGTTGATCTGAGTCTGGGAATTCATCAGCGGTCTGCTCGTGTGGTGGTGAATCGACTATGATAACCCTACCATCATTCTCTCGCACGTTCGACGCCAGACCTGGCCGGACAGGCGTACACACAGGTCGACGAATGGTAGGATTTACCTGAACCAAAAATGTCAAAAACATTTTTGCTGGTCCATTATTTTGGCGTAATGAATGGACCATGGGTATAATAAGCGTATTCTTACAATAAGTAAACAAACTTCCTAAAGCAAAGAGAAAAAAGTAAAACGCAAAAAAAACCCGAAACAAAAAACGACGTACAAGTGCGAGTCATAGAAAAAACACTCGGAAAGTGAGTTTCGTTATCCAGAGGACAAAATTTCAAGGGATTAACTTTTTACTGACGAAAACTAGAGAAGTGAAAGCCAACTAGTACAAAACAGCGACGACGAGGAGAAAAGAAAGCTTCGTTTCAAGTGAAAAGATGCCATAAAAAAACCCTTTTATAAAACTCGCTTTCTCGATCTTTACTGAGAAATATCGTAGCTATGTCTTGTTGTACAAACCTCGCTCTAAGGAGCTCGATCTGTACAAAAAAACTTCGGCTTGACATTTCTCCATAAATATCTCGGGCTCGGTTAACAAGGACTTATTAAACGTCAATTTTTACATTATTACACTTTATCGTAGCAAAATAGAGCTATTATCCACGAGTGTCGTTTAATCCCCTTAACGATTCGCAGAAATATTTTCTCATTTACACATTAAACCGAATGTCCTTCCAATCGGACGAAAACTTGTAACACTCCCTGGACGCGTGATCTAAAATGTTTGACTCCATAAACTACAGTACACGTGGAGTCTTCATGACGACGGAACTGGTATTGAAACTTGAGTTTTACAAACACTCCATCAGAAGCTATCGCATCTTTATTGTTGAGTCCTTTGCAAACTCCAATCTAGGGTCACCATCATCAGCATTTTCCTCACAGTACAGTGAATATATATAGTAGAGCCACTCCGCACATTTCTTATTACGCATGTGATTATCATAGTGGCAGCCAGTCAATTGCTTTTTTTGACAAATAAGAATGATGAAATGGCTAACGACAGCCAATAGTCTAATTAAATATGCAGCAGCCAGTCGCACACAAAGTGGACATACTGTATATTTCCTATACAGTGGTCTTGATGTTGAACCCTCATTAAATTCAAATCAATGTTCACTTCAGAACTGATCGAATGTTACAAACTGAGTTCTAATCACTGAACTGTAGTGATTTCGCACATAGAATAATGCACAATATAGAGTCTTAGTGTCATACACAAAATAGCTTGAGTATATTAAGAACATGAACAGACCTTTTCGACTCAGTCGTCACATTCCAGTCTGAAACAGGTGTACCAACCAAGAGAGGCATAAAAACTCACCTGCAAAGTGTTAGAATCATGAACTGGAGGCGTCTGTCGCACTGAAGTATTGCAAAGCGATGTCTTTGCCAACTTTGCGTTCAGTTCGGGAGAGGCTTGATGCAGAATGTACGTTGCCCCTGATCCATTGACTGAGCACTGTACAGGTTCAACTATGTATGAAGTAGGCTGCGAGGGGTCTGTGCTCGGAATAGGTCGTAAATGCACCATTTCATACGTGCTTATCCCGTCCGAACCCTTGCCATCCCCACGAGCGATGTATATTTCTCCGTCAACTACAACAATGTCAATGAAGTTATATGTTGTGTTTAAACCAGTGAACTGTAATATGAACTGGAACAGTAACTTCATATAAAAGCTTTATGCTTAGATTGATGTTGACTGATGCGGTGGAAAGGACTGGTGCGACCTGCAATTTCCATGCCAACTCCTATACCCTATTTGAATAAAAAAGGACTGTTGCGTCTTGAATAACTATGCCATCGTGCTTGCTTCAAAGATGGCGGCAAAGTTCTCGTCCCAGTTGATACTACATTTTTAAATATGTTTGTATTGAGCTTGTTGGCGTAACACCGTACACTATAAAATCTACTCAACATGTAAAATCTAACCAAGTCTCCAAACAAAATCTACCCATTTTCCCATTTGTATTTTGGGACTGTGAGGCCTATCATAAAATTATACGGGCCTCACTCTTGGTATTTTATAATTTTTAAGGGTTTGACCAAGATTAGGCACGAATAATTTTGAACAGATATTTTTCAATTTTCTCTTTCCGATGCAATACATAAAACAAAAATCGTCATTTCGTTGTCAGTTCTGACCAAATGTTGTTGCAATGTGAACAAAACTAGAGAATTATTGCTGATTTCTGGTCCCATATAGATACGTAACATGAAAATTGAATAAGATATTTTATATTTATGATCAACCTAATAAACCCACCCACCAGAAGATATAATGTACGTTATACAAGGATTAGACTTTGATGGAATCTATTTCACTTCTATTTTAAGGAGTTCAGTCCCTCGAAAACTTTGCTTCACCTCTCCCGTTGAAAGGCGTCAGCAAGTTGCTTATGGAAGTAGAAAAGTCTTCGGAAGCTGTCTTTATACTCTGACGCTGCAAGTGCCTATGTAGCCCATTAAAAGTTCTTAGATTCATCTAGTTAAAAAAACTTTCAAGTGAAACAATCTTCAACTCAGACTGCAAAAGTTCGCATGTGTGAAACCTTCGCATAAAAAAGTTCGAATCAAATCTAGCTCTTGTTAAATAAATACTCGTAACTCACAGCACACAAAATGCTTCATTGCTTCACTAAACACGTTTATCAACTTTACTCTGAGTGTTTGTCACAGTTGTCCGAACAAAGTATTCAAACTTTCTCGACGGTCGATTCAATTTATTTGACCACGGTTCGTAAAAAACTTGAACATTTTCAAATCTGAATTTAAAAATTAAAGGCCCTAACAGTACTTGAATTTATTGAGATGTGCGAGAATATGCTTGAATTCGAATTTTTTCGATCGAATTCTTCTAAACATGTCATTGTACTACTTCTCAAAAGTGGAAGTTGAAATTACATCTTAAACTTTCATTAGAATAATAGCGAGAGACTTGCAAGGCGGGAAACGAATTCGTGTCAAAAAAACAATTGCTCAACAAAAAATTCGGAACAAAGCCAATTTTTAAAGAAATTATTTATTATTATTTTGTAACGTTTCGTCTTTACACAAGACATTATCAGACTTCTATAAACGCACACTTGATCATTTTAACTACCTGTCTGATGATGTCTTGTGTAAAGACGAAACGTTATAAATAATAAATAATTTCTTTAAAAAATGGCTTAATTTCGAACTTAATTTGGGCTGTTGTTTTTTAAACCTTCATTGCAAAAAAAGTAACTCGTGTGTAAAAAGAGTTAACGTCAGAAAGTTGAAAAAACCAAACAACATGGCAGCTCTAAAATCATATGAGAAGTCACCATTTACTCTCGATTCTTTAGTGAAAAGTTTTTTTTGTTTTATCTTTGATGTTTTTAATGTTTTGTTACTTTACTTTCGCTTTGTGTTCAATTCAATGCCGTCCTTAAAATTTTCAAAATAAGTCCTCGACAAGTGCTTGAATTTGACTAATTTAGCATTGTACGAACCCTGTTTGACGACCTACACTACAATGGAATTCGCGCGATGCAATTCGATAATATGATGCAATTATTCTAACCTGTTAGAGCATGCCCAATAGTTGTCGAGACCGTTGCAGAGGTGGCCAGCGACGAGTTCGAAGATATTGAAGTGGTTGGCGATTGTTCGGTGGAACTAAAACTCGATAACCCCGTAGACTGTTTATTCACACGATATTTTAAATTTTTGGCATAATGATTATGGAGGTATGAAACCTTTTCTGAAAGGAAAGGAATGATGAAAGGCTTTCATATTATGTCTCGAGAGATGCTTAGAAAAAATACATATAGTATGTATAAATGTGTAATACTTGTTCATATTAATCATGGCGGATGAAAATTTTGGCAAGTATCACTATCTTTTGTCTGCCCGGCGAAAGACTATCTTGCATGTCAAGTGGAGAGCTCCAGATGTTGTAAGTAAAATGTCGTTTGTATCCTAATTATATAGAGATATCTTTACGAAACTCTTTCCCCCTTCACTTTATTAACAGAACCGTAAAACGATATCTCGACAACAAACAAAGCAAAAACCTCAAACTAGACCCCGAAACTCCTGACACGACGATCACAACCAACACAAATGAAAAATCCAAAATAACAACTCTATACTTCAAACTACCATACATCGGACATTACTCACGACACACACAAACGCAGACTTAAAAACATTAGGTATTGACATTCGACTAATTTTCACATCATTAAAGATCAAAAACCTTTTCTCATTCAAAGACCAATCCCTGATTCAATGAAATCAATGGTGGTATATGAATTTAATTGCGCGCGATGTAATTCCCGATACATTGGCGAAACTTCACGCCATTTATCCATCAGAATCAGGGAACATACCACAACAGACAAAAACTCTCATATCTACCGACAACTTCTTAAATCTCACTCATGTAAAACCAACTATTCACCCTCTTGCTTCAAAATCATCGACACTGCCGACACCTCATTCACCCTTAAAATCAAAGAAGCACTCCACATTAACAAAACTAACCCTGACCTCAATGTTCAAGTTTTTAAATTCAATACAATATTTAGTTTATAATACGCTCGGACGCTCCTCATTAATTTATCTTATTTCCTTTTTATTGCTGTAATTTATGTATCATATTACTTTTATATAAACCTTGTATCATTTATTATTTCACTTATACTGAAGATGGCATCATGAGATGTCGAAACATGTCTATTTTCAAAAAAGTTGTCGTTTATATTAAATGTGTATGCTAATTATACCGATTCAAACAGAAAGAAATAATTTTTCCTACCAGTAAAAGACAGCGAGTCAGAGACGTGTTTCTTGATCGACCACCATTTACTACGAAGCCACTGCGGAGAGCGTGCACTTCAAAAAAATGAAGACATGACATATAAGGACTCGAGTATCAACATCAGATCACTACTGATGAAGGCAGAAGACTGGAGTATAAAGAACTCAAGTTTCAACATCAGATCACTCCTGATGAAGACACTAGACTGGAGTATATAGGGAGTATAAAAAAAGTAGTTTATTGGAAAAAGTACTCTAAAACCAGACGCGCACGCACTAGCCAACGTAAGATCTTTAAAACGTAAGTTCATATTTTCGCGTTTTTTGCATTTCACACTACGTTTTATTACAACATTTGTACCTTAAGGAATTGGCTTGGTATCAGATCACTTTTGGGGAATTAACTAGACTAGAGTGCAAAGAGTATTGCTAAATGTTTTCCCCTCCCCAAGTATGTTTCTCGATGCTTAAACTCCCCTCCCTCCCATTGGTCCATTACTATTCTTATTGGAAACAAAACAGACTTGCAATGAATCAACATGCATGTCCATCCGGGATCAAGTAAACAGCCTCACCATACCGTTTACTTAAAACAATCTCTGCTGTTCAATACAAAAGACGCCATCAAAAGTAATAACAACTAACCTTGCCCAGCCATCGGCCAGCTTCGCCCAGTCGATTTCACTTTCGCTTTGAACGCCCAAATTGCAAATTCTGTAAGGAAATAAGTCGCAAAATTTTAGAGTATTAATGATTCTTCCTATACAGTAGCCAAGTGTGACCATGAATCTTGTCGAATGAGCGTAACCCTACCCCCCTTTGTATTGAATTTTGCAACTATATAAGGGAGTTGAGAGAGTTCAAACTCATCGAACCAGATCCAGGCGACATAGCAGTAACCCCACACGCTCATTCAGAGCAATAACGTTCATTTAGCCTTTGTATAAAGTACAGTGGAACCTGCGTTACAACACCGTATCAAGCGGTCTTCCTTTGTGAATCGGTCATGTGGCACTATTTAAGTGACCTTCATGGAACGGTCACCTCTATTAAACAGGCGCGGTCACCTCCAATGCCCGAGGATCGTACGCGTAAGAAGAAAGTGAAAGTTGGGGGACACAAGCTTTTTGGGGCAATACAAATACATTTCACGATTGTTGAAGAACAACGGACATTTGTAAATGCTCAAAACACCCACGGTTCGTGTACACACGTTCATACTTTTTAATTAAATCAACTTCATCTGTTTTACTCCATTCTTTCCCACCACATTCCTTCCAATTTAGATAGTTCAACCATTTCGAACGACATTGCTTCTCGGACCTCGTTCCCACTCTCCTCGCGACATCCGTCCATTGTATGCCAGTCGTTACACTTTCCCGGGAACAGTTGAAGTCGACTCGTGCACTGCATCAGATAATAGTTCTTCTTCGTCATGTGACCATTTTCCTACGTGTTCCACGAATATAAAAACAACTATAGCCAACTAAAAACTCCATTTTTTAAACTTCGAAGACGAAAAACCGTTTTTGATATAGCTATATAGTGATTTGAGGTAGTTATTTGATGTAAAAGACTTTGATGATTAAGACAAGTGCGTGCACATAAAACTTCAAAAGTTAAAACGCGCAAAACTGAATTTCCGCTTTTTGTCAACATAGCAAAAATTCAACAATAGTCAACATGTTTGCATTTTACGTTCAGTTTATAATTTTGATTGTTCTTCCACATAAATATGAAAAAAGCTGGCTATTAATGAAGAATGTTCTCGTGAAATATTCATTTTCGAAATTTGTGGCCAGGATGTGAAATTACTTTATCCAGGACTGGGCGCAAAAAATAAAAATATACTGCAGTTAAGAAATAAAAAAGGTTTACGGTGTTTGTAAAACAGAAATTTAAAACAAATGTTTTAATTTTTCCTATAACATGTATTCACGATTAATTTTCAATTTCTATTTGATTGATTTAATTGACTTAGCTCAGGTCGGTTTCCACAGGCTAAGGTAAACTCAGCTATAGACCAATCAGCGCACGGGTTTTATTGTTGTTATTCTGTAGAAGCTTTCCAAAGATACTGCAAGGTACTCTCGAGTTCTCCTGAACTCCCTGATGTAGCCACTGAACATGGCTAAATCAACTTCCAGTTTTTAAAAGCAAACTTCCTTTTCTTACCTGATGAACAGTTGTCATTCAACAGGCGACAACGATCTTTCACGGACGAGGCGCTACGACCCAACGCTTGACCGATTGCGGTCCAATCGTTTCCGTGCATGCTTTTCAACTCCTTCAACTTCTTCACTTCATCCGGCGTGTATTTACCGTTGTAGTTCCCAGACTCGTACGTACGCAACACGCGACGATAGACGGCAAATAATGGCCGTTCAATGCCTTTCGCTAAAAAGAAGATATCCATGTTTGTTTTAACAACACTTACAGTAACCAAAACCACAACAAGACATTCCCCCTGCACTTCTGTTGTTATTTCTAGCTTCAAGCGTAGAGCTTACTAAGTACAGGATATTATTGTGTCTTAATGTAACTTTATCTAAAAATATACGCGGTTGTAGTTTTTCACAATCCTTCTCAGAGATGGCCACAAAGGCAAATGTGCTACGTCAAAGGAAAGTTTGCTACGTCATTTTAACAGTGCCACGCTTTGTGAACTTTGATACATGGCAAGTAATGAAAAATGAACACTGCATCAAATAGTCCTTATGAAAACTGAAATTGACATAACAATATTATTACATATCCTACAAGTAGTTTTGATCAGTATTCATGCAGATTCTGTTTAAGAAAGAAAAAGCGAGTCAAAAAGCTGAAAAACGTGTTAGTATTTTGAACAATAGCGAAACAGTTAACCTTTCCTTCCGTTGAACAAATAGTAATCTTGCTGTTTGATGATTGTAAAGACAGTCATTTGCCGAAGACTCGTCTCAAAAAAACAGCATGCTAAACAGTTGCGTTAAACAAAAAAGTTGTGAGCAATTGAAGGTTCTGATTGGTTAAAATGTGCAAAATTATTGCTGCATGTAGCAGGGTGGACAAACTGCACAAGAGTTGTCGCAAATGTGAAATGCTGAAGTTTTCAATCTTAAAGATTAACAATCTTAAGAAAATACAGTTTTAATCCCTAAGATACTCTACAGGTTTGTCAATTGATTTATAAGTCAATCCCCTAGACGGTCTAACAACCGTGTCAAAATAAGGCAAGGACGCCATCTTAGCTAAATAGTGGAAAACCGAGGCTTTCAGTCAAACATAAGTTTAAAGAAAGATGGAAAAAACTAACGCTATCAAACATTTTAAATAACAAGATGTAAACTATCACCTCAGCAAATAAATATCAGTGTAGTATAAGCAGATATTAATCGTACATACGTATCTTCAGTCTTGCTAGTTTTCAAGATTGCAGCTTGTCTCACTCGTAACTATAGAATTTTGGCCGAGTCAAGTACTCTTGGAGATTGGGTTCTAAGTTATTCGTCATCCTACATTCTAAAACAGCTACGGGAAGAGAAATCCATTTTCACTAACCGATACTGCGATAAAATGTCTTTCGTTTTTCCTTGCTTTGTTTGAATATAATTTCGCGTGGATCATTGACACCATGATTCTAAAAGTAAACAAAGACTACATGAAGTCCAGCGCACACGAAAGACAACGAATAAGAAGTTGAGAGTTCAAGACTAATTGAACTTTGGGTGAAAATTATTTTGGGTCTCATATAGTACCTTGCAATACTGCGTGATGTTATTTTGAAGATGCTCTACTTCTTCCTTAGACCACATTCCTTGACGCCACTTAACACCTGAGATGAAAAAAACTCAAGTGTACAGTACAGTCTAATCATTCCATTGACACTGGATTTAGTTCTAAACTTGAGTATTTATATACTTCAATGTAATGCCCTCATCAGTTGTCATTTGATGTTAAAACTTGAGTCCTCCTATTTTCCAGTGTAGTGCCTTCATCAGGAGTAATCTGATGTCGAAACTTGATTCCTTATACACCGTTTACTGTATTCATTAGGAGTAATCTGATGTTAAAATTTAAATAACTATATACTCCAGGCTAATGTCTTTTTCAGAAGTGATCTGATTACGATATATGACTCCTTTCTACACATAACCATTACCTTTTCCTTGCAAAGAAAGTTTATCCTCCTTTGTAGTAAACCACGCTTGGTTGATATCATCATTTTCCGACTGTGAAGTTCTCGTGACAGCGTTTGATGAAGATGCCATGTCTAGTTGGGACATGTTGTGTGATGATTGTTCCAATGTATGGACAGGTATGTCTGGGTCAACGATGATTGACTCGTGATACACCTCAATAACAGATGATTTCTGATTTTAACCACATGATATACATCACTAGGAAAACTACTGCATAGAATATAACTTCTTTAAATACAGCAGCACACCCATATGTGTAATTATAAGAAGCAAAAAACTGTCTGCAACTTGTTTCAGTCGAGTAAGGTTTCAATATGTTAGACTGTAATTATTATGTAAAAAACTATTCTTTAAAATTTGCGTATTGTTTTGAAGATACTACAGTGGAGTAAAGAGCCAGCAAGTTCGCTAATGCCATGTAAATTTTCTGTGTTCACTCACTGTAAAACAATAGATTTCTAAAGAAATGATTTTCAATGATCAAGAATTTACATAGCATGAGCAAATTTTCAGGCCGGCTACACCACTGAGTGACTACACTTAGGTTCATAACGCATGTGGACTCTTTCCAAATAGTTTTTGTATGGTGAAGTATGAACAGATTTACTGGATAGTGCATAGAACAGATTTACTGGAAAGCCACCATCATAAGTCTGATGATGTCCTGGGAATAAAGACGAAATATTACACCATCTTTTGTTTCAAACTCTTGTAATATCTTGGATAGTGCAAGGGGGTGCCACTCCCCAAAACATTTTTCACTGACCTAAGTATGAACAGATTTACTGGAGGGTCCAGGGGGTGCCACTCCACAAAACATTTTTCACCAACCTAAGTATGAACAGATGAACTGGAGGGTGCAGGGGGGTGCCACTCCCCAAAACATTTTTTACCAACCTAAATGAATTGTCCACCCATCCAAGAAACTCTCCAATTTTTAGCAAAACAAATCAGTAGTACAGTTACACTGAGTTTTTCAGGGAGAATTTCAATTTTCTGCACAACCTTTAATAGCTGCACTACCAGACCACCATGATTTTTAGACCCTTACTTTGTCTTATGTCTCTTCCTTACCAGCTCCCCCCTTCAAAAATTTTTTCATCCCACCCCAGTAAAAACTATGAAAATCTGTCCATGTGGAGAAGCATATTAAGATACTTTCTTTTAAAATCATACAAATATTGAGGTGATACAGCCGGTCATTTTAGTAAAATCATGATTGCATAAACACCAAAAATGCATTTTTGACAAAATGTAACAAACAAAACAGGCCAACTTCACAAAATGTCTGGATAAATTATTGGATTTAAATTTAACAGAAAAAATACCAAATGTTACTTCATAAATTCACAAGCTCTATAGCAGAATAAACTTTAGATTGAATGGTTGCTTTCTTACTTGGTCACTGCCTTCACTGATCTTTGCCACACTGGATGGCCTTATGCCTGATTCCTCTCCACCTTGAAAGGGAATATAGTTACCAGTTCACGCTTAGCTGTTGTTTTGTATTGCAAGTATTGGGCAAATCAACAGAAAAAAATTAAAAAAGAACTTTTAATATGTCACATAACTTTCCTGAAAATAATGACTCAGAAATTTACTCTAACCTCAACAAAGCCTGAACACAAGAAAATAGGTAGGAACTCAACTGGTTCAGTAGCATTTCATAAAAGCAGCCAACTATTTCAAGCAGTTTAGGTGAAATGATACATTATTGGTCAAAAAGCACATGGTCCTCACAAATTGAGGAATAGTTAGTAGTGTACTCAGCCCGCAGATTTATTCCAGCTGTGTAAATTTTAAAAGTTACCACCATTTATTCCTTAAGAAATCCATTGCAAAAAGATTTGAATTGCAAGAGTAAAGTTGGGCAGGTTATACTATTGGAAATACTTGATGTAAATTTTATCAACAACTGTGAAAATGTGTGCTTGTTCATACAAAAACAGCAGTTATCATTTAAGTCAATTTAATAAATGTTGAAATAACTTTATAAAACTAACTAACACAACTGAATTTTTCAAACAGCAAGAATTAAAAACACTGAACTAACCAGATTCCTTTCTGCCAACAGACAATGTCTTTGCAACGGAGGATTGCTCCACCAAAATATTGTCATCAACTTCACTTAATTTTTCATCCATCATGCACTTCTACAGTTTCAATTACATCAATCCATGGCTATAAATACAATTCATAACTCAAATTTACAATCAAAAACAATGTACAAAATTATGCCAAACATGCAACATATATGCTAATGTTTGTGTATGCTTACATAATTAAAAGAAGTATGAAAATAATTTAAGTGCTGAATGTCCATTTCGAAAGAGCAACACAAAATTATATCACAATAACCCAAATCTGATTTCATTACCTAACATATTTAAACTATTCATAATAAAATCAAAATATTGTTTAAATACAATTCAAACATACACAAGTTGACATAGTTTGTACGTAATTCAATTAAAAATCACTCACAACAAACGAAAAATACCAAGAAAATTCATAAGAACATTCCTCCTGTCACATCACATGATTATCTAATTTGAAATAGCTTCAAACTCGATATTCGTAAACATTATTCTCAGCTCTGTTGAAGTTGAATAGCTTCAACTTATGTCTGTTGACGCATGATCGCAAAAAACATGCAAGTACGACTTGTATTCCAGTCCATTGTAGGAAGAATTCTGGCTAACTCAGAATGTTGGAGTATTTAAAAAAACATTACTTTTTATTTACTCATTTGTATATATTGGATTTCGAATTTCGAGCGAGTTTTCCAGGTATCCGGGAACCGAAGAAGAACCCGAATGTGTTTGAAGAATGCCCGTATATGATTGAGTATTTTTTAACTGCTCGTCGGCTCGAATTCAAAAACAATTCATTCTATCATAATAAAACGAAATGCACTCGTTAAAACCACATACCATAGAACTTCAACAACGTAAATGTTTTTTCATCTTATTTTGCACTTCAGCTTTCGAATAAATTTGTATCGCCGATTCGCCATTCTCATTTTTATTGACTGCACGTCACGTGCCATATACTGCTGATCTCTCAGGAAGGTAATCTGGACGTCGATGCATTTCGTCGGTTCATCTTAATTTCTCTCCAAATTTCTCTTTTCAAACAAGCGATGTTCAGAACTCATATAGTAGTCAGTTTTCCCAGTTCTACGGAACGTGTAAATAATTTTTGAGATTTAGTTTGAACTTCAAATTTATTAGTTGGAACAAAAATTTATCAGTTTTTAACAACTTAATCTTATAGCGTGTATTCGATAAAACTGCTTTGTCTCACCTTGTCATTTTAACCAAGAGTGATTCATCGCTATAGTTTTACTTCTTTAAGCAACGAACTAATTGCAACGTACTGCTTAAATTGCTCCTTTATATTATAATTATCCTTTGTCCAAAAGTTACAATTCTCATTGGCTTATCAAGTTGACATATTATTTTTTCATTATTATCGCGTTCGTTAAGTACTTTATGTTTGCTCGTGGGATGTCAGTTTTTTGCGTAATAAGATTTACGTCTTGTTTTTGTTCAACATTTAACCCCTCCCCCTCATGTACGACAAATCAACTCATTGTCATTTCTACTTCTGCTGAATCTTATTTCATCATCATTTGTGTCTTCTAGTTCCATCATTTCATCCGCCTATTTTCAGTGGCGCAGGCGGGGAGCCCAAAAATATTACTTACATATATTACACTCTGTTTCATATGACTGACATTTTCAAGCTACAAATATAAAGACTTCAGCTTATTTTCAGAGGGTGTTTCTTCTGCAATAACTATTAAATTACAGTGTTTCTAGGAGATTTAGATTCTAGAAGCTCTTCAAATTTGTGGGTGTTCCATACTTAATATGGGATAACATCACGAAAATTCAACAATTAAGCGATGAAAATCCTTTTTTGCTATTTCTGATCTTTTTTCTGCATCATATCATAACAAAGAGATGTTACATTAAATTGAAATTTTGGAACGCGCACTTGTAAAAGCCTGGCCTTTAATATATCGCAAAAGTTCACCATATATCATGTCCGAACGACCATAAAAATCACCATATATGGTTCATTTGCAATTTTTCGTGTTGTATGTATATGGAAGCATAAGTCACATTGCAATATAATTTATGTAATAATTATAGTCATGAAAATTGAAAAAACAATTACATCAAATTTCTGTGTATCACAATAACAATTACTATAACAAAAAGTTGGTAGGTAGGATGTTGTTGAAAAGTTCCTCTTTTATACAACAAACTTGCATGGGTCGGATTTCTTTACAGGATTTCATAGTAAAGAGATTATGTAAAAATAGTTTCTGAGAAAGTTAATGTTGCTCTTTAGTCTGGTTCAATGAGATACAAGAAAACAGGAAAATATTAAAATTTTCGTCATAAGCAAAAGTTTTTTCTCTCCCCCCCCCCCGATTCACGCAGGCACAACAGCGCAACTCTCACAGTTCATCGAGCAGTGAAAGCCTAACTTCAAACCCCACCGTCTTAGATATAGTCACAGGAATAAAAATTCTTTTTCATCTTCTTCCTTTGCAAACGTTACCTCCAGTAACGAAATGTCTTCCGAACTCATTTTCAACCCTTGATCAGGAGGTCCAAAGCCTGCTGGGCAAGGGTGCGATCCAGGAGGTCCCGTTTACAAATGACGGCTTTTATAGTTGGTTATTTTTAGTCCAGAAAAAAGACGGGAACATGCGCCCAGTTATAGATCTGAGCAAACTAAACACCTTTGTTGAAACTCAACATTTTCAGATGGAACGCTTATCGGCGGTAAGTTGCTTTCTTAAAAAGGGTCTATTCATGAAAAAATTAGACCTGAAAGACGCATATCTATCGGCAGCAATTCATCCTCAGAACTAGAAATTCCTTCGCTTCTTATCGAAGAGCAAAACATACCAATTCAAATCACAAATGTAGCACCGTCAATTTTCACCAGGTTAATGAAACCGGTCGCCTGTTTCCTTCGGAAGCGGGTATTCCCCTGATTCTTTATCTGGACGACATCATCATCATCGGATCAAACCCCAGGAAACACATTACTTCACTCAATTTTCTATAGCACTACTCGAAACCTTAGGCTTTATCATAAACAAGAACAAATCAGTTCTAACTTCTACTCAAGAGATAACATTCCTCGTGTTTACGATCAATTCGATGATAATGTTGTTCACTTTGCCCCCCAGAGAAGGTGCAAAAATTGTCAATACTATGCCGTTAGATTCGTTCGTCCAAAACAATTTCCCTTCGGCGTTTAGCCCAGCTACTGGGACAGTTCGAATCATATCGCCCAGCGATATGGAAAGCTCCTCTTCATTTCGGCATTTGCAAGCCCTTATGGTGAAAGGTTTAAAAATCTCGAATCACAATTTTGACTCGGTAGTTATGCCCTCCATCTTTAGCAGAAGCTAATTGGTGGATTCAAAATTTGGAAGCTGTCAAAGGAAGTTCGATTATTCTTCCTCTCCCAAACATAAGAATCTTCACAGATGCATCCACCAAGGGCTGGGGAGCTTCTTGCGGCAACGTGCAGACCAACGGCAGATGGTCGGCAGACGATCAATAATTACACATAAACGTGCTAGAATTGAAGGGGGTGATGTTGTGTTGGGAATATAATCTCTACTGAAGAACCATCGATCGCCGATACATGGATACTCTGCACATGGACAACTCAACCGCAGTTGTTATGTCAATCACAAAGGGGATACCCACTCCCCCGAACTTCTTGACGCATCGCTTCAACTATAGAATTGGTGCATTAAAATGACCATTTTGTGATAGCACACCATGTGCCGGGCAAGTCGAATACAGTAGCGGACTGTGAGTCGAGGCAATTTCACGACAACAGCGACTGGATGCTCGACCCAACTGTCATTCGCCTATTTCTAGAAGGACTCTCAATTGATCTTTTGCATCACGCCTCACGCACCAACTGGACAAATACATCATGAAGCAGAGATTGTGTTCATTGCTCCAATTTGGCAAGCTCAACCATGGTAGCCCCTTCTCAGTCTGCTTGTGAAGCAACCAATACGTCTCCCGTCTACCAAGACGCTTCTCATATGTCCAACCGACCATTACCCTATCCATCCTTAGTACCCTCGCCTTCACTTGGGCGTATTCTATATCTCCAGCAACGTTTCAAGCGGAAGGATTTCCTGGAAACATTACCGATCTTCTCGTCTAAGCCACATACCATAAAGCATCAACAACGTGAATGACTTTTCATCTCATTTTGTGCTTCAACTTTGGAATAAAAGTTTTACAATACATGCAAGTATCGCCAATTCACCATTCTTATTTTTATTGACTGTCACGTCACGTACCATATACAGCTGATCTCTTAGGAAGGTAGTCTGGACGTCGACGCATTTCTTTGGTTTATCTTAATTTCTCACCAAATTTCGTACTGTTTACTTTTGAAATACGCAATGCTCATGAAGAACTCATATAGTAGTCAGTTTTCCATGCTCTGCAGACTGTGTAATTACTTTTTGAAATTTAGTTTAAACTTTAACTTTATTTCGTATTGTTTACACAATGTGTCACAAACTCAAGCCATGAAACGCAAAACCAAAGAGCGTGAGAAACGCAAAGGTCGTCAAAAGATTGAAATTATAGAGCAGATTAGATATCTTAGAGAAACTTGTGAATGTTAGGTCCACAACTTTGTCTTAGCCTACAAGCCAGTAATTAGTAATAGGCCACTGTATATATTTGTCATCTGACTGACACATATAATCACTTAATTTGTCATCATCTTCATATCCTAATTATATATATCTTTCAAATTGTCACCCAGCGTCAACTCCTTCGATACTTTATTGAAATCTCTCGTCATCCTTGCTACAATGACTGAATAGAACACTGAGGAAAACACGTCTCATTTTTGAGACTTTTGCTATTTTCCGACAACTCGCTCCGGTTTCATGTACATGCTTAAATGCTTTGGCTAAACTAATCTTCAGTTTTCCAGGCCTTTCTAAATATCAATCAAATTTATTAAATCTATCCAAAACAAAGACTTTCACGTCGCGAATAAGGTACAGGTAGAGTTCCTTTTCACAGCTTTAATTATAAGTAAACGCATGCTGTCAGGGATATTAGTGATTGAATGTCCCGCAAACCGAGGGAGGTTTAGTAAAAGTCTTTCTAAACCACAGAATAAGAATATACAGAAGAGTCACTCGTGTCGGAACCTCTGAAGTTTTTGTCCTCGCGCATGTCGTGCTGCGCATGGTGGCCGCCATTATTCCAGCCAAATGATGAGGGTTTTTGACTCTTTCCCAACCTTTAGAATGATCCGAAGTCATTTTTTAAGTCAAAATATGCTCGAATTCATTATTAAGTATTGACGTCATGTAATTTTAATTTTTTTTCTTTTTTTTTGTGAAAACGTATTTTATTATGATCATTATTATCTATTACAAATATAAATGTTAAAAAAACTAAATCAAAGATGACTAAAATCAGTGTTTAAAATATCCATGATAAAGGGACAGTCAAATGTAAAGACAACTTTCCCAATAACCTAGGTCAATATTTAAAGTATGTTCGCGAGTTGAGGCAGATCGACTTCCTCGTATCGCAGTAATTGCGGACCTAATCATTGCGAAAGACAGTTTACAACGCATCCACGCTAGCGTGATGCCATATTGCAGCTTTCTCTTTTGTGCCAGCAGATCAGCTAGCCGTGTATAAGCAATTGCCGTCTCTTTCCCCATACCACCTGATGTTGAAAAAACCAGTGGTGTAAAAGCAGCATATTCAATCTCTCTTACTCGATCACCATATTCCCTTTTCTTAGCCATCTCATGCTGACGATAGAGTGCAGGTAGATGGGTGTTTTGGTAGCTCGACGCGTTTATGTGAAATACCCTTACATCAAAAAATGCATCTTGCTGTCTAGACCAAAAACCTTTAGCACGAATAGCCGTGGATTGCCGCTTCACAACCTGCTTCATGACCTGCACATGCTTGTAAAGGCCCTGCTGCTTCCTGGACATCTTTCCCAACCACTTTAAGAATCGCCTTTGCTACAATCCGCCGTGGAACTTCATCAACACCTATCATGTAATTTTAATGGTTAAAAACATGTAGTTTTAATGGTTAAAAACAAGTGAGAAATCCTAATCATCTGGCTGGAATAATGGCCGACATGAGAACACGTTGTACACCTGAGTGACCCTTCTACATAATCATTATTCTTTGACTAAACTCTAACGGCTTAAGGGAACATTTAGTTACTAATATCCCTTTAAAACATGCGTTTACTTTGTAATCACATGGTTGCGGAGGGAATAATCAAAGCATTAGACTGTTCAGTTTGACAATAGTTTCATCAAATTTTGAGCTCATTTATTTGAATATTGCAACCAATTAAATTGATTGTGTTTAAAGCACACATTGCTCATGGTCAGTGATGGAATAAAGAAATCCCCATCTATCTATTTCATTGTGAATTGTTTTCGAGTTGGTTCAGTGAACATGTGTATGAATTTGCTTTGCAAATATATATTGTATTTTAATTGTTGTCGAAGTTATTGATGGTTTATCACTGATTTTCCCAAGTTAATGACAAGAAAGTTTCTGACGCGAGGGAAAGACGATTTCTCTTAGCACTCAAAGAAATATATTGTGAGGCATTAAGGTTTGTAATAACGCATGTTTGGTGATTTTGAACAATAGGGAAAGATTTACTTGAGTCTGAATCTGAAAAATTAGCGATGTAACAACAGTCGAACAAGAGGACTTTCGACTTGGTAAACTTGCTCTCAAAATATTGTGGTTTTAAAGGACTTGCCGAAGACATCATGCTATTAACCTTTCTCATTCAGCAAAATTGAAAATGATTCAGCCATGGGAAAGTGAAAATTTAAGCTGAAGCAATATCTACATGACAAAAATAAAATGTGAAAACAAAGCGTATTGTTTTATTATTGATGAGGGATATTTAGTCTAAACGTCCCTAATGAACATCTTGATGAGGAATATTTAAAACTAAATATCCTTCATCCCTTTAATTGAGGAAAGACGTCTGTAAACGTCCCTTCGATAACAAAAGATCCCGAGGAAACCCTGTGATTACTATAAGTATAAGAAAACGCAAAACTGGAAATGCATCCCTAATTATCCTTTAATCAGCTTAATATATTTTCCAACTTTCACTTCACCATAAGAAATTTACTAAGCTCACAGTTTCATGGATCTCCGCACTGCTTTTTAATTATATCTGCTTACCAGTTATCTTCACCTAAGTTGAAAAGCCTATTATAACTTCCTTATCTGTAGGCCATTCTAAAATCTGCCTGCGAGCCCAGCTCAGCAGTGGAACAAAGATTTATCAGTTTTTAATAACTTAATTTTAAAGCTTGTATTCGATAAAAACTGATTTGTCTCACTTTGTCTTTCTATCCAAGAGTGATTCATCGCTATAGTTTAACTTCTTTAAGCAACGAACTAATTGCATTGATAGCATTCTATTGATCCTTTATACTATCCTTTCTACAAAGGTTAAATTCTCATGGCTCATCAAGTTATCTTATTATTTTTTTATTAATTCTTTCCGCTCGGTAGGTAAGTACTTTTGTTTTCTCGTGAAATGTCAGTTTTTTGCAAAATAAGTTTAAGCATTGTTTTTGTTCAACATTTGATACCCCCCTCCTTATTCAAAAAATTAACTTATTTTTTCTCTATTTTTGTAGAATCTTATACTACTACGTTTGTGTATTTTAGCTCCATCATTTGATTCAATCATTATCAGAGAGTGTTCATTCTTTAAGAACTCATTGGTAATCAATTACTGTATTTCAAGATGTTTTGGAAGCTTTTAAAGTTGTGGCTGTTTCATGCTCAATATGTGATGACTCAATAAAGTACATGCAAATTGCAATAAAACTCTTTTGTTATTTTCAATCAGTTTTCCACTTTATTTGCTTTATATCATGGCATTTAATATACCACTGATATAAATTTCATCACATACCATGTTCGTACGATCATATGGTTCATTTACAATCTTTTCGAGGCTCTTGAGGTTCGGATATATAAACGTTAAGTTATATATGGAAAGCAATACGCAAGCATCACATGAAATACAACACATCCACAGCACATGTGATGTTGGTGCATTAAGACAGACAGACATGAAACGATAAAAACTAGTACAAGCATACAACTACTTACAACAAAAAAATTACATCAAATTTCTATTATGACTATAGCCAGAGTGTTGGTAGGTAGAGGCAGATGTTGTTGAATTTTTTTTTTAAACAAACTTGGTTCGGAGTTCTTTACATGTAATGCAGCTAAACTATGTTTCCAGTAAAATTAATGCTGCTCATTAATCTGGTTTTGTTGTGCTATTCTTGACGGCTGAATCTTCGTCGTTGTTTGCAAAATAGATATAACAAACCAAGGAAACAGAAAAAGATTACGATTCCGTTTGTGAAAACAATGAGCCAAACTAACCACTTGGGATACGTTGTGGTTAATCGCAGCTGGGCCAAACCGACAAAAGATAAAAGCAAAACAGAACAGACAACAACGTCTGCCAACGTTTCGAAATCAAACTTATCCGAGTACTTTTTGTATGGACGATAAAGTGAAGTAATTATAATAAATATCAACAGCGCAGCTGTTACAACGACACCCTGAACTGATGATTTTTCAAGTACACTCAACGGAATAGCTAGAAGAAGTGGTCGCACAAAATGAAAGAAAGGAAAATACCGCCGGCATTTTGGTGTTAGCATTTTGTGTAGCGGTTTCAACCATGTCTTGTTGTCCACGTTGTCATTATCATCGATGTATCTTACGTAAAGACAAAATAAAACAATAGGAACTAAAACAACAATCACTATAATGGAAGAATAACCAAAAAAGCGAAAATAATTGAATGAAAAACCATTATATTCCAACCATGGTGTCGCTTTCAAATATGACAATTCGTAGCGATGTTCAAACAGCAAAGAAGCGTCAATTGTCTTTGTTCCTATGGGAAAGTAAAAGAACAAAATGACCTGAATCGTAGCGCTTTTATAATTTAAGCTTTGGGTTCGAAGAATTACCCATTTTTTGGCTATTTGTGTTTTGACTAAAAAGACCAACCAAATTAAAAAAACTAATCCTACTGGGATGGATAAGGTGAGAACGAAATCCAATTCCGTAGGAATGTCTCTCTTACTAAATTCGCATGTAAACTCTGTCCAATCAGGGCTGAATATCGTCTTGATCTTGTATTTGATGAAGACTATTTCTTGTGGCCAAACGTTTGCGTAATCAAACATGGCATTCAAAGATTGAAAATAAAACACGGCGATGTATCGAAAGCCTTCTGAACCGTTCAAATTAAAAAAGACCAATGCCCAGATCCAAACGGCACAAACGATAACCAAAACCGATTCCCTGATTATTTTTAACCATTGAAGAACAACTAATACTGCGACGAGAGAGAACGCAAGTGCCAACAGATGTTTCCTCCACTTCCTTTTATACTTGAACAGAAATACGGTTGCGATGGCAACAAGAATTGACAAGACAAGAGCAATAATTTGAAAATGGGGACAAGGGATGCAAATGGCGCCTCTCTTAATATAGCCTTTGATGCACCGAGAACAAAAGCGTCCCTTATTTCCATAACGACATAGACACGACGTATTACAGTTTGTTTGGGGCTGATTATTCACGATTTGTAGTCCACACTGACAATTCCCGGAGGGGTTGCAAACTTCGTCATCAAATTCGTGTTTGTGGTTCTTACAGTTTATCAAACGCGTAACGTTGGTATAATTGCCACTATATGGCCAATATCCCTTCTTAATCGTCATATTTACGTATCTGTCATTGGTGGATGATATTTCTAAATTATCACTGTTGCTACACGACCCCCCGGGCATACAGGGCATGCAAAAATTCTTAAACCCGTAGTGGTCATCCTTACAAATACATTGAGAATAGTTGTAAAATGCCGGATCTAGGTACACTTCACCCCTTGTCTTTTTGAAAAAGAATGTAGGGCAACGGTACGTAGAATATTGCACAGTATCATGGAATGACGGTTCGAGATCCATCCACTTGTCAACCGGCTTGTCTTGAAACAGGTACGGATTTCCTCGTAGATCTAAATACTTGAGAGTTTTTAAACTTGCGAAAAAATTCCTCGAGGAGAATTCCGTAAAATTATTGTTCGACAAGTTGAGGTAAAGCAAATCAGATGCCACAAGCGAAGGCAATTCTCCCGTTAAAACATTGGTACTCAAGTCTATGTACATTGCATTAGGAAATTTCATCGTCGGAAGCCATAAATGGCCTTTCAAACCAGCATTCCTCGCAACAACCAAGCGCAGTTTTTCATGACAATGTCGAAATGCACTTATGAAGTTTTCCACTCGGACATTTAGATTTACATTTTGATCAATATAAAGAGACTGGAACTGTTTGCCGAACATGAAATTTGCGTCGAGGCCGGTAAAATTATTACCAGACAAGTCAAGTTCTTTCAAGACGCCGAATTCTCCAAAAATATTTGGTATTATGCCGGTTAAGCGTTTGTTGGACCCCAAAGAAATTCGCTCGATATTTTTAAAACCAAAAAAACACGAACTAATGTCGCCTTTCAATCGATTGCCAAACATATCTAACTCAATCATTTCAGGATGAGTTAAACCAAAGTCCTTAGGAACTATCCCTTTGAGCCGGCAATTTTTGATATTCAAGTACTTCAGGTGTTTCATATTGTTGAAATAAGTCAAATTACCAGATTTTAGTTGGATGTCTTCCAAGTCCAAAAACCATAAATTCGTCGCATTTCTTATGCTCTGAGGTAGATGTACTTTACTTATTTGGTTTCTACCAATACTTAAGACTTGCAATTTTCTCAAGGAGCCCAGATTAGCAGGTAGATCATTCTTGTAAAACCGCTTTCCCGTCATGCAGCATAACTGTAGAATTTCCAAATCGGAAAATTGCATTATTAATTTCCATGGAATCTCTCTTTTCACCCCTGTGTAGGACAAGGAAACTCTTCGAAGTCGTGTCATATTGCTGGATAGAATGTCAGATATCTTACCAGTCATTTTGTTATTTTGCGATAAACATAAGCCTTGAAGGTTTCGAAATCTCCAAAAATTTGGCGGTGTATTTTTCACCAAGTTTGCGGTAAGGTCAATGGACTTAATGTAACCGCTGATTTCATAGCATTGTATGCCATACCAGTTGCAGTGATCCGTGTTGACGTCATTTTGCCAGCCACTATTATTATACCAGTCACGACCACCAGTTGCCTTGTATAATTCTAACAGAAATAATTTCTCCTGTTCTAGGGTGAACGTGAAGTCACTTGCATAATCGTCATGAGTAAAAATGTGCAAACAACCAGCGTCTAAGTCATTGGCCTCATTTTGAAAGAAGGATTTTGATATGTCTATGAAAAATTAATAACTTATTTGGAATTTTCTAGATTTGACAATTCAAGATATGGATGGGGTTTTACTCGTCAATATTATATTTCAGCGCATTGAAGCCTAACAGATAGTGAGATTATTAGATCAATGTGTGAAGAACTAATAGCAGCAATATTTCCGTACGTTTTCAAAAGTTTGTTGGGGAACCTACTCAAAATAAAACTAAAAATTTTAATATTTGTTATTACACTTCAGAGGGGAGCATGGCAAATACATTACCACAGAAGTTACTTTAATTTCTAAATTTTTTTCTAGCTTAATAAAAACTAGGAATAATTGCAAAATTCCCGTCCACTCATCAAACATTCCTGTGCACAGTCCATATGCGAATACGTGGCTGCATAAGCATGCGAGTGGTTGCTACGCATTGTGTGACTTGTCAGATAAGGAATTTTTTTTCAAAAATAATTTATTGTTTTCGTTAGGTGTGATTCATTTATTATTTTGTAATGACATATTGTGCATTAAGTTTTTTTGAAAAGTAACTAAGGTTTTAGTTGGGTATGATTTTACCTGATCTTGTATGTAATGAACTTGAAAAATCGTGGGCGTGAGCATTGTTTAACGCTGATTACAATAAGGAATTCACGTGTCTGGGAGTTAGATTACGTAACATTTGAATTCAATTTGTAGCGTACCGAGACAATAACAAAAACGATTCCAGTTCGAGACTGACTTTATTAACGTTGGTAACAATATAAGACATTAAGCGTAATCTATGACTTAAAGGAAGCATTTTATAACGCAATAATGCATGTTTGAATATTCATCGTTTCTGCATTCCATGTTTTAAAGTTACGGTTTTCCATTACTTCTCTTAAAGATTCCGGTTGTTCCCATTCCTTGTTTGAGTTGTTTCGCATTCCCCGTTCCCTCCCTATATTTTTCATTTCTTGTCTTAAAGGTAGCCTTTGAAGAGCCAAAAAAATCAATAATTTCCTTGTATGTTATGCTCAGCACGAGCAAGATATACATTAAGTGATAATTCCATAAACCATGTCAAATTCTGAGCGCTAGCGGTTTTTGAAAGAAGGAACGAGGCAATTGCTGAATTACATAATATTTTTCGCACGCGAAAATGTAGTTAAAAAAGGATAATTGATTTGATTGACATTTACTTGGACAATTATGAATTGGCATTTATGTAATAAAACATACATTATGGTACTGTCGCATTACATTGAGTTTCTACAGAAGTTGGAAAACCTTGTAAATGTAAGATTAATGCTTCATAACAATGTTTTTAAACTGCATTCAACGCGACAAAAATTCCAAACTTAAAGGAGGCCTAATGAAAGTCGGAAATAGAGATTTTACGACAGATCACGGCTCAACGTTTGAAACTTGAATTCAAAACATGGCATAATTTTTCTACTGCGTATCCAAGTATTCACTGAAAATATAGGTATGTCTACCTACAGTGAATAAGTCCGAGTGAACGGGTATTCCTCATAAAGAAATAAAAACTATAGAAAATGGAAACTAACCCAGTTATTTTCACTTACCAGAGCAATGAGCTACATCCCTCGATGCTAAGAAAAATGTCGCAGAAAACGCAATCAGAATTTTGAAATTGACAACAAAAATTCTCGCCATAGTTAATCCTACCAACACAATAACGATATGAAGACAGGAATGAAAACGATTTATAACGCCGTGCATTGAAATATATTGTCATGTGACACCGAGAGATGGAGGGGAGGGGTGGGTGAGGAACAACAGCAATACTTACTTTGTACAAGCTTATCACATGAAGTACGCATTAAAACTTACAAAATTGGAGAATGACAGAGCTTAAAACAATTCACTTTTCTCACAATTAATTCTCGCTTCAAAAGAAGTGCAACAACATGAGATACGAATGTAAAATCTTGTCGTGCAATCTAACGTAACGAATTTCATAATGTGATGTACTACACTTTGATGATACGTCATTAATATTGGCTCAGAAAAATTTTTCCAGATCCATTATTTTCCGTAATGGACCAGGACCACGGTCCAAAACGCGTAATTTTACAGATTAATGTAAACAAACTTCGAACAACAAACCAAAAAAAGTACATTTACGATTGTGAGTCGAAAAAAACACACTAAGAAAACAGTTGAACTATCCAAACGATACAATTTGAAACGATTTTTAATTACTGACGAAAACTAGAAAAGTGAAAGTCAACTCGTAAAAACAGCAAGGACGAGAAAAAAAGCAAGCTTCGTTTCTGGTCAAATAATGCCATATAATAAAACTTTTAATAACCTCGCTTTCTCGATCTTTATTGAGAAATATCGAGCCTCTGTCTTTTTGAACAAAAAAACTTCGGACCGATATTTCTCCATGAAGACCTCGAACTCGGTCAAGAGCTTAGTAATAACTTTAAACAACGAGTCTAACACACGCTTCATGTAACTAATTCAAAATGACTTGTAGTGAAATAAGATAAATGTTATTTTCTCCAATAAATTTTTTCAACTAGGATAAAAAAACATCGCTTTTATCAACTAATAAGACAAAACAATCAAGAAGGCAAACACACGCTCGTGTACAATCTAATTTACATAATAATTTTTATATACCTAAATTACTTTCAATTGAAATTTACACTATACCATTGCTGCCTAGAAATCTCTTCCAACAATAGTAAAATTTTCAAGAATTACACATGCGCCACATTTGCACATGCGCACATGATCAGCAGATAGTTCTCGTGGCGAGCAGACTTTATAACGTACATCAAACGAAAATCAGTAACGAAGTTCTAATTTTGTTCATACATGAGATGTTATGCGAAAAAGAATTTCTTGACAGAAACACTTTGAGTCGTTAAAGCACTTTAGCCGTCCTAAGCGTGAAGAAAGTATGTACTAAATCCATAATTCAAGACGTGTAATCCAGCATACGATAAATAAATCTAAAACTACCTCTTGGATTACTGTAAATGGGGAGGAACAGGGGTGGGGGAGAGCCTTATAAACATTGGAGGAAATGCTGTTTGTGGTCTAAGCCCGCTAAGAGACTGGGATTCGCGCCCCGTCCACAACATCAAACAGATGTTTTGCATCCATTGCTAGCACATGCGCAGCAGATAACATTTCTTTCCTATACGTATCTTCGAGTGTTGTACCATCGTATTTCTGTGATGTTTTCAGAGCTGAAATGAGATTGGCCATGTCGGAAGACAAAACTTTATGCGCCATTTCAACCTGCAAGGATATACAACAATGTAAAATATAGGAAGCAAAGGCTGTATGTAGCGGACGGCAGGATCATTCATCTCAAAAAAGGTTTGTGGTGTGCAGAAAAAGTGTACTCAAAAAGTACAATAAGTTAAAATTCTCAAAATAAAACGGAGTTAATATGGAGAAGAAAAATAGAATGGAAGAATAAACTTCAGATACGTGTTAAAAAAACAATTGCCCAACATAAAATTCGAAATAAAGCCATTTTTTGAAGAAATTATTTATTATTATTTGTAACGTTTCGCCTTTACACATCATCAGACAGGTAGTTAAAATGATTAAGTGTGCGTTTATATTTACATATTAGAAGTGTAGTTATGAGTGTTAGATTACAGTGAGGTGTGATGAACACGAATAAAAATATATATATGTACATAAAAAAAGTATTATATAAAGCATGAGTGAAGATACTGAATGGAGTGTGAAATGGACACAAAAACGTAGAGGAATACTTAAAAAAGTTCGAGTGGGATGGAGCTGCCTTGGACATTCAGTGTAGGTGTTAGATCAGGAGGCTTTCATGGATCATTAAGTCAGGGGTGTAGGGTGAAGATGAGATGACAGTAAAGTTGTCAATTGAAGCTGTGTGACCTGATATGTCGATGTGGGATAAGATGCTGGATGGGGTAGGGCATGAAGACTGTTTTCCTGTCAAAGGCAAAATCTTCGGGTGCTCTGAGATTCTGGTGTGAAGATGGCATGTGGTTTGAACAACATACGACGCGTTGCAGCGTCGAGATAAACAACATCAGATTTCAGGAACTTGGGAATGTTATCCTTGAAAGGAAAGAAGAAATGCGTGTAAAAGGATGGAAAACAAATCTTATGCTAATGTGAAGGAAGGCAGCGTTGCAGAGGCGGTTAACTTGGATGTGAATTTGGAGACTTTTTGACAACACTGTTCGCCTCTTCCTCGACAACGTCTTTTTCCCCAAACCACCTATTATCACCGTGTCCAAGAAGCTCATATATTTCTGCCTTCACAGGCTCATACTCTCTCCAACTACACACCCAAGTTATCCGCCTCTGCAACGCTGCCTTCCCTCACATTAGCATAAGATTTGTTTTCCATCCTTCCACACGCATTTCCTACTTTCCTTTCAAGGATAAGATTCCCAAGTTCCTGAAATCTGGTGTTGTTTATCTCTTTAAGAGTGGAAGCTGCAACGCGTCGTATGTTGGTCAAACCACACGTCACCTTCACACCAGAATCTCAGAACACCTGGGGATTTCGCTCTTGACAGGAAAACAGTCTTCATGCCCTACCACATCCAGCATCCTTATCCCACATCAACATATCAGGTCACAGAGCTTCCTTTGGCGACCTTTCTATTATCTCATCCTTACCTTACACTCCTGACTTAATGATCCATGAAAGCCTCCTGACCTCAAACCTAGCACCTGCACTGAATGTCCAAGGCAGTATCTTCACACATACTTTACATAATACCTTTTTCTGTACATATATATATTTTTATTTATGTTCATTACACCTCACTGTAATCTAACACTCACTACTACACTTCTAATATGTAAAATATGTAAATATAAACGCACACTTGATCATTTTAACTACCTGTCTGATGATGTCTTGAGTAAAGACGAAACGTTACAAATAATAAAAAATTTCTTTAAAAAATGGCTTTATTTCGAATTTTATGTTGGGCAATTGTTTTTTTAACATGAATCCGTTTCCTGCCTGGCAAGTCTCTCGCTATTAAACTTCAGATATAAGCACATAGATTGCCTGACAGACAGAAGTCTCGGGCACTCAGAAAGTCCGAAGATAATAAGACAAAGTCATCTTCGCATTTCTTACACGTCATTTCTTCATCTACAACATTCAACTGCAGGGATTGATACAAATGATACCATTCATAATGGATCAGCGAAAACTCCCATGAGGCGTTTTCTTGGAGAAAATATTTTCGTTGGCCTTGCGGTCCCGAGACATTTTATGTCGTGACGTTTGGTAGTCATACTTAGGGAAGTTATCTTCCGTATAATACAAACAATATTTGGAAGAGCAAAAATAGTCATTATATGTGTTTAATAATAGCTACCTCTTTATGTGATGATGGAGGTAGCTTCGTGACTTCGTTGTCAACCTCAGACAGTAACATCCTCAAGGCATTACCAACCTCCTAGAAAACGTGATTATCCAGGTTTTCGCTTCATAAAATTAATCTTACTCTACGTATTGATTGGTCCCCATGTAGGAAAATAAGTAGGACAGAATAATGTGAAATCATGTTATGCAACGTAATATGACATGAGGTCGTACAGTGTAACGTCATGTAACGTCATATGATATTGTGATGTAATACAATGTAATTTCGCGTAACGTCATGTAACGTAATATGATGTGATGTAAGACAGTGTGAGAGAATAATGATTCTACAGCAGGGTCACTTAGGTGTGCAAGGCGTCCACACGTCAGCCATTATTACAGCACGTTGATTAGGGTTTGTTACTTGTTTCCAACCATCAAAGTTACATGACGTCATTTCTGAATAATGAATTCGAGAATATTTCGACTTAAGAAATGACTTCAAATCATTCTCTGGGTTGGGAACAAGTAAAAAACCCTCATCAACTGGCTGGAATATTGGCAACCGATCCGCGCGGCACAACATGCGCGAGGACAAAAACATCAAAGGTGAGGACGAAACTATCAAAAATTCAAACCTTTATTAATTGGACTAGCGTCATTGGGTCGGCAAAATTTGATTCACGATTCAACTGAATGATAGTTCTAACAACTTCCGTAGTGCAAGTAAATACAGTGTCCCCGCTTCTATCACGATCATCAGTCGACTTTTCATGGGAAACAGCAGGAGCAGGAGTCTTCAAAAACAATAGTATGTTCATATTCATATCATGTTAAATGTTGAGTTCTTATTAACTTAAACGAGTTTATTAAGGAAATGCAATTTAGGGTCGGCCATTCGATACTTCAGGGGCCGGTTGCACGAAGCTTGATATCGTTAACATTGGATAGCAAAAATTTTCAAACTTGTAAAAAAGTATTTATTTTTTTTAAGACAAAGAAATTTCGTATTCCTCGAAACAATATTTCATTTCTGAGATTGCTCAGTTCGAATTTTATATTTTTTGATTCTTAAAAGGTTTTATAAAAGTTTAAAAAATTGCTATCAAATGGATAACGCTATCCAGGCTTCGTTCAATCGGATCCAGTGGTGTTTTTAAGTCGATGATGTTTTTAATTTGATATAAGAGAGTCTTAGTGACTTTCAATTGGAATCTTAATCGGGTGGTGTTTAAAATTTTTACGACACGAAATTTTATCACGAATTTATTTGGTTGTATTTAAGACGTAATAAATGACTTCAGTAGAATTGACTTATTTAACTTTTTTTTGAGATATTCAACTTTTCTCATTATACAACTAACATTGCTATGACATTACACAGCAGAATAATCAATATTCTACAAAGAATAATCAATATTCTATATCGCAAGAACGTTTTATGCACAAAAACAATAATTTGGCAAACAGTAGCGGATCAAGAGTTCGTCTAAATAAATCATAGTTGCTCCATTTCAAATTCAAAACACCTTCAAAATAACACTATAGTCAGGAATATCTAAAGAACAAAATTTTACCAATTGCTTGCATCTAAGGTATTTGTATGAGATGAAATCATTTATTTTAACGTAACCTAGATCCGCTACTATAGATGAATAATCATATTGATGAAAAGTTACACATGACAAAAAAGAAACAAAATAACACAATTCAATTGAAGAAGTTATTAAGTCATTTTGAATTGCCTTTACGAAGCAATCAGAAAGCACTATAGTAAACATTGATGTTATAAACACTTTAAACAACAATGAAATTTGTGCCAACGACCATGTATTTCATGTAGGTATAAAGAGTTTCCAAGACTCTCGTGCTGGCATAAGCACTTTAAACAACAGTCAAATTAGTGCCAACGACCATGTATTTCATGTAGCTACAGAGAGTTTCCAAGACTCTCGTGTTGGCAAAAAACTCAATAAACATCAAAGGAGTTTATGTAGATTGCATGATCAATTTAAAATTTAACATGGACATTACCTCGAGAAACTCAAAAGTACTTCCATCCTCGATTGTTGCCGCTTGTGGGCTTAACTGGGGTGACAAGTGAACTATACAAGAACACAGAAAACTTCTCATACATAATGAACAGAACACACTTCACCAAAACACCCAGCAAACGTAACACAAGCATGCGTGTTTGTCAATTGTACGTGCTCCTGATTGCCGTCAACTTTGCAAATTAGGTGAGGATAAGTATGTATAGATCCTCATGGAAAGGTAAATCACCCCACGTGTCCCTGTCACGTGAAGGAAATTTACCACCACGTGTCCCTATCGTCAATAAAAGTAGAAACTGATTTTTATATACGTTATTGTGCCATTTACTTACTTTCGTGACTAGTTTTCCCTGATTGGACAAGAATTCCAGATCCTTCAGGATCGTATGACTCCATTACGGGAAGTTCTTCGTTCTCCGGACTTCCTATGGATTTCTGTCAAAGACGATAGTGAGCTGTGAAGACGGGAATTTCAACTAGGTCAACACGGATTGGATGATACACAAAGCATTCTCGCCGCGCGACGCAAATACTTATCTCTACGTAAAAAAGAGGTTATGGTCCGCAACCAACAAAATAAAATTCATTAAAGTTTTGGTCACACTGCACGTGAAGCGAGAGGAACGTTTGTGACAACGCGTTGTCCCATTAGGAAAGTGAGCAATATATACAAGCTTTAAACACAATGTCTGGTCGACAAAAATTATTGAATAGTTGCCGATAATTCCAACGTTCACGCAACAACCATTGGAGTGATTGCATATTAAATGACATTCTGGACGACCTATTTAGAAACTTTATTTGTCCGTGAAACAAACAGAAAGAAGCAGGAGCAGTTACTGGACTCAACTTCATCAAAAATGAAAAACCGATTTCAGAAAAATATTGGGATAGTGTTGCAACCGTATAATCTATAGCAATCGATAACTGATGGTTGGCTGTTTTCCTAAACGAGATAATATTTGATTGCTCTTTAGGTAACTAAAATACCAAAAAATCGAACGCTATTTATGAAAAACAAGAAAACTCGTAAACAATTTGATTGGTAACTTTTAAGACAATTAAACCATTAAAAAATCTGATCGGTTGCTTTTTGTAACGTGCATGTGATTTGATTACTTATTATGACAAAAAAGAACGTAGCTGTAGTTTGATTGCTGAAAACGAAAATCTCTTCTTGGGTGAAAAACAAAAAACAGAATTACCGATGACAAATCTTCTGGAAACTCAGATTTGTTTTCTTCCTCTTGCAACCATCTTGAATCTTCTTCCGACTGTCTTTTTTGCGTTTCTAGTTTCTCGCGGATAATTTGTTCTTGTATGCGTTGTTTTTCTTTCATTTTCTTTTTGAATTTCTCCATTTCCTCGGCCGACATTTCTCTCTTTACATTCTGCAAGCAAAATAATGTTTTAAGTACAACAAGTAGAAAGCATGAAATTTTTGATACATTTGCTAAAGTGTTGGTTCCAATATACTTAAGTCCTGGATGTTTATAGATAACTGACTTGGAAATTTAAAGTCCACGTTTACTAGTGTAATCATCAATAATTATTTTTGCTTAAATCTCGAGTTCTTTTATACATCCGTTTAGTGTCTTCAATGGAGTGAGCTGATGTTGAAACTCGCGTTTTTAAAAAACTCCACTCTTGTTGGAGTCATGTATGTTGAAGATATATGATTATGTCCATCCATCTAATACGTTCATTAGGAGTGATCTGATGCTAAAACTTGAGTTCTTATATACTCCAGTCTTGTGTCTTCATCAGGAGTGATCTGATGTTTAAACTTGAGTTCTTATATACTCCAGTCTAGTGTCTTCATCAGGAATGATCTAATGCTGAAACTTGAGTTCTTATATACTCCAGTCTAGTGTCCTCATCAGGAATGATCTGATGTTTTAACTTGAGTTCTTATATACTCCAGTCTTGTCATCAGGAGTGATCTGATGTTGAAACTTGAGTTCTTATACTCTGTCTAAAGTCTTCAAAAAGGAAAAAACATCTTAAAGCTTGAATTCGTGTGACAAACCTGTAAACTAAGCCGTCGAGGTGTTCCACTGAATGTGTTGCTACGCTGTGCCAGGTAAAAGGATAGATGATTATTGGGTGAATGAGGTGATCGAGGACTCCGACGTAAAACATCATCAGGAGCATTATCTAGCGAAAAATGATCGCCATCATGGTTACCGTTCGAGAGACTGTGTCGGTATTGTTTCGGTAACGACTGGCAATCCGAAAGTGATCGACGGAGGCCTGGATTCAAGGCACGTTGACTTACACCGGGTCTTGAAGGCTAATAAAGACATAATAAGTTTCGTGAATTTGTGAAAACGCCATTCAATCAAAAAAGAATACCGCGCTAAACTAAACTTCTAGCATTAGACTAAAATATGAAGTGTTTGAACAATTGTATGACACTGAATAAAATCGACCTTATCCATGTGATCTTACTTCTTTTCTCATAGTCTCGTCAAAAGATGGTCAATTTTCCCCATACGTAATTAAGTATAAACATGGTAATTACATAACTCAAACAACACCTAGTACGTGACACAGTACGTGACACAGTACGTGACACAGTACGTGACACAGTACGTGACACAGTACGTGACACAGTACGTGGCAAAGCACGTGACAATTCACATAACTACGTATATAAATAAAGCGTTTAAGTGTAATCACAAAATCAGCGTTTCTATCTTCACCTTTCACCTTCTTTTCCATCAACTTGACTTTAACTACCCTTCCTCTCCACTTTAACTACCCTTCCTCTCGACTTTAACTTCCCTTTTTTCTTGACTTTAACTTCCCTTCCTCTCGACTTTAACTTCCCTTCCTCTCGACTTTAACTTCCCTTCCTCTCGACTTTAACTTCCCTTCCTCTCGACTTTAACTTCCTTCCTCTCGACTTTAACTTCCCTTCCTCTCGACTTTAACTTCCCTTCCTCTCGACTTTAACTTCCCTTCCTCTCCCTCCATCCGAACTCAACTTCTTCTATCTCCAGTCCATTACCCTTGCCCACCTTAACTCTCCTAACGCCATTCTTACTCAACCTTAAACTCACTTCACCCCACCTTCCAAACCTTGAATTCCCCCTCTCACAATTCCCTTTCCTCCTTCTCTCACAATTCCATCTCCACTCTTTTACCCCTCTCAACCACTTTCCTTCACTCTTCCTGTACCTTAACCTAACCTAACTTTACCTTAACATCTTTTCCCCTTCAATTCACCTTCCTCTTCAACTCACTCACCTGTTCAAAAACTGAAAAAAAAGTCCATTACAATTAAAAATCAGAAAAAAGAAATTGACATCAGTTTACTAGTTTATCATCATAGAAGCGAAAATTCGTCCATTTGACAATTATACGTGAGAAAAAAACTTAATTTACACACCCCTGGCTAGTCAAATGCCAATGCCATTTTTTTTCAAAATCGGTCGCTTGAGCTTAAACACCCCTGTTGTGAACTGTGTAACTATATAATGCAGGTGGGAGTGTAACTACACATAACGGGAGCGTCTAAGCTCATTAGATCATATCTAGTAAAAAGACTCGCATGTATATAGCCACAAAGGTCATGAGTATATTCGACCTTCCACTTTCTAATTAGATCTTGAACATACTGAGCCAGCTAACAGTCATGTCGGAGGTGAAACTATGACACCATTGCCAAAAGTAAAAGCAATAATGACAAGCTGCTACCCCCAGGCCATGCTCACGTGACCTAAAGATTTACGTAACAACTGCTATGTCATCCACTTTGACATATTCATCAATAAATATAACACTGGTGGCCTGTGAAAAAACTTATCAAAAACAAAGCTAAATGGCAACGATGTTCAACATACTGGATACACTTGAGTTAAGCGATGATGTCGAGGATTCGCGATGAGTTTCGACTCCCACAACTTTTTCCTCTTGCACTATGAACCTAGAAAGAGAGCAGAACAAATTGAAACGCTCATCGCCATAACCGATCCAGTATTTTTTTTTAATTGCCTCTGTTCCGAAGATGTGTTTTTTAAATTGGTTTGAAAATGATTTTAAACACTTTAGCAATGTATTTGATGAATTGAAAGTATGATTTTCGTGAGCTTTTTGAGGTACAAAGCTGAAAATTTAGATATTGCTTTTTAATGTTCGAACACTATAGAAACATACAAAACACGGTGTTCTTCAAAAGCATGTCCTTAAAAAGAAGTCCGATGCGGGAGCCCAACCTGGTTTTTTAACACATTACCCTATAGTAACGACAATTCTAAATCTAATATAAGCGCTAGACGAAATAAGTAGTACGAAAACAAAAATATATTGCGGCAAAATTTTTTGAGGCGATTTTTGCAGCTTTATATATTTATGTGGCTGTCAAAGCCCAGCAAAAGGATCCCAAGGGTTTCGGCTTTAAACATAATGACAAATCATTGAACTAAAATACATCTGGAACGATACGTCACAGGGAAAAAAATGAAGCCAGATTTTATCATTTTTTGCAAGTCGCGCAAGTCGTTTTGTAAAAAAAACCCTCAAAAAATTGCATTTTTATATTTGTAAAATTTCAAAAGTAAACCTTTTGTTAGTTCTTCAGCATAACATCGAATTTGAAAGATGTTCGTCAAAACTATATAATGTCAAAAAAATCTGGCTAAAGTCATAGCATAGCTGAGAAATTTCGAAGCAAAGACGAAAATGGTGAAAAGTCTGCGCTTTTTTTGAAAGTTCCAGTCATACCTAAACGTTCATTGAGCAATTTGCCAAAGAGAAAAATGTGTTTTTTGGAAGCATTTTTCATGCCATGAAAATACACAAACTGCAAATAAACATACAGCTCAGTGTCATTAAGAAAAGTGAAAGATCTTCGCAGAAAGAGTTGTTACCAAGCTATTTTATTGATGCAAATGCATAAAAATCAAGAACATATTTCAAATACGAAACGCTCCATTCTTATTTTGTCTGTGTATTTTGTCTGCAAATAATGAGAGAAAAGTAAAATAAAAACAATGCTTATCACGGCGGGCCGATAAGCTTGGTAGCTAGTTGATACGAAATCAATAATAAAAAAAAAAAAAAATAGAAAAATTGCGTGTTATCAAACAAAATACATTACTGAAGCATTATCAAAACGTAAAAGGACACGAATCACACGCGAAAAAATTGTATAAAATGCTATGAATATTCAAATATGTTTTATATAACATTCATATTTTTTAACATTCAGTTCCGTCTTGTAGACTTGCATTTTTTTGCCGATCGATCGTCCTCGATTTTTGCTAAATATGTTTCTCCTCAAAAATATCTTGTTGTAGCATGAACTTATTCTGTTAGATGCAATTTTAAAGCAAAAATGTGTAAAAAAATGACACTAAATCATTTTTTTCACGTTTTTCTACTGCCAAGAAGCCGAAAAAACGCTCATTATATCAGGGGGGAGTTTGACAAATTTTAGATGTATTTTGGCTTCAACCAATCATGGGAGCTTCAAACTATAGGAGTTATCATTCCAGATGTATTTTAGTTCAATGTGACAAATTTAACGTTTCAGTTAAAACTACAGTTCAGCGGGTTGAGCTTAGGAGTGTTCTGTTCGGAGAAGGGGCCGAGCCATTTGACGCTGAACAAGACTAAAATTCAGCATTAAAAATATGAATCTGACATACGTATTTAGCCATTTATTATATCAAAACACCTTAAAATAAAACATTTTATTTATAAATTGCCGCTTTACGTTAGGCAGTTGTATAGCTACGCCTGTCATAAACAAAATATAACAATGCTAATAAATTATAGAAATAATTTTACAAATTTTATAATGAATTTTTAACTGCATGGACTTGGAATTTTAATATATATTTAATGTGTGTTGTATTTGTACCACGTTAGAGTCTGAGAGCGAAAAGTTTATTATCTTATCAGCCATTATTTGTATAAAGTAGTAATTGCTATTTACAGGTCAAAGATAGTGTTAATATGTTGTATTTGTTTGTTGAGGTTAGGTTTACCCTTCTTGATTTAAATGGCTTCTTTGAGTTTAAGGGCGACTGAAGTGTGAGCGGTGTCTAAGATATGGAAACAGGATTGTGTGCAATTGTTTTTGCAGTGTGGTGACGAGAGTAAGTGTCTGAATAGGTATGAGTTTTTGTCGGTGGTTGTGTGTTCTTTAATCCGTGTGGAAAAATGGCGGGTGGTCTCCCCAATGTAGCTATTTGTATACCTCGCTAAACAAAGATTTTACCTTACCATACTATGTAACAAATGGCAACAATGAGGATGGATAACGCTAAATACATTTGCCTACGATCGTAGTTTTAAAGAAATTCCAGCAAATATTGGAGAAAATAGAACACATAACTTACTTTAATTTTCCCTTTAATTCATCGCCATTGGGTCGTTTCGAAGGCTCATATGACCAGCAGTCAATCATAACATGATACAAAGCAGGCGGACAGTTCTTTGGAAACGACAATCTCTCGCCGTTCTCAATACGACCGATGACGTCATTATTTTTAACTTTTTGAAACGGTTTTACACCGTACATCATGATTTCCCACATACATACACCTGAAATAAGGAATACAGATGTGAACAGAAATCAATGATCAATGAATTGTGATTATAAACTGCACAGCATACCGGCCGTCATTATTTAGAAGATTTTTCCTGGCTTTGTACAACATGAATTGATATTCACAAGATACCCAGAAATGCATTTATCTTCCGTATTGTAGAACTTCTATTTCCATCCAATAAACTCTCAAACTATTCTCTAACTCCACGACTTAACTCTAATCTTAAAAAACTTGGATTGCCGAGAATTCTAATCCTACCTCTCTCCTAAACTTGAATTGCCGGGAGCTCTAATCCTATATATTACCTGAACTTGGATTGCCAACAATTTTAATACTACCTCTTACCTAAACTAAGATTGCCGAGAATTCTAATCCTAACTCTTTCCTAAACTTGAATTGCCGGGAGCTCTAATCCTATCCCTTACCTAAACTTGGATTGCCAAGAGTTCTAATCCTACCTCTTACCTATACTTAAATGTCCGGAAACTCCGATGTGGAGCGAAAAATTCATTGAGTTAGTGCTTTACCCTAAAACGTTCATAGCTAAATCCTTAAAACACACTAACCGAACATCCACACGTCGCTAGCCGTCGTAAATCGACGGAAGTTGATCGATTCTGGCGCCATCCACTTAATTGGCAGTTTGCCTTTCGAGGCTTTGTAATATGATTCAACTTCCAGCCAACGCGAGAGACCAAAGTCTGCAAGTTTGACGTTGTCATGGGAACATACAAGGACATTCCTCGCCGCTATATCTCTAAAAAAAAGTACATAATAAATGGTGAGGCTTTTGCCATGACTGTAGTTAAAGGCAGCTTCGCTCGAGAAATCAAAATCATGATACAGATAAAGAATTATAATCCTTCTACCACATCGCCGTTCAAACACAATCAGTGTTGCACCAGCTCAATCAGTGAGAAGGAATTTATTCATATATGCATGTTTTTGCGTATTATTTTCCCTTGAAATCAATTGTTTCTTACAAATTAAAATATAAATATACGAATATTGTCCCCCTCGCTTATTGAGCTGGCCACGCCACCGAACACAATAAACTAAAGCAATGTTTATGCAAGATTATATAATTACAAGTATATTCAATGATAAGAACATAACTGAAGAGGTTCTATTTTAAATCATTCACTACAGCACCTATATATTGACTGCGACAGGCAACTGCGAGCTGATTGCCCAGCAGTAAATAGAGTGACGATAAATTACTCGGGCTACATCACGATCAGGCAAGTAACTTCTGTAGAGAGTTAAATCGAATTTAACAACATTTGACATATATTTGATAGGACGAAAATTTTATCTTGATGGGTTTTTGTTGCCCAGAAGTAGGCGACTCTGCGCAGATGTGACGTAAAAAGAAAAACACGTGCATTGAAGATATAGCTTTCATCAAACAGGTTTAAAGTAAAACATAAAGCTGTTATAGTAGCTAAAGCTTCATAAAAAACCGCACAGCAATATTAAGATGCAGCCCATATGTTGAGTTTGAGGACATCGTTTGAGCGAATAAACATATGAAAACATTTAAAACTGTTCGGATGCTTTTCCCACTTAAATACTGTATCAATTTACGGATGTCTATACACTACAATCTTAAAAATTCACTTTCCAGACCCTGATATAGGCAATTTACGAAAAAAACTGCATACGATACCTGTGAACGAATTTTTTGCTTTCGAGATAAGAGAGCGCAGTCGAAAGTTGATAAATATATGTCAACAATATTGATGTGTTTAAGTTATCCTTGTTCTTCTGTAAATATGAACGCATCTAAAACACAAAAGACCTTTTGCAATCATGTGAATTTTAGTGAAAGCGTACAACTGAGCAGCAAGTTCTTAATTCAACACAAATGTTGTTGACTACCTTTTTTTGACCAATGGCACTTATTTGGGCATACAAAATATATGGCACACGAAATTCTTAAAGATATACTCACTGGAAATATTTTTTTGATCCTCGCATGAAATAATCGGAAAATATAAAGTGATAAAAAATGCCGCGGGCGATTGCACGAAGCCTGGCTAGCGTAATCCATTGGATAGTACATTTTTCAAACTTGTAAAAACTGTGGTTGTATTTTCTTTACGATAACGATACTTTGTAATTTTAGAATCAATACTATATTTCTTTGATTTCCCAGTTCAGTTCGTACATTGTTCCTTTTAAGAGACTTTGGAGGCATTCAAAATATTGCTATCCAGTGGATAACGGTCTTGTGTAACGGGCCCCAGGTGTATACAATAACACAAGTCATATAACATCGTAATTTCTATCCTGTAAAGTGTACAACTCCATCTAGTAGAACCTTAGTTTTCGATACCGGTTTTTACTAAAATTCAATTTCTATTTTTGAAATTTCTGTCCACGAAATGAAATACTTTATGTAGGGTGTCCTTTATATCAAATTGGACGCCTCCATATAGTCTGCAAGTGATGATGATTGTTCGAGTAAAAAACTAATGTTGATTTCACTGTACCAGCAACATAGACCTATGGTTTATTTATTTCATGATCAAGTATGGAGCATAACTATACCTCGCCGTGCGGCGCCAATTCCATTATTATATAAATAGGAGGGTCCATACATAACCCAATCAAACGTATGATATGAGGATGATCGAATTGTTTCATTACATCTGGAAAATAAAAACGAACACTGAGTTACAAAACATAGATAACTCTAAAACGAAGACCTAGTCTTGGTCTCAAATAAAACACAAATACATCTTTAAATGTTGTCTGTCTTTACAACGAGATTGTAAAAAACCTATGGCATTCTCAAAACGTTTTCTTAAATTCGGTAAGTGTTCGGAAGAACTTACATGCTTCTTCTAAAAATCTTTCCGCCTCATCTTCATCTTTACAAGTTTTAATAGCGACAGGTAAGTTACTCCCATCCTAAAAAAACCGTATAATGTTTTTGAATGTGTTATCTAAAAGTCATCTGATCTTTGAAACTTAAATCCTTATACACTCTTCTTCACAACTGATCTGACGTTAAAACTCGCGTCCTAATGTCTTCATCAGGAGTGATGTGATTTTAAACTTAAGTCCTTATATACTCCAGTCTAGTGTCTTCATCAGGAGTAATCTGATGTTAATGAATATTAGTCAATGGGATATATGGGTAAGAATTTACCCAATCCATAGAACACAAATCTATTTATATAAATTTGAAATATCAGCCTCATACATGCTTAAATGTACGTATAATCCTACTATTAAGTTAAAACCCAAACACTGAAATTATGTTTAAAAAGATTCAAATTCTTAATCGATTTTGATTCCTAAACTAGCATATTCCACAACTAGCACATTCATCGTCTAGGAATTCCTCATCAAGTACACAAGAATTCAGTAACTTCTAGAAAATTCTTCTAACGTATGGACAATAAAGTGTTTAATACCTTTGCCTTTATCGTTCCTTTATGTACATCGCCAAACTGACCTTCACCGATGATTGCTCCCAATGTCACTTTACTCCTTGAAATTTCGTAATTTTTTTCTGGTAAAACAACAATGCACGTAAGAATAAGCGGACATTATTCGTACGAGAAAATTTAACATCTACCCAGAAATGTGAAGCCTTGTAGCCACTCACACTTGAGAAACTCAATGTGGAAAAACTATGAACAAATGTCATTAATATGTACCAATTCTCATAGTTCATTTTTCCTACTGTTTCAATGGTCGAGAGAGTGTCATGTGAGAGCGAAGAAATTAAGCTGTTTCCTTATATATAGCTCGAGAGTGAGAAAATACGTAAAAAACAAAATGAAAACTGAACAAAAATTAAAAAGGAAGAAAGTAAAAATGGGACCTTCATTCGACTCTGCGTATGATCTCGATCAAAAGAGTGCGGGAATTTTCCAAAATATTTTATACTATTTTATTCGGAGATGGATTTAGGGGTGCACATCCACCTTGCCTTGACTAGAACCACATAAAATATCCTCAAATAAGCCAAAAACTTTAAATCCAAACTAGACTGACTGAAATTATACAAAAATAGGTACGCAATGCGTACACACGGGTAGCCTAACAAGTAAATAGGGCTAAATGAGGTAGGTAAATGAACATAATTCAAATAAAATTGCATATCTAATATCATTTAAACCAAAATCGTTCAAGATTTAAAAATTAATTTTAGTTATATGACTAAGTAAGTGTTTAACCATTTCTGCATTTTTTGGAAAACTTTAGCTTACATTGCACGTCTCATAAATGCATGTGCTTACGAGAATTTCCCTTAAACGGGCTTTTCAGATCTATTTACAAAGCTTTATATAAAATTTTTAAGCTGATACTAAACTATATTTACATGTTTTACATAGAATATTTAATTATAATTTTGTAGCTCGAAATTTAAAGCTCCTCTGGCAAGAATATGTCTTAAAAATAGGAACGTCTAAATCGTTGTTATGGCGTGTTTCACGATCGTGAATGTTCGAGCGTGTGCAAAATTCTGTACTGAGATATGTTGGAGCCATTTCATTAAGACATTTAAATGCCATTAATAAGTCCCTGTAACGTAAATGTTCGTTTACAGTTTAAAGGACATTGGCAACGAAATTTTTTATGGCATATTTTATGACAACCTTTGTGATGTCTAACAACTAAAATAGCAAAATTTTTTTTCAAAAATATTTTGTTGCTGAGATATTTGCAGCAAAAGTTTTATAAATTTCGCCATCTTGGATAAAATTTTGATAAAATTACCTCGAGCGGTAGTGACGTCATTGGCTGGTGAGCAGTCAAAACAACAATACAATATACTTTGTGATTGACGGCGTTACAACACATTTAAAGCATATTTTACGGGTTTTTTTTGCTGTAATGGATGACATACACGAAAATCAACCGGGTTAGGTTCTGCTCTATCAATATGAACCTGAAATGAAGGCCGAAACAAGTGAAGAAAGCGGTTCCGAACAGGAGAGTGAGCGGGGCGACTTGTCCTCGTCGGAGGATGAAATAGATGCTGAAGTTGAGAAAGCAAATGCTTGGCGCCTTCAAACTCTTAGTTGTTGTAAGTGTGGACATTGTACTTTGTCAAAAAAGGCAATCGAGTGTTTTTGTTGCCTCGAAAAAGCGCTTGAATACGATGAGTATGAGGCTTTGCTAGGCCAAACAGAAACTCAAGGAGAGTATTGCTTGACAACACACCAAGAATTTAGGAACAATATGCTGTCAGAAAGTGTGTTAAAGATAGCCGTGTGTCGGTATCTTGAAGAAAACTGGCCCCTGTCTGATGAGGATCTAGAGAGAATACACAAGCTGTATCGATTAGTCGCATATCAAAGATGTTCTACGTGGATTTTTCAAATTTTAGGGAATAAACATCGAAGACAATTTCCTGCTTGTGTTTATGCTAGCATACGAAAACGCTTCGCGTCACCAAACGGACTTTATACACATTTTAAATACGCATATTATCACGAAAGACCGTAAATTTAAAGTCTTAGACAGACGCTCTTTGATGTTCTTTGTTATGATCTACAATTGCGATGCCATATCATTGTCGAAGGATTGTCACGAACTGCGCAAAAGCAAAATGCATGAGTGATTCACCCAAAACTTGTATTCATTCATAAGTTATAAAGTTAATGGAAAAGTGTACTTGTACATTGTGCACGCAAACAAGCACGTAAAACATTATGAGTAAACGCAACTCTACAGTCACGCTTATATTTGTCTGGGCTTACACTTGGTATGTCGCGAAAGCCTAGTTGTAAGATCTGCTAAAATAAACGTTTCTACGTCTTATAACGACTAAATATTGGAAAAGTATATAAGCGTGATAAACTACACAACTTTTTTTAATCTTAACAAACGCCGAGTGTTGTTTTTGTTTTAAAGTTCCAGTGAACAAATGTGCTATATATTATTTTAATACTATTATCTTATATTGTGTCATTCAGTTGATACCAGCCAATGACGTCAGTAATGTATTCCGGCATAATTTAGCATAAGGTTTTTTTTCCAAAATGGCGGATAAGGATTCAACTTTATGTCAAATTTTCTCAACAGCAAAATTCAAAAGAGACACGAAAACACGAAATTAAGTATTCCATAGCTATCTATGATAAACGTATGAAAAAAAATTTCATTGCTATTGTCCTTTAAGGGAATTATTAATGACATTTAAATGAGACTTTTGCGACTTTTAAAAGGTTTTTTCACTGAAAACCATTTTTTCTATAGTTGTGTTTTAAAAACGTTTTCTGACTTGTCTTAGATGTCGTTCAGAGAACGTTATTCCCCCTAGCGATGAATACCGTACTTGTTCGAACAAGTACAGCGGTGCTAATTTTTTCTCACCACGCGTGCGGCGTTTATTGGATGGCAGTGCTAATCGGTAATCACGACGTGCTTATGACATGTTATTCGACATAATTATATAGGGAATTTATTGTGTTTTGAGCCAACGGGTCGTGTTTTTTATTGTCCCTTTTTTCTAATCACGTTTTCAAAAGTCTATATATTTTGAAAGATTTTGTGTTTATTGCAAACATTGTTTGAACATTGTTTGCTCAATGATTGCAAGTGATCGAAAGTATTTTATATTTCCTGTTCATGGACTTCATAGTTTGACATGTATCATATTTCACTAGATGTAAACTTGTAAACCACACAAATATTTGTATTTCGCACAATATTCGAAAGATTTAGAATTTACATTCAGCATTTGATTAAACTACTCTAACTCTGGATGAGTAAATTGAGCGATGTATAAGCAATGCGAATAATACCAGTTGGACGTATTACCAGACACTAGATTGTGCTTTATACATAAATTGCCGCTTCGTCAGCCACCCTGCATTTGAATATCTTGACTTTTATAAGGTTTCATATTATTGAAATTTCGTTTGTATAATCGATGAATCGAGCCGCGCATGCGCAACGGCTACCCACAAAAACTAGAGCAACCCTCCCCACACACAAGATCATTCTCATTGGAATATTCATTGGAAAAGTAAGTAATAACTATTACCGTACCTGAAATTGGTTGCGAATAATCATCAAATTCCTCGTTGTCCACAATTTCAGCGTAATCATCATATTCTGAAAACGGACAGAATGAAAAAGATGACTCAATGAAGTTGATACATTCAAGTTTATATAAAACTGCTGCATAAAAATGCGTATGCTCTTTAAAAGCCGCTTAAAGATGGTCTCCGCTTGGTAAGGGTTTCATTACCTCGAATTAACTATATTGAATTCTAGACTTAACAACGCGTCCGCTTGACACAAGGTGTCTGCTTAGCGCGAGACCGCTTTTAGTACAGGTTTGCACAACTAAATATTAAAAAAATGAAAGTTTTTAATGCGCAACATTGAATTAAACATTTCAAATGCAATAGCTACACCACTGATGAAAGGTTATTTTTAACATCATAAATGAACTTGAAAATCTGAAAACTTGGCGACATAAATTATGACAAAGAGCACTAGAGTACCTTCACTGTTAGGCCGTGTTGTGTGTGAAGCAATCGAGTGTCTCTTGGATTGACCATCAGTATCGCTATGACTTCCGTTCGTTCCAGGGACATTCGGCAGTTGACGTTCATCTAGTGTAATTGTAAGTTAGCTAAAATTATGGTTTGAAGCTTTTCGTTAAATAAAATCAACCCTTTTCCAATTTTTTAACTTTTTCAAGGCACGAAAATCTTAAAGTCATATCATTGTCATATCATTGAAGTCATTAATTTCTTTACGAAAAAACTGTCCATTTTTTGCACAGTAGTCAGCAGATCCCTTACTGCACCCAAAGTAATTACATATAAACCATCAGTAGTGAAATCAGTGGTGGCCACAGCTATGTTTTGCACAGTAGTCACCAGATCCCTTACTGCACCCAGAGTAATTACATATAAACCATCAGTAGTGAAATCAGTGGTGGCTACAGCTATGTTTTGCACAGTAGTCACCAGATCCCTTACTGCACCCAGACTAATTACATATAAACCATCAGTAGTAAAATAAGTGGTGGCTACGCCCATGCGCCTGAGCATGCGGAAACAAGTTCACCCGGTTTAAATGCACATGTCTAGGTCAGAGAAATAACTTATTTAGTTAAATCGATTTTAGAAACATTTGCAATATATTTGATACGTCGAGATTTTCATCTTCGTGGTCTTTTTGCGCCTAGAAGTAGGTGACTCCGTTTGTGGCATCTTATTCGGTATGATGAAAGTTATATTTTCAATGCATGTAACGTAACATTCGGTGTGGAATCACCTAGTTCTAAGCCACAAAAACCCTTGAAAAATTTTCTTTTCATCTATAAAATATATTACAAATGTTCTTAATATCCATTTAACTATCTAAAGAAGTTAATTTCCCGAACCTGATATTCGCCCTTCAAGATGATTCGCACTCAGTTCCTCATAATAGATTTATGTTAACTCTATCACACGAAGAATTCTAAAAGCATATTTACCGAGCCTTCGATTTAATAAGGAAGTTTTTTGATTTCCTACAAGTTGACAATAACCATCGATGAGTTCGGCCATTTCCGTGGCTTGAACAAATGAAGACGTTGTGAACACCAATGGCTGAGGAAAATGAGAAAACAAGTCAAACGTCAAAATATACAACAAACACTATGTCTTAAACTCCCAGAAATGTAGAGTACTCGACACGGGCAGTTATAACACAAAATGTTAACAAAATAACATTGTTATACAAGTGTAGGGCATTTTCAATGCGAGTGATTCATTCGTGGTCACATGACTTAGAATAAATGCAATGTTTCCCGCCAGAGAAACAGAGAAACAAGAGAAAAATTGCCCGCACGTTTTAATCTGCTATCAATATCATAACAAATAAAACAGCTATGGAGCCGAAAACTAAAAAAAGATTTTTCGAGTTATTTATCGACGAGATTCAACTATCAGCAGAAACACTCGAAAGACGAGCAAAAATGCTGTGGTTACCCACCACAGTCTCACGGAAAAAAAACTATTTCTCTCTGGAGAATACATTACGTGTATAATGCATCCCGCAAAAACATTGCAATGCTTTGACAGGACTTTAAAGATACCGTTCTTTAAATAAAAAATATAGATTAAAAATAGGTATGCAGCGCTTACATGTGAGCAAATAGAAATATGGGCAGAAAAATGGAAAACCAAAATCAATGCATAATGATAAAACTCTTAACTTGTTTTTCTTTAACTAACACTGTCAAGTTCATTGAACTGTTGTGAATTTTGCGGGAATATAATAAACATGTAACTTTCAAAACTGCGTAAGATTGAAAAAATATACTTTGAGCTCACTCTTCAGTCAAATCACCAAGTACATAGCTCTATCTGAGTCGGAGACGCACATCGCACACCAAAAAAATTGGGAAATGTTCTAGTTTATAAGACTTGAGTGGACCTTTTAGTGTCTGTATTTTATAGAAAAAGCCTCGTACAACCTACGCCCGACCGAATTTTTCGGCCCTCAAGCCGTACAGGCAACGCACAAAAAGTGAACAAAAGGTCAAAAATATCAGACTTACTTCTTGCGCTCCCTCCACCCGAAGATCCACGGTCGCCTTTAAACTGTCGGTAGGTGAAGGCAGCGAAACGATGGAGGAGGCGATACGACTTACTTTGATGCCACGAATCAAATTAAAGTGCGCCATGTGAGTTATCTAGAATGCAATTTAAAATATTTTTAAGGAAACCATCACAATAATAATAGTAAGAGATTGAAGAAAACCGACAAATGGTTGAGAGGCAATGAAACAACTCGCCATACTTAAGCAGTAAAAATTAAAATAATCAACCATGCAAACGACATGGCAGATTCCTGCAGTATTTTCCTCACGTATAGAAGTTGGTTTATCAGTCGATATATATTGAATCAGTTCAGTTTGCCAGAATCATTTAAAACTTTAATTGGGAGAGGGGAGGGATGTATACACATAATCAGTAATGCTCAACCAATTTCTTTAAACAGCTTTCAAAAGAAGTCAGTATGGCACAACTGAATATATGAATAAACACACCTCCCGTTACAACGTGCTCATTCAAACACTACAAGATTTAGAAAGATGGTTGCTAAAGTATTAGTAGTAACACAAATCTATAAGACGTTCGTCTAAATTTATCAGCTGTACTACAGGTTGCTAAAGTATTAGTAGTAACACAAATCTATAAGACGTTCGTCTAAATTTATCAGCGGTACTACCGGTTGTTAAAGTATTAGTAGTAACACAAATCTATAAGACGTTCGTCTAAATTTATCAGCGGTACTACCGGTTGTTAAAGTATTAGTAGTAACACAAATCTATAAGACGTTCGTCTAAATTTATCAGCTGTACTACAGGATGTTAAAGTATTAGTAGTAACACAAATGTATAAGACGTTCGTCTAAATTTATCAGCGGTACTACAGGATGTTAAAGTATTAGTAGTAACACAAATCTATAAGACGTTCGTCTAAATTTATCAGCTGTACTACAGGATGTTAAAGTATTAGTAGTAACACAAATCTATAAGACGTTCGTCTAAATTTATCAGCTGTACTACCGGATGTTAAAGTATTAGTAGTAACACAAATCTATAAGACGTTCGTCTAAATTTATCAGCGGTACTACCGGATGTTAAAGTATTAGTAGTAACACAAATCTATAAGACGTTCGTCTAAATTTATCAGCTGTACTACAGGTTGTTAAAGTATTAGTAGTAACACAAATCTATAAGACGTTCGTCTAAATTTATCAGCGGTACTACCGGTTGTTAAAGTATTAGTAGTAACACAAATCTATAAGACGTTCGTCTAAATTTATCAGCGGTACTACCGGTTGTTAAAGTATTAGTAGTAACACAAATCTATAAGACGTTCGTCTAAATTTATCAGCTGTACTACAGGTTGTTAAAGTATTAGTAGTAACACAAATCTATAAGACGTTCGTCTAAATTTATCAGCGGTACTACCGGATGTTAAAGTATTAGTAGTAACACAAATCTATAAGACGTTCGTCTAAATTTATCAGCGGTACTACCGGTTGTTAAAGTATTAGTAGTAACACAAATCTATAAGACGTTCGTCTAAATTTATCAGCGGTACTACCGGTTGTTAAAGTATTAGTAGTAACACAAATCTATAAGACGTTCGTCTAAATTTATCAGCTGTACTACAGGTTGTTAAAGTATTAGTAGTAACACAAATCTATAAGACGTTCGTCTAAATTTATCAGCTGTACTACAGGTTGTTAAAGTATTAGTAGTAACACAAATCTATAAGACGTTCGTCTAAATTTATCAGCGGTACTACCGGATGTTAAAGTATTAGTAGTAACACAAATCTATAAGACGTTCGTCTAAATTTATCAGCGGTACTACCGGTTGTTAAAGTATTAGTAGTAACACAAATCTATAAGACGTTCGTCTAAATTTATCAGCGGTACTACCGGTTGTTAAAGTATTAGTAGTAACACAAATCTATAAGACGTTCGTCTAAATTTATCAGCTGTACTACAGGTTGTTAAAGTATTAGTAGTAACACAAATCTATAAGACGTTCGTCTAAATTTATCAGCGGTACTACCGGATGTTAAAGTATTAGTAGTAACACAAATCTATAAGACGTTCGTCTAAATTTATCAGCTGTACTACAGGTTGTTAAAGTATTAGTAGTAACACAAATCTATAAGACGTTCGTCTAAATTTATCAGCGGTACTACCGGTTGTTAAAGTATTAGTAGTAACACAAATCTATAAGACGTTCGTCTAAATTTATCAGCTGTACTACCGGATGCTAAAGTATTAGTAGTAACACAAATCTATAAGACGTTCGTCTAAATTTATCAGCTGTACTACCGGATGCTAAAGTATTAGTAGTAACACAAATCTATAAGACGTTCGTCTAAATTTATCAGCTGTACTACCGGTTGTTAAAGTATTAGTAGTAACACAAATCTATAAGACGTTCGTCTAAATTTATCAGCGGTACTACCGGTTGCTAAAGTATTAGTAGTAACACAAATCTATAAGACGTTCGTCTAAATTTATCAGCTGTACTACAGGTTGTTAAAGTATTAGTAGTAACACAAATCTATAAGACGTTCGTCTAAATTTATCAGCTGTACTACCGGATGCTAAAGTATTAGTAGTAACACAAATCTATAAGACGTTCGTCTAAATTTATCAGCTGTACTACCGGATGCTAAAGTATTAGTAGTAACACAAATCTATAAGACGTTCGTCTAAATTTATCAGCTGTACTACCGGTTGTTAAAGTATTAGTAGTAACACAAATCTATAAGACGTTCGTCTAAATTTATCAGCGGTACTACCGGTTGCTAAAGTATTAGTAGTAACACAAATCTATAAGACGTTCGTCTAAATTTATCAGCTGTACTACAGGTTGTTAAAGTATTAGTAGTAACACAAATCTATAAGACGTTCGTCTAAATTTATCAGCTGTACTACCGGATGTTAAAGTATTAGTAGTAACACAAATCTATAAGACGTTCGTCTAAATTTATCAGCTGTACTACAGGTTGTTAAAGTATTAGTAGTAACACAAATCTATAAGACGTTTGTCTAAATTTATCAGCTGTACTACCGGATGTTAAAGTATTAGTAGTAACACAAATCTATAAGACGTTCGTCTAAATTTATCAGCTGTACTACAGGTTGTTAAAGTATTAGTAGTAACACAAATCTATAAGACGTTTGTCTAAATTTATCAGCTGTACTACCGGATGTTAAAGTATTAGTAGTAACACAAATCTATAAGACGTTCGTCTAAATTTATCAGCTGTACTACCGGATGTTAAAGTATTAGTAGTAACACAAATCTATAAGACGTTCGTCTAAATTTATCAGCTGTACTACCGGTTGCTAAAGTATTAGTAGTAACACAAATCTATAAGACGTTCGTCTAAATTTATCAGCTGTACTACCGGTTGCTAAAGTATTAGTAGTAACACAAATCTATAAGACGTTCGTCTAAATTTATCAGCTGTACTACCGGTTGTTAAAGTATTAGTAGTAACACAAATCTATAAGACGTTCGTCTAAATTTATCAGCTGTACTACCGGTTGCTAAAGTATTAGTAGTAACACAAATCTATAAGACGTTCGTCTAAATTTATCAGCTGTACTACCGGATGCTAAAGTATTAGTAGTAACACAAATCTATAGGACGTTCGTCTAAATTTATCAGCTGTACTACCGGTTGCTAAAGTATTAGTAGTAACACAAATCTATAAGACGTTCGTCTAAATTTATCAGCTGTACTACCGGTTGCTAAAGTATTAGTAGTAACACAAATCTATAAGACGTTCGTCTAAATTTATCAGCTGTACTACCGGTTGTTAAAGTATTAGTAGTAACACAAATCTATAAGACATTCGTCTAAATTTATCAGCTGTACTACCGGTTGCTAAAGTATTAGTAGTAACACAAATCTATAAGACGTTCGTCTAAATTTATCAGCTGTACTACCGGTTGCTAAAGTATTAGTAGTAACACAAATCTATAGGACGTTCGTCTAAATTTATCAGCTGTACTACCGGTTGCTAAAGTATTAGTAGTAACACAAATCTATAAGACGTTCGTCTAAATTTATCAGCTGTACTACCGGATGTTAAAGTATTAGTAGTAACACAAATCTATAGGACGTTCGTCTAAATTTATCAGCTGTACTACCGGTTGCTAAAGTATTAGTAGTAACACAAATCTATAAGACGTTCGTCTAAATTTATCAGCTGTACTACCGGTTGCTAAAGTATTAGTAATAACACAAATCTATAAGACGTTCGTCTAAATTTATCAGCTGTACTACCGGATGCTAAAGTATTAGTAATAACACAAATCTATAAGACGTTCGTCTAGCTTTATCAGCTGTACTACCGGTTGTCGAGGTATCAACTAACCATGCAGTTAACCATCCAAATCTAAAGTTTAGAGTCATCAGATCACTGTCCAACCCAAGGGGGGACAGCTATTTCATTAGAAAAAAATCCTTACATTCACTTCAAGGCGTTTCAATTCGGTTAAAAAGTTTCACTCGTCATACCAGTTAATAATGAAGTTTAGTAAGAAACATACTCCGAAGATAAGGTCCACGTTGAAGCAAATATTTCAAAAAAACAACAACTGTTTGTGTTCTCGAATGAAAAACTGCCTTGTATGTTCCCTCAAAATTTGAGTTCAACTGCCTTGTATGTTCTATCTTTAACTATAGTTACATCAGATACATTTACATATAGCTACAAGTCGCATAAAAAAACGACAGAAAATTTTCATCCATCTTAGGCCCGTTTCAAACGTCGAACTCTACATGAGCCGAGCGCATTTAAAACAAAAGATGACGAGGAATTTTATCTCGTTTTCTTTTGTCTTTCGGAGCATGTAAAGTTCGACGTTTGAAAAGAGTCTTACTTACCATCGAGCCTTGTTCAGCTTTGTAACTAATGCCATCCTTCGGTCCAATGACAATATCCACGGTGATCGTCCAGCCACTCTGAGATGAGATTTTAAAAGACAGTGTAAGGTGAACAGCGTTTCACTATACCAGGTGCAATTGATATACATGTAACAAAAGCGGGTGGGGATGGGGTTCGAGAGACCAGACTAGGGCGACAATCACGGCACAAAAAAATATGGCAAACATAAAATCGAAAAGGTAAAACGTAAACAATTCCAACAGATAAAAGCAAAATTTTGAAGGTAAAAACAATCCCAGGAAACAAGAAAAGTGAAGTAAACATGGATGATAGAAAACATCAACACGATGCACGCACGTACCCCTAATGAACATTTAAACGTTTCAAGATCATAACGATGAATGGTGGCGAGGAGATCAAGAAACCGGTAGCAGCATTGCTGTTCGTTTAAATCCGAATACTGCTTGAAGTAACTGTTGAGGATTTTCCGTAGAGCTTTCGGCTGAAAAGGACAATACAACAACAAATTTTTAATATCATGTAATTAAATATTAAAACCAATACACGGCATTAACACTAAAACTGAAATGTAAATAGTTTAAAATCGAGTAAAGGATAACCTTTTTTAATGACATACTACAAGCAAGCTTTTATGAAGAGTTAGATGACTTTTCATTAAGCCCTGGAATTATTAACTACGGACTCCATTTGAAAAATCAAACCACTCCTACTTAAATACATATACTTGAGACAAACAAGAATTCGATTTTCGTCATCAGTCACTCCACATGAAGACATGCGAATATAAAAGCACTCAAGTTTCAACATCAGATCACTCCTGATGAAGACACTAGATTGGAGTATAATCGGTAATCGAAGAACGGTAATCGCTAGAAGGTATACTTCAAAATAAGGTCTCCGCGAGGGAGCATTTAACGAACATAAAAACATTGCAAAGGATGGCATTTTTCGTATCAAAACACTTCAAAATTTTGCGGGAAATAGCAATCTCCTCCAACAAGTACGTACGCATTCTTGAGAAATTTTTCAAAATACGTAATTCTTAGTAATACTGTGGTGTAAAGCCTGTCTGTCGAGTACTGATAAGTTTGTTATTACCATTAACCAGAAATTTGCACGAAACGAGGCAGATCTTAATGAAATAATTAAAATCACGAAATAGATATTAGTTAGTAGAGCGACAAGAGCTTTGCAACCAAGGCTAATGACTAAACACACGCTGTTGTATGTTGTACCACGGAAGATCGGTGAATGGGAGGACTTGCTATGATCATGTTAATGTTGAATGTGATAATCAGTAGAAATTAGAAAATAATCGACTTCATACATGAATACTACCCCCTTCCGATCATCGATATTCGGCGTTATTTATGTTTAAGTTTGGTTTGTGTGTAAGAATTCTTCTCTGAACACAGAACGTTGTAAACAAAATGTGTAGCTGTGTCGTCAACAACTTTTAAGGACTTCGGACAAACGGTAAACGCTTTTGAAAAAAGCTTTAAAGTGTAAACATCAGCAATTCTGCTTTCATATATAATGAAATGTTCAAGAGTACATCTACGACGGCAATTTATTACATGGTTATTCAGCCGTTGTATTGCTTTTGTCTGGTGACTCTGTCAGTGCCAGTCGCGAATTCGTTTCCAGTTCCCTCACGGAAACCCTATTTTAAAGTATACCTTCTAGGGATTACCATATAACGACTCAAGTTTTAACATGCATTACTCCAAATGAAGAAAATAGATTGGGGTATATAATGACTCGAGTTTCAAAATAAAGCATAATACTCAACAAAATTTGCAAAATTCTTCGAATGGTCTAAATCTGGGTTTGTTATTCGTGTTAATCTATAATTTTTTGTAAATATATGACAATCTTGAAGATCCTTAAATAAATCAACACGAAGATCACAAAATCAAAAATAAAAAGTTTGAGCACAAACTATTTCTAACAAATACAAGCCGCGGCATACTAGAGAATTCACACAAGGTTTTATATTATAAATAATAAAGAGAAGGATTGTCATAAGAAAACGATGATTGTTATATGCAAAAAAAACCCAGAAATGTTCATTCTTACTTTCATATGTTCGATTATTGATCTGGGCAAGAAAAATGTGAGTCCAACCTCCTTCCTAAATGAAAATAGCAAGAAGTAAGAATTCAAGTCATTTTGGAAGCAAAGTGAAACATATTACAAAAAACAACATACTCCAGAATTTCAAAATTCGACTTTTTCTCAAGAGCGTTCGGAGGCATATCTTTGAAATGTCTCCTAATTAAACAACAAGATAACGTAATTACTCGTCAACAAAATGACGTCAAGTCAGGGGAAGGAAGATAACGTAATTACTCGTCAACAAAATATCGTCTAGTCAGGGGAAGGGAAAACAGTCTTCTTTCTTCGAAGCAATCACCTTCATGAAACTAGCTACTAACTGTCTTCGTGTAGTTACGAGGTAAATTTGAGACCTGAGTCAGTGAGTGAGCTTGTAGAGCACCAGTTAGCGTTAGTCATAAAATCATTTCATGCAAAAAACTTGTTCTAGGTTCTAGTTAACATTAAGTTAATATTATTTTGCTCTTCAAACGGGAAGCTCGTCACTGATTTCCGGATTTAAAAACTGTTATACACGTATTTAGGAGGAGTAGGCAACTATCTTAAACTGGGGTTTTTTAGACGCGAACATGGCATGGATGACGCATTTCCGGATTTAAAAACTGTTATACACGTGTGTAGGAGGGTAGGCAACTATCTTAAACTGGGGGTTTAAGACGCATGCATGGCATGAATGACGCAGAGCAAAAAAAATTTAATTTTGATGTATTAAGATCATTAGAACGACCGTTTTACAGAAAAAGTAATAAAATTTATGAAAATACATTTAATGAGCTACAGCTAGCATGTTTCACATGCAAAAACGAAAAAAAATCATGAAAATATGATATTGCATTGAGTCAGAATGAAGTCAATTTAACGAAAAAAAACGCTTGTACTTAATTTTACTACTAAGAGAAGATAAAAAGATCTTTGTCCGTAGGAACGATTGTAAATGAAAGCTGTCAAAAAATCCTATTTTTAAATAAAATAACTATTATAAAAGTATGTTACATACATTTTCAGGCAATTGAAACGTTAGTATTTGAAAACTTTTGATTATTAACGGAAACTTAAAATTTATGAAGGAGGATACATAGTCCCTTGTCCAAGTACATTTCCACCCGGATTACACGACCTACGTCACGACCACTTACCTCATCTCCAGTGCTCCCAAACGAAATGCAATATCTTGATCAACTCTTTCAGCGACACTTTGAAGATAGTCATTCTTAATCTACAACATAGACGCACGTTTTCCATAAACTTTCAGCAAATCGAATTTACTGTAAAAGATCTCAAAAGACAAGATGAAGATGATGTTCCATCGATACACTTAGGGAAAAAGGAGAAAAGAAACTACATTTATAATTAATATCATATTTCCTCTTTTAAATAGCCAATAACATTTACTTTGAGATATTTCTCGACTGTGATTGGCTGATTGCAGTGCAGTGCAGTTTACATGTAATTCCGCAGTGAAAATGTCTAATTGCACCGTTGAAAAGATGTAAAATGGGCTTTGCAGTGACCTGATTCAACAAAAAGCAGTGAAAGCCAAACAAACTTTTTCAATTAAAAAAAAAAAACAAACAGAGCGACTGTTGTAAGTGAACAAAGATTTCCACAATTGCAATCGTTTGAAATCCAAGAATTACAAAAGAATGCCAAAAAATAAAAACAAAACAGCAAGTACTGTTTTTACGTTAATGTTTTTACAGTTAGGCTGCGTAACGAAGCTTTTCTGAAGCGTTAGAGAATGATGAAGCCAGACAGAGTTAGACGATACAGTCAAAAAATGTCTCGGAGTATATTATTAAGTAACACTATAATTTCTCGGGGAATTACGGCTATAAAAACTCACGAGTGCATGTTAAGCGGTAATTGCAGGAGACACTCTACTTATTACTTAAAAATAGTTTGTTTTGAGATATTTCTTGACTTTACCGTCTAACTCGACTCGCTTCGTTACTCTCTATTGTTTCAGAAAAGCCTCGTTACGCGGCTTAAGTGTTAAAAACATTCATCTAAAAAAACAGTACTGTCTGTTTTTTTTTGTTCTTTGCATACTTTTGCAATTCTTGAATTTCAAACGATTGAAACAGCAAAAATCTTTACTTACTATTATCTAGCTCATCATCATCATCATGCAGTCAGTCGTAAGCGACGAGGACTGTTCTATGGTTGGATTGAAGCTCTCCAACGCATACTAAAACGTTGATTTTAGATAGCTACAAACTTGCGTTCATTACCTGATCGTAAAGAAAGAAAAAGCTCGCTTTGTCTCTTTCATAAAATGACGGCAAATCTCCGGGAAAAAATTTGACTCTAAGATAATATCTAAAAGGAAAGAAAAAGCTCGCTTTGTCTCTTTCATAAAATGACGGCAAATCTCCGGGAAAAAATTTCATTCTAAGATAATATCTAAAAGGAAAGAAAAAGCTCGCTTTGTCTCGTTCATAAAATGACGGCAAATCTCCGAGAAAAAATTTGATTCTAAGATAATATCTAAAAGGAAAGAAAAAGCTCGCTTTGTCTCGTTCATAAAATGACGGCAAATCTCCGGGAAAAAATTTGACTCTAAGATAATATCTAAAAGGAAAGAAAAAGCTCGCTTTGTCTCGTTCATAAAATGACGGCAAATCTCCGGGAAAAAATTTCATTCTAAGATAATATCTAAAAGGAAAGAAAAAGCTCGCTTTGTCTCGTTCATAAAATGACGGCAAATCTCCGGGAAAAAATTTCATTCTAAGATAATATCTAAAAGGGAAAAAAAGCTCGCTTTGTCTCGTTCATAAAATGACGGCAAATCTCTGGGAAAAAAATTGATTCTAAGATAAAATCTAAAAGAAAAAAAAAAGCTCGCTTTTTTTATGTTACAAAGGTAAGCATGCAGAACCAATATCCAAACAAAACTACATTTGACCGACGCGTGGTTATAAAACCAAACAAAACTACATTTGACCGACGCGTGGTTATAAAATGGCAATTTAATAGTTATTATAAGACGTTGGTTTACAGTTGGTTCATAGAATCACACATTCAAACTTCAACTTACAGGGAAATATTGTTCAACCTTCATATAAAATGGCCTGCGTGACCGAGGAATTGGGAAAACGTACGCGCATGCTTTAACTTCACTTCAAGGAGAATTTTGCAATGGATGAAATTCGAATTACCTGCACTCGTCAACGGGTAGACTATTACCATATTTCGCGCGTACTTCTTGGACTGTAAACCAACTACGCAGCCAATAGCTGGTATGCGACGCGAGGTGCTCGAAACGCATGCCATAGAACGTATGTGAAGCAGCTGCGTCAACACCGAGGCTTGAAATCACCAAGTGAATGATGCCCTAAAACAAAGAGACAATTCAGCTAATCAAGAAGGAGACTACATAAACTTGGAAGAAGCGGATACTTTCATGTTCTAGAGTGATGGGAGGGGGGGGGTTGGTAGAAATGCTTGAACTACGTCACAAACTAAAAGGAGAATAAAGGAATACTACGATGTTAGACACGGTGCAGAAGTACTTATACTATGTCACAAATTAAATGGGAAATGAGGGAGTAGTATGATACGTTTGACAGGGGGAGTGGGGGAGAAGTGTTTGTATTATGTAGTGCCTGTATTATGTCACAAACTATGTAAAAGGGCGGGGGGGTGAGGGAATACGGTAAGGTTTATGCCGAACACAGGAGATCGTAAACTCTTCCATTTTTACTTAACTTCACTCTCGGCGTAATATGTAGAACATAGAACAAATTAGTTTTCCTCGACTTTACGAATGAGTTGAAAATACTTTTAAAAGCCGCAATTTTGTGTTAAACACATGACCAACGGAATTTAAGTTGACAACGCATAAAATACCGGATGTATTTCGCCACGCCATACAGCATAATTGCGTGAACAGATAGCTCCCATCTTCTCATTAATCGCACGCATATAGCATAATTGCGTGAACAGATAGCTCCCATCTTCTCATTAATCGCACGCATATAGCATAATTGCGTGAACAGAGAGCTCTCGTCTTCCCAATAATTGCCATTCTATAATTGTTGTGCGTCCGCCTGTATTTCAAACGATGATAACTATGACACCTGCTCAAAGTATTCGTCCTTCTGTCATAGAAAAATATTCAAAACTCAAGAGCGAACGTAGTTCCCAGGGAAACGTCGTATTTAAAAAGGTTTTTGTGCGTCACAGGAAATTTTTCATGGTCAACAGACTGTTAAGGAAAACATAAATAGTTTTCGACAAACAAAACCAGGAAATACAAGACAAACGAATTTTTTTTTTTAAAATGATAGACGAGGGACTACTTTCAATTTCGAGTATAATTCAAAAAGAAATACTTCGGCCGCCGTTATGAGGTCGACCGCCATCAGGAGGCCTGTACGATTTGAATGCTCAATGTTGAAACAAACATTAATAATTAACGCAACGTAATTCAACGACGGTTTTGCAGTTCAAATTATCACATATGAACATACTAAATAACGGAAAATTATGTATATATTTATACAGCCAAAATGCAGCGACATGTCTGGACAATCAAGTCAGCAATGTTCTAGTTCAATTTCGACCAATTTTCTTTCTTTTATCCGTATAAGACATTCTCGACCCGTTACAAACGTCGAACTTTTAATAGGCCGAATGCATAAAAATATCCCCGATTATTTTTTGTTTTTAATCCGTTTGGCATGAACCTTCCATGGAGTTCTCGTGGTCAAGGCGCCATTTACAGACGTGCTTATTGGAAGCGAATCATGTGGGAACAAAAACAACCAAGCCACAACCATAATTCTGCAAAGCGAGGACCCTAGTTTTAGTTATTGCAATCATATTCTCTTATAGGATAGCATCATTCTTTCTTCTTCATAGTTTCGAGTTATGAGAAATATGACGGATAAAAATCTCAAAATATGGAAAACTTAATGCGCCAATATGAGACAGCAGTTATTTGCGTATGTACCGAAGCCTGCAAGTGTGGCAGCCCAATTCACACAACAAGTCTGTGTTCAACAGGGTTCATATTAACTCAGATTATCTTTTTTCACGTAAACACGGCTAACCCACGTTCTATACAGGTTTAACACGGGTCAATTCAACCTACTTCTTGAAATGGGCTAAATTAAACCCATTTCAAACCTGATTTGGTAATGTTTACACGCAAAAAATAGCCTAGGTTTATTTGAAACTGGATTTGAATCAAGGCTAGTTTATGTCGTGTGAATTGGGCTTATAAATGTGGTCCACTAAACGCACTTTGCATCCAGTCCATAGTTACAAAGTAACATGTGTCAAACATGGTTAACTAACCACACACTATGTGTCAAGTTCATAATCCCACCAACCAAGTAACATGGGCCTAACACAGTCAACCAACCACACACTATGTGTCCACTACATAATAATATCAACAAAGCATCATGGGCCTAAAACGGTCAACCAACCACACACAACCCTTCCAGTTCATAGTATGTGAACAATATACAATCTGACCTCCTATGGTTAATTGTGACAGAAACATAAACGGTTGAGTATATAGCATGTGTCCATGCAAAGTCTGCTTAACTAACAGCTACATATTCACCCATTGTCTCCAAATGATGTGTAAAATTTTCATCCAAGGTGTTTTAAACTGCTGGCTATGCACAATTGCTATGTGACTTTTGCGCTATGCAATCATTCCACGATTCATGGTGTCTTTTAGTGATACACATTGTTCACATACAGTCTTATTTGTTATATGTATCAGCACACAGTCACTTAAACCATGGACAGATTTTCTGGGGAGTGCAAGGAGGTGCCACCCCCCACCCCCCCAATATCACATTTCACTCCATATATATGAATTGAAGAAATATTTTAAAAATCTAATTTTTTAGCAAAACAAACCAGTAGTAGAGTGGAAATGAGTTTTTATGAGGAATGCTTAATTTTTTTTTCTCTATGGTAACTGCACTACCTGGCCACCCCTCCATCCTCACTTCCTTACTATGTCTATTACCATCGCTTACTTACAACAACAGTCCCTTAAATTTTTTTGAGCTCCCCTGTAGAGCATGTGAGAATCTGACTTTGACTGCTTGTCCAATGTGTTGTAATATTGTCAATAAATTGAAATGTGATATATTTTTGGGCTATTATTGAGCAATGACAACCAATGTGGTTGTTCCCAAAATTTAATATTTCAATGAACAAAAAACCGAATATCTAAAAGTGTGGCAATGAAAGGAAAATGATATGAGTCTAGTGTTGTGATATTTTCTATAAATCAGAAGAATTTTTGAACAAACTATTTAACATGATCGACTTGATATCACTTTCAAAATTTTCACTTCTTTGTGTGCAAACAAACATATCTGAATAGCAAAGTGCATAATTATTCCTATCACACTCCACTATTGCATACTACAGGATATTTACACATCACTAAACAAAAAGTGATTGATATAGAAAAAGTACTATGCTTGGAAGTCAAATTAAAAAAGTTTAAAAGAGCATGGACTAAGACAGAAAATGGATCATCTTTAACTCCCTCAGCAGAACCTTTCTGCCAGCCTTTTGCATAAAATCTAACATTGTATAAATAAGGCCACTGGTTTGCATAATTCCTTACATAAATTTTTTCCACATGAAGGAAGTCATTTATTTAGGTTCAATTTCTTTTGCTGTGTTTGTCATATACCTTACAAAGCACATCTCTGATACATTATACAGCAATGCAATGCTTGAGTTGTAAATTGTTGGTTGGACTAATTAACTCTTGTTAAGCTGACTAAGTTGTTATTTGTAATGGATTCTTTCTAAAATTGCCAACCATGCAATTACAAGGAGAAAATCACAATTTCAAAATGGCAGAATACAACCTTCATCAAACTTTGTGCACCACTAAATATATTACTATTAAATCCCAAACCAAGACTTATCAATAGTATGATTGATGTGGATATTGAATAAAAGAAAATTGTATGAAAATAAGTTGCCATATTTCCAAGAAAGCACATGAAATTCTATGTCATCTGGTGTAATTGGAATTTTCAACTTTCACAATATACATAAAAGAAAATAAAAGTCAGGTCAGCTGGGCATTTCTCTCAGATAGGTGGCCATGGGAAACTGCAGGAGAAGCAGCAGCTGCTTTCCAAACCCTTTGTTTGTCGGTTTAAGCCCAATATCAACAAGACATACCCCACTATCTATTATGGCGTTCTTGCATGACATAATCTGATCAAGGAATTTGTGTACAAAATATATAATGAACGGTTCAATTATTAATGGGGCAGTAGATGAGGCCTTTTCAAAGGAATTGTCTATGCCTTTTGTAGAAAGGCATTAATTAACACAAATTAAATCGACCTTGATGAGAGGATGTGGTCATTTCAAAACAGAAATCGCGAGCAATTGCATGCACAATGACAATACGAAACGCGAAAGAAAACCCGATTATATTGTACAACATATCTTAGTCGGAGACGTCGCAAACGAGTCGATATCTATTCAAAATATCAAAATAATAAGGTGAACTTGAACGCCTGCTTGTGTTTTAAGGACAAAAAAGAAAGCTAAAAGCAGGTTTAATTTTAAGTCACTCGTTAAAAGGAAGTTTAGACTATTTGCCTTAAAACGCGTCTAAACAAAGCGTCAATACAGAATACTTTCTCGCTGTAAAGTTGTTTTGGCTTGCCACTTGCACAAGGTGGCTTGTTGTGGAGACATACATACCTTTATGTCCGTTGTTTCGCCACATTTAACGCTACGAAATTCGCCATTCGGTAGATATACTTTTACTGTCGATCTCTGGTCTGTACTGCTCGTACTCGCTCTGTGGCCTCTGTCCGCGTCCGCCTTTTTACTTTTTGAGCGAAGCTTGAACGTCTTTTTCGAATCACCACGAACCATCTTGGCGAATTCGATTCGACAATTACGATGGCACTCCTTCGAGTATTTTACAAAGACGTTCGTAACGTGACAGATATTGCCAAACTAATAGCCATGGATATATTTAAAGAAGGTACAAAAATATTCAACGACAGTCAAGTAAACACACAACCCGAGTTTAAAATGTGTTCTAAATGCGTACAAGTACAATGACGTACGTCCGAAATCATACTCTCATTTAAATATGCCGACAAAATCACAATACAGTTGTTTGAATGAACTAAAAAAAGTCTGAAATCGACTAACTGTGTATTGTCAACATTCAAAAATGTTTCTCTCCCAATTTCCGTCTAGACCGCGAACGCTATGAATTGTGGGATATCTTTTCCGGTTCGTTTGTATTCAATATATTGATACAAAACGCAAGAAAATTATTAATTGCATTCACAAAGGGGTTTCTACAAGACAATGTGCGCACGAATTGAATTGTCCTGGGCTCTTTGAACTGCTGGAAACCATCAAAAGAAAGCACATCTCGATTTTCGAAAGTTCTGTACGTGGGGACCGTGGAAAAACTATATTTGTTTTGAACTTTAGTGACGTATACAATAGATGACGTAATTGTAAACTTCAAGTATACGAACTTTCAGTTGTCAATGGTTACTTAGAACCTCGCCCATACTCAAGATGGTGATGTCGGGAGACGGCTATTGAAGAAGGCAGATGGTTAAGCCGGATATACTAGTGAATCAAAAAATTGCAAATAATTTGTATGCACGAGATTATAAAAGTTAAAATTTCTTTGGCTTTGCAACTAGTTACTCATCGGTGATTAAAAATCGAACTAATTTTCATTTACTCTGTGTGTGTAATTGGTAGTACTGTACGTGGAAAGATTCAAATCTCAAAAGCGTAAACATTTGCACAGCCATTAAAATTCTATGTATGTAATTTCGTGCATACAAATTATGATATTTTGCAATTCTTTATTATATACCCAGTACATTGAACTGAAATACAACTGGAACGATAAGTCAGAGGGGGGAATGAAGCCAGGTTTTTTCATTTTGGCAGGTCACGCCAGTCCTTTTGTAAAAAAAAAATCAAAAAATAGCATTTTTATATTAGTAAAATTTCAAAATTGTACTTTGTGGTGGTTTTCCAAAATACCATCGAATTTTAAGAATATTAGTCAAAATTATAGACTGTCAAAAAAAATCGGCATACCCGAACGTTGTGCAAGTTACGTCATGTCCGCCAGTGGATGACCAATGAAAGCACTTTCCTTATTTACTATGCAAATGTCGTCTAACATGGCGGAAAATTACGCAGAACGATGCGTAGAAGCAATGACTTAGAATATCAATGCTTAGAACCCAATCTACTAGATATCTGAGTAATGAATTCGCCCAAATTCTTGAGTTAAGAATAAGGCATGCTGCCATCTTGAATGATGACAAAATTGACGGTATTTGCGACTGATACCTGCTTTTCTTGAGTTGATATACAGCTGTAAAGTTGATAGTCTAGGTTTGATTTATATAATATTGGATAATATTGATTTATATCACTTGTTTTCCTTGTTGGGTTTTTCTTTTGCCACCTTTCGAGTCGAGATGGATAAAAGTGCTCTTTTGTTTTAAATTTTAAAGTTTTGTTCAAAAAACTATTACAAAGTTTTCGTTTCGTCAGCACTTTGTATACGGATGAACGTTATCTCAAATAGAATGTTCCCAACATTGCATCAATGCATATCTTCCAGATAACATCAATTTAGAAATTGGGAATAAGATCTAGGTTGTAGAGTCTTTTCGCCGGTCGGGATGATTACCCTTAGGGAACAGGCAGTAACAATTGTGATGGAAGCTTTACACCTGTTGTCCGTCACTCATGCATGTCAACATCAATTTACTCGCCTACATTAAAACAATATTATGAAATGGCGACTGATTCTACTTATGCATCGACAGTACAATAGAATGGCAATGAAATGAAAATCTCAAGTAGAAAACATCGAATCTTGATTTTTCTTGGCTTTATCTTAATATGGGAAAATCATGTCAAGGCAAGTAATTTACATACACACGCCAGTGATTTAATTTTCAATTGCAGCCAACAATAGAACATCGTTTTTTCAAAATTTTTTAGCCGTAACCCTAGCCCTAGCCCAATTTACTTTGTATGAGATTGCGGCAACTGAAAAATTGGAAATTTCAGAAATGGATCCACGGTTAGACAAAATAAATCGAAATCCCAACTATTCAAAGTAACTTTTATGACCGTGCAATGAAATTATAAAGTGTTGAAGAATAAAATCTTCTCGATGAAAATGCTTTCACGCTGTTTTTAGTGAAATGAAATAAATGACGTCAACACGTACATGTTGAAATATATGTCAAAATCTCTACCATGCGCTCTTGTAATTTATATATAACGCTACGTCTACCATACGAAATACCCACAGAGAAAGTAAATATAAGTCAAGGCTTGCGCCTTTATGTGATGCATTCGTCGATTTGCCGATGTCAGAAGTGGATTTTTCTCATACACTTGACCCAAATTTTTGATGTAACCTTTCTAATTCTCGATTATGGCGCAGGTGAACACCCTCGTTTCTAATTATATAAATAACTCGACCCGACGACCCAAGTCAGCACTCTTTTCTTAATATATGAAAAATTCGACCCTGGTCAGCAACCTCATTTCTTACTGTATGGATTACTCGTTCCAGTCAACTACTACATTTCTTATCGTTTGAATAACTCAACACTGTTAAAATTGATTGGTTAAAATAATCATTTGTTTGGTTAAAGTAACCTTAAGAATAGTGGTTAAAGTTATTAATGCATCTGAGGTAACCAATTTTTATGGTTATTTTAACCAATCAGTTTTTACAATGAAATCTCTGAACTCCTTTCTACACAGGCAAAGACTGCTAGCGCTATACTAAAAAGGAATGAAAAAACGAATAAGCCACATGGAAATCGAGGTATGATACAGAAATTTAATGGTGTGGTTAACTAAACTTTATAACATATATATTTCTTGGAGTTTTATCATCATTTAACACAACATTGGTGAACTACATTCTGTAACAGCTATAAAATAACAAAAATACAACGCGTGCGCTGATTGGTCTATAGCTGAGTTGCATAAGCTGATCAGAGCTCAATCAATTAAATCAATGAAAGAGAACTTGCAAATCAATCATGGATGTGTTTCGTGTTTGCACTGCCTTATGCAAACCTCGGAGACGTTTGAGAGAACTCCTTGATTTGTATAAACCAATGCAAACACAATAAGCATCATTTATTTCTTAAAGCCCGAGCTTTGACACAACTAACCAAAATGACTGCTTTGACGTTAGATGAAAAACGCCATAGTCGAAGTTTAATCCTCGTAGCTAACTTAACTATCTGTTTATTTTTTTTCTCACTCATGCAGCTCCCAAGAAATTCAACCAAAATCAAACGAGAAAATCATTAATTTTCAAAACGCCTTCACTAGTTAATGTTTCAAGTGTTGCACAAAAAGTTGGGGATGGTTTGGATTTAGGTAAGAAACTTTTACAAAGTTATGCATTGATCGACAGCCTTTGTTTAGGGATTTGTATATTCAGTTTCACATTCACAACTCTCTCTCTATACATATAATTCTCGAAGCACGAGCCTCGATTTTGCCACAAAATTCCTCGCCTCACGTGGTTACTTCATGTATTGGCAACCAAGTAACTCTGAAATGCGTTGCCGAAGGCAACCCTGCACCGGAGTTTATTTGGTACAAAGGCAAGCAGGCGGTGAGCCGCAATAAAGTTGCAGAATTTGACCTCAACATTGCTCCTTCAAAGTTCACGCGGGCTAGCCACTTAACGCTCACACCAAATGTGAAGGATGACTTTGGTGAATATCAATGTTCAGCAACGAACACCTTGGGAACGACGCAACAAAGCACACATAGAATTGTTCTTAATGACAAAGGTAACACGTTTATAGCAAATAGCGAAGCCACGCTGCAAGTTTATCATGTTTTATAATCTTTTTATCTTTTATTTCTTTGAGAATCGATTGTTTTTAAAGAGAGTGAATAACAAAATACTTACATAGGACGAACAAACTTGCGGCCTGGCTCCACCAATTTTTTACTACTTTATGGTTCTGAGACAATGGTGTTCTTTATATATGACCACATACACAAGCACTTCTGCGTCAATTTTTGCTTTTTCATTTTCGTTTTTTGATTTTTCACTTGCTTTTCAAACGATTTTGGTTTGGTCTTTTATGGCTTTTTTGTTTAATCTTGACAAGCAAACGGAACGACACAGACTAGACGGATCTTTCGTGTACGTTTTTGTTATGTATATTTTGAGCAAGTTCTCCATAGAAAGTATGAAAAACTAAAAACATTATCAGTATACGGGTGGTCTTATTTCAAAGCCATCGTCGGGGATCAGAATATGAATTCATAGTATAAGGTTGCAAACTTTCAAGTTTTGGTCGTGTTACGTAAATTTCAGAACCTTATGGTCATTCATTTCTTTAAAATCTGTAGCTTTTACAGTGAGGGAACTGAGAAAAAATACAAGCATGTTAGCTTCAACCCTGAAAGTCAATAGAAGCACTTTTACAAAATTTCCGAGTAGTGCTTCCGTATTACTTATGACGTCAATTAAGCAAACATGGCGGCATTTTTAAATTTAAATTTGTCAATTTCCCCTTAACGTGAAATAGACATAAATTATAAACACATCAAATTGTTTGCAAACTCCCAAAAAAATCTTAAGCCAGTGAAAAAGTGTGTACAACTTATCACACTTTTTGCAATCTGTCTAGATATCGCTTAAACAAACATTGCAAAATTAAATTGAAATACTCGAATGTATCAGTAGACAGATCTTTGCTAGTGAAGTATTTTTTAGGAGAGCAGTTATGCACAGAGAGCGCGTACAACAAAGACAAGAAGAAGTTTAATTCCATCGTCATCGGAACATTTTCCTCCGCAGGAATGATTGTGGTTCTTCTGTGTGTAGCAGCATTTGTGTTGTGGAGAGTAAACCAAAGAGAATCTTATAGTAAGTGTTTTAGCAATGAAAACTTTGATTGCTCTTTTTTCGTAACTGTGAATAAATGTTCAAATGCTCAAACAAAAACGCAGTAGCCTTCTGTTACCTTGTAGTAAGCCCTGAAATTTTTTGACTCAAGCTTTGTAGAAAACTTTATCAAATTTAACTTACAGGTAAGTTCCTAAAACTAAACAATATTATGTTTTAGCCTACAACCGCTTAGGAAGCAAACAAGACCGTGCAGAAAACATGAAAGCGGGAAACGATGGTAAAACATGAAAAAACTATATTATATGAATTGTTCTCTTTCAGAGAAGGTAAACTTTTCAGTCATTTCGGAAAGTAAGAAATCTAAATCTTCTGATGGTCTGGCTTCGATTAAAATAGTTTCTTGCCCAATGTGTGCATTGCCGGAAAATCGCCGATTGTTTAAAAATTTTTCACAAAAAAGCTGCGAAATTCCCAGTTTGTGCCAATATACTAACAAAAATATGCCAAGAAGTACAAAAATTGTCTGCAATGTAATCTGGTAACCTAATTTCCCGAGCAATATTGCACAAAATTTTACCGTCGGCAGGTTTCCCTAAAGAATTATTTAGCATGTACACATGGCAATTGACAAAGTGTGCATTTTATATATAGGAAATGCAAGAAAAACCAACCACCAATCAAATGGGCAGGAAATAAATGACGAAGACGTCTTTCAAGACGATTTCGATGCCAAGGAGATTGGCCGTCTTAGCAGCCTTTTGGCAGGAGATTGGGAACGACTAGCACGGTTGCTAGGTTTCCATCAGCACGATATCAACGCAATACGTGAAGATAGCATTAAGATGGAATCGAGATGCGCGGAGATGTTGAACAGATTCCGACGAAAAAAAGGATCGCGGGAGACATTAGCAGAATGCGTCGAGGAAATGAAGAACATAGAAACAGCGATTGCAATACGAGAAAAATTTTATAAAACAAATCCGACCGATTGAGTTTCCACAATTACCGAGTTTATGACATTAAAAAATTGGTCATCAAATGTCAAAATCATATCTCGTGCAGCTAGCGGAAATAAAAATCTTATAGATTGTCAACCGTAAAGCGGTCAGTTGGTCATAACTCGAAGTAACACATTCATAGCACATGATCTATAACATTGTAAAATTACGACATTAGCATCACTGCATCAGAATAGCCCACTTATTGAGGCGGGTTGATTTTCACACTCGCTAAACTTTTGTTCGACATAAATGTTTGTCGTCTCAAACGCTTGCTTCCTCTTCTTAATAAAATCGCTCAAACTGCTTCTCACTGAACAAGAAATCGCCTTACCTCCTGCACGTCATCTATTGCACCGAATGAGAAAATATGAATTTGGAGCTTCTAGATTCAAAGAAACGGCCGTTTCAGAATATTTGTAAAATTGTAACGAAACGATTTGATGTGTTACAGTAAAATAGTTGAAATTAAGAGCTACTTTGTAATATAATAAATTACTATGTTTCAATTACTTTCGCATAATAATAGTAAGTTAACATATTGCATAATATGTTTTGACCACTCAAATAAAAGCTTTGAGGCGGCTTTTTGTCTCCTATGCCCTTTTTATAGATTGATACTTTCAAGTGTTGAAATGACTTGTAAAGCGCTATTTCAGTACAATCCAATGAAAGTTCTTTCATTACTGAAATTAGAATTAATAAAATTAAGACCACCAAGTATAGCGTTGAGTGAAATGAAAATTATTCATAAAAGTCAGACATACTGGCTTTTCTTATTGGAAAATAATCTGTATTGCAATTCTATGAAATTCATGAGAACATCACTTGGAATTTTAAAGTAGAAGAGAAAGAAGGGCAACTATTGTTAAAAATTTGAGACATAAATGAACGTCCGATAGGAAAGTTGTCAAGCGGGTTATTTTTTCAGCTGAATTGACTTTGCCGTTTTCTCATTCATTTTATCATTTCGATTTCAAATTAGAATGCGTTTCACTTTTTGTGTATCACATTGCATGTTATCGCATTGATTTTACAAAGCTGAGAACTAATTTATTTTGCTATTATCTGATTTGAAACACAGAGTGACACGTTTCTAGCTTCTTCTAATACTCGAACGACTGGAGATGCTTTTAAAACAAAACATTGAAATGAGAAAGCGAATGTTTGTATGCTGCGTATTCTCTGCCCAAATAAACTGCTTTTTTAAATATAAAGCCTGTAGCTGCTACGATTAATACATCGGATTTCTGTTGAAAAAATTATAATATACGAATTTCCCTATTTCTCAGCAAGAAATTCGCTACTTATATAATATTCATGCGAGTTGCTTCAATCCATCGTTATCCTCATTGTACTTTGTCAAATATTTTAAAACTCCCATGCTGCGTTTGTAATGGTGCATAACCTCCTCCAAATCGTTCAGTTCCCATATCTTAAATTTTCTTGACGTTTGCTTAAAGAAATATCAACACCAGAACTTCCTGCAGTTAAGTCGAAAAAGATCGAAGAATTAGAAATGTATCGAAAACTCGTTTCGCATCTGCTGATTTGGGCTTTCTTTCTTTTGGAGCAAGGTGATTTTTTGACGTATAGTATTATAAATTGTAGCTATTCGTTACCGGTCAATAAATTGTAGAAACATAAAATAGAAACGACATTCCACATCAAAAATCATCAGTCGAAATGTTATTATTTCGCAAGTAACATGTTCTTTCTTTGTGCGTAGGCTTGAAGTAGTCTGGTATCTTATGACTTATGAGTACCTTTCTATTATAATCTTAAACTATCGCTCACATCAAATTCGAACAAACAGTCCTTGTCTTTATAAAGAATGTCGTCAGACTGTTGTCGTAATGTTATGTTAAAAACGTAATGTATGTCCTTGGTTTTTGATTTATACACATTTTCACTTCACTCTTAGGAGTTTCATTCTAAAATAAAATAGCTTTTTCAAGTTTGCGCTTCTTGCTGTAATATATCAAACTATATTATAGATGTTTATATAGTGCAAAATCTAGCAAAAGTATAGAACGAGCAAAAGTGAAGGTTTTTTGAATGAAAAAAAACCTTGATAAATTAAATTTGACGGTCTAACACAACACGGTGTCCTATTAATGGTGTCCTTATATATGTAAAGCATAATTATTCATGAAAAGAAGAATGATAATTTGAGATAACCATTTTGAATAACACCAAAGGTTTTGGAATCTTACAAAAGTTGTGATCAACGCACAACAGTTAAACAACATAAATATAGATTTATTCCGTTTTCGTCATAACTGGTTCATTTACGTCATAAACGTCAATCTAAAAGCCAAATTTCAGGTTGTCCTTTCTATATAAGAAATACCCATGCTCCGAAAACAGCGAGCATTTGCTCACTCAAACTCCCATGACTTCCAAAGCTCTGACAACATACACATTAGTGCACACAGATAGTCAACTCGAAGCCGATAAATATACAAATCTATTCAATAGGTTCTGATGGATTCTTTGTAAAGCATCTCCTCACTGGAATGTGTGTAAACGACACAGCCAAAATACAGTCTTATGATCGTCAATGGGGAAGTCTTTCCTTTGTAGAGCTTTCTGACAACTGCTTTGATCCAGCTGCACAGTTCAGATTCCTAAATACCAGCGCTATAATAAACATCAAAAGACAGGGTTGTTTAGCTGGATTTAATAGACCGTTCAACGGCCACAATCTTAGTATGTTTTATCTATACATTGATGCGTTCAGTCCTTATAGAGACGCTTGCACTGCAAGTAAAGCAATAACACCAACATCTTGGGGTGGTTTGTCAACAAGAGTTGAAACGGTTCCTACTCCTTTGTGTGCAGTCAACGCTTCATTCCCTGGACTCAGAAGCCAAGGTGTTGATCCGTATTTGAATTTGACACAAGATTGTTCCGATGCTGCAGACAAGAGATTTCATTTTGGTGAGTTTTTTTCATTAATGATTGGTAAAAAAAGTGTTTGACTCTTTGTGAGTAAAAACGACAGTACATGTGACGGCAAAGCTAAAAACATATATTCCCATACTTCTGTGGCCCTAAAAAGCCTTCAGACTACGCCTAAACTGAAGTTGATAATCAAATCAATCTCTCAATCACTTAAGTGTAAATTTTGAACAGTCTCAAAAACAGGAAGCCTTCATCGTTACCAGTAATCTTCTATTCAATAAATTCCTTGAGACAAATAGCCCTCTCTCATTTCAAATTCATGAAAACAGAAATCTTCAATTTCATTGGCACTTATACCTTTCATGTGTTTAAGGTTCAGTCACGTGTTTTGGACAGAATATAACAAACGCCAACTGTCCCAAAGGTCAATACATGATTATAAAAACTGCGTCGTACCGTGGACTGAGTGAAGGGAAAAATTGTGGTTCACATTATAAAAACTTTAGCTGTAGTGTTGATGTTACATGTTATCTAAAAAGACATTGTGATGGTCGACGAGAGTGCAATGTAACTGTTGATGACGGTCTTTTTCTCCCTTCCAATGTTTGTCCTGGTTTGAGCAAGTATCTTTACTTTGAATATCAATGTAGCAATAACATGACGTCATTCAACGAGTCCTGCCACAGTAAGTTGATGGAGTTCGGTAAAATTATTTTTTCAATGCTGTCTTTCAGTCAAGTATCTTTTCATTTCTAAACAAGTCATTGTTTCAGTTATATCTTTTCTGCATGAAAGATTCGTGGTCCAAACATTAAAAATCCAATTTATTTGAAATTTGTTTGGCTCTACCGAGCAATTGATAAATTTTTACCAGCTAATAACTCGCAGCAACAAAACTAGTTACTGCACATAACTGGTTACTTGGAGCATGCTTCATTTGAAAGAGTTGTTCACATATTCACAAGTATAAGAGTGGGAAAAGATTTTTTTGGGGGTGCGACCTGAAATCGACGTGCGGGCTGAAATTGACTGAATCTTTTCTTTGTAGCTTTCAAATATTCTAGAGTTTTGAACATATCGAGCACTTAAAGTGATTTATGAACCTTTGTCATTTAATTGTACTTCGATACATTTAATACAAAAGTGCAAGTTTAAGGTGCAATTAATACATTACCTAAAACGAAGAACTTAACTAAAAACGATAACAATTGCTGTAGTGCTCATTGCAAGCTTAATTCTAGTACTAAGACTAAGATGATATGACAATGCGATGTATACGTTTTTGCTCCAAGATAGCACGAATGCATGTTTACACTCTCCAAAGAGTTGGAAATGGGACCATGTCATTGGAACTCTAAGTGGATGATTACATGAGCTATGTTAGCTGGGATTCGGTGAAGCGATAAATGATTTTGGCAAATGAAAGAGATTAAACACTTATCATCATATTAAACTTCTTGAGCATTTTCACCATATTCTGACTTTATAAATACGCAAAGCATTTAAAATTAAAACAAGTAATGAGGTCTAATTTGAGAATTACAACAGGAATGACTTGTGGCACTTAATGCGTCGACATCCTTTCAGGCCTCACTGAATCTCGGTTAGTCATGTAAACAGCCTCTAAAAATTGTACAAAGAATTGTGTTCACGATGTTGCAATTCGTGTTAATTCATAGGATATTTTAAAAAACACTTGAGAAAAACGACGATTTTTTTGAGAGCAAACATGTTTCGAAATTATCAGAATGCCATCTTCAGTGCAGAATGATTAGTGTTAAGTAATATGATACATAATATGATATGAGTAAATTAATTACAATGAGTATTAAGTATTAATAACTATAACGTAAGTTCTAAAAATAAGTATTAAGAATTTATAACAAAAGTATTATTATAAAGTAAATATAGTGTTGTAGTGGTGAACTTGGATATTTAAATCGGGATTAGTTTTATTAATGTGTAGAGCTTCCTTGATTTTGAGTGAGAAAGTGGATTGATCAGTGTCGATGATTTTAAAACAGGAAGGTGAGAGTTTGTTTTTACATGAAGGAGAGGCTTGAAGATGTTTGTAGATAGTGGAGTTTTTGTCTGTGTGAGTATGTTCCTTTATCCTGGTAGATAATTGGCGAGAAGTTTCACCAATATAACGGGAATTACATCCCGCACATGAAAATTGATAAACTACCATAGATTTAGAAAGTTCGGGAAGTGGGTCTTTAAACGAAAATAAAGATTTTATTTTGAAAGATGTGAAAATAAGTTTAACGTCAATGTCAGTGCAGTAGCGTTTAATGATTTGTGTGAGTTTGCGTTGTGTGTGTCGTGAGTAATCACCTATGTAAGGTAGTTTGAAATAACGTTTATTGTCAGGTTGTTGTATATCGTTAGTGTTAGTTGTGGAGTTAGATGAGTCAGTGCTTTTCTTGTTGTCCAAATAGTGTTGTATAGTGTTGTTGATGAAATGAAAAGGAAAAGAATTACGTTGGAGAGTGAATATTAGTTTCTTTAAATCACGTTGAAAGCCGATGTCTGTGTTGTTGAGTTTCCGTGCTCTGTCGGTCAGTGTTCGTATCAGTCCAATTTTGTAATTTAATGGTGTGAAACTAAAAAAGTTAGTCAGTAGTCCTGTATATGTTGGTTTGTGGTACGTAGAGGTCATACAGTTTTCATGTGATTTAGTTAGTAAGATGTCAAGAAAGGGTAACTGATTGTCTTGTTCGGTTTCGTATGTAAAGTTTATGCTTTGATGTTGTTTGTTGATGTATTCGTAAAAGAGTAATGCTTCGTCTTTGTTATGAAAAATACAAAAAATGTCGTCAACGTATCTGCGATAAAATAAAGGTTTGTTGTTGCTGTAGTTATTTAACCAGTTTCGTTCGTGAAAACCCATGAAAATGTTGGCTAGAATGGGTGCCAAGGGTGAGCCCATACTTACCCCGTCAATTTGGTCGTAGTACTTACCGTTAAATAAAAAATGAGTCTCGGCCGTAGTGATGTTAAACAATAGTTTTAGTTCTGTTCTGCTCATTTTGAATGTAGGGTTGTTGGTAAAATTAAATCAATAGCAATGTCTATGGTTTCGGTCAGTGGTATGTTGGTAAAAGGCTTTCAACGTCAAAAGAAATAAAGAATTTGTCATGTGGAGCGTTAGTGTTAAAAGATAAAAATCATCGATAAAACTAAAAGAATCTTTAGCAGAATGGTCATTAGGTATTAGGGGTTGGAGTAAAGAGCTGAGGTATTTGGCTAATTTGTAGTTATACGAATTGATTGAAGAATTTATAGGTCTGATAGGAGGTATGTCATTGATATCGTTTAATTTATGAAGTTTAGGTAAACCATATAATCGAGCTGGCTGTGAACCTCTAGGGTATCAATGACATACGTTTACTACGAACTACGATAACGAAGAGATCTAAAGAACTACGAACACTGGATAGGGACCTGACGAACAAAACAGAAGAAATCAAAAGCTTTCTTAACCCAATTGACTGGCATATCTTAAATAAAGCCCTCAAAAAGAATGTCGACAAACAACTAAACAAAATATTTTCGACACACCGTAAGAAACTAAATAATTTGACCAAAAGCAAGGCTATACCATTCACTCATAAAGACACTGTCACCAACCTATCATCTGTAAAGCTAAGTGAAGATGAACTTAACGCTCTAAAAAACGGTCTCAACTTCAGCATCAAACCTCCAAAAATCCACTCCTCCGACATTCTGGCAACATTCGAACGAATCCACTATTCATTAAGAAATAAACTTATCAAACAAGAGGACTATTCAATACTAAAAACGGAACTTGGTCACTTGGCACACACGTACGTAACTTCCTACCATCCAACTCCTAAAGACCTGAAGAAACATAAAATTCTAAGGAACATCCGTAATAATGACAAAATCATTGTTCTTAAACCTGACAAAGGCAATGGTGTAGTCATTATGGATCGTCAGGTATACATTAACTCTTGCCTCACTAAAATTAACAATTTATCTAAGTTCAAACCACTCGATCATGATCCTACAATTTCCCGTGAAGCAAAGTTACAACGACTGCTACGTAACTTAAAGAAAAAAAACTCTATAGACGAAAAATCATTTCAAGAAATGTACCCTAGAGGTTCACAGCCAGCTCGATTATATGGTTTACCTAAACTTCATAAATTAAACGATATCAATGACATACCTCCTATCAGACCTATAAATTCTTCAATCAATTCGTATAACTACAAATTAGCCAAATACCTCAGCTCTTTACTCCAACCCTAATACCTAATGACCATTCTGCTAAAGATTCTTTTAGTTTTATCGATGATTTTTATCTTTTAACACTAACGCTCCACATGACAAATTCTTTATTTCTTTTGACGTTGAAAGCCTTTTACCAACATACCACTGACCGAAACCATAGACATTGCTATTGATTTAATTTTTACCAACAACCCTACATTCAAAATGAGCAGAACAGAACTAAAACTATTGTTTAACATCACTACGGCCGAGACTCATTTTTATTTAACGGTAAGTACTACGACCAAATTGACGGGGTAAGTATGGGCTCACCCTTGGCACCCATTCTAGCCAACATTTTCATGGGTTTTCACGAACGAAACTGGTTAAATAACTACAGCAACAACAAACCTTTATTTTACCGCAGATACGTTGACGACATTTTTGTATTTTCATAACAAAGACGAAGCATTACTCTTTACGAATACATCAACAAACAACATCAAAGCATAAACTTTACATACGAAACCGAACAAGACAATCAGTTACCCTTTCTTGACATCTTACTAACTAAATCACATGAAAACTGTATGACCTCTACGTACCACAAACCAACATATACAGGACTACTGACTAACTTTTTAGTTTCACACCATTAAATTACAAAATTGGACTGATACGAACACTGACCGACAGAGCACGGAAACTCAACAACACAGACATCGGCTTTCAACGTGATTTAAAGAAACTAATATTCACTCTCCAACGTAATTCTTTTCCTTTTCATTTCATCAACAACACTATACAACACTATTTGGACAACAAGAAAAGCACTGACTCATCTAACTCCACAACTAACACTAACGATATACAACAACCTGACAATAAACGTTATTTCAAACTACCTTACATAGGTGATTACTCACGACACACACAACGCAAACTCACACAAATCATTAAACGCTACTGCACTGACATTGACGTTAAACTTATTTTCACATCTTTCAAAATAAAATCTTTATTTTCGTTTAAAGACCCACTTCCCGAACTTTCCAAATCTATGGTAGTTTATCAATTTTCATGTGCGGGATGTAATTCCCGTTATATTGGTGAAACTTCTCGCCAATTATCTACCAGGATAAAGGAACATACTCACACAGACAAAACTCCACTATCTACAAACATCTTCAAGCCTCTCCTTCATGTAAAACAAATTCTCACCTTCCTGTTTTAAAATCATCGACACTGATCAATCCACTTTCTCACTCAAAATCAAGGAAGCTCTACACATTAATAAAACTAATCCCGATTTAAATATCCAAGTTCACCACTACAACACTATATTTACTTTATAATAATACTTTTGTTATAAATTCTTAATACTTATTTTTAGAACTTACGTTATAGTTATTAATACTTAATACTCATTGTAATTAATTTACTCATATCATATTATGTATCATATTACTTAACACTAATCATTCTGCACTGAAGATGGCATTCTGATAATGTCGAAACATGTTTGCTCTCAAAAAAATCGTCGTTTTTCTCAAGTGTTTTTTAAAATTGCTGCTAATTAGAAATCATAGGATATTCATGATTAGAATTTGATCTTAGCATAACTGCTGCTGCTTTTTTACATTCTTCACTAAGTCTGACTGCATTAATAAGTTATCCCTCGCTATAACCTGTGTATTGGATTCTTGGTCTTCCTGTAACCGGTATGATAGCTTTTACGTTGCTTAACAACTTCAAATCTCATTTGTTAAACCTGAGCCCATGCAGTTGTAATATAGGAGTATAAGGAGTCATATTTATATCAGCCATAAGTCAAACAAAAGGGCAAATCCTCAACTAAATTTTCACATGTTTTTGGCAACAAAGTTTGACAGAATTAACTAAAAAACATGCCGACAGAACTTTTAGTTTTACCCTTGATTTAGAACAGTAATTTCATGTACATGAAGACCAATATCTTCTTTTCCGTCAGATTGTTGTTCATGACTGTTCAATCGGGGATAGATTACATCAACTAAACATGTATTAAATTTTTACGATATTTACCAACACATTTGTCCATCCTACAAACTCTAGGTATTTATGCTTATGTTTATGAGTTACCAAATGATTTTTTACATCAGACTAATTACGAAATTTCGCAATTCAAAAACTGGCTGTTTTGAACATTCATCTGGTATATACAAACGAGATATCCAATCACAAAAATGAATTTTGGCAATCTCTTCCTTCTGAAATAGCTTCACTTTTGTGCGTCATTTTCTCTCTGCTACCAGACTTCTTTCACGAGTTGCCTCAATTGCATATAGTTCGTATATCTTAGTATCCATATTAAAACTCTGATGATGAAGTTTTTCTCTTTTTATATTTTAGTCACCAGCGGATTTTTCATTAAACATCTTCAATCTGGAAAGTGCATTCGCAACACAGGGTTGATGGCGTCGACAATATTTAAACAAAGAGGTTTTTATTATTTGGAACTTTCTGATAACTGTCTTGATCCAGCGGCTCAATTCACCTACTTAGATAATGGTAACATAATGAAACTAAATGTACCGGGTTGCCTTCGACCAAACCAGATATTTGGACCTGGTTATGGCCTTCATATGCTGTACATCCACTTCAGTGAAAGTGGAAGTATTAATCAAATAGTCTGCTCCACATCTATAACCCAAACATCATGGGGAGGTCTGACAATGAAGTACGATCAACACAGCTATGAAGACAGATGTTTGGTGAATGGTTCATTTTCACCTTTGAGAGACCGTCAAGGAGTTGACGCTTACATAAGGGTAACCAACTGTGATGAAAGATTAAATAAAACATTTCATTTTGGTAAGGTGATGTGAAATAATTCCAGAATTTGTCTCACACTTGTATTATGTGCATATCTAAAAAATTACAATTTACCTTTCAAAAGTTATATCTGTTTATTTGTAAACAACAATTCTCCTTGTATTAGTATGTACTTTTGCTCAGCAAAAATTTTACTTCAATTCTAGTGTCACATACCATACAGTCAACAACACACAATTTACTTGGCTCCACTTTAAAAACTTGTTTATGGAAGAATGTTTCCGAAAAATTTAGCAGCATTGAAGAAATCACTTAATCAATAATGTATTATCCTAGCTTAATTATACAAGAATTCATAGTTCAATAAATGTTTATAATAACATTGTGAAATTAACGTCAACAGAAGGTCCATTTGCACTGCATCATTCACCATAATTTTTATCTAAAAATTTGCAGTCCTTGCTCAACTCTTTTAATTTTCAAAAAAAAATTTACAAATAAATTTCTGATGACGCTATAGGAGAACAATTTTTCAAATGCAGATCTCACAAATTTAGAAAGTTATGTAAAAATAAAAAAATAATACACTGAGAGAAAGAAGAAAAAACTATGACTTGTACTTTTCATATCAACCCACATCCTTAATTTTTATTTTTTATTAATTTAGGCTCGCTTACATGTTCTGGACATAGGATTTTGAACGTCAGCTGCTCCAATAACCAATACATGAAAATAAAGACTGCATCATATCGTGGATTGACTAAAGGAAATATCTGTGGTTCAAGTTACAACTACAGCTGTAGTGTTGATGTAACATGTGATCTTAAAGGACACTGTGATGGCCAACACAAGTGTAAAGTACTTGTAAATGATAACCTTTTCTCTTCCAATATTTGCCCTCAACTTAACAAATATCTTTACTTTGAGTATGAATGTACAAACGATCGGAGGTCACTTAAAGAAGATAGCTGCAGTAAGTTTTATACATCTTTAATTTCAGGCATATAAATTTTCGCAGTTTAAATCAGGCATTTCAAAGCCTGCATGATTCCTACTTGACTTCATATCATATCAAATTGTGGTATATGTATGCTATTATGAAATGCAAATACTTTTTTAATAGTTTGTGAATTTTGTATAACACATTTTCCATTCTACAACACTTTGTCCATTCTTCAAAACTTTCTCTATTCTACAGCATCTTATCTATTCTACACGCAAAATATTTCATAGTAAAAAAAACACAAATTAAAAATTGTTTTGCATTTGTATTCAGGTCATATTTGCGATCTGCCAATATTAAATGATAGGAGAAAGTTTCCAGACTACTTGTTCACGGCCTCAGCCGCTTTAAAGGATCACAGTGCTGACGCAGCTAGAATATCCAGTGGTAGTTCATGGTGTCCTCCTAATGCAAATGGCAATCATTATCTTCAGCTTAATTTCCAAAGACATTATGAGATCGAAACCCTTACAATCTTTGGGGACAGTTCAAGCCCAAAATGGGTGTACGAGTATCACTTGAACGTCAGCAATGATCTTGTAAACTGGGTATCCGTTCTGAATGAAAACTTAGAAAAGGTAACATTCATAGAAAAGATCAATAAAAATTCTCGTATTTTCTTGATTGGTTATGTACGTTAAGTTTTATATCAAAAACAGGTATGCCGAGTTTAGACAGTGAAATCTTTACGACGATTGAGCTATCCAATCTATCTTTGTTTCAATACACAATTATGATGTTACACAATGTTCTTGACTTTTGAGCGTTTTAGTCTTGAATTTACAAAGATCATGAAGACTGATTATGAATACTATCCTCTTTCTTCAAAAATGCTTTTAAATATGTTCGTTTCTTTTTCAGGCGTTTCAAGGAAATAAAAATGCCTTTACAGACGCCGCCATAAAGAATTTCTCTCGCCGTATTAGAACGAGAGGATTGCGAATCATCCCGACGAAATACGTTGGTCAACCATGTTTACGGATAGAAGTTTGTGGAAGAGGTAAGTACTGAATACAATGTTAGAATTATGCTTGTCAATATGTTTGAATACTAATCTTTCTGCTCATTGAAAAAAATTAGAAAGATGTTTGACTATGGAGGTTTTGATTTACCAAAAACTCATAAACTTTTGTTTAGCCGCAGTAGCAAGAATTGCTTCGTTTAACATTAGTACAAAGTTTCGAAGCTCATCAACTTTAACTTTTACTTGGGAACCACCCAAAACCAAAGGACAACATGGCGTGAATTTTAACTACACGACATGCCTCTCAAGAACAGAAAGTGGTGTTTGCTTTTTGAAATTCAAAACCATGAATAGAGAATGGGGAGCGCATCAACTGAACGCTTCAACAAAGTACTTTATACAAATTCTCGCCAATGGTGCCATGGGGGAAGACTTTCGCAGCGAAAGTTTAGGATTTTATACAAATGGAAGTAATGTTCAAATTTTTTATGATTTTCATATAACCCCATCATACATATATATATATATATTATTATGGATAACATTCCTGGATAAAAGAGCGCTCAATATTCTATATATTAGAAGAAAGGCTACTTATCCTGAAAGGACGTAAAAAGAACATTTTAAATAAACGTTCCGATATGTTTAGTGCATGCCGTCATGTAACTTAACACCTTTTAGTCGATGTATATAGTCAGCAAATAAAATATTATCTGTCAGTTGCCTGAAGATCGCCCTACGGCGTGAAACTCTGAGTAGCGACAGCAAACAATTGTCCATTTTATTTTAGTTCATTTTATATATATATATATATATATAAAATATAAAATGAACTAAAATAAAATGGACAATTGTTTGCTGTGCGATCTTGAATCGCCCTACGGCGTGAAACTCCAGTAGCGACAGCAAACAATTGTCCATTATATTTTAGTTCATTTTATCTTACGCTCTTCTAATATATAGAATATTGAGCGCTCTTTTATCCAGGAATATTATCCATAATAATATATAAAATATATATATATATTATACAAAGTGTATAACAATGTGCCCTCCCGCTATCACCATAGTAAAATGGTGCCTCCTGCACTTGGGACACAGGACGTACGGTTTATATTCCTGTTTATATATAATGTTTATATTCCTTTTGCAAATAATGTGTAAATTGTACATGTTATTTTGCGTGACGTTCGTCGTAGCTTAGTCATACATATCTATCACAAATTATTTCGTTTTTGGAGAATAATTAGAAATTTTATTATTTGTATTTTCTAGAACCATTAACAAACTCCGTAGAAGCCACAAAAAGAACATTGATCTACGAGCTTTCATTTCCAAAGACACAATTTCAGTAAGTTCATGAAAAATTGAAAAATAAAAACTGAAAGTTCAAAATTTCAAATATTAGCTTGAGAAAAAATGTACGGTATTTAAAAATCCTCTTAATGTACACAGCCAGATTTCCCACACGCAGTCTGTTTAGATATCATCCTTTAAATGACATTTTTTCTTTTAAGGTATTTCTATGTGGTTGCTTTTAAGATAGAAAATGGACAACAACTATTGTCATCTGAACAATACAAAACAAAAGATCTTTTGACGTACGAAGAAGCAATGACATCGAAAGATTCAAAACCTTACATTGCTGCTGTAATAATAAACGATACCCAAAGAAACGAAAAGCAATTTACTCTTGGTGATGGTCGATACACAAATGAACCAATAAAAGTGTCAAATAAGTCACGAAGTTTTTATAATGGACCGTTGGAGCCTGGAACAAGCTATAGAGTTTTTCAAAGAGTCATTGTTGACAATGTTAGTGTGAAATACATGTACTATTAACGACTTAATAATCGTAGCACAAGTAGCACCTGAGAGAGAGCAGCAAGGAGGGGAGGGTAGTTGCCTTTAGAATGGGGGTAGTTTTTAAAACTAATGTTAATATTCTAAAGTGAATGGTGTTAGCCCTGTAGATTGGCCAAGTTAGTAGAATCCCTAAAAGGACTGTTAGTGTTTCGTAGTCTGAAGATAACTACCGCTAAGACTGTCAAAACGTCAGTCAACATCAACACCAACAATCCTTCTCATGTCTTTAATTATACCTGGGCGATTTACATCTACAAACATGGTTAGTATTTGAAATTAGAGTTGAGTAATTTACATATTTAAGTATAATTGATATGAAAGAGCCATTTTTTCGCATTTTTCCCTTCTAAAAACAATGTGCCTGCCTTGCTGGCACCATATAATGACCATAGGCGTACGAAGGGTAGTAAATACTTTTTCCTACTCACAAAGAAGGTTTCGCCGTGTTTTTTCCCGACTAATGTTAAAAATTTGTCCAACTTTTCAATTTTTAAACTTTCTTGGGTGAAGGGAGGGAGGGTGGGCAGCTATGAGTATGACGTAGTGTCTTTGTAGCACGTACGCGTCTTTGTTCATTTATAGAATTGAGCGAGGCAATTGTAAATTTATAAATTCCAAAGCATTCAAAACTTTGGGGCCCAAAGTTGCCATTTTCCTTTCGTAAAAAACATCAATATATTTTTTGAGATGTTTCCCATTGCGCCATACCCACCATGGTAAATACACTGACAGATATTTGGCTCATAATTTAAATATTGATGATATTTTTTATGCCCTTTGCAATCATTTAAAACGTAGATGTATGAGATTGAGCAGATATATTTGAATAACATAGTAAATTTTTTTAATAGGAAGACCAATATTCTACAGAATGGAGTGACACCTCTGAAACTAGTCGACCTAAAGGTTTGTGATATAGCTTCTCCAACTTCTCATCAAATTTATAATTTGACCAAACCGTTACTTTTCTACCTGTGTTTTAGGAAGACCAACTGTACTAACGAACATGACAAGCAATAATGTTGAAGCAAAAAAAGGTGAAACGGTCATCTTAGCATGTTCTGCGCAAGGCGAACGCCCACTAACTTTCTCCTGGACAAAAAACAACAAATCAATACAAAGTTACGTTGATAATCACGCTCACTTTCCAGTTTCATTCACTATCGTGCATGTCAAGGATGAAGATGATTTCGGCGAATACGTTTGTCATGCACAAACTAAATTTGCAAGCACTAACTACTCAATTGAAATAATTCAAGAGGCAAAACCAGGTAATCAGTATCTCTAATATTATCATAGGTGCAGAACAGTAAAGAATATAGCAATTCGTAACTGTATATTTTATTAGATTACTGGCTTCTGTTAGACAATTTGATTTATGAGTTTTATTCGTCAGAAAATGAAATTTAGTGACTGCCACTACGGTAATCACATGCGTAAGATAGTGCTTGGCACAAAAAAAGCAAAGAACTGTCCCTACAGCAATTAAGTTCTCTATACTGTCGCACTGAATGCTATAGTTGGCCATTTTCGTTCACGTTTTGCAAGGCATTTTAAAGAAATAAATAATGATAACTTGATAATACGTTAGTCAACCATGTTTACCGATAGAAGTTTATGGAAGAGGTAATTACTCCATACAATGTTAGGATTATGCTTGTCAATATGTTTAAATACTAATCTTTCCGCTGATTGAAAAAAATTAGAAAGATGTTTGATTATGGAGGTTTTGATTTACTAAAACCTCATAAACTTTGTTTAGCCGCAGTACCAAGAATTGCTTCGTTCAACATCAGTACAAAATTTCGAAGCTCATCAACTTTAACTTTTACTTGGGAACCACCTAAAACTAAAGGACAACATGGCGTGAATTTTAGCTACACGACATGCCTCTCAAGAACAGAAAGTGGTGTTTGCTTTTTGAAATTCAAAAGCATGAATAGAGAATGGACAGCGCAACAACTGAACCCTTCAACAAAGTATTTTATCCAAATTATCGCCAGTGGCACGATGGGCGAAAGCTTTCGTAGTGAAAGTGTAGGATTTTATACAAATGGAAGTAATGCTAAAATTTTTTATGATCTTCATATAACCTCATCATACATATATGTATTTATGATACCGTACATCCGTACATCCTGTGTCCCAAGTGCAGGAGTCACCATTACACAATGGTGATAGCCGGAAGGGCACATTGTATATACACTTTGTATATATATATATAATATTTATATTCTTATTGCAAATGAAGGGTAAATTGTACATGTCATTTTGAGTGACGTTTGTCGTAGCTTAGTCATACATATCTATCACAAATTATTTCGTTTTTGAGAATATTAGAAAACTTTAGAAGCCACAAAAAAAACATTGATCTACGAGCTTTCATTTCCAAACACACAATTTCAGTAAGTTCAAGAAACAATTGAAAAATAAAATTCAAAGCTCAAATTTCAAATATGAGCTTGAGCAAAATGTTCGTTACTTAAAAATTCTCTTTATGTACACAGCAAGATTTCCCACACGCAGTCTGTTTAGATATCATCCTTCAAATGACATTTTTTCTTTTAAGGTATTTCTATGTGGTTGCTTTTAAGATAGAAAATGGACAACAACTATTGTCATCTGAACAATACAAAATAAAAGATCTTTTGACGTACGAAGAAGCAATGACATCGAAAGATTCAAAACCTTACATTGCTGCTGTAATAATGAACGATACCCAAAGAAACGAAACGCAATTTACACTTGGTGATGGTCGATATACTAATGAACCAATAAAAGTGTCAAATAAGTCACGACGTTTTTATAATGGACCGTTGGAGCCTGGAACGAGCTATAGAGTTTTTCAAAGAGTCATTGTTGACAATGTTAGTGTGAAATACATGTACTATTAACGACATAATAATCGTAGCACCAGTAGCACCTGAAAAGGAGCAGTAAGGAGGGTAGGGTAGTTGCCTTAAGTAGGGAGTAGTTTTTAAAACTAATGTTAATATTCTAAAGTGAATGGTGTTAGCCCTGTAGATTGGCCAAGTTAGTAGAATCCCTAAAATGACTGTTAGTGTTTCGTAGTCTGAAGATAACTACCGCTAAGACTGTCAAAACGTCAGTCAACATCAACACCAACAATCCTTCTCATGACTTTAATTATACCTGGGCGATTTACATCTACAAACATGGTTAGTATTTGAAGTTAAAATTGAGTAATTTGCATGTTTAAGTATAATTGATATGTAAGAGCCATTTTTTCGCATTTTTCCTTTCTAAAAACAATCTGCCTGCCTGGCTGGCACCATAAAATGACCATAGGCGTACGAAGGGTAGTAAATACTTTCCCCAACTCACCAAGAAGGTTTCGCCGTGTTTTTTTTCCCGACTAATGTTAAAAATTTGCCCAACTTTTCAATTTTTAAACTTTCTTGGGGGGAGGAGGGGTGGGCAGCTATAAGTAGATGCAGTATCTTTGTGGCACGTACGCGTCTCTATTCATTTATGGAATTGAGTGAGACATTTGGAAAATTATAAATTCCAAAGCATTCGAGACTTTGGAGCAGAAAGTTGCCATTTTTCTTTCGTAAAAAACATCAATATATTTTTGAGACGTTTCCCATTGCGCGATACCAACCATGGTAAATACACTGACAGATATTTGCCTCATAATTTAAATATTGATGATATTTTTTTATGCCCTTTGCAATCATTTAAAACGTAGATGTATGAGATTGAGCAGATATATTTGAATAACATAGTAAATTTTTTTAATAGGAAGACCAATATTCTACAGAATGGAGTGACGCCTCTGAAACTAGCCGACCTATAGGTTTGTGATATAGCTTCTCCAACTTCTCATCATATTTATAATTTGACCAAACCATTACTTTTCTACCTTTGTTTTAGGAAGACTAACTGTACTAACGAACATGACAAGCAATAATGTTGAAGCAAAAAAAGGTGAAACGGTCAGCTTACTATGTTCTGCGCAAGGCGAACGCCCACTGACTTTCTCCTGGACAAAAAACAACAAATCAATACAAAGTTACGTTGATAATCACGCTCACTTTCCAGTTTCATTCATTATCGTGCATGTCAAGGATGAAGATGATTTCGGCGAATATGTTTGTCATGTACAAACTAAATTTGCAAGCACTAACTATTCAATTGAAATAATTCAAGAGGCAAAACCAGGTAATCAGTATCTCTAGTATTTTCATTGGTGCAGAACAGTAAAGAATATAGCAATTCGCAACTGTATATTTGATAAGATTACTGGCTTCCGTTAGACAGTTTGATTTATGAGTTTTATTCGTCAGAAAATGAAATTTAGTGACTGCCACTACGGTAATCACATGCGTAAGATATGCGTGGCACAAAAAAAGCAAAGAAGTGTCTCTACAGCAATTAAGTTCTCTATACTGTCGCACTGAATGCTATAGTTGGCCATTTGCGTTCACTTTCTGCAAGGCATTTTTAAAGAAATAAATAATGATAACTTGATAATACCGTTGGTCAACCATGTTTACCGATAGAAGTTTATGGAAGAGGTAATTACTCCATACAATGTTAGGATTAAGCTTATCAATATGTTTAAATACTAATCTTTCTGCTCATTGAAAAAAATTAGAAAGATGTTTGATTATGGATGTTTTGATTTACCAAAAACTCATAACTGAAAATTATGTATATGATCATGTGATGTCGAAGCAGCCATGCTGGTCGAATATTGGTCGAATATATTGACTTTAAAAGCATTAAATCAACATAAATACTTTTTACTGTATCAAAAAATCACATTTTTTATTTCAAGATAAGCCCAAGGAAAACGAGAGAAACTTTTTAGCAGTGTTGATCGTCTTCGTCATTTGGCTCGTGGTTTCATTGGCAATAATCTTTTATATGATGTGTTGTCGTCGTAGGAGCTTCTCAATTCAAGATCAAAATGACGGTGTACGTGGAATGAAGTTATTCTCGAGAGGTTTCGGGGCAGAGCGCTTGCATGACGATTTGTAATTTACAAGTCATTTAAGCTCCTGTTAAAAGCAATCCAACTGTAACTGCGGCTAGACAAGTACTACAGTAACTATTTATTCTAAGTCTATAACAATGATTACAACCCAATCCTAACTATATCATGTAAAGATGAGGAAAAGACGCCATCTTGAACGGTGGCAAAAAGCAAAGTACTCAGTGAAAAATAAGTAAAAAGAAAATTTAAAAAACTATAATTTCAAGCACCAAAGTACATAGAAGAAGCATATTTCAGTCGTACATATCGTAAGTTTTGTCACCTTTCAAGATAGCGGCTAACCTCACTCTAGAATTTGGCGCAGTAAAGTATCTAATAAACTGGGTTCTAGGTCTTTATATAACAACATTGTTGATTAGCTTGTAACAACAAAGCCTTCTTTTCGTGTTTTTCTTAATAATATATCGAATACGTGATACAAATAAACTAAATTTGCAACTAGTAAAGATGTTGCTCCCATAATTTTTAAAGGAGATAAGCAGAATTGCCTTTGAGTTGACACAATCAATGTTCCCAAAATTCTTTTAAAAATCAGCTGTTAATGCATATTTTACAAAAAATGACAATGATCATCAAGTACAAACATCGTATATTTTTTGAAAGCCTTTTTGAAAGGAAGAGTAAATTTTTCCCAACTCAAAATGAAATACCATATTTCTTGATTTCGAATTGCACGGCATAATGTATTCATAATTTTTTCTCCTGTCATTGCGCACTTGATCCGCTTCAAAATTTTTCTTGTACAAATATCTTACAAGATTTTGGGTTGATTTTTCCAGAGCTTGGGTGGAAAACTAAATACAATCTGTAACAAATTCAGATTTGAATACTGAAAGTAAACATTTGAAATTTTGGATTTTGTTTCACCGTCCTTTCTCTTATATCCATGAAACTTCCCTTATTTAATTGCTCCAACTTGAATAGAATCATTGAGTAATTCGCAAATTGATCCTCCAGGTCTTAAGGTTTCACTTGTTCGTCATGTTCATAAGGTAGAAAGCTAACCACAATGGTTCCGGTGCATTTGATGTCTTTTTCACAGATCATGGCGATATTCACCTTTTAAGTGTTCGTTTTTAACACAAGTGAGAGCTTCTGGAGGCTTTCAATCTTTTCTAAGAAATTCTTTTTCAAAATTTTTCAATTCTTTAAAGGTATATCCTTTCTGATTCCAACATCATATTTGAACTTTTACTTTTTATTAACAAGCTCAGTTGCTGATCAAGGCAGACTAAAGATAGTGAATTTCGGTAAACGTTAATTATTTCTAAGGATCTGAAAAATTTATAGAACTCACGACTTTTTAGTTCCAAACTCAACATTTAGCTTCTGACTTGTGAAATTCCACTTTAATCCACGACGTTTCTCTTCTTATCCACGATATTCAACTCCTGACTTACGACATTCAAACCACGACCCACGACATTCAAACCATGACCCATGACATTCAAACCACGACCCACGACATTCAAACCACGACCCACGACATTCAAACCACGATCCACAGCTATTGGCACATCCTTGCCATAAGGAACTAAGCTTACAGAACTTATTTCGCCGTAATTCCTCATTCTTTAAATTCCTTTATTAGTATGAACGCAATAAGCCTGTAACTTTATGAAAATTGGCTTCAAAAAATTATCGAGTCGTTAGAAATGCAGCCAGGAGTCCTTATTTACGTACTTGTATACGCAGTTTTACTACTGGAACAAGGTATAGTTTTTAAACGTGTTTTGTTAGCTGTGTCGACATTAATGAGCAACTACGGCGAATGTTTACTTTCAAATCCGGCAATTACCTCCGATCTCAAAAGGAATCTCATGACTAAATAGCAATCGAGTGAAAAAATCTTAAAATTATATGACGTTCGCAAGGCAGTATCATCTTAAAGCACCGCTTGACATTATCTGCTGTGTTCATGCAGTGTGGACATTTTTAACAAGACTGTTTCAAAAACGCGTGCAATTGTTTGCATGACAAACTTACTTTTCAATGAAAAACACGTAAAATGATTATATACATGTGTCATGTATCGTGTGGCGAATGATGTATATTCGGCAAAAATTTGTGCGGTCGACAGCAAAATATATAGCTTGTAAAATTGTATAAGGACTGCCACTATATCGCTTGTCAAGGATAAAAGAGGACTGCCACTATAAGGTTTTTACAACATCAGTCAACATCAACAGCAACAGTCCTTCTTAAGAGCTCTTTAACCTAGACGATCTACAACTACAAACATTAAACATAATTTTGATACGCCATCAATGCCATCATAAATGCCGAGCAGCCACGTCTTGTATATTTTAGCAAGCTTTATATGACAGAAGACGTATCAGAATTCTCGCACTTTATTTTGTCTAGTTTGGCTAAAAGTAGAATAAGTTTTTAAATCTAGCACAAGGATGAACATGATTACAATAACAGCATAACCACGTTTCTCATCTTGTGAGATGATCGCAACCACGTTCATCAAAGAATACGATAAAGTAACTGCGTAAAAGCACTATTTATTATGCGCATTTAATAAAAACGATAAGTTTTTTGTTTATTTTAAAAAAACTTGTCGTTTTTATTAAATGCGCATTAGCAATAGTGCTTTTACGCAGTTACGGTAATATTATTCACCACTTTGCACAATAATATGATGGAAAGGTTTCCCTATCAGACTTTCGGAAGTTTGAAAAGCTCACAATTACTGAAGATGGCATCATGACATGTTTATTTTTAAAAAACTTGTCGTTTTTATTAATTGCGCGATACAATAGAGCATAAATAGCATTGAAATTCTCATATATAGGTTCTGAAGGATTCTTCATAAAGCATGTCCTCACTGGGATGTGTGTAAAAGATACAGCCATAATACAGTCATCAGATTTAGGAAACTGGGGAAGTCTTTCCTATGTGGAGCTTTCTGACAACTGCCTTGCTCCAGCTGCACAGTTCCGATTCCTAAATACCAGCGCTATAATAAACATCAAAAGACAGGGTTGTTTAGCTGGACTTAATAGACCGTTTAACGGCTTTAATCTTAATATGTTTTATCTATACGTTGATGCGTTCAGTCCTTATAGAGACGCCTGCACTGCAATCAATGCAATAGCACCAACATCTTGGGGTGGTTTGTCAACACGAATTTACAATGTTCCTACTCCTTTGTGTGCAGTCAACGCTACATTCCCTGAACTCAGAGACAAAAAAGGTGTTGATCCGTATTTGAATTTGACTCCAGATTGTTCTGATACTGCAAACAAGCGATTTCACTTTGGTAAGTTTTTTTCATTAACGAATAGTGGACTTTAATTTATTGAATTTTATGCGGAAGTGTCTCACTCCTTGTAGGGCAGCGTTGTCAAATATCAAACTGAAAGAAATCAATTAGAAACTCGTTTAACAGATGTTTTATCTATATGTTACAAATAACCAATGTGTTTGCTGTGATTCAGATAAATGCTTTTCTCATTTTCAATTTAAGAATAAAAATCGGGAATTTCATTGGCTCTAGTGCCTTTAATGTGTTTCAGGTTCAGTCACGTGTTTTGGACAGAAGATAACAAACGCCAACTGTCCCAAAGGTCAATACATGATTATAAAAACTGCGTCGTACCGTGGACTGAGTGAAGGGAAAAATTGTGGTTCACATTATAAAAACTTTAGCTGTAGTGTTGATGTTACATGTTATCTGAAAAGACATTGTGATGGTCGACGAGAGTGCAATGTAACTGTTGATGACGGTCTTTTTCTCCCTTCCAATGTTTTTCCTGGTTTGAACAAGTATCTTTACTTTGAATATCAATGTAGCAATAACATGACGTCATTCAACGAGTCCTGCCACAGTAAGTTGATGAAGTTGAGTAAAACTGTTTTCAATGCTGTCTTTCAAGCAAATTGTCTGTCTCTCAGCATATGACAAGTCCTTTTTCCAATTGTCTATTTTCTGCATTGAACATTCGTTACCAATAACATCGAGCAGTTTTTTTAAATTCCCATGTATGTGACATTTTCTTAAACTTTGAGGAAAAACGAAGAATTTCATCTGAAAACAACTCAGTAAGACAAATATTTCCTTTACATCGTTCGTTGCTCGAAACATATTTCATTTGTCAGACTTGTTCACATATTCATAAGTTTCCAAAATTATTTCTACGTGGTCACGAAATTTTCCAACTCCCAAACTGGCTGTTTTACCCCTGAAGACATCAAAAATGTTTATAGTGGATCTTAAAAGTTTATCTTGTATACGAACTTTAAACATCATTAATACAATCAAAGAATGTATTTTGCTGATCTTTGTTTTAAATAAGCTTCATTTTTGTGCGTCATTTTCTCTCTGCTACCAGACTTCTTTCACGAGTTGCCTCAATTGCATATAGTTCGTATATCTTAGTATCCATATTAAAACTCTGCTGATGAAGTTTTTCTCTTTTTATATTTTAGTCACCAGCGGATTTTTCATTAAACATCTTCAATCTGGAAAATGCATTCGCAACACAGGGTTGATGGCGTCGACAATATTTAATCAAAGAGGTTTTTATTATTTGGAACTTTCTGATAACTGTCTTGATCCAGCGGCTCAATTCACCTACTTAGATAATGGTAACATAATGAAACTAAATGTACCGGGTTGCCTTCGACCAAACCGGATATTTGGACCTGGTTATGGCCTTCATATGCTGTACATCCACTTCAGTGAAAGAGGAAGTATTAATCAAATAGTCTGCTCCACATCTATAACCCAAACATCATGGGGAGGTCTGACAATGAAGTACGATCAACACAGCTATGAAGACAGATGTTTGGTGAATGGTTCATTTTCACCTTTGAGAGACCGTCAAGGAGTTGACCCTTACATAAGGGTAACCGACTGTGAAGAAATACTAAATAAAACATTTCATTTTGGTAAGGTGATGTGAAATAATTCCAGAATTTGTCTCACTCTTGTATTATGTGCATATCTAAAAAATTACAATTTACTTTTCAAAAGTTATATCTGTTTTTTTTGTAAAAAAACAATTCTCCTTGTATTAGTATGTACTTTTGCTCAGCAAAAAATTTTACTTCAATTCTAGTCTCACATACCATACAGTGAACAACACACAGTTCACTTGGCTCCACTTTAAAAACTTGTTTATAGAAGAATGTTTCCGAAAAACTTAGCAGCATTGTAGAAATCACTTAATCAATAATCTAGTATCCTAGCTTAATTATACAAGAATTCATAGTTCAATAAATGTTTATAATAACATTGTGAAATTAACGTCAACAGAAGGTCCATTTGCACTGCATCATTCACCATAATTTTTATCTAAAAATTTGCAGTCCTTGCTCAACTCTTTTCAATTTCAAAAAAAAATTTACAAATAAATTTCTGATGACGCTATAGGAGAACAATTTTTCAAATGCAGATCTCACAAATTTAGAAAGTTATGTAAAAATAAAAAAATAATACACTGAGAGAAAGAAGAAAAAACTATGACTTGTACTTTTCATATCAACCCACATCCTTAATTTTTATTTTTTATTAATTTAGGCTCGCTTACATGTTCTGGACATAGGATTTTGAACGTCAGCTGCTCCAATAACCAATACATGAAAATAAAGACTGCATCATATCGTGGATTGACTAAAGGAAATATCTGTGGTTCAAGCTACAACTACAGTTGTAGTGTTGATGTAACATGTGATCTTAAAAGACACTGTGATGGCCAACACAAGTGTAAAGTACTTGTAAATGATAACCTTTTCTCTTCTAATATTTGCCCTCAACTTAACAAATATCTTTACTTTGAATATGAATGTACAAACGATCGGAGGTCACTTAAAGAAGATAGCTGCAGTAAGTTTTATACATCTTTTATTTCAGGCATATAAATTTTCGCAGTTTAAATCAGGCATTTCAAAGCCTACATGATTCCTACTTGACTTCATATCTTATCAAATTGTGATATATGTATGCTATTATGAAATGCAAATACTTTTTTAATAGTTTGTGAATTTTGTATAACACATTTTCGATTCTACAACACTTTGTCCATTCTTCAAAACTTTCTCTATTCTACAGCATCTTATCTATTCTACACGCAAGATATTTCATAGTAAAAAAACACACATTAAAAATCGTTTTGCATTTGTATTCAGGTCATATTTGCGATATGCCAATATTAAATGATAGGAGAAAGTTTCCAGACTACTTGTTCACGGCCTCAGCTGCTTTAAAGGATCACAGTGCTGACGCAGCTAGAATATCCAGTGGAAGTTCATGGTGTGCTCCTAATGCAAATGGAAATCATTATCTTCAGCTTGATTTCCAAAGACATTATGAGGTCGAAACCCTTACAATCTTTGGGGACAGTTCAAGCCCAAAATGGGTCACAGAATATCACTTGAACATCAGCAATGATCTTGTAAACTGGGTATCCGTTCTGAATAAAAACTCAGAAAAGGTAACATTCGTAGAAAAGATCAATAAAATAAAAATGCTTGTATTTTCTTGATTGGTTAAGTACGTTAAATTTTATATCAAAAACAGGTATGCCGAGTTTAGACAGTGAAATCTTTACGATGATTTAGCTATTCAGTCTATCTTTGTTTCAATACACAATTATGATGTTACACAATGTTCTTGACTTTTGAGCGTTTTAGTCTTGAATTTACAAAGATCATGAAGACTGATTATGAATACTATCCTCTTTCTTCAAAAATGGTTTTAAATATGTTCGTTTTCTTTTTCAGGCGTTTCAAGGAAATAAAAATGCCTTTACAGACGCCGCCATAAAGAATTTCTCTCGCCGTATTAGAACGAGAGGATTGCGAATCATCCCGACGAAATACGTTGGTCAACCATGTTTACGGATAGAAGTTTGTGGAAGAGGTAAGTACTGAATACAACTATGGAATTAATTATCAACTATGGATGGCTATGTATGGGAATTACGTTGCTTAGCAAGGAAAGTTTTAATATTCTCCGATTTTGATTGTCGGTATATTTAATTATTAACTATTGTTGCACGCCGATAAAAAAATTTAGAAAATGTTGAAATTTTGAGGTTTTGATATGCCAAATCAACAAGTTATACAGTGGCGTTTTAGTCGAAATTGTCTTGTCTTTATTAACAGAAAAAAGTTAAAAATTGCTCTTACTTTATAAACATTGTTTAGCCGCAGTGCCAAGGATTGCTTCGTTTAACATCAGTACAAAGCATCGAAGCTCATCGTCTTTAACTTTTACTTGGGGACCACCTAAAATTAAAGGACAACATAGCGTGAAATTTAACTACACGACATGCCTTTCAAAAACAGAAAATGGTGTTTGCTTTTTGACATTCAAAAGCATGAATAGAGAATGGACAGTGCAAGAACTGAACGCTTCAACAAAGTATTTCATTAAAATTCTTGCAAATGGTACGATGGGTCAAGACTTTCACGGTGAAAGTGAAGGTTTTTACACAAACGGAGGTAATGCTCAAATTTTATATTTTCCATATAATTACATTTATATAATACATATTCCAATTGCAAATATGGGATCAATAAAAAATTAACTTGCTTTGGGCAAGGTCTCTCATAATGTGGGACGCCTGGAAACCGCCCATGCACAACGCCTCCTACTCCAAGATGCAGACTTGGATTTTTATATTCGTATGGTAAATTACTCTAAGGTGTCAATGGTAAATTCATTTTGTGTAATGTTTATTGCTGCTTAGCACATGTAAGAACAATACGGCCCAATTGATGAATTACAGAACCCTTTTCAATAATAAAGATTGAAGTTTTTTTATACATCCTGTATATACTTTTTCAAATTTGGTGATTTTTCTTTGGACATCTAGCATCATGCGAGAACGAGCGAAACAGATGTACTCTAAGAATAATTTGCAATTATTTTTATTTTTAATAACCAGAACCATCAAGAAACTCCATAGGAGCTACAGAAAGAACATTGACATATGAGCTCTCATTTCCAAAGACACAATTTCAGTAAGTTCAAGAAAAATTTAAATAGAAAACCATAGAAATTGTATACAGATGAGAGCTTTAATGAAAAGTACGGTCCTTAAAATTTGTCTTAGTTTATACCCAACCAAACATCCTACACACAGTCTGTTAATGAAATTTCATCCTTTAAAATGAGATTTTTGTCTTTGCTCATTCAAGGTACTTTTTCTTTGTTGCTCTTAAGAAGAAAAATGGGAAACAACCATTGTCATCTGAACAATACGAAATAAAAGATCTTTTGACGTACGAAGAAGCAGTGGTATCGAAAGATTCAAAACCTTACATTGCTGCTGTAATAATGAACGATACCCAAAGAAACGAAAAGCAATTTACTCTTGGCGATGGTCGATACACAAATGAACCAATGAAAGTTTCAGATAAGTCACGACGTTTCCATAATGGACCGTTGGAGTCTGGAGCGAGTTATATAATTTTCCAAAGAGTCATTGTTGACAATGTTAGTATGTTTACATGAACTATTAACAACTTAAGTTACAATAATCAAAGTGTCAAAACCGCAATAAAAGCAATGGGAAAGGGCGGGAGTCACCAGTAAAATTTTCAAAACGATAGCTTTCATCAAAATAAAATAATTTAGTTATATAGATGACTTGCCTTTTAAGTCTTTCTGGCAGGCAAATTATTCCCAAAGAGAGGTTAGCCATTTTTGCTAGTGTTGTCCAAAAGCACACGACCAAACCTGCCTGCCAGCACAGCGTAAACAATGCAAGTTATTTATAAGTAAGTTTTATATGTAAAAACCGTTTTTTAGTTTTTCCTCTTTCCAAAACAACCTTGCTGGCACTATTGCATGCCATAGTATTTGTTGGCATGCACGCATCTTTGATGCAACAGGTTAATTAATGTAAATGTTCTTTCATAAAAAAAACTTAAATGTATTTTGAGACGTTGTCTTTTGCAAAACACCCACCATGTTAAAGACACTTAAATACATTTGGCTTGTAATTTAACTATCACATGGACGATGTTTTTAATGCCCTGCATGGTATTTTGTCGAAAAGAGTCGATATATTTGAAGTCGATTGAATGAAATAGTTAAATTTTTAAATAGGAAGATCAATATTCTACAGAATGGAGTGACGCCTCAGAAACTAGTCGACCTACAGGTACAACAGGCTAGTGATATAGAGTCTCAATTTTATCATGTAATATTTAACATTCAATGAAACTGTTACTTGTCTACCTGTTTTTTAGAAAAACCAAGTAAGGCAAAGAACACGACAAACAGTAATGTTACAACCGAAAAAGGAGAAAAGGTCAAATTACTATGTTCTGCGCAAGATGAAGGCCCACTAACTTTCTCCTGGACAAAGAACAACAAATCAATACAAAGTTACGTTGATAATCACGCTCACTTTCCAGTTTCATTCATTATCGTGCATGTCAAGGATGAAGATGATTTCGGCGAATACATTTGTCATATACAAAGCAAATTTGCAAGCACTAACCATTCAATTGAAATAATCCAAGAAGCGAAACAAGGTAATCTGTATCTCTAGTATTTTCATAACTGTAGCATCAAATGTACATGACATGGGTGCCATAGATATTCAGATGCTTAGCTAGAGCACATATTTAATCTGTGATGCAAATAGTTTGTGTTCGCTCACTGCAAAGACAATACATGAACAATGATAATGTACTGCTGCGTTTGTTTATGGGAGGTCAAAACAGCCATATTTAGTAAGCTTCTCTAAAGAGCCATATTAACAGTGCTGTAGAAGTGGGGGGTGGGAGTGCTTGAGGGAGGAGCCCCCCTTCTACCTTTGAAATGGGTAATTTTCCATAATTTCATGGCTTCAGCTTCGTCAAGAGAGCCCCCCCCTCTGATAAATTTAGTTCTACAGCACTGGCCATGTATGATATACGGTGCCGATTTTCAGCACAGTATAAAATAAACAAAAATTCTTTTTACTATATGAGTTTCTACCAACATGGCAGAGAGTGAATACACTCTTTGTGGCATGATTAAAACTTGTAGGCTGGCTATGTTATTTTGGACGTCCTCTGTTGACCCTGTGCTATCAATCATAAAGTTTTTCAAATGTAATGACAACGCTAGTTTTTTGGAGGTCTTTAATTCAATGAAAATCAAGACTAAGTGCTTAAATGTGAATATCTGTAATATGTAATTTTCACACACTGCATACAAGCAAAATTCAGTATATGTTCTCTGCATATGAACCATTCTAACACAATAAATATTAAAACAACCAATTTTCGAGCATAATGATGCTTTAATTTTGCTTCAAACTTTATAAACCCAAAATGAATTAGTTCTAAATACAGTGGCGCATCAACCATTGAGCAAGATAAATCGCAGCAGCCGTCGATTTGTCAGATTCTATTCTTTTGCATCTCATTTTTGGTATTGTGTATTTCAAGTTAGTGAATAGAATCTATTTTGCTAAGCCCTGGACTAACTAATTCAGGAATAAGTCAGCAATTTGTGGTTGAATATTTTTTCATTTTTCAAAAATCTGGGCTGACATTACACACATTAGATTTTTTTTCATTGAAACTTTCTTCCTTCTTGAGAGTTCAAACGTCCTGTTTCATGAATTTAGATATATACTTGTTGAACTAGAAACAAACTATCTTTAAACAAAAATTTTTAGTACTACTATGCTGCTAAAAAAGCAGATGCTGTAAAGTGAAGAACGCGTTCCCAATAGATTTTGACTTTAACAAAAAAATGATAGATAAAATATAACAACCGACAGCAGAAAATCACAATCTTATTTTATTTCAAGATGAGCCCATCAAAAATGACGGAAAATTTCTGGCATTGTTGATCGTCTTCGTTATTTGGTTCGTGTTTTCATTGGTAGTGATCTTTTATATGATGCGTTATCGTCGTAGAAGCTTTTCAATTGAAGGCAAAGGGGGCGGCGTACGTGGGAAAGGTTTCGGCGTACAGCGTTTCCATAACAACACGTAATTTACAAGTCATTTAAACTTTTGCCAAAAGTAACCGCGTAACTGCAACTTAACAATTATTACAGTAACTATTTATCGTAAGTCCAAAACAATGATCAGAATCTAATTCCGTACAGGTTTAAGTTTTAACTAACATGTAAAGATGAGGAAAGGACGCCATCTTGAAAGGTAGAAAAAAGCTAAGCTCTCAGTGAACAATAATTTACAAGAAAGCTTAAAAAACCAAACATTTCAACAACCAAAGTTTATATCAACGTAGAGGAAGCACATTGTAGTCGTTAATATTATCAGTTTTCACCTTTCGAGATGGCGGCTTGCCTCACTCGTAACTATGAAATTTGGCGGAGGGAAGTATTTAGTAAATTGGGTTCTATAGGTAATAATTCTAAAGACGACGTTATTATTATTCTTTAACGTATACAACCATAATCTTGAATAAAGCCCCGTCCACACGTATACGGATATTTTCGTATCCGCAACAAAAAAGTTGTCAATAAGCCTTTCGTCCACACGCATCCGAATATTTGAGCGGGTTATCCCGAAAATTTTGAATCTGCTCTCTAGGGTGAAAATTTTCTTATCTGCAAACAATTTGGATGCGTGTGGACGGTAAACTCGGATATTTTTGACCAAGATTACGTAGCAACTATTATAGCGCGTTTAAAATGTCGTCGAATTTGTTTCAGATCCATTCCAATGAGATCTTTCAGTAAGAGTTAAACCTCACCATCAGTCCTAACGAAGGAGTCCGTCTTGCTCCTCTCATTATATTTCGATTTCTGCCCCAATTATGACATATATATCCAAACAAAGCCGAAAAGAGTTTGCACACACCGACCGAATTCAAAATTGCTAACCAATTTACCGCCAATTTGCAACAATTCCAAAATATGCGAGGGAAACGAACAACGCGAAGTCTTGGTAACTATAGTAAATCCGGATAATATCAAGCTACGTGTAGACGCAAAAACATTTTAATGCGCAACCTGATCCGCAGCAAAAAGTTTACGGATAGCAATACATCCGGATACGTGTGGACGGGGCCTAACTATATAACATAAATAAAGACTTCATTTCATGTTTTTTTTTAATAATACGACGTATATGTAACACGAATAAACTAAATTTGTATTTGGTAAAGATGCTGACATTATTTGCGTGTTTGTCAAAAACAAATGCAGAAATCCCATTGAGTTGGCAGATGGCCCAACCCTTGTTCCCAAAATTTTATCAACTAATCAATTTTCAAGGTGTATTTTACCAGAAATGACATTGACTTTCGAGTATAATTATTTTATAATTTTTGAGGGAGGGATGGAGGACGGTGAGTAAATTTTATTACTCAGAAGTGGTAGTAATCCATTTGTCTTCCACGGTTAATAATAATATTTGCTTTTAAAGAGCTCGATTGAAATACATGCGAGGGCTTGTTAAGGTTAGCATTGCATCTTTAATCTTGATTTCAAGCAATTTTTTAAAATATTTTTAACTGTTTAAGGTATATCCGTTCCTTTTCCAATTCCATATTTTAACCATTCCTTTTTATTAGCAAATCATTTTGTGTTTGACAACAACAAAAACTTGCTGATCATCTTTTGACCATTTTGTCTATTTCTTTATAAAACATATGGAGAATGTAAATAAATTGAACGTGACAAGTTTTTTGCTTCAGATTTTTCACGCAGATAATCTTTGATGTTGTCGTCTTTTGTCACAATATGGTCTGAACATGCTTCAATAGTATATACTCAACTCTTTTATGTACTTTGAAAGAGCCGTCTTTTTGGCAAATCTTTTTGTAAATGAAATGGAAGAAATGGAAGATCTAAAATAATGAATCTTTGAAAACATTAACTACTTAAGAAATAGAAAACATTTTCGGAGTTTCTAAAAAGTTATATGAAAACGCGGGAAAGTGTTGGGGGAAATTAACGAGAAATTACGTAGCAAGCACGACCACGAAGTGGGAGTGTTTCAATTTTGAGTCAGTGATGTCGCCAAGATTTTGCTAAGGGGAGTGGCACAAGCTAAAAACCAACTTTTCATGGAGGGGCATATCAAAATTTACCCTTCGTCAGTGGAAAACGAAATTGTACTAAAAATTGTCTCTGTACTTTAAAGTATCTGTCACAACATAGGGAGTTTGCATTTTTAACTTTCCAGTTAAACCTGTGCGGATTTTTACGTTCTTTGTGTGTATAACGTTACGTATATTGATTATTGATTCTGATGAAATGTTTTCTTATCGTAACCTCGAAGAATTGAAAAATCTTAATAAACCTTAGACTGAGCGCTATTTGTGTATTTTGATTTTATTATAACTTTTTGTGTCCGAGCGTACTTATCCACGATCTCAAAACTCAGTGACATGGTGTAATGTGATTCACGACAAGCACCACAAATCTTACATGTTATTCCTTCTCATCTTGAATTCCTTTAGACGTATTGTTCATTTCTTTGGGAAGAAAGAAAAAACTTTAGAATACGGCTGACAACGTGGATAACGTAAATGCAACGCAAACTAGTTTGCACAACTCACGGAATGCTTCGCTGTATAGAAGTGAAGTTGTACGAAATCCATATGACTTCCGTTAATGTCACGTGCCCTTTCTCAATTTATAATGCTGCATCGTGAGACCTTTATCCAACATTCAAATGAATGGAGGGAACTTGAGTTGGAGGGCACAAAAAATTTTTGGGAGGCACGTGCAACCCCAGCCACTGTTACGAGTTTCCCCCAAAGTTTCACAAGTGTTTATATAACTCAATAGAAACAAGCATATATATTTATTTCGCTTATAAAGTAGCATTTGGAAACAACATTAATAACAAATTGTTTACTTTTTCGCCATTAAATTTTTCCCACAAAATGCACGTAACATGGTTTTTTGATAAATTGACCAATCAGCGCGCGTGTTTTTTTAAAGTTATTTTATAAATTTTTATACATCTAGATAATTTTCTCACCCATGACATTCAATCTTAAATCCACGGATATTCAACTCTCAGTCCACGATATTCAACTTACGACCCACGACTTTCATCTCCTGATCCACGACAATCAAAATACGACCTATGACGTTCAAACCACGACCCTCGGCAGTTAGCACAACCTTGCCATAAGGAACTCAGTTTAAAATTGCAACACTTAAGATGAATGATGATAAGAGTCTTTTGTTTTAGATGCTCCATTAGAATTATTAATTCGTCTTCTCATTGTCTTGTAAATTAAATTGAAAGTCTCCTGGAGTGCTAGGAATCGTTGCAGAACTTATTTCGCCGTAATTCCTCATTCTTTAAATTCATTTATTAGGGTGAACGCAACAAGCCTGTAGCTTTATGAAAATTGGCTTCAAAAAATTATCGAGTCGTTAGAAATGCAGCCAAGAGTCCTTATTTACGTACTTGTATACGCAGTTTTACTACTGGAACAAGGTATAGTTTTTAAACGTGTTTTGTTTGCTGTGTCGACATTAATGAACGACAAGGGGAAATGTTTGTTTTCAAATCCAGCAACAAATTCCTACCTTAAAAGGAAGCCCATAGCTAAGTAGCAATAAAATGAAAATAACTTAAAGTTATCTGATATTTGCAAGAGAGTTTCATCTTATAACATCATTCGACATAATCTGCAGTTCATGCTGTTCACCGTGGCAATTTTTAGCAAGAGTGTTTCGAAATCACATCCAGATTACTTTATATAGATGATTACATTACTTTATATAGATGGTTTTGTTGCAAAGTTTTAAAACTCACAAGGATCACTGTTTTATTTTCATAATACGTAATATGTACCAAATGATGCTTGTTGCAAAAATTTTTGCGGTCGATGAAGAAATATATATGGTTAAATTATACTCGAGGAATTAAAGCTTTAGATCCGGTAATGACTTGAACAAGAAAATCGATTTTGGCAAATTTGATGCACAATTCTCAGTAGAATAGCTCACTTTAATTTGTTTGTATAGAAACAAAGTCACTTTGAATGACAAAACATGCATAAATAACTATTGTCATAAAGCTACAAAATAATGGCTGTTAAAGTTTACGTTCCTCGCAAAATAATTCTTTCAACTTTTTTTATTCCAAGTGGTCAAAGGACCTATCATTAAGTACGTCCTTTTTTCTAGTGTTTTGAATATTTAACCATTAAAGATCTTGCTAACGGTGATGGTTGACTTCATCTTATAAATGGAGTCTAGTAGTCACATTTACAGCTACTTCGTGATAGGAAAGTAAAATCTAACGCGTGGTTGAAATAACAAAACATGTTTCCTATCTTGTGAGAAGATATCAACCACGTTCATTTACTATAATATGATAAAACATATGACTTAAAAAATCTCATATATAGGTTCTGAAGGATTCTTCATAAAGCATGTCCTCACTGGGATGTGTGTAAAAGATACAGCCATAATACAGTCATCGGATTTAGGAAACTGGGGAAGTCTTTCCTATGTGAAGCTTTCTGACAACTGCTTTGATCCAGCTGCACAGTTCAGATTCCAAAATACCAGCGCCATTTTGAACATAAAAAGACAGGGGTGCTTAGCAGGACTTAATAGAACAAACAACGGCTTTAACTTAAATATGTTTTATCTATACGTTGATGCGTTCTATCCTCATAGAGACGCTTGCACTGCAATAAATGCAATAACACCAACATCTTGGGGTGGTTTGTCAACAAGAGTTGATACGGTTCCTACTCCTTTGTGTGCAGTCAACGCTTCATTCCCTGGACTCAGAAGCCAAGGTGTGGATCCGTATTTGAATTTGGCACAAGATTGTTCCGATGCTGCAGACAAGCGATTTCACTTTGGTGAGTTTTTTCAATGATGCACGGTGGAAACATTAACTAATTATTCATAAGGTTACATAAACAGGCTCGTTTGTGTGAAAATGTCATTTAAAGGGTAGAGATGATCAAATGTCACGATGTATTTTAGAAGTTAGCTACAAACACAAAAAGTGCACAATATTATTTGGCAGTTGCACAAGGAAAAACAGCAAAACTAATGATATAGAGCCCAATGCCCTAAATATCTAACGACTGCGTCAAAGTGAGGCAACGACGCCATCTTGAATGGCGGAAAAAGCAAAACTCTCAATGAGAATCAACATAAAAGTAAGTTTAAAAGGCCATTCCCATAAAACATTTTAACTCTTTGGCGACGGTCCCTAGTAATTTTCGGTCTTTGAATACCTACGAAGTTCATTGTGTCATAACTTTGGATATACACAACGTAAAATAATAAACTTACCAACAAATTATAGCATAATAAACAATCTTTCAGATAGTGTAGAATTCGTTCGTTTTGATATCATTTTACACGAGATATGGCAAAATAAGGCAAAATCTGACAGTTTTTAAAATGAGTGGTTCATTTCATACTAAGACATGATATCAGATTCAAAATTCCTAACTTACCGACATCACTCAGCTTGACTGCTGAAGATGTATGCACTAAATTCGAACGTAGTATTCATGATGATAGTTGTATATAACTTCCTTTGTACTTAATTTTGCTATTTAAGATAGCAGATTAATGTAAGAGCTAAATTGCAGCTGCATTTGACAACATCTCTTAAGATGAGATATTCGCCATTGTTTGTGCTTACGCAGTTCTTGACTTGCAACCATTCTCTTGAGATTTGCCAAACAATGTTGCTCGCCCACGCCGGCTTAGATGGACAATATTACAAAAATCGAAAATATTTATAACGAAAACATTATCGTATGTCGAAAATAAAATACTGGCAACTTTTTCAATATTTGTAAAACGAAACGCAAAAATATAAAAGAAAACAAAAATTCGTTACCATAATTTATATATACACAACGAAATATATTTTTCAAATTATGAAAATTATTTTTATAAAACGAAACTCATTTGTATAAAACGAAATTGACATTCATAAAACGACATTTTCTTCGAACAAACGACATTTTTTACCGTTTTTTTGCGGCCATTATTTTGTAGCCTGCAAAGAGCCATCCACTACAAAATTTTGAGCATGTCTTCGCGAAGGAACTTACATAACTTGACAAACCTTGTTGCTGCAATCACTCAGCTCTCTGAAAGTGATTGTAAATGTGCAAAGGATTAGTATTTTGAACGAATATTTGGATAGGAGGATAAAATGTTCTTGGTTTTCTCCAAAAAACAAAATTAAGATCGTCTTCATAGGTGAACCTGCTGTTGATAATGGAGGTCCAAGGCATGAATTTTTTTCTGGTAATGTGACAGAAAAAATAAATTTAGTGCATAATGTTTTACCCTTTAATGTCCTATAACATGATGATGAAATTTATTTTTCAAATTATGAAAATTATTTTTATAAAACGAAACTCATTTATATAAAACGAAATTGACATTCATAAAACGACATTTTCTTCGAACAAACGACATTTTTTACCGCGCCCTGCCACTGACATAAAAAAACGGCGTTTTATTTCACGTTCCGTGAACACTATCGATGACTCGTTACCTTGTTCCTTCCATCCTTTCTGTCTGCCTGTCGCTTCCATATTAAATATGGCAGAATATCGGGATATTGTGGAATTCTTAGCGAGAGGCTTTAGTTTATTTGATGAAGTACATCGGAACATTTTTACGAAAGATAATGTTACGGCTGAGGTGATAATAGCTCGTTCTGAAGAATACTTATGTGGCCTATGCCTACTATCTCGCTTTCAGGATGGACTTACGAAATCGTGCATTTTTTTACAGATGTTATTATGGTTTTTCAAAATAGAATTGCGAAACTTTCAACTCAGTTTAGTATTCATAACGGCAATGAAAACGATCAATACGTATGCCCAATGGAAGAGAACGAAATGAGCTCTGCTAGAAGGCCACGATTTTTTATTACAAAAGAACAAATTGATGGACTGCGTAGCTTGCACTTTTCATGGAAGAAAATTGCAGCGATGCTTAATGTTTCGGAAAGAACAATACGGCGACAAAGAAAAGAACTTCGCATGGAAATTGGGCAGGCTGTGAGCTATAGCGACAAAAGTGATGAAGACTTGACGCCTATGTAGAACATATCTTAAATCGTTCCGCAAATTCAGGAGAGAGAATGGTATTTGGTGCACTGAAAGGATTTGGTTTAAAGGTGCAGAGAGAAAAGATCCGAAATTCAGTCAGACGAGTTGATCCTGTGAGCAGAGAACTAAGGAAAAAAACGTCAATCCATCGTCGAACATATAATGTGACAATTCCAAATGCGCTATGGTAGGTAATATAGTGTTGAGTATTGGTGTGGAGGTAATTTTATAAAAATTAGAATACAGTAGGTCTCAAGATATCACTATTAACAAGACATCAATACTAAGATAATAAAAAGCCTTTTCAATCCGGAAAATGATGTACAAAATTAAATATATTCAAGAAACATATGATTTTGCCTTTTTGATATTTATTTATGCATTCTCAACATAAGCATATTGATGGCAATCACAAATTGATTCGCTGGAGATTTGTGATTCATGGAGGTGTTGATGGCTTCTCCAGAACCATTGTCCACTTAAGATGTTCAAAAAACAATACAAGCAGTACTGTCTTTCAGTTATTTCTGCAAAGTATTCAAACATACAAGTGCCCTCGTAGAGTACGAAGTGATCATGGCACAGAAAATATTGATGTTGCTTGTTGGATGCTCTATCATTTTGGAATTGATGCTAAACCATTTATTACATGGTTATCTGTGCACAATCAAAGAATTGAAAGATTGTGGAAAGATATTAACGCATATGTGACCAGTTATTTTAGTAACCTCTTCCATTATCTTGAGTCAGTTGATCTGCTTGATCCATTGAATGAGCTACATCTATTTGCACTTCATTATGTGTTCAAGCCAAGAATTAATCAAGCTTTAGTTCTTTTTGTTACCCAATGGAACAATCACCCATTATCCACTGGACACAACATGACTCCATATCAGTTATGGGTTGAAAGTTTTTACAAGTTTGCAAATGCCAATCACGAAACTTTACGTGAAGTTGCTGATCCTACTACATTACGCATTGATACTTATGGACTAGATGATGACGGCCCTTTGCCACTAGTACAAACAGTAAATCATGTTGAAATCCCTGAATCAAGTCTTGTTTTAACACAGGACCAAGTCACTCATATCCACATCTGTGAATCCTTTGGAAGAGGACAGTAAACATGGGATACAACTATATGTAAATACATGCAACTTATTGGAAAGAATACATAACTTATAAGCAAAGAATACACAACCCAAAGCCCTTTCAAATTATTTTTAAAATTAAACCTTGGTATATTAGTTTCATCATTGGAATAGATTATGCAGATGCAAATTGCAACAAAACAGTTCAGAGAGTATATGAAAAAATCGTTAAGAACATTTCCTTTTGGATGAAACAGGACTGACTGGCATTGTTCTTATATTTTTCCAAATCTATATCCCTCAAGCAAAGCTGACGTCATCAGCTCTCTTATTATTTCCCCTGTATCAGCATGCACTGGAATATTTATTGAAAGTTGGCATGTTGGGCACCACTTGCAATTTTCAGGACAACCGTGAACAAATTCCACTTTCATAGCTTCCGGAAATCCTAGGGGGGGCATTGTTTATGATCCAGTCATGGTGCTTTCCAAAGGCATTCCTCTTTAATCAAACAGCCGCATCCTCAACAAAAGCAGTATTTCTAAAAAAACATCATCATGTTATAGGACATTAAAGGGTAAAACATTATGCACTAAATTTATTTTTTCTGTCACATTACCAGAAAAAAATTCATGCCTTGGACCTCCATTATCAACAGCAGGTTCACCTATGAAGACGATCTTAATTTTGTTTTTTGGAGAAAACCAAGAACATTTTATCCTCCTATCCAAATATTCGTTCAAAATACTAATCCTTTGCACATTTACAATCACTTTCAGAGAGCTGAGTGATTGCAGCAACAAGGTTTGTCAAGTTATGTAAGTTCCTTCGCGAAGACATGCTCAAAATTTTGTAGTGGATGGCTCTTTGCAGGCTACAAAATAATGGCCGCAAAAAAAACGGTAAAAATGTCGTTTGTTCGAAGAAAATGTCGTTTTATGAATGTCAATTTCGTTTTATACAAATGAGTTTCGTTTTATAAAAATAATTTTCATAATTTGAAAAATATATTTCGTTGTGTATATATAAATTATGGTAACGAATTTTTGTTTTCTTTTATATTTTTGCGTTTCGTTTTACAAATATTGAAAAAGTTGCCAGTATATTATTTTCGACATACGATAATGTGTTTCGTTATAAATATTTTCGATTTTGGTAATATTGTCCATCTTGGCGCGCCATACCGGCTGGTGCCAGCAATAACTCTGATAAAACATTCGTTGTATCAGACCACCAACATGGCTGAATTGCAAAACATGAATACAGTAAGATTTCATTTACTCGATTTCCTGCTCGTCACAAAGCTCCTATTTTCAAAATATTTAACCAGTATAAAAAATTGAAAGTATTATAAGACAAGAAATTTCTTAAACATCCGAGAGGTCAAGAAGAAGGACTAACGTTGTTTGATGAGTCACAAAAACAAATACGAAGAACTTTAAATAATTTGTGACAACTTTACTTTGAAACATATTATTTCAAGACAAACTATTCAATAACAAGTATTTAATAGCAAAGTGAAAAGAATTTGAAGTTGTTCTCTATTTGAAAACAAGGAGCAAAATATATGCGATACTTCGTAGGAATTAAACACCCAAATAATTAAATGAAAATAATCAGTAACGCGTAAGAAACCTAAATTCTTAAAAATCACAAGTGCCATTTTCATAACCGCGCATCTTATTGAAGGTGACGTGCAATTCTATGCTTTCATTCGTTCCAGGTGCAGTCACGTGTTTTGGACAGAATATAACAAACACCAACTGTCCAAGTAATAAATACATGATTATAAAAACAGCATCATATCGTGGATTGAGGGAGGGAAGCATTTGTGGTTCCACCTACGATCACATTTGTAGTGCAGATGTCACCTGTTATTTGAAAAATCGTTGTGACGGTCAAAACGAATGCATTGTAACAGTCGATGATGATGTTTTTCCTTCTAATATTTTTCCTGATTTGAACAAGTATCTCTATTTTGAATATCAATGTCAAGACGACGTGACGTCATTCAACGAGACCTGCCATGGTAGGTTGAGCTGCCTTGAACGACTATTAATTATTCAGTGTGTTAACCAAACTCTCATTGGGGGCTGATAAAAAGAATATTTTGTTCATTTAATGATATTTTGATCGGAAAGAACTGTTAAAGGGACAGTGGACTTTCTGAAACAGTTTAGTCGTAACTCTTTCTTTTCTGAAGATATTGAAGTTTTCTAATGTCCGATTTACGCAACCACTGACGTGATAATAAGAAATGGAATAATCAGGAGTATTTTTGATACGATTTTTCAACCGGAATGAGTTCCTGTCTTTTAAGGAGCAAATGCTATTCTGTATAGATATTTCATCCAAATGTTTTCTGGAAACCGAGGGACATTTATAAATTTGCAGCGATTATTATGCAACTTGACGTCGTCTTGTGTAAATCTGACATTCGAAAACTTCAGTAACTTGGAGAGAAAAAAAGAGTTATGACTAAACTATTTTAGAAAGCCTATTGTCATTTTAAGAGTTGTCTTCATTGAAAACATAATTTATTTTAATAGCAAAATTTTTTGTTTTACCTTTGTATGTTATTTTAATTAGGTAGACAAGGCAAAGTAATACATATACATATCATTTTATGAAACAGAGACTTGGTTGTGCTGTAGGAAAGTAAAATACTGCTTTGAAGACGGTATTAGTGATGGTAAATGAAAACCATAGCTGTGTTAGTCCTAAAAAGAACTGCAGTTGAAAACCAAAATTAAGATTTGTCATTTACTTCATCTTAAATTTGTTTTTCATCTCAATTACCGTGGCAAATCCCCTCATTGAAACTAGTGTTTGATACTTGCTGTTGATTAAGTTGTTTATTTTCAAAACAACTTTTTAGTCACAAGCGGATTTTTCATCAAACACCTTCAGTCCGGAAAATGCATCCGTAACACGGGGTTGACGGCGACAACACATAATGGCAGAGGTTTTTATTTTTTGGACCTTTCTGACGACTGTCTCGATCCAGCAGCTCAGTTCACGTTTCTCAAAAATAACGCCATAATGAAATTAAATGTAGCAGGCTGTCTTCGACCAATCCAAATAGGTAGGCGAGGTCTTGGCCTTCTTATGTTGTACATCCACTTTAATGAAAATGGTGCTATTGATCAAAATGTCTGCTCTACACCTGTGAACCAAACATCTTGGGGAGGTCTGACCATGAAGTACGACCTACACGATTTTCAATACAGATGTTTAGTAAATGGTACAAATCAACTGCTGAAAGTCAACGAAAAAGTTGACCCTTTTCTAAACGTGACTGACTGTGAAGACGGATTGAATAAACGATTTAATTTTGGTAAGTTTCTACTGTCTTCTGTAGACTGAGTATTGCAGCAAATATATATTTATGACATGGATCAATGCATCGTAAACAGGTTTATCAAATCAAAGTACGCCGGAATTAATATTTTCCAATCGAATAAAAATGTCATCGCTCACATGGATATGTTTTAAGAAACTCCAGTCACAATGAACGATGGAATTAAAATGCAGGAATGTTTATCAAACAATCGCTACAAAAAGGTCACTTTATATTCTGTTCACGATTGCTGACAAGTTAGAAATTAAAATGCTAAATATTTTCACAGATAAAAAAAAGATAAAATTAAAATCAAATTCAATATTTCATGAAAATATATATGGACAAAAGAAGTAAAATTGAGAGAGAGTAATTGAGAATGGTGATTAAAGACAATTTTGGAACTTATTGCTGTCTTTATAACCATAAATGATCTACATTTTATTTTTTCTAGGCTCGGTGACCTGTTTCGGACAGAAAATACTGAACGTCAGCTGTCCTAGCAATCAACTCATGGTAATACAAAGTGCCTCGTACCGTGGATTGAGCGACGGGAATATTTGCGGCTCAAGTTATGAATACAGTTGTCATGGTGACGTGACGTGCGATTTAAAAAGGCATTGTGATGGTCGACGAGAGTGCAACGTAATTGTTAATGATGATCTCTTCAGGTCTAAAATTTGTGCTGACTTAAACAAGTATCTTTATTTTGAATATCAATGTGTCCAGAATCTGAAATCAATAACTGGGATCCGCTGTTGTAAGTCAACTTGATAATTTTTGTTTTCAAATTGTTGGTATTTAACAATTTACCTTCCTCTATGCTAATTAAAGAATGTTAAAGCATTTATGAAACGAAATTTTATCCAAATGTTTTTTGATTACATTGCAAAGAACATAAAAAATGACTTTACAACCTCTTCAGTAGTGTTGAGTTATTGTACTTTTTTTCTAAAGATATTTATGTTTATTTATTTATGAAAATGGCATTGTTATGGCATCACAGAGCATAATGACATTTCAACAAATAACAATTTTCCTCCTCGTTAGAACGTTTTATAAACAAATACAACAGTTTAATGAATACATGTTGGGGTGAATATTTGTAAAGACGGCAAAACATAGATACTTGTAAAGACGGCAAAACATAGATATTTGTAAAGACGGCAAAACATAGATACTTGTAAAGACGGCAAAACATAGATATTTGTAAAGACGGCAAAACATAGATACTTGTAAAGACGGCAAAACATAAATATTTGTAAAGACGGCAAAACATAGATACTTGTAAAGACGGCAAAACATAAATATTTGTAAAGACGGCAAAACATAGATACTTGTAAAGACGGCAAAACATAAATATTTGTAAAGACGGAAAAACATAGATACTTGTAAAGACGGCAAAACATAGATACTTGTAAAGACGGCAAAACATAAATATTTGTAAAGACGTCAAAACATAGATATTTGTAAAGACGGCAAAACATAAATATTTGTAAAGACGGCAAAACATAGATACTTGTAAAGACGGCAAAACATAGATACTTGTAAAGACGGCAAAACATAAATATTTGTAAAGACGTCAAAACATAGATATTTGTAAAGACGGCAAAACATAAATATTTGTAAAGACGGCAAAACATAAATATTTTAATGCTAACTGTCAACACAAACTATTTTCTCCTAATGCTAATTAAGCTATGTGATGTCACAACGATGTCATTCGCATACTTTGAAGAAAAATTACATATCACGAAAAAGAAATAAAATAACACAACACTATTGAAAACGTTAGTAACTCATTTTAAATTGCCTTTACAATGCAATAGAAAATACGATGATAAAATTTTGTCATAAACACTTCAACCGCGTTCGAAAAGCTTACTATCACTCACACACACTGATTACGATAAAAACTACGCTCTCTCTGTAATCAATATGGCAAAGTCATTATTGATGACTAGCTTTTTCCTAAATTATTAAAACCAAGAAATCAGTGGACTGAATATACTGCCTTTAAATTGTTATAAGGTGACGTTGATGCCCTGTTCAGTAAGTGTGAGGGTGAGTGGGCTTTTGGTGTACGGGCGTAGGTATACAAACACACATCAAGTCATAATGGAGCTTTAAATGACGTGAGAATTGTTTCAATTTAATCAATATAAAGATAGAAAGTCTTTGGTAAGTCATAAAGGAGGTTTCCATGTCATAAGAATATTTAATACTGTCATCATTGCACAGTTCTGTCTTAAGAGAGTGTTTAGTGAATATCAATAACTTGCCAAGGAGAAAAGTGACATTACGAAGATCTGTATATGCACTTCTTGTTTGTTTAGTCGATAAGGTTGAACTTTCCAGCTCGCTATGGCCAAACGAAGGCGTTTTGAATATTAACACAATGTTCAATAACTTCACTATCTGTCAAGACGGTTCTTTGAAAAACGTCAAAAATGATGTGTGTACGAAATTTGGCTTTCCTAAAGCCGACACTGTCGACCTTTTGTTGCCTCCAGAAAGCTTTGATATTCAACCAAATTCAGCTGGAAGTTTATCATGCGATGGCATGTCAACAAACTTGTCTCGTTGTTCCATATCACCGAATGATAGCTGCTCTTCGTATGCATATCTCAAATGTAAGTTTGTAGTTGGGCAACTGATTCATAGGAAAATATAGGTCGCCCAAAATGAAAGCATTGTAATCTTCCATACATCCAAGTTTTATTGAAACAGATTACGAACGTACAACATTAAGATATTGAAGTGAAATATTTTGTTTCTTACAAATTTTTTAGGTCATATTTGCAACAGGACGCTCTTGGACGATAGAATGACAACAATCCCAAACTCTTCCTTTTCGGCTTCAGTCAATAATCATAATGCTAAAGATGCAAGAATATCCAGCGGTAGTTCATGGTGTGCTCGTCATGCCGATGGCAATGAATATGTTCAGCTGACTTTCGATAGACTTTATGTAGTCAATAACATCGCGATTTTTGGAGACGGTGAAAACCTTAACAGGGTGACAGAATATTTCTTAAGCAGCACGACTAATCTCGTTGATTGGACATCGATTTTGAACGAGAATCCGGGAAAGGTGAAGTTTGATTGAATTGTTATCGATTCTGCTCGTGTTTTATAGATGTAAATGGAGACTTTGTCGTTGGGATGAATTTTAAAATTGCTTTGAAAAGAGCCAATATCATGGTGAATGGTGAAAATTAACAAAAGCAATAGTTCTTAAAAGTAATCTTTGAAACCAGAATACTAACCCGACACTTCTAAAAGGAGGGTTTTTAAAGCTGAAAGACACTATGCATTTATGCAGACTGCTTTTAAGATTTTTGACACCTGATGAGTAATTAATACCTTTAATTTTCTTTACCCTGTTAAACACCTGATGAATAATTATTTTTTATCATTCATCATGGTAAATGTTTTTTTTATAACAATGTTATTAATGTATGATAATCAACTCATTTTTTTTTAATGAAATGACGCGATTGTCATCACAGGCTTTTCAAGGAATACAAAATGCAATGCATATCGCTGCGATAAAAAATTTCCCACTGGGCATTAGAACGAGAGGCTTGCGACTTATTCCGACGAAATCCGAAGGTAGACCATGTTTGAGGATGGAGATTTGCGGTGGAGGTAAGAACTAGTGGAACATTTGAGATTAAACATAAATTATGGTGTTGTTGTTTAAAAACACACTCTGAATAGTCACTAAAACTAAATAAATCATTCTTTAGAATTTTCTTTTTAATGCATTAATGTGTAGGAAAAGTATTTTAAGGAGTATTGAAGACATTTAGCCAGCTACCTTGTTAGTCAACTTCAGAAGCTGTGCTTTTAATTAAAATGCTCACTCAGTTGGCATTTGACAACTAGGCCCAATAAAGTATAAGTAACAGATTTCAACTTTATTAATTACCTTTACTTTATGTGAGACAGTAAAATTGTGTGAGTATATAATAAAATAGGATGCCGTCAGTTTCAAAGCAATTTCCCACAAAAAAAGATAAAAAAATACTCTACACTCAAAATACACTTTTATTTAACCCTTTACCTGGCAGTGTAGCAGTTCTGCAATAATCGCCATACGAAATGAGAACAAACTTTCGAAAAAATTCGCCAAGTGAAGGGTTAAATCTTTCTCTTAATGAAATAGACAAAAGATAACTCTTAGGTGTTCTTCTGACTTCGAAATATCATCGCTTCGACAAAACTTACTTTGTTATCATAGAATTGCATCCGGGAAAGGTAAACCTGATTATCACTAAAGTTTCAGCAAGATATGTTAAGATATCGTGGGAAGATCCTACAACCACTGGAGTAAGCCCAGGTACAAGTGAGCCAAATCCTCTCACAATGTTCAAAATACTACTGTGGAAGAAGGAAGTTTTGTATCGAAACATTACAGTGTTGCCATCAATTAGTAGACCGTACACAATTGATAATATTCTTCCATATTCGCCGTATTCAATAAACATAAGTGCTGCGAACTCTGAAGGCTTTGGGGAAGCAACAAGAAAAAGTTTCATGACTCCAGAAGATGGTGAGATTGTTGTTAATAGTAACTTAAAGAAATTGGCATTTTATTATTTGACTTTTAGGGGTGGGGGCGTGCTTCCGTTCCGTTTATCATACTGAAAAAACTGAGCTCAAACAATGAAATCAATGAAAGAGAATTTGCAAGTCAATCATGAATAAATGTTAGAGCAAATAATTTAGCGTTTGATTTAAATTTATCTGCTTTGCATTATTATTATGTTATAAAATAAATAAAAGATATTCTTCGTGTTTGCACTGGCTTATGCAAACCTCAAAATGGTGCACTGATTTCTCTCGAGATCCCCCAAAGGTCTCTTTGGTTTGCATAAACCTTTACAAATACAGTAAGCGTTTTTATTTCTTGATTAATGAATGCAAATCAGCCGTGAGTCAAGTCTCTGACTGATATGAATGTTTCTCTTTAACTTCATACATTGTCCAAAAAGCAGCGTAGCCAGCCGCAGTAATTTTTGTGTTTGTGCACTGGAAAAATCATTAATGGAACTAATTTTGCTGAAAAATTTGCATTGTGGGAGTAAATTCCCGGGTTGTCTTTACAACTGCTCTCTGCGCATGCCCATTATGTGCAATGTGAACTTTTTGTCAAACCTTAAAAATTTTTCAGTTCCAAGTGGCCCGCCATTAAACATCAGAACAATCTCTCGAAGTACAGCGTCGTTAACCTTTACCTGGGATCCACCTGCAGAAGAAAAACAACATGGCGTCATCATGAGTTACGAGACATGTCTATCGTATTCAAAAAATGGCGCTTGCTTTGAAAATGTGAATCAAGTGAGACGTAGTTGGGCGGTTTCTGTGCTAAATCCCATGACAAAATATTTTTTAAATGTATCAGCGGAAACAAGGGCAGGCAAAGGAGTCAGCAGTGAAAGTCTAGGATTCTACACAAATGCAGGTATCGTAAAACTTAAAGAATATGTGTCAACCAAGATGTACTTCGCGCTTTTGTTTATGTTTATATCTTAACTTTCTGAGCCTGCAGAACACTGAATGCAAAGAGTGTCATGTAATTTTCCTGAGAATTTATTTGGCAAAAGTTAATCCACTAGCAATTGGCCTTACTCGCTTAGGCAAAGAAGCCTTTATCAATCCTAAATTTTCAAAATTACTTAACAATGTTTACATTAAAGTATGGAATTGTTGTCTGCTTCTGGTGTGAAGGAAGTGTGCCATGATTCTAATATTTTTCTAATAAGTTATTTTCCTCTATTAAGAACAGCAGTATTCTGGAAATCAATTTCATGTTGATAGTCCCATGCGTGTTTTGTTATGTTTGACCCGAATTTGTTATGTTTATTGCTCCGTAAATTTTCTTCTTTCCAAGTTTTCAGGGATTTTTTAGTTTCCCCAGTATAACTCCAACTGCAGTCTTTGCAAAGTATTTTTTACACGACATTTGTTTGGGCATTTGACAGATCTGTCTTTTGATGATGGAAGCTCTTGTTGCGAGGCTCTGAGGGGTCTGCTACAAACAATGACATTATATTTATTTATAGTTCTCGTAAGTGGTTTTGTTAGCCCTTGGATGTATCGTGAAGTAGCTACTGGATTCGGTTTCTCTTTCTCAACCATCTTAAAAAATGTACTCAATAATTCTTCTGTCCTTGGGTCGTGTTATATTTGTTGTCGTTTGATATTTCCGTAAATACTTTACATTTTACAAAGGCCGTCAGTTTCAGACTAAAATATAAATCGTTACGCCTTTATGAAATACCTACAAATATTTACGCAAGAAAAATGTTCGACAAAAACACAATTTAATTTTAATCATGTTTGTTCAGAAATGTCATCGAACACGCCTGCGGCAAAATCTGCAAGTACTCTGACATTTAATCTTCAGACTCCGCCAGCAGCATATCAGTAAGTTGAAATAGCAAAAACTCTTGTGTTTTGTATGTTATTCGTCTATGTGCTCTTCGATATATATAAAACAAATTATTGAACAAAAATTATTTCCCATTTTAAATGAAGAGGTTTTATCGGCAGTAAATGATTTTGATATAGAACCTATTCAGTAATCGCTTCTAAAGTTAATGTCAGAGTAAGCTGCGCGCTCCTGATATAAACTCTGACCATTTGCAACGGCAATCAAGGTTAACATGTACAGAATTTGCTCATCTGTATCCCAATGTGATGAAACGATCAATGAAGATATTCTATTTTTAATTGTAGATACATCTACATCGTGGCTTTCAAAGGAACACGATTGTCATCACCAGACAACTACACTTTAAACAACTTAATCACGTATGAACAAGCGAAAGTATCAAACTTTATAGCACCTTACATTGCTGCTGTGATATCAAGGATCGACGTATCAAGTCGGTTCATACTTGGTGACGGTGCTAATACAAGCGAACCAACATTGAAAAGACGAAGATCTACCGCGAGACAGTTCAACAATGGACGCTTGGAACCAAGCAACAGTTACATAATTTTTCAAAGAGTCATTCTCAACAATGTTAGTATCTTTAATTGCAAAGATTTTACATTAAACTCCCTGTGATTTATATTAGCCGCTAAATGCACGACTCAAACCTTTCCATAATCATTATTTTCAATCGATCGTTCCATTCTGTTCATTTTAAAACAGGGAGATTACTACTCTACAGAATGGAGCAGCTCTTCACAAACAACTACATACGAAGGTAAAATGAATGTATTTCGTTTGCTTCATTGCTCTCGGTGGATATCGATAGGTGGCCCACTTTATATTTCTTATGAAATCTATTAATTCTAATAAATTGCGAATTTTAAAGCGATTTTTAAATTTGTTATCAGGACAAAGTCTCTGCAATATTTGCACTAATCGGTTGTATTGGTAAATTGGTGAATTAATCCGAGGATTGGGTTCAGAAACTATATAATTTTGAGTTCATTTCTATATTAGATATAATGTGATATAAAAAGTAATAGAAACGATATGAAAGCCTCTCTCCGTTAAACATCTCGTATCTATTCAACGCTTCCCATACCCCGTACAAACGCTTGATATTTTTCAACGTCCCGGCGTTTATTGCATCATTTACAGTATTCAGCATTTACGAAACTGTGTTCTAGGATTAACGGTGCGAGAGGAAACGACAAGCAGCAATGTTTCGGCAAAAAATAATGATCTGGTGAGCTTGCTGTGTTCTGCAGAAGGTGAACCACCGCTGACATTCATGTGGACGAAAGATGACAAACGAATGGCGAGTTACGCTGAATCTCATAGAAGTTTTTCAAGTTCAGTTCTCGCACTGCAAGTTAGCAATGAAAGGTCATTTGGAGAATATGTGTGTCATATACGAGATAGATTTTCGTACACAAACCGCTCTTTTTGGATCGTTCGTGAAGGGAAAACTACAACAATGGGTAATACATACTACGTTCAATATTTCTGCTGCATAACTTTCGATAAACTAATGAACATACTAGTTAGCTAATATATTTTGCAAAAAATGATGTGAAAACTGCCTCTACACGATTGAAAGTGTCTAAAATGTGTAAAGTTTCTGTCTCAAAGTTTCTTCTAAAACTGTAAAGGATTTTTTTCGGAAAATTTATGCTTTCTTTGCTTACTCATGAAATTATTGAAATTAGAGAATTTGTGGCCAGTTTTACTTATTTAACTAATTTCTTATCTGCATAGCTGCATTCTGGCCAACATTGAAGAAATTTGATTAATTTTCACAATAATCAATACATTTTTAAATATAGACAAGAGGCATGATTTTGAGATATGTAAATTTGGATGGCTTTAAATCTGCTAGTATGTCACATTAGTCTATACATTGACGAATTTTTGTATTGTTTTGCTTGAGTTGTATTTGCATAAATGGGTCCTAAAGTGTATCATATATTCATAAAACAGTAGCTTGTAGCAAGAAAATGGGGTAAAAAATAAACCATGTAAAACGTTTACTCAATCAAAACACGAAAACAGTCTTCACTGTGAGAATGACATTTTTATACTTTATCAATAAAAAATAAGCTATTGCTGGGTTACTGGGAAGATTTCACGAAAAAAAGAACAGACAAATCTCCATACGACCCCAAACTAAGAAAAATACAGTGTTTTGACAAAAAAAGCTACGACAATTTTGTTCCTACAAGATAATATTAAATTAAATTAATAATCAGACTCTTTTAGTATTTGAATTTATGAAATAATTTTATAAGCAAGCATGAGATGACATAAAGTTTGTTCCGAAAGAAGTTCATTAGCTACAGTTTGAAGAGATCTTTTATTTAAGATCATAAAACGTTGTGCGTCATAAGTATTTTGAAAGATGTTGTCGTGAAAAGATTTCAATTACGATGACATATCTTCCAGACGTAAATTTTTATTCAGATTCTGAATTTATTAGAAATGCTTTAATTAATACGAAACGATCAATTGTAGTTCTATGGTACGATATTGTCAACGATGATAACTAATAACTCTCGAGCTTCGATGAATTTCTTTAATTTCGGCGAGGTATATTTTCCATATGTAATAATAATACCATATAGATCAGCAAAGCTTTCGTAAACACTTGAACAGCAATTTTAAGTCGCATTTGTAGTCATATTTGATTTTAATGGCTTAATATTTCTGATGGCCATCTGAATTATGACTTTCAGTAGAAAGGGAAGGTGGCAAGAAGGTATGCGAGGGGACTGGTCATGACTCGTGAATATGATATCAACTATTTGTTTTTTTATAGTCGTCGTAAAAGATGATGAAGATGATGGAAAATTCATAGCTGTGGTCGTCATCCTGGTTGTTTTGGCTATAGCGTCATTTGCAGCAATCTTCTATCTTTGGTATCGCTATGAGACTATTAAATCTGAGAAAAATACACCAAGGGTGGCAAATGGACCACCACTTCCAGATCGACCTGTCGGCGTACCAAATAACTATGACATACCAGATATACCTACAGACGAGGGGCATGGTTACCTTACACCGATGGAAATGAAAGAGTCAATGAACGGGGGCGATCACTTATACAGCACACTAAATGAATTCAGCAAATCCGATAGTAAATTATAGCAACATGGTCACGTGGTTCACGAACGATGCCATCATGATCAATCTAGTTTATCGTCATAACTTTTGAAATCACCTAATCATAATTTAGCACTTTTATTTTTTCCTTATTATGCATTCGATCTGTGACAAGAACTTGTATCCTTCGCAATATCATTATAAATGTGTGTTACTTAACACATCTGAAACTGATTATTTTCCTGTACGAAATCTCCTTCTATTGTATAATTTTTTTATATCTTATATAAAGTGTCCTATTAACAAAAAATAAATTTTTTTTTGTTTCAATATAAACTAAATAATCTTTAAATTTCTTAGTATTTTTTCTACACAAAACTCAAGTCATGTTTTACCAAAGATAAAGACAAAACAACAATTTATGATACAACCGACGCGATCTACATGATACCATGTAAAGACTGTTCAAAGCAATACATAGGACAAACATCAAAGAAAATCGAAACAAGACTCACAAAACACAAAAACGCCATAAAAGGACGAGATCCGAACTCACTACCGGCAGAACATACCCACGGACACAACCACACATTAGACTGCACAGAATCTAAAGTACTCGCACGCGCAGAGACTAAACACGCACGCGAATTGAAAGAAACTTGGTACAGTAAAGAGAACGACACAATAAACAGACATATTGACATACCAATCATATATTCACAGTAAAAGAAAAAGGACAGATAAACTACAAATAACACCAAGACTACAACCAACACACTCTAATAATATTAATGCCAATCATTTGCACAATCCACCAAAACCCATGACAACGCATTTCACCACATCCAATCATATTAATCCACCCGCTAATCCAATTAGAAGCTCTAAGCGTCTACAAATAAAAAACAACTGTATATAACTTTCTATATCTTTCTGATGAAGGCTAGAAGCACCGAGTCGAAAGCTCAATAAAATAATTTATAACAATCCGGAGTAACTCTCATTTTTACACATTAAATATGCCTGGATTACCAATCTTTAAACTGATACACTTATATATACACAATGTACATTACGCTCGCTGCGCATGCGCAGTTTGAGCAGTGTCGGATTGTGTAGTCTCATTATGATACGTTCACCGCTTTCGCGTAATGCAAAGCTCAACCTTATAGGTTTAAGCGCTCTGGTGACTCTACAATACAATCTATACAATGTGTAACCGTACATCCTGTGTACTAAGTGCAGAAGTCACCATTTTACTATGGTGATAGCCGGGAGGGCACATTGTTATACACTTTGTTTAAATATATCTGTTAATATATGAATTACTGTACTCATGTGCGTTTACGAATCATTGGGAGATTTCCAAGTTGTTAAGTACTTCAGGACGTAGCCAACTACCAGGATGTAACATACTCTGTAACAGACGTCACGACATTATACATTGATAATTATAAAAATCCGGGAAAGGAAGGCGATTGAAAGATGAGCATTTTATCACTGTTAATTTAATACAGGTATGATGAAAATATACGAGTCCATGGAAAGTCTGTTGATTTAAAAATACAATTTTTACATAGAACATGAATATTTAACATCAAGAAATATCTGTCAATATGTTTGTCGTAGCACAAAACATGCTTTTAAGTACCTCGGAAAAGATCGCACACACGTAGACGGTAGACCATGTTTGACGGCCGGCTGTGCTGTGATCCATTCATTTATGGAGTAGAATGTACGGAAATATACAAATCGATGGAATACTTGCACGCTAATTTTAAAATTTCCTGTGTGTTATTATATCCTCCTGTATTTACACGGCAAACATCTATACATGAGGAACTAGTATAGAAATATAGCATAAATTACTATCAGACAATGTCACGCATTGCCATAAGATAAATGAATTGCATAGGCTAAATCAATACTGTCCATATAAACTCCACGTGACTGCAACACTTTGCACGAGGAGTAAATACCTCAGTTTACCGAACTACCCACGAGATGACGATGTTCTTAATTTCACGAGGAGAGACTTTAAATTCTAGACAAAAAAATCGAAGTAGAACACGTCAGTGATTATAACAACAGCATTTGTGGATGCGTTCAGACCAATCTAAGCTCTTGGTCGAGGTTTGCAACAAATTCAAACTTAAATCAACAATAGTTCTAAAGATAGCATATACCATAGTGAATGGAAAAAGTAATATAGTTCTTTTAAAACAGTTCTTTTAAGAACTATCAACTTATTATATTACTTTTACCATTTACTATGGTATATGCTATCTTTAGAACTATTTTCAGATTTGTCACCACGACAAAGTCTCTATTTTATCAAATCAACAAAAATCAAAATGAGCAAGTCAACATTTGGTCTTTCGACAGACCATTGAGATTTAATCATCTTGTAAACGCTGCTGAGGCATCAAGAAAGTTACTTTAAGCATCATCTCACAGATGAATGAAAGAAAAACAGGATTCTTATATGCAAGAGTAATGAAATTCAAGCACATTTTAAGGATGTATTTTGAAAAATTTAATGACCAGGGAGACCTTGAATAGCAAGCACAACTCAACATACACAACATGTTATTAAAAAAGAGTGTCAACCGTCAAGCATTGCGCGCGTTTGTTTATTTTCAACCTAGAGTTTCACTAGTTGACTTCGCGCTGAACAAAATTGTTGATTACGCGCGCCATGCATGATGGGTTACCACTTGCTGCTTAGATATACTGTCAAAATTAACGACTTGAAACTTTTTAATTAAACAGCAGCAAATGGTATATTTTCATTTGACGCGAAACCTCGACTTCCGAAAAAGGAAATTGGTGCGGTGGCTGGCATGTTTACGAAATTGTGACAAAAAATATTATAACTAAAGGGCTTTCAAGTCTTACCGTGTACTGACTATTAAAACCATAGTACATGTACTTCTTACGTTTGATGTCTCACCTGTAAAGTTGTAGTCTGGAAGGATCCTTTTATGACGAAGTATGGTTTGCCGTATCTGGGAGTGCCATAACTCTAATTCCTCCACGCTAATTTTAATTGTCGCTTCAACGTACTCTCGCAGTAGTTGACGGAAGCGTTCCTTATCTTTTACAGAGGTCGATACTTCTAAACCGCAATGAAAACATGTTTCAAAACATCGAGTTGAAGTCGTTAGAAAACTTATCCAGACGCCTAATCTAAGCTTCTAAACCACATCAAAATACACACTACATGTGGAATTGCTTCTTTACACAAAAAACATCTTCCGTTGAATGTTTACCTTTATCAGTCGAGATATCGCCCTCGTCAATAAAAAGAACTCGTTTTGATTTTTCAACACTATTCATGTCTTTATACTCCTCGACGAAGGAAGCTTGAGTTGACGAAACTTGCGTTGCGTCATTATTTGGAGTGACGTCTTCCAGCGACATGTCAAAGTCCAGCTTTCTTTTCTTGGTGTGCCTTCCATCTACAGAATTTGAAACATCATCATCATCAGGGAGGTCGTGGAGGCCATTCACGACGAGGACTTCGTCACTAGATTCATTAGAACCCAGGCCGTTGACGTGGGAACTGCTCGAAAGCATGCTGTCCAACTCGGCAACGTCCTTTGAATCGCAGTTACTTATTTCACTTGTTCCCACGCTCCCGTTTGCCTCGCTCCAGTGATCTCTCTCCTTTTCGGCAGACGGCGGTGACAATCTGCTTGAAACTTGATCCATGTTCTCCAGATGTGACTTCAGAGCGGTCTTCACATCACTACGCATGCGCAGTGAATTGATATAACGATTTGTATGAGCGTCTGGATTGCCATTTCTGTCTGCTATTTTAACAGAGTTCTCTTCCTCCATCGAGCTAGGCAAGGTTGAAGAACGGAGAAGGGTTACGAAAGAGCAGAAAATTTATCAAGCGGAAAAACGAAGAAATTTCTACTCCCAAAAGAGTAATTTTTAAAATCCTCATTAACTTTTTACGAGCAGTAAAAAACGATTCAAAGAAACAACTATAGTGTAAACTTAACAGGACACTATCTCACACAGGAGTGTAAACTTAACAGGACATTATCTCACATAGTATCTTGTAAAACAAAAATGTCGCTTTGAATGTTTGATATATAATGAAACGCAGAATCATTTTATAGCAAAGATAGATCTCTTTTATCCAAAATTTTTCAAGGAAAATAAAACAAATTGCAATTATACGACAAAAATATAGAGCACTATAGACGACCCACAAACCAATAAGCGCAAACGTTATATTGTTTATATTCTATAAAGGTCATTTCACTACGCCTACCTTAGTGTTTTCACACTATTCATTTCGAAGTATTTGCCGTTGATGTCATGACGACCATCGAGATACGTTTCACGTATATCAATATTACCAACCGAACTTGCGTGTTTGCCACTCAGGCTACAGTCCAGCGCTTCTTGCGTATCCACAGCAATCCCATTAGTTTCACTGGGTGTATTATTGTGCTGTACAGCAGTAGAGTTACTACGTGATTTTCTAGTGAAACGACCTCGTCGTCGTCGACTATACCCATCACGTTTGACACTTTTCTTTGGCGTTTTCACGGTGGACTGTTCCTTCAGAACTTTACCATCCTCATCTTGTGTATTCTCACGAGAAATTTCGGGGGAACATGTGGTTAATGTGCCTTGTAAATTTTCTAACGTGAAACAAAAGAGAAAGACGATGAATTGCGCGCCAAAAGACAACCACGAGAACAAAGTAGATATGATGAAACTGGTTTTGCTATATATATGTTATTCACATACAAGTTGGTCGTCAAAAAAATCATCCCACGTGAAAAAACTCAATGAAAACCATAGCTAAATGATAAAAAAGCTAGAGGCGGTTTGCATAAGACGTAATGGCAGCTATGTTGGTTGAAGTTGACGAAGATTTTTCTTGTTTAGTATTAAAATTTCAATCAACATGACATATATCTCTTTGTCCTTTGACTCCTTGGAGAATGATCGCAAGGCAACTATACTTTACAGTAACATCAAGTAATTATCCATATAATCTCACTGTCAACATTCGCCCTGAATAATGGCTTCATTTGAGATTACTCATTCAATTGAGATAAATTTCAAACGAAAATATCTGATTCAATGAGCACGACTTGTTTAGCAGAAATTACTTCAAAAAGGAGATTCATCATTATGGAATCATTAAAAATGTGCAAAACAATAGGTGCATGTCATATTAAATTTGGAATATTTGAGATCAAATCCTTGTTAAAAATCCATCTCGAATAATTGCTTTTATTTTCTTATTAATACATGCAAAGTGACATTTTTCCATTTCCCGAAATCTGATTGGGTGCAGCAGCGAGCGGCTTTTTACGATGTCACGACCGTACTCCTTAAGTGTTATTTATTGCAATAAATTTGTTCGCAAAGGGAAAATTAAAGAATACGAGTACGACTACGAGTACGATATACGTCATTTTGGCGCGAAAAAAACAATGTTGCGACAACAGAAACACGTAGCCTTTATCAATCTGAGAACGACGTTTTGTAAAAACTAGTATTCGAGAGTACGATGTCTTTTAAGGGAAAACAAGTAGGTATATGTTTTCATTGTGTAAGAACTTAGTTTACAATACTATTTTAGACCATCCAGGCTTTATTACAGTACCTTTAGTACAGAGATGTACTTTTAAAACGAAAATAAGAGCTACAAAACTTCCATGTAACTAAGACGCAAAGTGAAGTGTAAACAAACTATAAAACACTACAAATATATAATACATAAATACATAAAATGTTTGTAAATGATGATCGCCCAGGTTCATAAAGTCCTGAGAAGGACTGTTTTTGTTGTTGTCGAAACGTCAGTCAACAACAACAAAAACAGTCCTTCTCAGGACTATACCAACCTGGACGATCATCATTTACAAACATGTAACGATACTCCCGGGTTCAAACCATTTACTTTAATACATAAAATAGTAAAGATTGTTCTCTTATTCTTTTTGACAACAGACTTCCTCTTACCATTCCCTTACACGGTTAAATTTTGTACTCATCTTCGTACTCTTGCTAAAGCTCTCTATTTTACAGGGAAGTTTGTAGAAAACAATCCAAATTTAGTCTCAACAAGGCACATCGACCATTTTAAGTCAGGAATTGTTTCAATATAAGAATACAAAAAACCCAACAAAACGTTATATACCGTTAGAGGCAATCCTTACTGAAAAAATATTTCCCTTCGGTCTTCGACCTCTGGCCGCTTCTGACACCTCGTGAAAATATTTTTTCAATAGTAAATACACATATTTTCCTCTACATTCTCCAACCTTCTCTAACTTCTGCTTCATAATCACGTGGTACTACTTTAGTTTTCTCCGGTAGGGAGGATGACAAAGTCGTCTGAGATGGAAGCTTCGCCTCCTTTACTGGAGCAACAGGTAAAAATTTGGGCGCACACACGTTCCTAGCATCACCTGAAAGAAATCTCCGGGTAAAAAACTCGCATAATGAGCAAAGAACCATGTATTAAATCACATACGATGTCTACGAACCTCTTCTATGACGGGAAAGAGCAATATCTTCGCACGTCTAAAACACACACAAAATCACCACTTAAACTATCCATACACACATACCAAAACAAAAACATAAAAAGCTAGAGATAAAAATACAAATTATCTTCAACACAATTCTCGGAACCGAAAAACGAATGTTAGTTATTAGCATATGTCATCGACTCTTACGAGTTGTAAGGGTCTACGCCATATCACAGAATATCGAATATACAGAAGGGTCACAAGTGTCGGAGCCTTTGATGTTTTTGTCCTCACGCATGTTGTGCCGCTCATATCGGCAGCCATTATTCCAGCAAGATATTTAGGGTTTTTCCCTGTTGCCAGCCACTGAAATGACCGAACATCATTTCTTCTATTGAAATATTTTCGATTTCATTACGAAGAAATGACGTCATGTTATTGCAGTGGTTGGAAACAAGTGAAAAAACTTAAGTATCTTGCTGGAATAACGGCGGCTGTGAAGACCACGTGTACACTTCTATGGCCATATTAAAGAAGTTTGCGCTCAAATACGTCACATCCGTTAGAGCTGTCGCATAAATTATACTGATTCTTCAAGCTCATAGGAACGGCTTCCAACTCTCTTCTGACATCAACTTTTACAAATTGTCTTTCATTTTTGGTAGAAGCAACTTTACGACACAAAATACAAGCAAAATACATGAAAGATACACAACCTTTATATCAACTAAATTGCTCTTCGAATTCCATATTTGCGAATTGCAAATGCATAGTGAATTGATTTCGAATAAAACAGTATAATTTATAATGACGTAAGAGGGGGGGTCAAGCTTCAATATTGCAAAGACCCGTACGAGAAGTAGGCTAGTTTTGTATTTCCCACATACACTTCGTTAATCCTTACTACTGTTTTCTGGTGTCGATAATTTCTCTAAGTCTGCATTTCTATTCTGTTACCTTTTCAAAATCCACATCGAGCTGCGAATTAATGAGAGAATGGGCGGTGTCTTTGAGAGCGCATGCGCGATGTCGTATTAAACGATCCAAATTATCGGCGTTCGGGTTATATTCTAAGGCATTGCTGGTGATGAGGTTGATATCGGTAAGATATTCGGCACATGTTTGATAATGATGACCATCGATTTTCTGCAGCATGGTCGTGAGGTCCATTGGATTTTCAATCACATCAAGATAGTCAGGAACCTTGATGAAAAAATCGCTTCATTTAGGACTAACATCGTACATGTAAAAATTGAAGGAATCCTCATGTTTAAAGTTGCGGAATGCTTTGCAATCATCACAACTGGGTCTAATTATATAGAATTGCATTGTACACCTCGATAAAATTCGATAAATTCAAAGTAACAAACTCTACAAGGCGTGTACTAAACACTGGTACTAAACTATAACATACAATTGTACCGAACTGGATATACCGGTCACAAACACGGCACTTGACGTGGTCAAGGACAGCGAGAGGAAAGAATATAGCAATTTATGGATCAAAGTTGTGATATGAAATCGCCTCTGATGGCTTTAGATAAGAAAGCGAGAACAAATTTTCAAAATCAGAATGTTCCTCATGAAAACATTAAAATAGAGCAAATAACACAGCACTCGTGAGTTCATCATCAGACTGAGTCATGTAAGTACCACAATACATAAGGAGCAGCACTTAAAACTACTTTCAAGTTAACGCGAGATCCAATTGTGTTTAATTATGGTAGCACTATGCATGTAATCATGACAAAACTCCTTGCTTTTACACCTGATGGATCATCTCATCCATATAAACAGGTTTATAAAACTCCCTTAAAACTGGATATGTAACAAACCTCATCCACATTAACAGGTTTATAAAACTTCCTAAACCTGGATGTGCAACTAACCTCATCTAGATGAACAGGTTTATAAAACCTCCTAAACCTGGATGTGCAACTAACCTCATCTAGATGAACAGGTTTATAAAACTTCCTAAAACCTGGATGTGTAACTAAGCTCGTCCACATCAACAGGTTTATAAAACTTCCTAAAACGTGAATATGTAACGAACCTCATCTAGATCAACAGGTTTATAAGACTCGCTTTCACTTTGAGGGCACTGGGGTATACAAACCACCTCATTCGAATCTACAGGTCAATAAAACTATTTACACCTGGATATGCCACTCACCTCGTCCAGATCGACTGGTTTATAAAACTCCTTAAACCTCCTGTCGCTCATTAGCTTCACGGTGATTTCCCTAAGAAATATCCGTAATTCCCTCAACGTGTTCTCTTCGTCCTCACGTACTTTCTGCAGCTCGGTCACGCTCAGCTGACGTGGTTCAGGTGGAGGAGCGACTGGAAGAACCTCAAGAGGTTCTCGTGATTCTGTAGAAATAAATTTTGAACAATTAAGTCATTAACTGTTTTATTATGCAGTTGTAAATGCAGAAGCTTTTAAATTACATCGTATATGGAAGTCACAAAGTTTTCCATGCTTCAACATAAAATAGCTAAATGTGACTGACAGTGCATCTCTTTCCCGTTTCGTTTATTTTGCGTCCTTATTCTCAATATTTTGAGCGATGACAGTCATTAAAACGCTGGAAAATCTCGACGAAGGATATAATAACGCTTTCTTGTTAGATTATGCCAGTAGTTGCCAAGTTGAGACTCCTATAGTCTTGTATTGTTCATCGATGATTTATTTATAATAAATATTTTCTAAGCCTGCTTTTTTTCGCGACGAAAGTAAACCAAATCGTTTATTTTCGTCAGGCAAATGTCTTGTTTTCTTAAATCATAAATCAATTTATAAATGTGACATAAAACGAATATGACTATGTTCAGTACGTTGAAAGACCCAAAAAGCAACGTAAAATACTTTGAATAACTCTATAAATATGTGTTAGTAAGATAATATAGCTAAAGACCAAATCAAAGTTGTTTCGGCAAGTTCTCAGAGAAAATGTTTGTTTGCTCAAAAAGCAGTAAAAAGTACAGCGTATACGCTAAACATTTCCCGCATGAGTTTAGTTGAACAGCAAACAAAACGTGATGTTGCCAATAAGTTCAACTTAATACAAGAAGAACTGAATTGTGAACATCATGTCATTTCACTTTACCACAAGTGTAACGCAGTGTAGAAATTGTTATTTATCAACATTGCTGACTATCTTGTGGACTGAGGAGTATATATTGAATTTATGAAATAATACGAAAGTTAATTGTTCGTCGAGCGAATATCATTTTCACTTAAAAAATCATCAATCGATTTATGTAAACGTCAATGGAAGTCGAGAATTATCCTCGAGAGTAGAATAATATAGAAGACACTAATTTGGGACAAGAGTAGAAAATTTTGAATAAGGTGAAAAGTGTCAATTCGAAAACCGAGCACAAAAAATGTCTTCAAACCATCGTGGCTTCCGACCGTATTGTGACAGAAGATAGTTACCGCGCGCTAGATGTTTTTGCCGAGCGGAGCTTTACGTATACGAAAATTACACCCGGGAGGTATAAATAATTTCAGTAGAACCATACAAGCATTCTATTACAAATGCTTTAATATGATTGGCTACTCTATTCACTGTCTAATTTTCAATAGACATGGCTGCTGCCAACCATGTAATGATAAACTCCATTTCATTGATGGGATAATTGCATGATCATCAACTATCACCTCATAGAAATCTCGAGCTCCCCTAATCTAGTTATTAAACATACGAGTATAACATACGTACTTCGTGTGTTCGTAATACAAGGTAATTTCAAAGCTTCATCAAGAAACAATTGTTCAAAATAAGCATATCTTTCTTCATCGGTGGGATAAGGCACTTCAAATACCTAAACGATGTAATCACGTGAAACATGTTAATATTAATGTCTATGAAAAAATAAATTTGCAGATTTCCATTACAACTGAAGTTTGTCCTTTGCCCCTGCACACAATCGGAGACCCCATGTACATTTTACGTTCTCCCAAGTAATACACAAAAGCACCTACTTAGTTTTGAACTTATAAAATGAAATAAGTTAGCTTCGTCACTTTTATGGCCTCATGGGAGCTAAGCTCTCCGTGTTAATCTGCGACAACACTTTAGACACTTATAGAGATCAATACCAAAACATATGATACAAAAAAATATGACGTTGGAACATTTCTTCAAGCAACATAGACAATTTGAATAGTCACAAAAAAATATCTGGAACTTACTTGTTCATGATGAACAACGAATAAGCTCGCTAGACTACGAGGGATAGCCGTGATGGGCGTGTCACACGTGGCAAAGAGCATCAATGGTAAGCCGGGTGGTAGATCCCTTACGATGGATAAGAATGTCGCTTTCAATGTATCAGTCGTCGCCGACCACAGCGAGTCGATGTGAGGAAGATAGACGATTGACGGGGCGACTCGACGAGCTTCACGAAATACCTACAAATAGAAAAAGGAATGCTCCAAAACTGAAACATACGTACTGCTCGTTGTTACGACAGTCACCTCTCAACTAAATGGTGGGTAGCAGCTGCTGCACTATATATAAATAACAATACGCTTGCTAAACGTGACGGCAAATCTTGAAAGATACTTCTACTTATACATATGTCGGTCAACATACTTCTGTTTCGATGTAATTAAGTTACATAGTATATGTGACACATATGACGAATATTTTGGACAGTAAATTAAATGCAATACACAATGTAGCTACGTGTACACTCGCGTAAAAATAGTCAGATAACCGATAATAGAGAAGCAGAGGCAGCAAATGAATTGTCAACAACTAGTACAGCTAAGTAATAGTAGTCTTATTAGTATAGTTTTGAGCGCAATTACGAATAAATATACACAAGCGAGATTCTTAAAAACTGCATTCAATGCAACGAAATAACATGCTATACATTCCCACAAATATACATCACATGAATGATATGATGCGTCAAAATTGAAAGCAACGGCAAGGGAAACTAAGTCTAGAGCTAAAGAAAACAAGCAATCTGAAATTATGACTCGTTAGAGTAGAGAAAATCCACGCAAAGAAAGATCAGTTGCTTGTACCAAGCCATCAGGTCTAACAATGTTTGAGAAAATGCCCTTTTGACCACTGACCTGAGCACAGGCCTCCTCTGCAGTCTTCGATAAACAACCGAACAATACGGGGAGATCCAAGCTATGTACAGGTATATGTTCCATTGAGTGCAATAAAGCTGGGCTTATGTGAGTCGATTGACCCATACCACGTTTACCGCAGACCAAAAAACGTGGGCGATGGACGATGCGTGACGTCATTATGTTTTCTTCAAAATAACCGAATTGATTTCCATTTTCATTAGGACTTTTTATCCCCGCACGGCGGGCAGCGCGAGCTGCTCTCGCAGCTCGTGCGCCATCGGTGGAGCTCGGATCAACTTCGTAAATGTCCGCTTCGTCACCAGGATCGTCCGACGATTCCGAATCACTCAAGGCAAAATTTGTCACAGAACTGCCTGGCGTCGATTCTCCGACTAAAAACATAAACGTAAATTAGACATTCGAGAGTGCATTCGTTCGTTCGTTCGTTCTTTCTCTAATGAATTAATGAATTAATGAATTTATTCATCCAATCATTCATTCATTCATTCAAAACCTGATATCTTTGTTGAATAAACATCGGTTAACGTAAATAACCAATGAGGCAATAAAGCAAGTAGCTACATAATGTAAGAATGTGGTCAGTCTATTTCACCTGTTTTAGTTACTGCAGGTGGAAAGACGCGTGTAATCATATTCCACGAGGTCCGTAACATTTGACGTAAGAGCGGTCTCACGGAAGAGGAGAGCGCTCTTCCGGGAGAAACAACTGCCCGTTGACACGCAGGCACCATAGCCTTAACTGCCTTGGCGAAATCTTTGCCGCTGACACGAACCGACTCAACATCCAGCACCAGTTTCTTCTTAGAAGCGTAGATTTGAGGATATCGCCGTCGGAGGGCGAACAACGCAGCTTCGGTACACAGCGCTTTAATATCGGCTCCACAATAGCCAACGCACTGGTCCGCAACCTCGTTGATGAAAGCTGGTGTCAAGCGAGGTTGCCAAGCTTTTGTGTGAATGGTCAATATGTTACGTCGTGCCTACACATAGGAAAGAAAAAACAGGAAGTACAGTTTGTAAGCAGTTTATAAATATCTTACTATGAACTATTTCCCGGATTCGCACATTGCTAAAGGTAATGAATTCAAGCACTTTTCAAGAACTATTGAAGACACATTTTAAAATAATTAAGGATGAGGAAGACCTTGAATTGCATAAAAAGCACAACCACGCAAGAAATAATTAAAAACCTAATCAAAATTGAAACAAAAGAACTTTTTCTAATGAGAAGTGTGTTTTCATAAGACCTGTGTTTTCATATGCAAGTATCTTTAAAGTTCTGACAATAAGGCTGCGTTTTCACTATACCGGATTTGCTCATCACGACATCTTCATTTGCTTTCAAGGGTTAACTGTTCGGAGTAAAAGCTTATTAAGCTGATAGATTTAGTCTATTTGTTTGTGTTTCTGACGCTGAACAATTTCACTGCCTTTTAATATAAACAATATTCAACCTGTTACGATAGCAATCCGGTATAGTGTAAACGGAGCCTAACCCTTTCGCACATGAGGTAGTTTTCGTTGGAATAAAGACTTAAGATACAATTTCAACTCCACTTTCGAAAAGAAAATAGTGCGATGACATGCATAATAAAAAAATTTAGAATTCAAGCACTTTGAAGCACATCATGACAAATTCAAGTACTTTCAACGCTTTCGATTTTTCAATTTCAATTTGAGGACATCAGAAGACATCATATTTCCATAGTTGGGAAAACAAAAATTTGAACTGGTAACACAAATTATTTAGCTCGCAGTTTGTTGTCTTTATAAAACAGGTGAATTAATAAATCACGAGAATTGCCCTCAACTAAATATATACGTAATCCATTACCAGCAGAAAATTTTATGAAGTATAATAAAAAAACAAACTCCGAATGAAAAGTTCATGTTTAACTCGATATCTGAGAAAACAATAGCCGTAATTCACAGTTAGCTTGTAAAGAGAGTCTGACAATGAACTGGCAATACGTAAATTCCAAATATAACTACGTAAAAAACTGTTTGTTTTCACAAATATTGAAATGCACATAGACCTTGTTCGGAGGATGTATCTTAAAATACGCACATCACTCTGTACTTCTCATACAAACCTGTTTGTCCGGTAGCGGAAATCTGAACTCGCGGTCAAAGCGACCGGGTCTGCGAAGAGCGGGATCGATGGAGTCGATGCGGTTCGTAGCGCCAATTATGACTATCTCTCCTCGGTTATCTAGGCCATCCATGAGAGCAAGTAGTGTAGAAACAATGGAGCTATGGATCTGATCTTGCCTACTGGAACGTACTGGAGCAAGACCATCTATCTCGTCGAAGAATATTATGGAGGGACGCAACTTAAACGCCTAAATATAAATAAGAAAAAATATGTATATTTATTTGCTATTGAATGATTGCGATGAGGGAAAGAGATGTTTTTATATGATGAAACTCTTGTATCCCGCATTATAAAAAACAAAAATTTGTTTCACTAATAATTAATTAATTATTGACCCTACGTAGCTGACTTATAAAGCGCATTTTGAGTGTTGTAATCTCAAAGTTTAGAACAAATGACTATGTTAAGGAGGCTCCCTAAAGTTACTAAGCAAGGGACTGGTAACAATTCGCATGCGCATATTGTGCTCATGTCGAGTGGATTTTTTTACTTACATAAACGCCTTTCCGCGCCGAATTATTGAAATTTTTTCGCTTTCGCAAATGCTCTAAAAACATGTTTGTTTGCTCAAAAAATCAGCAAAAAGTACACTGCATACGCGAACGATTTCCTGAGTTTAGTTCAACAGCAAACAAAACGTGATGCTGCCAATAAGTTCAACTTAATACAAGAAGAACTGAATTGTGAACATCATGTCATTTCACTTTACCACAAGTGTAACGCAGTGTAGAAATTGTTATTTATCAACATTGCTGACTATCTTGTGGACTGAGGAGTAAATATTGATTACTAACTATAAGTACTATTTTCAAGTTGCTTCAAAAACTAAGGCCAACAATGAAATTAAACATAAAATCCAAAATAAAGGGGAGCCAAAATAAATAAATCCAAAATAAATCCAATATAAATAAATCTAAAATAAATCCATAATCTGGCGAAGCCGTAGTAAATGAAGCCTTACAAGCATGCGTAAAAATAGTGCAGCCGCCTCTATTTTATATAAAAAACGAAATTGTCCCAAAAAAGTAAATTCGATGTACTTTTATAGTTACACAAGTAATTTTTTAGCTATTCTGCGTATTTATTCTCGTTGCTTTCTGTTTTAGCTCATATTTTGCGGCCGAACTTCTTGGAGTGTTCTCTCAGATTGAAATCGCAGCTAAAACGCATATTCAGGTGTAGTATTTAAAGCCTGCTATCGTAAACTCGTTTCTCAACAACACTCTAAATGTTTTAAACACACTCTAAAGGAAAGTCAATATGAAAACACTCCTTCTGAATTTAGGAGAGACTATTCCTCAAAAGCTAGTTGACCGCAACTAAGTGAACGGTTGAGTCTTATTCCACCTAAAGGAAGGAAAGTTCTCCACTTTCTCTCTCACATAAAAACTTTAAATCAATAAAAAGTTAAAGTACATCGAAATGTTGATGATGGGACAATAATTTGAATGAAAAATTGAGATTATGACCAGAATGTACAACGCATGTACCTGATCAAAAAGAAGTCGCAGTTGCCTTTCAGATTCTCCAACCCACTTACTCAAGCAATCGGCACCTTTTCTCATAAAGAATGCAACCCGTTTACCATCTTGACTGCACTCGTTCGCCAAAGCACGAGCCATTAGAGTTTTACCAGTACCTACAAGAAAAGAACACAAGTTAAAAAAAAAACAAAAGAAAAAACACTTTGCAGTGACAAATCATACGCAGGAAGATTGAAATGAAAAACGACAAAGAACTCTTTAAAGATTGAACACATGAACCTCTCAATAATAATTGATCAACACTATTGCAGCCATGAATCATATGCACAAAGATTGAAACGAAAAAGCGACAACAAAGTCTTTAAAGATTCAACACATGAACCATTCAATAATTATTGATCAAGAAAACCACCACTAAAGTTTTCAGAAAGACAGTTACCAAAACTGTTGAGTGGAAGTCTGGAACATACAAGTACAGCAAGGAGCCGAACTATGCAATAACGTGACGCAAGACAAAAGATGTAGAGAATGTACTGTCAGGGCTTGAAATAGCGAACTGTCAATGGCCAAAAAACAGACCATATTTGAGATAGCAGGAGAAAAAATTTGAGCTGCTGCAGTAAGTCAAAAATAAAATGGCAGGGTGAAATACTTAAGATTCTCATTCTTTTATTTGCTCATAATTTGCTTTCAATTTTCAACAATTTTCGAAAGTGTTGATGATCAGCAGTGATTTTAGAGAAATTTAATATACCATGTGACATATTAGAAAATTTTGGCGTTTTAAAAAGATTAAAAACTTCAGAAAAAAGCTCAATTAATAGCCTGCCACATAAAAATAAAAGAGTCGGGTCATATTTCCTTTCTATTTTGAACCCTGTAAACAACATTATGTCGACTCATAAAAATAAACAAACTCAACTAACCTGAAGGTCCGTAAAAAAGTACGCCCCTCGGATTATTGAAAAAAAAACTTAACTCAACGAACCTGGAGGTCCGTGAAAAAGTACGCCCCTCGGAGGATTCACTTTGAACTTCTCGAACACTTCGGGATACAACAATGGAAAGACAACCATCTCTTTTAATGATCGCACGTGTTTCCCAAGACCACCGATGCTCTCGAATGTTATCTACGTACACGAAAGGATCAAATAAGGCTAATTTATCAAAAACAGTGAACAACCAGAATAGTTATTACGCCACTTACAGATCTGTCGATGTTCATTGGGTCTACATCGGCCAAGCTTGAGCCGATACGTTCTCTATCACCTAAAATTCCTTTATTGAGGTCCTGAGCGCTAAGATTCATGGGAAGACATCTGTTACGGGCTTTCGCCATGCTTTTCGCCTTTACGCCTTTCAAATTTTCCATTTCTATGGTTGAAAATGTTTTGGAAACGAGAAATTGCGTGGCAAACGTGAGCACAAACTGCGACTGTTTTCAAGCAACTTCGGGTGTTGCTATAACTCAATATATACAAGTAAATATGATTTCTACTTCTAAGATAACCTTTTACAAACAATATTACTAATGACATATCATATATTGTTTTTCTATTTTTGTCGATAAAATTCCAATGCAAACTATCCAACCAGCAAGATTCTTGCAGACTGAAATTCGAATGTTTCTACAGAGTAATAAATAGAATCATACAAGTGTTCTGTTGCAAATGCTTTAACTCGACTGCCCACTCAATACGCTATCTATTTTTCAATAGATTAGATGGCGAGTAGCGGAGCAGCATTTATGTCGACCCTGCCTTCTCGCGTTGTACTTAGGTTTCTGACGATAAACTTGATTGTTTACTTCAGAAAGCTATTCTAGAGAAGACTAAAGTTTCTACTAAATACAACGTTGAGTTATTTAAAGGTAAAACAGGCAAAAACTTAATAAAAATAACTAAAGAAGCATTGAGCAAAAGTCGTCGGTTCGCTTTTTAATGTAAACAATGTCAACAACAAATGTCGACAACAACAAATGTCGACAACAACAAATGTTGACAACAACAAATGTACACAACAACAAATGTACACAACAACAAATGTACGCAACAACAAATGTACGCAAACAACAAATGTACACAACAACAAATGTACGCAACAACAAATGTACACAACAACAAATGTACAAAACAACAAATGAACACAACAAGTCAAGGAAAACTATGGCCACCATTTTATTTATGAAAACTAGTATGATTCCACTAAAACAATTAGATCACACGCTCTCAATCAACTATTACTTAATAGAAATCTCTAGCTCGTAATGTAATTGTTAAATGGAAACACGGGCTTTGAAGCATTGTACCAATCAGAGCCAGTGTTTTTGAAGGCTATTTTAGAAGAAAGTATGTCACAGAAGTAAACAAGAGAAATATGGCAAAAACCTCGTTTACCTGAAGAAGTGGAGCTTTCGTTTATGGTCTTTCTCTTCAACTTATAAGTCTTTCGAACGGGAGAGAAAGGTTGTTTATCTCCGCACGATCTTTCTCTCATATGATGCTGCGAAAATAACCCACGTCTCGAGCCATGATCTACACAAAATTCAGAACAAGAATAAATAATTGAAGGTAGTTTGTAAAGAGTAGACATAACAAAACTCTTTTCTCCTTACAGTGAGCAATAACTGCGAGAATAACCATAGAGCAAGCAAGCAAATAAAGCAGTTGGTTTAATAGGTCATCTTTTCAAGATTCATTACACCAAAAAACAAAATAAGTCGACGGGAAATATCCTAAATACATAAATAACTTTACGAAAAAAAAGTGCTTTAGTTATACAATCAAATTTCTATATGTAGAAGAAAAAATAAATTTCAAGACTGACAGCTATCTTTAATCACTTTTTTGAATCTTTTTAAAGAAAGAGATGTTGCATTTTCTGCAAGAGAACTTTATATTAGAGCTCGTTGAAATTTGATGTTAAAGATTTCGTAATTGGTTCTAGCTTCAAGGAGCAAAAATGGCTGCTTTGAAAAAGTCTTGGACAATAATTATGCTGTAATAAAACACCCATGACCAATCCGACATTGAAAAATGCGAAGTTTAAGGACAATTTAATACGCCATGTAGTTCAAGAGTCATCAGATGACAACAATTAGTCATTGTACTTCAGTGTAATGTATTTAAGGGCCTGATTATATGGAGCCGAGTTACCCGGCTGAGCGAGTTACTCGCCTAGCCGGGTAACTCGGCCCTTATATAAAATGAATGCATTTCCCGGTGAATCGTTTATATGACACATCCGAGTAACTCGCCTTGCCGGGAACTCGGTTTGTGTAAGCGAGTTACCCGGCTGGGCGGGATGAATTTTTCCATATAAACACATTTGCCGGGTAACTCGGCGAGGCGAGAAAATTGGCTCTGTTGGTACGCATGTGTACTACGCCTTGTACTTACAGCATTATTATACAAAAACACACACATATCATAATTTTCAATTTTATATTCACCCATTCCATTTTTGCTGCGAAACTGTGAGGCTTTTTAAAATCTCGCGCCTTTACTCGAAGTTAGCATAGCCAAACTTCATTTAAGACAAATGAATGGATGTACTAGCCGAGTTACCCAGTGCCATATAAACAGTCACTTTGTCAAACCCGGTTGAGGGAGTAACTCGCTCAGCCGGGTAACTCGGCTCCATATAAACAGGCCCTAAGTGTGGCATATAAGCTGATGTAGAAACTTGAGGCCTAATATGTATATTGCAGTCTAACATCTCAATGAAAATTAATTTGATATTAAAACTTAAGTTCTCATATTTACATACTACAGTCTAGGAGTGACGCAATGTCGAAAACTGAGCACTTACTTAGCCTAGTGCATTCATCAGAGGTGATCTGATGTTGAAACTTGAGTCCTTATATACTCCCCTCTACGCCTCATCAGAAGTGATATGATATTTAAACTTAAGTCTTAATATACTTCAGTCTAGTGACTTCATCAATAGCGATTTGGTGTTGAAATATGAGTTCTTATATACTACAATCTGGGATCATGTCATAGTGTCAAGAGTCTACCTTCTTCATAAGTGACTTAAGTTTTTAAATTTAGTCTATATACACTACAGTTTCATCATTATGGGTTTTTTTATAAACAATAAGTTGATTTCATCACATCATGAAGAATGAGTTATTCTTGAAATATGAAACTAAATTGCAGTAAAGCACTAAATTTTGTTAGTGAGATTCTGATGTTGAAACTTGTTTTCTAAGGCAAAATGCAACGAGAAGGAGTAACATAACGTATCGTTTATACAGCAAGACTTATATAACCTTTGCAACTTTTGCTAGAAGTGAAAACCCTGCACAACTTGTCAATAGTGAGAATGAGTAATGTATCACCAAGTTATTTACTATTATGTACTTACATGATTTAGGAGGTGGTGCAGTGTACCTCTTGTCACTGGTTTTTCTTCCTAAGCTTGTACCGCTGTTGTGGAGCATCGTCGTCGTCGTCTTCATCATCGTCATCTTCATCATCATCCGAACTAAACAAAGGATAGATATCTGTTGCAATAAATTTCGGTTTCAATCATTACCACACCGTATTTACTCGGTTGAGCGAGGCGGCGCTCTTTAAAATGATCTTTCAATTATGCATTGTAACAAGAATATTTAACAAGTAAACACGTGGTGGATTTAAGATCTGCGGTTGTTTTGTATGTTAGCGGTTTCAACATATTTGATGCTGTGTCGATTGATCATGCACTTGACGCGTGCGCAAAACAGATCTGAGCTCAACAAATCAAATCAATGAAAGTGAATTAGCAAATCAATCATGAATACAAGTTAGAGGAAAAATTGAAAGGTTTGTTTTAAATTTTCTTGTTTCGCATTATTGTTATTTCAGCATTATAAGATGTTTCTTGTGTTCAAACTGGCTTATGAAAACCACGGAGACTTTACAAGAACTCTTGAGCAGGCGTAACCCTTGACTTTCGGTCTCGGCTTGCACTGACCAGCTCTCGAAGTTCTCCTAAAGGTCTCATTGGTTTGCATAAGACAGCAAACACAGTAAACATCTTCTATTTAATAAATGACTTGTCAGCATAGAGCGAAGGAAAGAAATTGACAATCCAAATAGAACATCCTAACGTAGGCTATACAGTGCGCATAAATAAAGTTAATCAAACTTTATCATGAAATCGTACATTCGATACTGTGTTTTACGCTTACAACTTTATATGTAAAGCTCTTTAGCTTTCCAATGATACGTATGTACTTCATTTCATAATGGAAATAATAAAAATTTCAATATCTTGAGAATGAAAAGAGACGTGCATAAACTGTTTTGGAAAGTACTCTGTCATTTTAAAACATCTGTTGAATGCAAACAAAATTTAACTTTTAAAATTTTGTTTTGTAGGCAGTTTAAGAAAAGCCCATTTTTACATACCCTGTTTCTTCTTCTTTCTTCATCTCCTTCATCCCTTCTAATCGGGCTTTGCTAGATTTAGATTTGATTCTGTCGTACATCGCCACATAATGTGAAGAATTCTAAGATAGAAAACACAAACAAGAAAAAGTATTTCATAATTCACTATGACAACTAAATTCTTGAAGCACCTAATCATTGTAATGACTTGAGAAATATTTAAAAATCTCACCAGGCCATCACTGAGTTTTGCAAAACTATGAAGATCACTTCAATAAACAATGATGCTGGGAAAAACCATTTTTCATATTTATGTTTGAAATCAACTCTTATCTGCTTTAAACAACCACAAGTCTTTTTCTTGAGTAGCATAATATGAAGCATACGCCAAATAAACTCATGTTTAACTCCATATTTGAGAAAGAAACAAGAAATTTTCTATTTGAAAAGTTATATTTAAAATTTTTTTACAAATTCATCATCAGACTGTATAAAAAATTCGAAATATAATTTTTCTAATAAAAAAAATTCTTGTTTCTTTCTCCAATATTGAGTTGAACATGACTCTCTTTCTTGACAATCAAGTTTTGCTGTCAAGGCATTGCATTCCCTCACATCCAACTCTCCTGACAATTGTTATTTTGCCAGGATAATTATTGGTTTTGGTCAAAAAATATAATGATAGTTAGATATATGTTCATCTTTACATGTTGTGTACGATAAAAAAGATCATGGTGTCGAAACTGGGATACAAATCAACTAAGTATGGTTTACATGGTTAATGGTAACAAATTTAGCATTAGACAAAATAAATTGATTACAGCTCATTCTCAAAATATGCATACTTGGATTGGATTTCATTCTTTGGAAATTTATAACCAATAGCCTTGTTTTGGAGGATATTTTAAATAGAAACAGTATTGTTCTATTTATTTTGACTAATGTACAAACGTCACCATGATCAATTGGTCCCCAGTCCCCAGTCATGAAATACACGAAATTTCAATGATTGCGCGGGAAAATTAAACGTTGATTGCGCAATAATGATCATATGATAATCCTTATTCCGTTAGATGAACCATATTGCTTTGAAAATCGTAAAATTTGGTAAACAGCGCTAACCTCTGGCTGAGAATCCGTTTCTCCATCGTCCACGTGTTCCCCATCTTTCTTGCAAGTTTCAGAATTCTGTTCTGGATGTAAATAATCGACGACCAGACCGCGTACGAGTGTATTTTCATTCAGACTCTCGAAGAATTTTCTGCTTTCTCTGTGGCTCCTTCTCAATGCCTTGTTTCGAGAATTGGCAATCTTCTTTGGGCTCTGTCGTTTATCTTTCTTACCTATTATAAAAACGCACGAAAGCAACAATGTCCACAAGCATAGTGTGAAAACGTTTTAATTGTTTTCACGGTAAGCGCACCTTTTGTTGGCGAATCTTTGTTTTGTAAAATTCTCTTTGAAAGCAACACATCCCGCGGCCGAACTTCCACATCAAGACTAAAAGATCTAAAAACAGCAAAACTTGAATGAGGAAGACCTATCTCGACAAAACATTTTCGAAATAGGCTATGAATGAACAATATATGCAAGGAGCACTCGATTCAAGATTATAATCAAATTAAATATACGTGTAAACCTTGTAACAGGTCTAGCAATGCAGCTGATATTTTTTATTTCATCATCGCCTGTACTTTGAATGCGCTTTCTTTTCTTCGACGGTTCTTTCAATTCCTCTGCACTATCCTCATCTTCATTGTGAAGCTAAAATACGACCAAACATTTACCTATATGGTAAAGCTATACAATCGGCAGAAGAAGCAGTCCTTCATATCGCAGTCACCTACACTGGGTTAAAATATCCAAATGTCAGCAGGGAATTTCTTACTTTTTTCGATGCGGCTTCCCTCACAGAGAGGCGTCTTGTACGAATTGGTGATATTTCGGTAAATCCTCTATCACTTTTCCTACGTCGCCTCGACATTTTCAACGATTTAGCAAAGCCAATAACACGATAATCGAGAAACAGTCGGCCATTTTGAAATATGATTCCAAACGAGAGAGTTGTCAACAAGCGAGGGATACACGATACTCGCGTGGATTTCTCAAGGACCGGCGACGCGCGGGAATGTACTTTCAGCATGACGAAGTCATTAACATTTCAGTATTTTCAAGCAAGCTATATCCCAGGGTTTTCTAACGAGCAAAATTCTACACAAAATGTGCAGTTCTGAATCAAGTTGGGCATCTTGACGATTTGTCGGGGAATGAATAACGAAAAATGTAATTTCCAATGTCCATTATTGCAGTTCGTTTAAAGTAATGTGGGCACTCAGCATCGGCAATAGTTATCATACACGCCAGCTATCCGACATCAAATTTAAAAAAATAATAAAGTTACTCTGAAATACTTATTTTTGAATGTTCATTAGAGAACAGATATGCAAATGCAACATGAGATATATTTGCATATCACTCGACTTTCGATTTTTGAAAGGATATTTTTTGTAAAAAAATTAAAAAACTTGATGTTTGAGTTTCAAATCAGCAATGAGCATCAGATTCTGACAGTTTTACATGTATTGCGGCTATTGCCTTTGATAAATCACTATCTAGCGTCTGGACAGCTAATGATGTTAGGAATTCATTGTGATCGAGGGAGCAAACTTGATTTGATAACCGTGTGAAAAAGTTCAACGCTAGGTTTCCCATGTGTAGAATTGTTCTCTGAACATCGAACAATCAAGTCGAATGATTCCCCGAAGTTATATCTTACTCGTGCATCATTAATATTGCCTCTTATGTTTATAAATTATTTCCTAGTACACCACTGATTCATTATATACATGCAGTCAAAAAGAACTGCTCACCAGAAAAAAAGTTTAACAGGGTAGCATTGAGATAAAGTGACAAAACATAAGATTTAAGTTAAACAAGAAAAATCATAGTATATATAATAACTAATGAATTCTCGTCTAACTTTGATTACAGCTTTGTATAAGTTAAAGAAGATGCGTATTGTGTTTATAAGGCTTTGATGGAGATGATTATTATTTGATTACTATTATCCAACATTACTAGAAAATCCAGGGCATTCTTTTTACTGACTTACTGTATAGGTTTGTTATAGCCAATCATATGTATATTCCTGGATTGCATGCACAACTAGCAGGGCTGTTACTACAACGCTGATTGGTGGGGATATTCATACATTCAGTTGTGTCAAAATGACTTCTTTTAAAATTAAATCTCTTTTCAAAAAAATCAATTGGGCACAACCGAATATATAAAAAAACAACCCATCCCCTAAATTAGCGTTCTAGTTGCGGCTCTCACAACTTGTCGAATACGTAGTGTTAACTTTTGATGTAGATGTAAATTATTATTTCCAAAACAAACTATGTTTCAACGATTTAGTTAAAGCGAGGATTGATAATTTTTAAAAATTTTGTCTGAAAACAAGATTCGCAGGGAAAGCGCATTGTCATATCATCCTAGTAAGTCAGCTCTCCCGTCGGGAACCTTAGCCCCTCCGTCGGGGAATTCCTGGCGCCACCCCTGACCACAAGCCAGCCAAAGGAGTGGTATAGTATTAAAAAGAGTGGTAGAGTATTAAAAAGAACTACAAACAACACCAAGGCTACAGCAACACACTCTAATAATATCAACACCAATCACATCCACAATACACCAAAACCCATGGCAACGCATTTCACCACATCCAATCACATTAATCCACCCGCTAGTCCAATTAGACGCTCTAAGCTTCTACAAGCTAAAAGCAACTGTAAATAGATAACTTACTCATTCTGATGAAGGCTCGAAGCAACGAGTCGTAAGCTCAATTAAAAATCCGGAGAAAGTTTTATTTATCAATATTAAAAATATCTATATATTTTACGGATATGTCGATATAAAATCGATGTTTTTGATTATGAAAAGTATTTCGATTCATCATTATCATTCCACAACAACGCAATGTGTAGCTCTAATTTTCCTACCCTGCTCCTGCTGTATCCATTTCAAAACCGGTTTCAAAACTGTTTTCAAAACTATTATTTTGAAAGAAAAAGAAAGGGCGGTGAGTATGTTTAGTCGATCACTGATGGTTGAAACATCACAGACGAGTAGGAGGGAAAAGTTTCAGCAAAACGTAACGTTCCTTTGTCGATATTGATTTTACCATAATTTGATTTTAGAATAAGATTGTAATCGCTTCGTCTATATATGTCGGGAAATGGGACGATTTGAATTACGTAATCATAATGTTAATAATTAACATTGAATAATTAAATTTTTACAGACAACCTTATGAAGAGGGGAAGCAATAACGAGTGATTTGTCAAAAACATTTATCTATATGTGAAAATTACAGTCGCAGCATTAGAAGCGTTCCGAAAAATTTCATAAACACATTAGCTCAAATTTATCAATTGATGTAAAGAGTTCATCAACGAAACTCTTTGAAAAACTCCAAACTTCTTGGTTTGAATTGACCAATCATACAATGTGCAATTTTTAAATCAACCAATCACGACAAAGCTTTTTGAATCACTTCGTAACTGAATGAATTCAGGCATCGGGTTGACTTCGGCCAAAATATTGCAAATTTTTAAAAGGAAAGATATTCTCTCATGATTGAGAAATTGCAACCACCAGAAGTAAAAAATAAGGTGGAATTACGGTCATTGGAGGTGGCTGAAATCGAAAACCATATTCAGCTGTCATGTTAAGCAAGTATTATGATGATCTTTATTTTTTTAATTTCAAACACCGCACTGCATAAAACATTCTTATTATGATGATCATGAAGATTTTGCTGTTGAAAGCCGTCAAAATAATAGTCAGCACTATAAATACAATCACTTCATAGCTTCTGGTGATTGCCAGTTCACAATTTCATCAAAAGCTCTTCCATTTAAGAAATTTCAGAATTAAAAGTCATTTATGATGATGAACATTCAATACAATGTCTTTCAGTTAAGGAGTGATTAACAAAGCTCTTACGTGATAGGTTGATTAAAAAAACACGTGGTATGATTGGTCAATTCAAAACAGGAATGGCAGGAAGTTTGGAATGCTTCTATGGCCGTGACTGTAATATATTGTATTAGAACTTGTGAGTGTGTTGGCCATCAACTATTATAGCGTTTCCAACACTATGTAGTCAAAAAAGTAATTTTACAAAACAATTCAGTTATGGAAGGGAATGATTGAATCAACAAATTTCTTCATGAAAAGTTTAAAAAGAAACATGTTAAATTCTAAACAATGATTCTGGGCATATTTTTATGTTTGAATGCTGTTTGTCAGCCATTTTGGCAAGAAGTACGGATATACAAACTTTCCAGTTTCCAGTCTTTTGTCATTTCTCGCAGAGATTTCACTGTTTATAGTTCCAATTAACTTTTCATGGTATTTTTGAACCAAAACTTTTGCCCAAGGGTCGTCCAATTTATCACCGTAATCAAGAAAGACGTCGTATCGAAGCGATCCTAAAGACATCGCTAGTAGTACTTGTTGCTGTAAATACAAGAAAAGTAAATACAAGTATGTTGTTGTCAAATATCAATAAATGGCATTTCCGTTCTCGTTTCTGAACCGCCTTTCTCATTTGTAAACATTTGTAAAGAAATATGTTGTAATATTAATATAACTTTTGTATGGCTACGCCACTTATTTTTTGTTACAACTCTGCAGTAGGCCAGTTACGAAATTATCGACAACAATCCTTTTAAAGCAAATATCGGGCATGGGATTGGGTCCAAAGGGCCAGGACAATGGGCCATCCACCAAAAGGAGCAAAATTGGCCAACCAACAGATATGTCGAATTGCTCAACTGATAAAAACAAGCGACGAATACAAAACTAATACCAATAACAATAATGGAATAATGGTGTTGACAACGACCACTTCCGGACCTTGGACTGTGGCACTTATAATTACCAATGAAATATATGTTTACTGACTTTTAAAAGTCAAAGTATGTTCAGCAATGTAAAAAAAACTTTTGATAAACTAAATTTAGCCACGAAACGCCACTCACCAAATAAGATCGACTCTAGGCCCCCTTAATCTGGCCTTGCCCTCCCTCACAAAAAAGCAAAAAATATCGTTTTAAGCTGTGTAGTACAAACGGATTTGTTATCGGTGACGATGATATCCCGCCTAAAGGTCACAGCAACATTAGGTAACTTACCGTTGCAATGTAAACATTAGGCAAACTGTTTAATCCAAATTCGTCTCGGCGTAATCGCGGATCAAAATAGAGTTTTGTAGGTTGATTTGGGATGAAACCAGCGTAGTACGATACAGGGTAATTAACGGCACTGTGCTGAACAGGGATGAACACAATTCGCTTCACAATGTCGGTAAGTTGGTTTATTGATTCAATCTTTGCTGGAAATTTCTTCAACTATAAAATCAGAGAAACGTATCGCATTTAGTTGAATACTGACTGTGAGATAATGTAAAATCTATTTTTAAACACGATGACTAAATTTAGTTGTTTCGATGCAGTTGTAACACCATTTAAATAAAATTATGAAAAATAGGTAAGCAGAGCGTACATGAATAGACAACAAGATGTGACAGACGATTCCAAACGCTCGCAAAGCCAACATTTGGATTGCATCTTGAGTTATTTGGCTTATATTACAGTCAGTTAAACAGACGTGGGTTATGATATTCCATCAGTCATAGAATTACATCGTTACTACGTTGTTTTCCGTTAATATGTCTATGTTAAGCGTCTAAAAAGTCATTATGTAAGTTTTTTGTTTATTTGTAGATCCAGTTCGAAAATAGAGATGAATAATATAGATGGAAGCCAATCGTAGTTTTATGTTTCTTTGTAGTATGATAGAGTACAGGCTACCAACAAAAACAGGAAATATAAAGTGTAATTATGTAGATTCGTTCACTTTGGTTGAAATTATAAGAATACAAAACAATTTCACCTTAACTATTTATGATATAGATAATTTTTTTCAAGTGATGAGCATGGGCGTAAGAAAGTCAATAAGTTTGGGAGCGCTCATACTCATAAATACATACCATAATCGAAAGCAAACAATGGATTTCAAAGAAACGGCATATCATGCATATGAATCTTCTCAATTGTCGATTTTCTTACGTCTATGATTATTGATAACCTATATGATATTGCAGATATGGAAAAAACTTTTCTTTTTTGATACGTGTTTTTTTTAAGTATGTCATTTTTCTCATCCATTAAGATAAAAAATAACTGACCATCCCCTCTCCTTCCTCCTAAGATAAAAAAAACTAACCATTCCCTCTCCTCCTTCCGCTCCCGTTCCATCAGATGACAACTTGTTGGCAAAATTTTGCAATTCGAAGTCGCCTCTCACGTCTTCGTCATTTTTATAATACCTTCGAATCAAAGTGATTGCTGTGATGAACTGTCAAACGTGTTTCAGTGCATGTTGAGAAAAGGCAATAAACAATAAAAGAACTGATTCTTTCTCTTACAGCTGGACATATTCTTCGGCAAAGTCACCAACTTCCTTCCAAATAAGCAAACCATCGTCACGGTACGGGAAATATGGAAGCTCTTCTCGATTATCAACTCCTCTTTCCTGAAAATGGTAAATATAATTATTTTGAGGATATTTGTTTTAAGAATGCGCACACCATTTAAATGAGTTAAGTAGGCTTATCTAGATTAAAATAGCTTGGGGATTCCAACTTCGACACTCACAAAAACAACAAACTACTACTCTGAATTTGTAGGCCACCGAGACCCGTAGCCACACCACTTTCTGGAACATTGAAGGGGCTTTTCAATTACTTTGAAAGTTAATATTACTATAGCAGTATTCTAAGTACAGTATTGATTACACTTTTTGACTCTGAAGATGACTACCGCTAAGGTTGTCGAAACGTCAGTCAACAACAACAAAAACAGTCCTTCTCAGGACTATACCAACCTGGACGATCTACATTTACAAACATGTAACGATACTCCCGGGTTCAAACCATTTACTTTATTGATTACACTAAGTACTTAATTAAACATATTCCAGTTATTATAAAAGCTCCTATTTAGGGTTAGTTTTAAGAATTTTCAAAGTAAAATCCTTTATGTCGTTTTCTCAGGTCAGCATCAAGGCGTTTTGGAGAACCATCTGGACACATGGGCTAGAAGGTGTTCATGCAGAAGAGGCGGGATACTAACGTTGCGGCATAAAAGTTGATGATCTTTTATCTGAAGACCATACGGTGGATAAGTCTCAGAAAGGTAAAGTCACCGGAGATACTCAACAATGGCACATTCGAATTGCACTAATATGGCCGAAAAGAAGTAGCAGAGTTATCGAAGGTCATCCACGTAGAGTCCTTTGCTAAATAACAGTTTGAAGTCCAACCAGCTGAATCGAAGTTGCTAGGATTGAAGTGGAATTAGCAAGTCGATGGACCACCTTTGTTATTTTTCGTTTGATTTAAAAGTTTACCAAATAAAAAATAAGACAAGTTGTGCTTATCCCCAGACCCCTCTAAATGGTCCTCAATCTAGCACATTCCGAGCTCGCAGCTAGCAACCGCACCACTTTAAGATCATTGGCTACGAAACTGACACTTATTTACTTGTCAACGTTGATACCTGAAGTTTTTTCCAAAAATCTGTATCATCCCAGGAGGTATTGTGATAGGCTCTATTAACAACTTCCAGACCACCTGTAGAGCCAATGGCGAATAGCTTGTGCAAGAACTCTCCTTCTCCAAGCAGCTTCTTTAATCCCATAGAATTGATCGCCAAAAGACCTCGACAATGCCACTGAAATATCTGTGCTAATGGATGAAATATCGCCATCGTACTTCGCATGACAACGCAGATCGGTTCCATCAAGAAATGTGTTTTGGTCAAATGCTCAACCAGTTCTTCATAAGTGATATCAGCTCGTTGGATTTCCATCTTGGCAAGCATCCAATTCCCACCATCCTCCGGACTGTACACGGGTGAGTCTACACATGAATATATAAATAATGAAAGCTTGCAAACCGCTATGTACGACATTGAGGCACCGATTGAAGTTAGAAGCTTCGCAAATTTATCGAAAAAACATACAACTTTCAAAGTGTGATTCCTAAAAGTCCGTAAAAATTGTCGAATTTTCTATTTCAGAAGTCTAATGTTTCGCTTGCTTTAATTCCTTGAGCATGTAACAAAAAGAAAGCTAAGCCAAATAAATAATGAGATGCTGTAATGTATTCGGCGACCGCTTTTTATTTCCTGCAACAAATAGGAAACCTTTACAAAAAACACGAAGTTCTAGCTGTCAAACATTTCTATTTTGATCTTGATGTCATGTTTTGTTGAACCGTTTCCATTCATTCATTCTACATTTTAACAAGACAAATACCAAAAACAAAACTTTACGCAGGCTCTTCACAAGCCATAATATTTTCTTCCACTAGTTGTAATAACAAAACTATTACCCGGGGACAGTTCCGTCTGAATAGCCACTGGCGTAAGTTTCTTTTCCCCATTAACGTGGGCAATAACAAACACAGCAAAGGGACTCCTGGAGCTTAGTATTTCAATCCGTTGCGTTACATTGCCAACGTTATCGTCAATATCAGTGGAGACATCATGAAGTATTTTATATTCGATGATAAACACTCTGTTATCGTCAATCATCTGCGTTATACAAACGAAACATATGGACGTCATATTATTATCCGTAAACAGTATAAAACAATAATTAGTAGAATTTTACTAGCATACTATTGCAGATGCTTTAATTTGATTGGTTACTCTGCTCGCTATCTATTTTTCAATGAATAGCGTTTAGGAAATTAATAAATAGCTGGCAGCAAATAAAAACATGGCTGCCAACCTTACATAGGTGTCTGACGACTAAAGAAGACTAAAATTGCCATTAAATACAATGTTAAGATATTTAAAGGCAAAATAAATAAAAATTCAAATGAAATAACTAAACGTAAGGTGTTGAAAGATTTTTTAATATCAACTGGGATGGATTGTATTGTTGCAGACCACAAAATTATTCATTAAATGTATGCATACCTGCGGGAAGGATTTATTTTCTTTTGATGCTCGTTTAATTGCCGCATCCCAATCGTACCTTCTATTAATGTAAGCCGCATTATCAGTATAATCTGTAAAAAGATACTTTCACGTGACTTATCTTTGTTGCAATTTGATTGGCCAAACGATGAATGCCGAACAACGTACAAACAAAGACAGCGAATACCATTTTACAATTTACTTGACTCGAGTATCGTTCTCGGACGCATTTTGATACGACAAATTCTTATCGGTTAAATTCAAATTGAGTACTACTTACCTTCTCTTCTCATTTTTCTTAGACTCATTGGGTTTTGCCCAGCCAGCCTTTGTAAGGTAAAAACATCATCATGTTGCCAGCGATTGTCCTTTATGATATCGTGGAATGGCAGTTCTTGTGATGGATACTTAATGTATTCTTTCATCGACACAAGGTCGAGTTTAAAAAGCTGCAAAGGATTTACGGAAGGAAAAACTGTGAACATAGGTATAGTAAAAACTGACAGCGATATAAGAAGAGACAAGACAATGCGAAGTAGAAGAAATTTTCTCAAAGGGAGGGAGGGAAGGGTAAAATGTAAGGTGTGACGTCAAAACACCCAGCATTTTTGCCATCAATTTTGTCAATACATACGGTTTGCAATCCAGGTATCTGAATCGAAACAAGATCATTGGTTTGATTTCTGCGGATATCAGCTAACAAATTGGCGAAATCTTTATAACTTGTGTAGTATCTTTCTTCTTTACTGACTTTTGATGCAAGACGATGATTTCGTATGGCCATACCAAGATAGTGTATCAGCCAGTTTGTCTCGTGCAAATCTGACCGCGTCGCACTTCGAAACAGAACGCTAGGAGTATTGTGGTTTAACAACGGGAACGATATGCTGTCGAACAGGTTTTTCGTTTCTTCGGGATACTTTAATATCGTATTTTGAGGTTTTGAAAGCTTATAGTATTTATATTGTTCTTCCAAGTTGACAAGACGTCGCACTGGACACGTCAGGGGGGTGATCTTTTGCGATAAGACGATGCAAGCAGCTTTGCCATGATCAGGTTCAGTATTAAAGATTAAGTACCTTCTCACGAAGAGCCTGTACATTCAAACGAAAGACATACTTTCAAATTCCCATTTTACAACGGACAATGAAGCTTGGCCAAACACGCGTTAATTAAATGAAGCGAGTTTGGAAATATTTCACTCAGGCCATGTCCACACGTATACGGATTTATAAAAATACGGAGATTTTTTCCACCGTTTCGGAAAAGATTTGCGTCCACACGTAGCGTATTTGAATCGTTTTCGCCTGTCCACACGTATGCGCAAAAACGGAGGAAATTCAATACTTGTAAGCACTGAGCATGCGTATTTATTTGTAATAAGAGATTCTTCAAGCTTTTGCAGCATCAAATTGCAATATTTATTATTTGTATTTTGGATTTATTAACTGCTGATTTTGCGAGTTTATAGAAAAATTAGAATGGTATAAAGTGAAATGAAGGCTCCACCAAAGGAAAAGGCAAAATCGAATGTTATATTTTGTGGCATTTTGTAACAGGGAAAGCATCTTCACAATATTCAACCGCTTTCTTTAATATTTATCACTGCAACATGCAAGTGAATGCATGCTATCAAATTTGAAATTATTCCAATAAAATAGCAATGCACTTGTGACCCACCATTTTAAAAAGTACTCGGACGACTCAATCATGAGACTGGACTCAATTATTGACGTCATCGTTTTGAAAAACCTCCGTTTTCGCCCGTCCACACAGGTAAACACAAAACCGGCGTTTTCAAAAGTCTTCACTCTGGAGAGGGTATTCGAAAACCTCCGTTTATGGTCGCCGAAAACGCCGTTTACGTGTGGACATAAGGCCAAAACGGAGGAAAAAACCTCCGTTTTCAAAAATATCCGTATACGTGTGGACGGGGCCTCAGTTGAACTATGTAATGACAACGTCTATAATTACTAGTAGAAAAAAGAAAGACTCTTTGTTAAAAAGCATGCTGTTGACACACAACTGCTTAGATTGAAAATGACTCAATGTACATTTATGAATTTCGCTTCATTTGTGCAATAGCAATATTTAAGAAGTAAAAGATGTTTACTGTGTTCGCACAGGCCCATGCAAGCCGAGGAGATCTTTGGGAGAACTCGAGAACTGATCAGTGCAAGCCTGAGGGAGGGTTGCAACTGATAGAAAAACTATTTAAAAAACTCGCTCGTGCAGGTTTTTTCTCAAATTCCACTCGAAACCTTGCTATTACCAATACAAATGAAGATTATGTATCTGGAGACAAAATTTAGCAACAATTGCAACCATTAACGAGCACAAAATCTTATAATTCGCCGTTCTACGTTTGTTGTAAATTAGTTGACGAACGACTCGTCGGTACACACGCACATACCAATAGAGTTTATAATGCCGTATTTTTCAGATAAAACCTAATTGCGTGAAAAAACTTCAAGAACTGGCTGTTGGTACGCCGACAAACTTGCGAGGAGTTGAAGATAAATGGAAACTTCCGTTCGCACCACGATAGCAAAGCCTTTTGCAATTAAATTTAGCTTCATGATCGCGAAATTCAAACGGGAAAAAGTTTTACGAAACTGCAGCGACAAACGATCCCTCGATAATAGAAAACGAAAGTGAAGAATCGTATGGGTTTAATATAAGTCTCTTGCATTGCTTTCAATAAAAGTAAAGCTTGAGTTTCACCAAAACATGAATATGAACAACTCATCAAAAATATTGACTCAAATACACATACAAGATACTAGTAACGAACGAAAGAAAACATTCGAAATTTAAGATGACCAGTACGCCATTCTATATACACTAATTTACAAATAGTATGTACTAATTTTAGGCAAGAATGTAAAAATTTAAATTTATTCGTTCAAACCATTCCTGAAGTTTAACATTTCTAATGCAATCAACTTTACAATCATTTGAATGAAACTTACAAAATCAAAACAGCAATTGCAACGATAGCAACGTGGTTCATCCATGGCCTCAACATCCTGCTTGTCTTCGATGGGTAAAACTGTTTAAATGGTCGTCTGATAATAAACACGACCGCTCTACGTGTAGTTCTTAAAACGAGTTCAATCAACATCCGGCGTTACGCTCCGTTACAATGCAATGAAAGAGAGAAGGACATGTCGTGGGCAAACTTCCCCAATTAAGAAATACCAAAGTACGCTAATACAACATCCGTTTTTATAATTTTCAGTGTAAAAATGTTGGTAAAAGCAAACATTGTTGTAGTTGACTAAGCTTTACTTTAAAATGGCAAGTTGGCGTGATTCGTTTCCTTCTCTAATAACAAGAATATTCGTTTTATGAAGATTGCGATTTTGGATTTTGGACTCAACAGACTGAACAATGTTCACGGTGGTATGCTATACACCGCCTTGGAATTGGCGAACCAATCTTTTTGTCTATAGATCTGACATATATATGTAAGTTGTAAATATACTTGTAAAAACATGCTTTAACGTGACTTGAATCAAAAAGCTGCTTTATAAATATGATAATTTTGCAAATAACTTCCTCGAATTAGCTTCGTAAATATACCGGAATTCGTCAAAGAGGAAGGATGAAGGATCATCTGTAAGACTTAATAACAGGACGAAAATACGAAAATGTTAAGCCGGTAGTCTTCGAAGCTGATTTCATGCAGTTTGATAAACTTTGATTGCGGAGTAAACACGGGCAGTAGTTCATTTGTCTTTGTTAAAGGTTATACGTCCCTCAACGAGTTTACTGCATGTAGTTTTGGAATTTCAAGTCAACGCCAGAGGTTATATGATGAACGATGATTACATAGAATAGTTACGCATGACTTTTTGTTGATGACCGTGTTTCGGTCTTTCAGCAAGCTTCATTGAAATCTATTTGGTACTTGAATTGTGGCAATCCACTTGACATTCATCTTAGCAAGTTTCTGTTAATTTATCATTGCTCCTCTAAAGTATGTCAGTTGCTAAAAAGCACTAGTTTTTCTATCTTTGTCTCGAATAATCGCAATTTGTACATAGTAAACGTTCGGCAGTTATAAGATACATTTTCATACATGCCGCTTGAGAAAAACATAATCCCTTAAATGTCCTATTATTATATTGCACGATTATGATTTGTCGATGAAAACTCATAGCGTTCGCATAACAGAAGTAAAATTTCTACTCAATTTCTACTCAATGTAAAATGGCTTTCTAAATGACAGCTAACTGAATACACTTAGGAAAAGAACATAGATTAAGAATAATAAACTGTTATTTATAACAAAACCTCTTTAGTGTTATATTATTTACAGGAAATAAACTCTCCCCAATCTAATTTAAAATTATCTCCAGTCGAAACAAATTATTTCTGTTCGACATAAGTTGCTGCAATATTTTGTATGAAATCTTGGACGAATAAGAAATCTACACAGTGAACATTTCAATTGTATTCACCGCTATTAAAAACATGGCGGCATGTTTAATTTTCCACGCGATTCTTTTAAAGCGGAAATCGTTTCGATTGGCGTTTGAGCATCTTTGTCTGATCATCTTCTCTTTACAAAAAGTTATGAAATTTTCCACTGCACGTAGAAATGTGGCTATAAATGTTTTCAAAACCACAAAGAATCGGATGAAATCGCCAAGCCGCCATATTTTTGCAGGTTTAATCATTGAACTAAATAAACAACTCGAAGACTACCTTAATATAAACATAAAGCCATCTTGCATGAAGCACGCATTTTCCTAGTTTATCGTCGTAAATGAATTTTCTTTGGGCCGTGCGTGGAAAGATTGGGAGTAGTAGAATCATTGAACTAAAATACATGAAACGCTAACTGAAGCAAGTAGTTGAAGCCTAATCTTACACCCCGACACGCGTGTATAGAGTGTTGAGATTGTTTCGCGGAGTGAAAATTCATTGAATTACACACGCGTGTCTGGGTGTAAAATTTGGCTTCTAAAAATTATTGGGCTTTTATATTACAGGTAGCGTTCCATGTATTTTAATTAAATGAGTACAATTGCTGGCTGCAAATTTTGGTTGGGGTAGCCCTCCAGTTACATTCACTTCAGTGGTGTCAATAGCACGAATTGAACTAAATATAACTGGAAGGCTACCTTATGATATATCGGTAACACACGAAATAAAGCCAAAATTTGCGTGATATGACCTCCAGACACGCGTGTGTGGAAGTCAAATCATGCAAGTTCAGCTTCGTGACGCGTGATTGTAAACAAAACGAACAAGTCAATAAAAAACATGTTTATAACGGGATTTTAGGCAAAACTTTTGTTTTACAGCCTTGTCTTGTGCTAACAATACAAGAAATTTAAGTTTACTGCTGACCAAACATTTTTTACACAGGAAACTTATAAATGGCAAAGGTTTGCGCTCGGATTCATTTTGGCCCAAGTGAGAAGAATTGCGATGTTTTTCGTAAATGGCACTTTATAACATAGACTTCTTTACGTTCAGGTGCTATTCAACTGTGTTTTTATGTCAGTCTCATTAGTGGTCAAACATTTTTTTAAGGAATGTCAACATAACAAGGCATCTTTGCAAAATGTCGACATGTCCGTATTTGTCAAAGTTTGTTAAGTTCGTTTTCTCCACAAAAATGGTTTCTATAATAATGTATTAATCTAAAAATATTGCTATAAATAAGTTCAACAAATCGAGATCTTTCAGAAACAGTTTTTCCGATTTATTTCCTTTTTTTCTCACGGTCACTTCAAAAACACTGAATTATTTTGTTTTGAACATGTTTAGCATAAGCGCGGAAAGACTGAGAATAATACTGCCGACTTCAACTTCAAATTTCTGGGTGAAGGTAGCCTTCCAGTTATATTTAGTTCAAGGATAGCACGTCATCAATGCATTTTATATTGTTAACACGTATAAACTACTAATTTTAAGGACGGGCATTTTTATTTTCAATGGCTGGAAGCAGTAGCAAAGACAGCCCGAAATATCAGCCTGCTATGCAAGGGCGTAAATTTGTTGGAATTCATTAAGTTTAAATTTTGTAAGCACTGAAGTGCCTGCATAGTTGGATGAATAAAATCTAGCTGACCTCGACACTGAAGAGAAAATACTTATGCATTAATTATACTAATCACCACGTATCGCAACCCAAAATGCAGTTTACAATTTGCAGCGCCTCGGAGATCCTTATAATTTTGAGTAGTGGCAGAAATCTCGTGTCACGTAAATAAGATTGCAACTATTATGTCATTGCTAATCTAACCCATTTATCGTGTAAGGGCGAGAACTCAAGTTAAGATAAGGGTTAAAACACATCTAATGTGCGATCACAAATCTCTCTAAAAGTACAATAATTTCTGTGAGCAACCAACCGAGCAGCAATGTTCAAATAAAGTAGCCCACATGTATGTATTTGTATATATATATATAAATTTAAAGATCATTCGATAAACAGTGCTAACATTATATGTTGCCACATCAGTACACGTTTTGCTGCGCATGAGCATTTTAGAAATGACGTATTTACAAACAAGCCTACGTCACATGTGGTTCACAAACCTACACGACAATTGCTTCATTATAAATGGCCGAGATCCAAGGCATGGTGAAGATTTATGAGATCTTGATGACAGGAGATTTTCCAGAAAGGAAAGTTCATCTGAAATCGAAAAAGCAAAACAAAAAAGTTATCAACATTGCCTGTTCCTATGAGAAGGGTCAGCCCGCGCTTAACTCGGGCTAGCTAGTTTGGCTGGCTGAGTGGGGCTGACTGACCCAGCTGAGATGTTGTATTTCATTTCCATCAAAAAATGTTGTATTTCGTAGGAAAATTGAAATGAGTTTAGACACATACATTACAACATTTCACAAAAACAGAACCATGTTGCCAACAACTACAGAAGTGGCGCGTAAGATGAAATTTTCAAACTTATTTTTCAAATGAATATTGTTGCTTTGTATTAGTCGCCATATTGAAGCTAAGTAAACATATGAGGAAAAGAGCATGCGCGATTGATGCATTCATATGAGCCCGTTAGAAGCAAAATCCCGCAAGCCCGCTCTTTATATGAACGCACTTTCAAAAACATTGTAAAACAATATATGAGGCGAGATCGGCTGGATCTTCTCATCTGAAGAAGCCCTTTGCCAGAGAGCGCGTATTAATTCCAAAGAACTTCATAGAGGAATTATATTTAAAAAAGATAATATACTAAAAGAACTAATAGTCGACTGTGAATGCTTGCTGTCAGCGCTTTCACTATCAAACAGCAATGACATTTTGTTAGGCTACTTTTAGGTTAGACATCGGGTTCCCAGTAGAAAAGATTCCAAAAAGCTTTCCAATAGAAAATATTTGCTTTCTCACATAAATCTCTGAGTGGTAGAGTAAAACCTACAAAATATTGAACTATATTATACAAAAAGAATGCCAGCGATCTGCGAAGACAAATATCAAGCATTATCGCTCCGCGCCGGGAAGTGCAAACAATGAAAATTTTATTTCTAATTTCTAGTTTTCACAGATATTTCCTTCATACGTTTTAGCAAATATTTTCTTTCAAACAAGCATTCGTTTGTTATAAAAATGTTACTCTGCTGAATCAACAGCTCCACACATCTTAAATTGCGACCTTGATCAACATTTTTTCAAGTGGGCAAACGAAACCGAAAATAAATATGTCCGAATCTACCAAACACATTTCCTAAAATATTCATGATAAATAAGGCTTATAAACACACTTAACCACTTTGATTACAAATATTTGACATTTTACCGTTTTACTCGCTAACTCCTCATCACGACCATCACCAACAACAATATAAGTACATTTTCGACCAAAGCGATTTGCAATTCTTTCAAAACACGATTCTTTCCCTACAAGGAAACAACGAGAGGGAGATCTAAGGTTTATTGGAGAACATCAAACAGAACTAATGTCAGTGGATATTCCAATATTCTAATGGGAGAGACCTGCTTACACACAAAATTCAAAGGTCGCAAAAACGTGAATCGTAATGTAAATGTAAAAATGTATAAATTCTTGGTGCAAAATAAATGAAGAATCGCAAATTCGTCATGTTCAACCCCCTCCCACATAAAAATCAAATTTTAAAATAGTTAAAGAATCATTGTCAACCACAATGCAACGCGCGCCTCTTGTTTGTTTATATTCGTACTAAATATGATAATTTATTCCATCACACGATGATTTCTCTTAGACTCTTCCACAACTTCGACAATTGTCAAAAGTGCGTGATTCCTAATACTAAGTAATTATTTGAATACCAAGTTTTGGTCTTCCTTTTTTAGGCATGCTTTCAACCGTTAAGCTTGTCACAGTTTTGAATAATAATTTGCCCACGCAAACAGATACGTTTGTAAAAAATATCACTTGCAAACTATCGAAAATACATTTTTCCAAAACGACACAAATTTTATACATCCACAAAAGATGAAAAGAATATCCACGGATTACAAACTTATACAACGTTTGTCTATTTATTCAATCAAGAAAATGGCCGCAAAGATCATTTTAGCGCGCGTTATTGTGGTTGACAATGATTCTTTGAGTCAAAAAATAAGTATTCGTAAATTTCCTCAACGTCTAACGTTTTGGTGACTTTGCGTAAAGAAGTCGAGAAAAAAAAGCATGATTTAAGCTACTAAACATTTAATAAAGCTCAAACATAACATTGTCCCCTAAACAAATATTCATCAGATATATTTCACGAACTAAATGCTACAAGTGCAAATCATCGTCACATAATACGCGGCTACGTTATTTTTGTAGCTACATAAAGTATTTCCACCATGCAAACAACAAAAACGCGGCACATTATACCTACCTACTTTAGCGGCGCTATACGTGTTTTCAATAGGAAAGATGCCACCCAAACCATATAAAAGACATTTGGCCAATGCAGGAACAAGTTGGGTCGTTGTAACAAGTAAGTTTAAACAATTCGACCTAAAATTTAACACAAAAAAACATGAGTAGATAAAGAAATGTACATAATGTGGCAGCCAGTATGATATATACAAAAACTGAAGTTATTCGTTTTAATTTGAACAACAATTCAACGTAAATTAAATAGCCTTTTATAAACACGGGCGCTGATTGGTTAAATGCTTGAAACAATCGTGTTTGTATAACTCTGTAATTCAGTCTCGCAAGATTTTAAATATTATTTTTAAAAGACCATTTTATAACGGAAACAGAAAAATATTTACTTGCTCCTATTGAGTTATAGAAACACTCGCACTTCGTGCTTGCCACGCAATTTCCCATTTCTCCCAAACTTTCCCGCGTGTTTCTATAAGTCCATAGAAACTCGAAAATGCTTTCTATTGCTTAGTTAATACAATAACATGTACTGTACGTTTCATTATGCATTTATTGAAAGTAATTTTTTCAGGGAATTTTCGCTCTTTGAAGCTAACATATAGTAATCTTCAAAGACATATCGTCAAGCAGTAGCGTAGCCAGCCTGCAGATTTTAATCTTGCTATGAAAATTTGAGAACATTACCATCACTCATTTCATTAGAAATATATTGTTTATTTTTTCACAGCAAGCAAACACAAAAATTTACATAGAAATACTAAACAGCGAGGCTGACTATGCCACTCCAGTCTAAGACACATCGAGAGAAAAACACAGACGAATGTCTTTGAAAAGTACCGTTAATGTGCTTGTCTTTATTGTCGGAATCTGGCCGTGCGTCAACATTAATTTTGATCGATCAAAAGCGAAATAAACTTTCGGACACAAAACCTACTTCGTACCTTGAGTGTACAAGCGTGAGAGCTTTTAAAGCCAAGGTCAGCCACGAGTCAGTTAGTGCCTCCATTTCCATTCTCAGTTGAAGCCATGTCTCTCGTTTCGCAGGTCCAAGCAAACCTGAATGTATCATAAATAATTATGAAGTCAATATGATGTTTTGGTTTGGGTTTTACTCACGTTGGCAGACTTAATTTTTACGAGTGCACACTTCAGTTTTTATTACGGGTGCAGATTTCAGTTTTTTAGGTACAAAAATAAATATTTTAAACAGCATTTTTCAAAACGAAAAATCAAACATTCAATTTTTATTTCGCTATGTTCCTAAAGAATGCAAAGTGACCCCAATGCAAGAATATTACGTATGTATTGTTAAATAGAACGATACGGTTGTTTATACATATATATTCTAGTCAATTGTAATTCTACAAATTCTAGTCAATTTTGATTTTACATATTCAAGATACCGGCAAGCAAAGTACCGGCAGAGTAAGGCAACGGCAGACCAAAGTACCAGAACACCAAAGTACCAGATAACAAAGGTACCCTCATACCAAGAAGTTCCCAAGATTTAATCAGTAGAAAGAAGTTTGAACGTGACGTTTGTTTTTACCTCCAACGTTATTACGATAACTATTGTAGATCTCCTTAATGCGTCTATAGCGATAGGCAAGTTTCTTCGTCCAGTCTCCACCGCGCATGTTCTGATTAAGACAAATACCGCCAGAAGATCGAAACCCATCATTCTCGAAATTATACGTGCTGTACAAAGACAAAAGCATGTTTACCCGTGAGTAGAATCTTATCAGCAGCTAGTGCTGTGCAAAATCCGGGGGGGGGGGTTAAAGTCTCAGCTCCGACAAAAAGTTTATATGCCCGAAAATTTATATTTGTAGGTGAAGCACAAGCATACGATTAATTATAATGCCCACCAATTACGTAGTTGTCGACACAATAAAGCGTCATGTTATCTGTGAAATATAAAATACTTGTTTTGAAAAGTATATTCACCTTAAATCAATGCCATTGTCATCAGCAGCAACGTCATCAATATGTACTTGATCGCAATCCTAAAGGCATAGTATGTTTTCATATCAGTTCAACAGCATTACTTTCTTCCAAGTAATTACATAAAAATAAGTTTTAGTGCTATCAACAACAAGGAAAGTCGCCTGCGCTATAATTGCTGCACGCATATGCGAGCGCACAAATTTTCCCGAGAGAAAATTCCTCCCTATGGAAGAACAGGCATGTTTGAGAAAAATAGAAGCTGATCCGAACGTTGCAACGCAATAAAGTTATTGTATACAATGCTTGATGATTCCCAATAGTTATTAAGGCTGTTATAATACATATTACAGCCCAGCACAGTGCTTTCGAGAGACTCTTGAGACATTACGCTATTTAATAAAAATTCCTTTTTTACATATGTATTCTTTCATCTGATGGCTCTTTTAAAAGAACTCTGCTGGGCGTTCTAATATTTAGTCGCTGGGCCAGAGGCTTTTTGTTGGATGTCGGATCTTTGTTGATGTTCACAAATTGAAATGTAAACAGAACAAAGAATCCAAGATGGCGGCGATGTGAAAGAGATGTAAAATGGATAATTTTGTATTTAATTTTTACAAAGAAAAAGAAACTCATGCCCCAAAAGCCATAACGTTATTATATCTACAATACCTGCACAAAACGCATGTCAAAATAAACGCAATAAAGAGTTAGAGAACGATCGTATTTACGTTGCGTGAAATTGTTTTGCCCCTAATTATCCTACGGATATCAATAGTTATCCACGAGTACCATGAGCAGGGATTTCCGGCGGCCTGTTCAGTTTGCATTTTCACTATGAAACTCTTGTTCTTTGTAAATCTGTGTTTCAATTTGTCCAAATCTGACGTTATGTCCAAATGTTCATACGTATATGAGATATTGATTTTTATTTTTTCTGAACTCCGGCAATGCGACTGACGCTCAAATGAGCGGTCTTGTTATAATAAGAATTCGCTTCCCGCCTAGTATATCCCAGGTCGTTATTAAAATTGTTGCTTTAATATATAATGAACTCGACCCAAGCCCCACGTCTAACCCTTACCAATTCCAATAATTTATTGATAACAAAAAGAAGCTTATTGTCCACAATGTTTGGGATAAATGTTGTTATGAAGAAAGCCATACCTCAAGATCATGGAAAAACAAGTGTGTGTCAGAGAGACTGAAAATCATTTCTTCCATTCTTAAACCAATATTTACAGTTGAAGAAGCATCCTAAAAACACGACGTTAATCGACATTGCTTTGATAACTCAAGACATTTTTTACACAATCAATTATTGAACAGACAGCACATCAAAACCTCCCCATTCTTTTGCAAAACTTGCTGTTGCAAAACTTGCAAAAACCAACTGTCTTACATAAGAAGATAACAATCGCCTTTCATAATAAGTCAACTTTGCTTTTCATAAAGTTTTAGTTGTACTAACTTTGCCATATTTTCCAGCGTACGAACCAGTAAGCAAAGAATGGAATAATATTATTGTCTCATCAAGGTCCCAGATGAAAATTCTCTATAAACAAAAAAGTATTATAGAACTATCTAGAGAATAAATAAACTTTAAATGTCTTTTTATCAACATCTAAAAATAACAATAATACAACTCCGGCATTGATTGCTCTATAGCTGAGTTTGCAATATCCCGAGTAACCGATCTGAGCTGAATAGATTAACTCGGCGAAAGAAAATTGTAAATTAATCATCACTACATGCTAAAGGAAAACTCGTGTTTGTGAGAACTCTCGAGCAGGTGCAATTGTACGGCTCTGCTCTCAGTTCTCCCAAACGTTTCCTCGGTTTACACAAGCCTTAGCAAACACAGTAAACATCAGATCACTTTTGATTAATACCATAGACCACAGTAAATGAGGACCTAAGTTTCAACATTAGATCTCTCCTGATTAAATCAATGGACGGGAGAAAATATGAATTAATCTATCATAATAAAATATTCACGACGAAAAATAATCCGAATGTTAAGGTATTTGAACATCTTCGGTAAGAACAATTGAAATGTTTACATCAAAATTTCAACAGGGAATCTTGGGAAACCTCTCTTATTCCGTTTAGGTAAGAAACCTACCTCAATGTTGTGATCTACTTCGGGCCCAGGTCCCGAGACCGACCTTCGTCCACGACCAGTAGTTTTACTACGACCACGTCCAGCTCGATTACGTAATCGTTGGTTGTTAGCTGCCGTGTCGCAGGCTGACGTGACAACAAACTGTGTGTCGGCAACCTGGACAGGACCAGTGGTTGTATTTTGAACAAGGACGGCGGGGTTCATTTCTGTTTTAACATTGTTTGGTGCATCAGAGTGACCAACACCGGTAGTTAGCTGCCCAGCGTACTGTATGTTACCTGGCAAAAGAATCGTGCGCAGTTGAGCTAAGGCCCTTCGTTACTACGCGAGGATGATAACGCACAAAGAAAATAATTTAAAAATAGTTAAAATATAGAATCTAATTGAAAGGGTAGCGCGCTCCCCGCTCCTCTCCGCTATATTATTTCAAAAATATTTCGAATTCTCGTCTGTATGCTCTTCTAAAATGAACACGGAATTTGGTAAGATTGAGAAACGGCAAACCAGGCATTCCATAGAACAATATTTTAGATTGAAAGGGCCAGTGAATCGAAAATATAGGTATTTAATTATATTTTCATAAAATAGAACTCTTAAAATGGCTCTTTCCATGATATGGTTCAACCAACCTCCAAACAACTGTCTCTGTTGCAACGGAAAAGTTTCAACCATTGGATAGTGGATTTAAACATCATTAAAGCCTTGCATAAATTTATCAACTGGAAGCGATTTTCATCCACCAGATAAAGTTATTCAAGCTTCGTCGATGCATATTACACATTGGACAAAACGTATCTGTTGGATAGTAATTTATCCACCTTCCGTGTAACCGGCCCCCACAATATTAACTACTGCAAGAGCTGCAGGGAGTCTTCAGCTCGTAAAAGACTTTTGAAATATACATAATATATACACTGTAATAACAAACAAACAACAAGGGCGAAAAATGTTTTTTAAGTGGACTACTGCGTAAAGCAGTTGTATTCACCAGTAGCTAGTGATTTCCATTGAAATCATCATTGACATTAGAAAATATTCCAGTGCTATTGCGTTTTTTCCTCATTCAAAGATTCCTTATACCATGATTTAAGAAATAAAAGATGTTTACAGTGTTTGTACGGGCTTATGCAAACCGAGGAGACCTTTGGGAGAACTGGAGAGCAGATCAGTGCAAGCCCGAGACCGAAGGTTGCACATGCTCGAGAGTTCTCACAAACGTCTCCGAGGTTTGCATAAGCCAGTGTAAACACGAAAAACATCTTTTATTTCTTTTATAAAATAAAAATGATGCGAAAAAGACAAACATTTTAATTTTTCCTCTAAAATGTATTCATCATCGATTTGAAAATTCTCTTTGACTGATTGATTATTATGATTGATTTGATTGGTTACGCTCAGATGTGTTTTGCACAGGCTAATGCAAACATGGCTCTAGACCAATCATCGCACGCGTTTCATTGTGTTTATTTTATAAAATAAGCAATGAAACGCAAGCTGGCGTTCCTTGAAACCGTACCATGTTTCACGAGCTGTTACTGGCGCCCAGACTCCCCGCAGTTTTCGAAGTGGCTCAAAAAAGTCGCTGCTTAGACCTTATCTTTATTACGATTTTTATGGCAGTTATTTTTTTACCACAACCTTCAGATCGTCCCTTAAACAGTCAAGCCGAAGTCAACAAAAAAGAGCATAAAAACAATGCTATCAAAGAACACAGACTTACTACCATTCATGCCATCTGGAAGACCAATAACAGCGGAGGTATTTGGGGTTATGACGTTGGCTAACTGAGTCATTTGGTAATTGCTCGAATTGCCGATACTGGCGGATGTTGCGCCTGCCACCGGTACAAAAGCTCTAGCGGCATATGTTCCAGGATTACCAATAAAACTGTACGGATACGTTGGAGGTTGCCCGCGACCAAATGCTGTAGGATTATATTGGTATAACGCCTGACCATTTGCCTGGCTGGAGTTTAGGTCGCCATTCGATGTGACTAGACTTTCACCGCTGGTCACGGGATACGTCACGTAGGCGGCGGTTTGTCCTGAAAAATAACGGTGTACTTTGCATAAGATATAATACACGTGGTAATAGGTATATAATATCTATGAAGCCAATGTAAAGGCTCTAAAGTAAAAAGCTGTAATAAGGTCTCGAAACAGTTGCGTAGGCGCCATTGACAAGAAATTTTTTGTTGTCTTAAGTAAGAGATTTCCTAAATCTGTAATGGATTTTCATTTTCAATGTTAAATATGAAATGGATTTTCATTTTCAAGGTTAATATTTCCATGGTAACAGTTAAAGACTCCGAGGTATGTAAACTAATGAATTTGCGGTCAGTAGTTTTGAAATATCTTAAAATCCGATTGTATTCGTGGTTGCAGAAATTGTTTTATCTTAAACCACTTTTGATAGTTACGATTATTGATCACAAGCATGAGTATGTTTATTCAACATCAGACAGAATAAATGCAAGCAGTAAAACAACAAGCATATACATGCAAAACAAAATGTCGACAAAAATGTTCAACATACACGAGATCTTTTACTTTAGATAATTAAAAGTCTCGTGTAGCAAGCCATTAAAGAGCCCCTTTCAATAAAAATTTTTAATTGCGATGTTAAATTTAGGTGTGATTTCCAACGTATCAGTGAAGAAAGATTTTAAAAAGTTTGTCAAATCGATCAATTTTTTATGGCTGTTTAAATTTGGCAAAAATTCTCCTTTTAATGGACCTTGTCTGTCGTTCGAGAAGCCTGGAACGACTTATTTTGTTGACGTCATGCAAGGAATTCCTCGATACAAGATACATATGATAGGAGCACTTCAAAAAACTCGGCCATTCACCATGGCAAAACGGTTTTTAAGATGTGTTAAACAGTGGCGTAGCAGGCCACAAATTTGTTCATCCTATATAAATATTTAGGTGTTCAGAGCTCACTGTAAAAACAATAGATTTCTAAAAACATGAATAATACTCACGATCTGAAATACATATAAAGCACGATCAAAATTTGCGTGCAGGCTACTCCATAGCATGTAAAGTTTGCCTACATTTTTATCATCACGATTTAGTTTTTTGGTTGATAAACCGTTACTTTCCCATTTTAAACTCTGAATAAGTTGATTGGAAGGCGCAAAATGGATCTAACATAAAGGAGCGTAAAATGAAAGCGAACGCGAAGGAAAACTTAGTGTACGTAAACAATCGGGAAGAAAGGAGACAGTTGCCTGATCTGATGTGAACTTGGTAAGACACGGTGTACTAGCAAGAATTCTTGACCAAGACAGCAGTGGATTGGACCAAAAATGATTGTGCCATGAAAAACAAAATGCATGATCTTATCCGACAACGATGTTTAGTATAATAACTTTTATTTTTCCTATCGTGAATGCAGAATTCTACAGTAAAAACCGACAACGGCGAGCAGTATGACGAATTCAAAACAATTTTGTTAAAGGTAGAACATCGTTTCGGAAATATAAGATAAAAACATACTTCGTAAAAACACGTCATCTTGTAAACTCAAGATTCGAGTTGTATGGACAAGAGACAAGATTTAAAAGCTGATGTTTTTCGACTACGTTTTATATATCTTCTGTTGGAAGAGATTGTTATTTCATATCCTTCAGATCTTCGTTTTAGTACTAAGGTGGACTGCCTAAGTATAGCTTAATATATTATAAAGTCCTCACTATAATAAAAGCCACATTGAATGCAGGTTCTTCAGATTGTTGTTGACTTCCTTTACTTTGTTCAGGCGTTAGAAACAGAAAATTCTATTGATACAATTCCACTTTTCTTAAATTAAAAATGATATATTATACTGTATACGAAACGAAACGGAACTAAAAAATTTCCTGTTCTGTGTTTGTCTGACAGTTGAAGCCGAGTTTAGCTGAAAATATTTAGCAAGTATCTCGAATTTGAGTGAATTTCGTAAATTGGGCAATTAAACTACAACTTTGACAGTGATAGGAAAGTGATCTTAAATTTTTTTAGATATCGGTTGTATCTATAAAGAAGGTCCTACATCTTTTATGCAGATCGATGCACTGACAACTTTCTAAACAGCAATCTGGGGAAAAAAGAGTAAATAACTTTTTAGCTATATTCCTTCTTCAATTCATCCCGCCTGACTGAACATCGAGACGACGAGGGCAAGCAGTGCTAACGCGACTTTATATATGAGGTTATTATGCATGACTAATGTAATAATGCTATTTTAAATTGAAAGAATGAAGCGTTTTGAACCACGCAAGTCGAAAATAAGGTGTGAGGAGCAGAATCCTATATTTGTAAGAGTTGGGACTCCGCATTTTGCATTATGATCAAGGTGATTGGGTAGATATGGTCACATGGGCATTTTTGTTCCAAAAGTGCAAATTATAACCATTTTTTACATAGGAGATAAATTACAAAAAAATGTTTACAATGATTTTATGTTGCGTTATAATAGTCGCAATCAAAGCGATCAAGAATAGAAACAAACGCCCTCTCTGCCCTCCCTTGTGGCAAAAACAGCATTAAAGGCGTATAAATTACATCCACTGCAGAAAATAAATGCTTTTCTATTATTAGGACATCTATAAACAACTGAGTTCCAAAGGATCGCTGTCTATTTATGAATAAGAAAAAAACCCCAGAAAATTCGTCCTTCCACCGTTAACGCTCTACAATTGCTGGCTTTTAGAACAAAAATTACGGACGCTAGGCAATTTTACTTCCGGTCTCCCAACTCTTTTGCAAGTAGGGCTCTGGTGTGGAAAATACTCATTTAAATATAGAGACAAGTAGCGATGAAATTTAGTCCTAAGTAGGAAAAAATGACAAAATGAGGAATTTATTTGCTTCGCATGGAGAAATAAAACCTTCAAAAATGCTAAATGATCTCTTGGGTACTATACCTTAGTTCTAAAGTTCTTGATTTTAAAATCATGCATGTCAATGTTTGTATGAGATATCGCTGTTGTACGCGCGCAGTACTGACTCCCGCGCTGAAACAAAGGATGATCAAACGTCGACGAAATTACCGTATTTTTGACGAACGTGAACATGCATGTTTTGTTGAAAATTCATTGCCAGTGATAATAGTTTCTTTGCAAGGCATTTCATTTAGTTTTCCGATTTTGAGCAATAAGTGCTTAATGACGAATATTTCTGAAATTACTGCATTCTATAAATGTCAGTTTTTATTCCTTTCAGCAGCTCTAGGAAATCATCGCATCCTGAGATTAAGTCAACAGATCATAGTAAGGCGAAATTCAAACAGATTTTATCAGTTTCGAAAACATCCAGAAATTCATGACGTTTTCTGCCAAATGCTGAGCTTCAAATTCGAATGAACGAGTGGATCGTTGGCGAACGGCGCAGCAGAAAGAAAGCGATGCCTTAAGATGGAAACAAATTTATCGTAGAAATGAAAAAAGAACAGTATTATATACAATCAAGAGCAAGGCTTTACTAGCGTCATCAAAGATTTTTAAATTGTACAAAATTTTTAAAAGTGCAGTGCAACCGTACTGTCGAGAAAGTTGATAAATTTTATCATATGTAATAATTACAAATGACTGGAGTGAAAATCAACCGACGAACATAACACTGAATTTCATACGCATGCACGCACAGTCATACAGTGTTCCCTCAATCAAACAACCAAAACAGATACATTTGCAAAATGCAAAATTTTTTCAGACAGTTTTTAAAATATTCGAGTAACAATGGGTAGTGAGCAGCATGATTTACACATAAATACATTACTTATTCGGGCAAAATCATAATCTCGACCATAATCAAATTTTTCAAAAACAACTGATCTTAATACATGTTTGTGTGTGAGCAAACAGCGCGGTGTATATAAATGTGCGAGGCCAAAAATAACGCCACAATTGTACTTAAATGGTTGTTTTGTACTTAATTATTTTCTTATCTCGGCGATAACACGTTGATTAAAAGACCCATCTCTCTCACACGCATCGTTCTTATCCAGGAAAGAAAACAAACACTCGATTTCGTTGTTGGATAAAAGGAAAACCATATAGAAGTATATAAATGCAAAAATAACAGTCACCTAGAAATCTGCAAAATACTTTACAAAGAAGCATGATACACACGCAAAATGGAATCAAACAAATTCTCCAGCTTTCTGTTATCTCCAATAAGAGCTATAGTAAATTAGAGGAATCTTTATAGCCATGTCACCTAGCCTCGTACGAAACAACCAATACCCACTTGTCGAGTCGACATTTCAAAGCTCCTAATACACGCACAGGACAAAAGACCAACTAAACTATTCAGAATTAATTTGATATAAAACACTGATGTTCTTCAACATCCAACGATATCCCTATACGTAAAAAACTTACATTTGTTTGGTCTCAACACATACACACTTTAAGAACGGTGATTTACCACGCTAAAAACGCTGTCGTATCTAAAGACTTCTCGAAAGAAACTAAAGATCCATGTGCAGAGAACCGGAACATATACACACACGCGTTCTATTTCGGTGTAATTCTTAACCACTATCTGTTGCAGACGGCATCATATGATTACCGACGACAGTAAACAGATTCTTAAGTTACAATTACCAATGGACATATCAAAATGAAGATTGAAGCAATGATAGATATAGAGGTACCTGACATCCTAAAGAAACAATCGTCCCACGAATGGCGATGATGCATTTTCCGTCACAAAAAAACCTTTCAAGATTGTCGGCTTTTGCCGCTTTCAAACTGTTCCTTCACGACTACCGATTTACCAATTATTCTATTGGTATATGCGTGTTCGACATGGACTTTTTGACGTGCTATGCGATAGCTCTCGTGTACAGGAAAGATACGAATTACCTCTTCGACTATTCCGAGCTTACAAGGTCAAGGGTGCGGTCTGATAGGTATTCAACTGATTTTTACAGGCTGTACAATTCGCTTGACGAAAATGCCCGAGGCTTGATATGAATTCAGAGAGTCGTGTTCGAGCAGTTTTGGTGAGGTTTTGCAGTGACTTAAAACCTTAATGAATTAGCTTGACATACGTGGGTCTTTCTCTTACACGAAAGGATGCACAAAAAACTAGCGTGAACGAAACTTTCGAATTGAGCTAAGCTGGAAGAAACTTTCTTGAAAACGTCGACAAAACAGAAGTATGCCCCATGTTATTGCACTAAGAAAACAACCCAAAATCTTTGAGGAAGTGAAAGCGCGCAACTTTCATATAATGCTTCGCAGAAAAAAATCCGAAAATCTATAATACGATTTGCTAGCGAAGAACCTGGTAATATAGACGTTGGAACTGACGTGACATTATCAACTGCAAGCCTTCGACATTTACATTCTAACTTGTTCCAACACCTCTCGATGAACATAACGACGAGAACATGCATGCAGGTATTTCTAAAGTCATTACGTACTTGTCGGTATGTCACAAGCAAGTATGTTGCATTTGGCTTGCTGACGTCACAACATAACGAAGTGTTTGAAAAAAACAACGTTAAATAAGACTGATACATGTTTTCGGATTAGCAAAGTGCATTGAACGCAAAGTAGTACGAGTGCAAAAATCATTGAAATTGGTGGACTTGAGTGGAATAAATATGTACTCATATGTACTCATACCCACAAATACACTTAAGTGAAAATAATTCTCGACACTTATCGTACTCGAGCTAAAACATAGTTACGACTTATAGGTTAAACAATCCAAAAATTCATAATACTATTGATAAGCGGAGGGAATATTGACACGAGCTCGCAATTTACAAAATAAAAATAAACAAAAAAAGGTTTCACATACATTAAACATCAATATTTGAAATGGAACAAGACACCAGTTGCCTTCGGCAAAATAGAAAACCGGCAATAGTTTTGAAATTTTGGTTTGTTATTTAGTTCCAACTGACGTGGGTTTTAAAATTTCCGGTAATCGAGATCAAAGTTGCTACGAATTACAGACAAAACGTTATACGAAACGGAAAGCTCTCGTTTGCATATTGTTTGTTTTGCTTTTTCCATTTGCTGGAAAAAATGCGGCATGAAAACGTATTTCTCAAGAGTAACACTAGCAACATTCTATATATGCCCGTTTGCACATGTGAAATTTCTGAAAAAAATGTGAAAATTTTTGCACGAAATGATTTATGATGTGTGGTATAGACGCATGCGCAAAGATAACAAATGTGAATCGGCGAGAACGACGGGGGCTGGTTCATTTTTACTTGCTGCAAAAACGAATGAAATAGTAAATTCTGATGAAACTACTCGCGTGAGTACAGCGCAGGTTAAATTTCTAACGAAGAATCTCCCCCGTGGCGTGTGTTCATACGATCAAATTTTGCAGTAATTACTGTGACTAAATGATTGTACACATGAAAAATCATGTGTATATTTTCGGAATGATTTATCGAATGCAACACGTCCAAATCAAACAAAGTTTGATATATGAAGGCAAAACTGTCTGCTACTAATATGCCAAAACTTTGCAAGTAATTCAAGTCGGAATGGAACTAAGCATGTTCATTATAGCTAAATCACTGTGTCATAAATGCCAATATCAGGGTTAGTTTAATAACTTAAGTAGATAGTTAAATCGATTTTAAACACATTTGCAGTACACTTGATAGATCGATAATTTCATCTTCATGCATGGGCTTTGTGCGTCATTTCCGGTGCGAGGTCACCTACTTTCCAGGTCAAAAAAACCCATGAACGTTAATTACTTGACTTATCAATATATTGCAAACATTCTAAAAATCGATTGAACTATATAAAAAATTCATTTCCCTGAACATCACATATACGTTTAATGAATGTCGAATTTAGCAAGGGAAATTAAACGCGCGAGTATGAAGCGACATAAAAAACATACTCGTAAATTTTGCAATTCGTAGTACGATAGTACCATACAACTTTCTTTACCTGCAACTCCGGGCGGTTGGGCAGCTTGAGCGATGTAGGCATTGCCATAGGCTTGAGCTGCGGGTATTACACCGGCGTAACTTCCGCTAGAAAAAGCGTTACCGGTTGCGAACGCGATGTTTGGCACAGCTTGCATGTCGTTGTCATCCGGCTGTTGTGAAGCTTCTTGCTCATGTTGTTGCGCTTGTGTTTGAGCTTGTTGCTGTTGTTCTTGACTCATTTGCTCTGTTGTCTGCTCGCCAGTCGAGCTCTTTACCGCAGCATTCAAAGGCGCCGTTTGGTAATGGATTGGTTGTGTTAAGAGCGAGAAGCCGGCAACGGCTGAAGGCTGGGGACCAGTTTGGGCGTACAGCACACCTGCTGGAAGTGCGGACAGTGTTCCACCTGCAAAAGTTTGAAACACTGATTGTACATTATAAAATCTCGACAGAAAAAAGAAAGATTTGCCGAAGTGAAAATCAAGAAGTTTAAGAGTATGCAGTAAAAACAGCGCATTGATAGCCAATGCTCAAACAAACATTGTAAGATTGTACCAACTGCTTTGCAATACATGGCAATGTCATATTGAAATAGTATAGTGCGAATGTGTACTAGTTAATTGTAAAATAATTTATGACGCTATAGCATCAAATTGGGTAACCAGTCCCTTTGCTTATATAAGGGCAGTAAATCGTTGTATCATTTAGTGTAGAGTAAATCTTCGTGATTAAGGTTATGTTGATTAATGAATTTAGCGGATGAATCAATTTATTCACCAAGGGTTGCAAAAAATTGTACACTCAATATCGATAAAGCAACGTTACTAAGCTCTGAAACTAATGTGTGATAACTTCACTTTGCCTTACCAGCAGCAGCAAAGCCCTGCAAGCCAGCTTGTGATGGCGTTGTGATGATGTGGGGATAATTTCCAGCAGCAAACAGGGTAGTTGTATTCGCTCCAAACTGGTTTGCAATCGGTCTAAGCTGTTGATTGCCTAAACTGGTCATCACAGCCGCAGGTGTCAAACCGTATACGCAGTTCTCGAGGTTCACAGCGGTTGACGAGGGATCATGAGGAGAGAACTCGGTGAGATTAGTCAAAGTAACATTCGAAACGGGAAGAGTACATCCAGTATTTGAAGTTTCCGACCACACCTCGCTTGATTTGATGTCCTCTACGGGACGCTTCTCCATGGAGCTGTCGATAGACGGAGATGGCATTTCATTAGTCGAAGGGACATCTGTTACAGGTGGGGCGTCTGGTCTACGAGGCTGCTCTAACACTGGTTGCCGTGGGCTAAGTTCGTTGACATTATCGTCCAAAGTTGTCGGCTCCACGGGTGCTGTGATATTCGGTGGATTCGCTTCAACTCCACCGATAGGAGCCGCCCGGACGTTTGTATTGTCTGTCATCACAACAGGAGTTTCAGCAACGACATTTTCACTACAAAAACGAATGAAGACTAGAGCGAGTCTGTGAACAAATACAGCATATACTATGAGAAAAGAGGAAGTTGATAAAAATCAAGCGTGGCCTTTCTATGCATCTTATAAGCCTTTCAAAACAATAGTTTATAAAAACTCAAACATTGCATGTCAGGAACATATGAGAAGGAAATTTCCGCTCATAGGTATGTCATGATATTATTTGCTATACTCCGGTAAATAAACTGTTCTTTCATTCGTTTTATCCAGCTAACTTGTAAGCTGTCTTTACATGAACCCCCAAATCCATATCTTGTGTTAATAAAACTATCCACGAAAATATTCAACTGTCATGTACAACTTTAAAAAAAAGTAAAACGAATAATTTCATGAAGCCACTACACTCTTTTTCACGCCTTACGGGGAAACCATCAAACTAGAGTTCCGTTAATCGTGACGTGTCTGCTGACGTACATTATCAACTGATCAACTATCAAGAGCGTTTAAAACTTGCGCGGAAAAATTTTTTCGACGTCGACATTTAGCGAACATCTCCGATCATTTGTTCAAGAGTCTCTCGTTAATGTATTCTATGATCTTTAATTTTTCTTCCAAACATAAGCAGCAAGATCCCCCCCCTGCTTTGTATGCCAGTGAATTTGTATTTTGCTCCACCCAAATATATATAGAGCACCTTTTATCTTGTGTACTTTTAATTTATATTTCTAACTTTCACATATGTAGCAAACATCACGGTAATTCCTATAGCACGTGGTTATTCATTCATTAAATACAACATTTCGTAACTAAATTAAATAAAACACGATTATTTTTCATATTAAGTTAAGCCTTGATATGTCATCCACACTTTCAATGACTGTGTATGTTAAAAGCCTCAGAATTCATATTTTCGCAACAGGAGACAAAGCAAAAATGCACACATGCAGCCAAGATGTATGAGATATCACATGGTCGGGTCCGTAACCAGGGGGGTGAGCCTCTCATTATTCCAAGAGGTGCGTTTTTCAAAATATAGGTATAAAAAACAAATAATAAACAATTATTGAAATTGTCTGTTTACATTTAAAAAATAAAATAGATCCATGTGCAATTGAACACAATCACGTGCTTGTTTCCTAATGATCTCATTTAAAGCGTATTGTAGCAAATGAAGACAGACTTAACTAAGGGTATTTGTAACATACAAGACATTAGCGTCAGTTATATTTTCAATAAAATCAACAATACGAGTCCGTTTTACTCAAATGTGCCCCTTTAAAACCATCTGGCTACAGCCCTGATGGTATAAAACTAGAAATTACGAGGTAAGTAGTGAGTGTCTACATTAAATCGCACGGTGATGAAAGGTGACAGTCGGACTGAAGGAAGGGTCATGATCAAATCATTACTGACCAATCATCGACAATTTAACTTAGCATCATTTAAGGAAAAAATCTAATAAAGGCATTAACAAAATCAAAAAATAGTACACGTGAAAAATGATCGTAGCTACTATTTCATGAATTTCAAGAACATTAGCATAATTTATGTCTTTACAAATCATCAATGACATTTGAAAGGAAGGGTGTAGACTTTCTCATGGGGCTGCATTGTTATCCCAGCTAAAGTTGCAAGGGCCTCGGCTTAAGCTTAGAGACGAGTGAATCTAGCGTAACGAAAGTGCAATAACTTTTTAAAAAATTATATGTTTTTGGTTAATGAATGCGCGTTTGGTAATTAATATTAATTTTAATGTTTCAATGAAAACGCGCATGATAATACTCAATTGCAAATGGTGGTAGTATAAAATATTTAACTGTCTTTGAAACGAGAAGTTCCTCATTTACTTACTCTTACTGTACAATTGCCTAACCTCTAATACCGTTGTATTAATCGTCTACAGTAGCGACGTAACACCATTTTAGAATTTTTCTTTAGGCGTGCGAATTCATGGGTGTGGGTGGGTGCGCACCCTCCCTGGTTGGAAATGTTTTCACATGTAAATATCAGTGCTGCTACTCACTGCATGCTTATTTCACCTACCAAAACTTTATTTTCCCTCTACTTCCCCTTACTATGATTTTCCTTGTTTTCCCCTACTTTTCCCCTACACAACATATCCCCCAATTATATACCTACGTTGGGTCGGACCATTGAATTTTTTCGTCTGTTTTTACAAAATGCATACAACAAAAAGGTTTATCGAAAACTAAGAACATCTAGACGAGAAAGTTAGAATTTAGCATAATTTGTAATGACATGCTGGTAGCGCAAATGACACACTGAGTTTATGCTAAGTTGCTGATCTTCTATTGCCATATATGGTCACAAATTGTGCCAAAAGAAAGATTCTGTTACAATCACTTGCTAAATGGTGAGAACACAGGAAGAAAAGAGTATTTTGGGCAAAAATGAGGCTCATTTTTAAACGATTTTCTTTTTTCCCTACAATCCCCTACAATTTACAGTTTTCCCCGTAGGTTTCCCCTACGAGTGGCAGCACTGGTTAAAATCGACAAGAAAAAACTCACGCTGTAAACTGGGACGGAAGTTGATCAACAACGGACGCATCGTCAGAGTCATCAGTCTTCAGCTTTTTTGCCTGCGTTGGAAATGCAAACAAAATTAGCTGGAACATCGCATTTTTAATCAAATTCCATCACGTTTTTAGTAATAGCTATAAACAAATCTATACGCTCAAAATCATTTTGACTAAAAAGAACTTCCAATCCAAAACCTTTATAATTCATAACAGTATTCCAATAAGAGCGATACAACTACCAATAATAAATTAATTAATAATGGACTCCGTCGATTTCGACATATGAGGGTTCCACAAAGTGGAACATCCTGGTTACTTAAATTATAGTGAAGGCAGCTGACCAGACTACAATCACTCGTACCTTTCACGCAACCACAACGCTGATATCAGCGTGACACACAGTGTGACAAGGCTGCAACATTGCAGATGCAGATACAAATAAACATGTGTATCCAATAAACATGTGCATGAAAATACAAAATGAATAATACTTCATGAAGTAAAATTGAACTGGGTACGATTCGTGACTCAAAATTCAACACTGAATTAAAGTACCGTCAACAAGAAAAAAATTTAGTCTTCAGGCTGCCCTGGTGGTGACAAAAGCCACTTAAAAATTCTATTCAAAACGAGCCACATCTATATAGAATAGTAACTGCACTTTCCCCTAAGTATAACCCATTAATACTAAATTAAAGCATTTTCCTGGCAGTGATCTTACTTACCGGAGGCTTTTCATCCACAACTTCAGTGTGGGTTTCTGCATCACCACTAGCCATTCCGACTCCTAAAACAATATGACAATCATATATATTCACAGAGCTAATGCTGTGTCCAGTTTAATCTGTGATTAAGACTTCACAGTAGACGAATAACTATTACCATTAAATACAATATTTACAAGATTTAACCACAAATTAAAAGGGAGAGGGAGGGTAAAATAGTCACTGACATATATGGCCCAGTGTTGAAGAAAATTATGATTTCAAGCCATAAGCAACTTCAAAATGAAAACACATACTCATTGTCATTTAAAAGTGTTTCTGAATATACTTTTCCAAACAGCCAATTTTCTACCCTCCAATAATTACTGCACATGACATTTAGCAAACATCTTGTTTTTACGTTAAAACAAGGTTTCCATATGATATAATAATAAAATAATATTCAAAACCGAGCCTAAGCTGCCTACTGCACCCCCCCAGGTATTTGTACAAATCATTTTTATAGTAATTGTTGGCCTCATACTTGAAACATTTTACTGTGTAGAAAATCCTCCTCCAAAAAATTTGAAAAGCTGTATAAGTTTCAAGTCTTGAAAAGTTTAAAGTTAGAGGGAAAATTTTTGTAACTGCAACCACTCATTCACTAGCACTGAGGTAGCAGAAAATTGACAATTGGGGGACAAAAATTCATATAAGCATGTTTAACTTTAATGGTTCTAATTGAAATCAATTGTCATTACAAATTATACAACATGAATGTATATTTTTCCTTTATTATCAATCTTATTAATGGAGCAGTCAACTGTTGTCTGCAAAACCAATTCAGCCCAACCAAACTTAAAAATCTTGTAAGTTCAGTTTCTTAAAGCAAATAAACTTTACTGATCAAAATATGATTATGTCACAATGCCAATTTTCATAGAGCAACAAATTTTTCATTAAGTATTTCTTGAAGAAGCATTTCTATAAAGTCAAATGTTGCTGGGCAAATAAAACCATATATTCTTTTATAAAACTTTGAAATTTCAATCACAGCATTGACAGTTTGTCTAATCACACCAACAATTTTAAACGATGGCAAAATGTTGGTGCATTTTCAACTAATATTTAAGCAAAATAGAAAAAATGGTCTAAAACCATGAACGAATACCATGTCTTTGACAGAACAGCTGAACAAGCACTAAAAATGACTTATGAAATTGACAATACTATAGTTGATGGAGGATAAGAGCCATTATAATTGGTAATGGCGAGATCTACAACACAAGATTAAGGTTTCAAGTGTTGAAGAAAACAGAAATCAGAAGCCCATGATACCAATGTCAGGGCCAACTAAACAACTAAAATGTTTATACATTTCTTCGCCTTACACCTCCCCTTTCTCCTAAAATCTCTCATTTCAAAGTCAAAGATAATTTTGATCAAAAAGAATTTCGATCCCTGCAGTTAGAATCAATCAAATAGCAAATAGAAGTGAGTGCAGCATGACCAAACTTGAATAAAAATATGTTTGAACACAGAAACAATGAGCATAATTGACTTATTCGCTGGAGACAAAAAAACGATTTAAACGAACAATAGCACTAAATTGCGACACAAAAACCAAACAAATACAACGAAATAAGACAACGGAAAAGAGCCGCGTGTCTCTACTGACAAGATAGTAGGCGAAGTAGCACGAGTTTAGGATTTATTTGGCAGAGAACATAACAAATTGCCATTATTCAACAAACGTTCAATAATGAAGAAAATAGCGCCACTAGCCACTAGGTGTCGTATGCACATTTGAAGCGTCTCACATTTAACAAAATTTCCATAATAAACACGCGCTGAATTTGAAGAAGTCGTGAGAAAGCGTCGCCTCGATAAGTGAAATAAATCGAGAGAGGGCGCTTGTGACATTCCTTCGTCTCGATCACGCCGGTAAGAAAATAATGCTTGAATCCAAACGTTATTTCCATTTGGTTTGAATAAGAATACGTACCATACACCGTTTGGACATGCGACTCAACTTACATTTAATAATTTGTGGTAGATATAACACTGTAACAAAACCTCGCTTGCTCAAAAAGAATCAGTTTACATTGGCAATGGGAAGCGCACACTAAATCGTATCAGTTTTCTCCACAACTACAAATTCAAGAGGCAAAATTTCGTGAGCGCGAAAGAAACTTTGCACAACTAACTCTAAAGCTCATATATGAATTCTGCAATAAGCAAGCACAACGGATTACAAATACAATAGAATACACGGTATTGTTTACTCACCAAGCTTAAATTTCGTCCGTTAAAACAGGAAAGAAATTCTCGCTGTAATAGGAAACCTTACTTCAGCATTACGATGGTTTCAATTTGCGCCTCTACAAGTCTCGGACGACAACATTAAGCCCGCAATGCATACTGGGACGCGTTGAATTGGTCCTTTGGGATTAGCACATTTAACCAATCAAATCGTATACCATCTGTCAGCCAAGTAATTAATGACATTAACCTAATTTTTAAAATGCGTACTGCAATTGTGCGCTGATTGATGGAAAGCCAGTTGCTGTTTCATGTTACATGCTTGTCTGGATACTTCAAATTCCACAAGAACATTAAAAAATAGAAATTTATTCCCGCATCTCATAATATAAAAAATCAAAACTTATAATGTCGTGGCATTGATTGATGCATACACTTATTGCAATGAGGAAATGATTAACTTAAACTTATTACATTAAACTTATTTTCGATAAACGGTTGAAGCGTAATCGCAGAAAATGCAGAGTCCAAAGAAGCAAGATATCTTGAGATTGCAAAATATGCATCAAAACAACACGAGAAGTGAACTGTAAATTTTCGACTTTATTTCAAAGTCATCTTCCGACAGAAAAAGGTCGGACTGGATTGGCACTTGCATCAATTCTCGGGGTTGGATCATCAAGTTTCTAATTATTATAAAAACAAGGCATAAACATCGAGTGGTTTTTCATCATCAGCATGCGTGAAGTTACTTAAAATCTTGTTTTATATTTTCCATTTAAACCATGCTGGAGTTTGCTTAAACTCAAACATGTGTAGTGTACACTGTACGTCCGTGCCGATAACAGGCGAATCCGCGAACGAAAGTTTCAGAAATTCAGGTAAATATTCACGATAAACTTTTACAACTTGCTGCATCAGCAACAACCTGTAAATGTAGTATCAACGATTTCGGGAGAGCGTCCAACAAGAACAAAGGTATTATTTTTCCTCAGACCCCAGTACTGTAGGACATCTGGAGTGAGTTTTATAGATCACAAGTTCACAACAACTGCATTATCTGACATGCTCAAGTACATAAACTAAACAAGACAAGAAAACTGTCGTTGGTTACCCAACGGTAACTAAAATGTTTGTTTTCGCAAACAGTATATGACAGGTATGTTGCATTATTTGAATTGTTTCAAACGTTCACTCTCCACTCAAACATCGCATGTTTTGTCAACATGACAAATCCTAACTTTTGATCTTGGCAGGTCAGGTCAACTGCGTGTGTAAGCTGCTGAATATCTCATCATCAATCCTGTGCCGTGGTTCATTTTAAGGGTTTTGGAGGGTTTTTTGATGACATTGGTATGTTCTACGCATGTGCTGATTGTTTTGGAGTTGTCGGTTATGAAATGAACGACGCATTGGAACGAAGTAGCGAAATATGTCGAATATATTGTTTGTCCTCATTAGGTTGAAAGCTTATACTAAAAAAGGTCAGCAAAGGAAATTTCCGCGAAGATTACTAGTAATTGGATTTATTTGTATGTTGTCCAAGCAAAGAAAAGGCGCATGAATTTTTTGTCTCCAAAATTTACAATTGGCCAATTCGTTTTACCATTAAGAAGGGATAATTTCGACTTATCGATGGTCCTGAAATTGTCTAGTGAGCGAATTAGTTTGATAAATATTGTATTACATTAAATACTAAGACGTGATCAAAGTACTTGAACTTAAAAGAGATTATCCTGGCGACTTTTAATGTGCGCATGCATGCCTGTTTTATTTCTTATTTCGTGAACGTCGATTGGTTTGTTTTACAATATCCGACTACAGTGTGATAAAAGATCTTTTTTCCAGCAAATTTTCATTTACAAAGTTCTTTAAAAAACAGCGAAAATTGTTTAAAGAAAAAACAAAAATTAATTTCATAATCGACACGAAATGAAGTACATGTTTTAAGAATAAACATGTTCACTGTCAGACCGTAGATTACATAAAACTGTATGCCATCAACACGTCATAAGAATACTGAATACCAACAGAAAAAGTTTATGATATAATCTTCATTAATTAAACACACATTCAAGGAAAGATTCGGCAATTAAGAAAGGTATGTTCAGTCGCAAAATGCATTTTTATGCTATTGACATAGCCAATATTAGTTTTTATATGATTTAACAAATTGTCTAAATCTAAATCTGTCGACACCTTAGAAACGATTGTATTTAACTTTCTTGTGGATAGTAAGCTACTTCTTGTACAAATTTTATAATAGTTATAGCAATAAGATTCTAAAATGGGGGTATTTGCTGCATAGCTATAAAAATAACAGAGCGGTTTCACAGTTTCATTCGTCAACAATTATTAAACAGGCGTAAGAAAACAGACTTATTGACTTGACTTGGGTCAAGCGTGGTATGTCGTCATCAATTTGTAAAAGCTGGCGTCGCGTTCAACAACTTATAGTATTATTGCTGTAAACACTTTTTTGTCTTATTCTATCAATATTTTTTGCGGTTTTGATTTCGCAATGATAGTTTTTGTATATGAAATCAATATATAGCTATAGCTACATGTAAATATAAATATTATACACCAAGTTGAGTTACCTCGTGACCAGATCACGTGAGAAAAATATTGGAAGCCATTTAATTAATAAGTTTCCCCATCATATAAAATACACAATGAAAACCGGGCAAAGACTTGAGAAAACCGTTGACTGTCTATTTATAGTCGTGTGAGAAAGATTGGTGAACCTTTGATTATTCTTAGTATCCCATATTGCTTTTTGTTATACATTTTGAAGAACAAAGTTTCTTGGTCGACGCAGTTGGAGAATGCCCGCCCGATTGATAGACTTTGCAAACTTTATCTACCTTTTCCTTTACATTTCGGACATCTTATTTATTTCCTGCAACTACGGTGTACTTTGTGCAGTAGGAGGGTTGTGTGTTTAACGACAAATGAGTTCTAAAATGAATGAACATGAGATACTATTGCATCAGAAATTCGAAACGTTTAGTGTATCAAATTACATGAACTTTAAACAACGCGTGCAGTCCGAATTACATTTGTAGTTTGTATCACTTGACCATTTGAAAATACGGTGTTTTTCTTACACGCTTTTCGATAGTAAAATAAAAACAGGATACAGACGGCAAGTACAGGAAGAATGAGATACACGAATGTCTTTTGTGGTCGCTACAGCCTTCGAACAGGCGTGAAAACAATGGCATGGTTTTACATTGTAAGTAAACAATATAACAAAGGCTTCTTATTTTTTCATAGTATTCTCATCACGCTTGGCAAAAAAAACCCGTCTGAGTTTCTCATGAACTCAATTCACGGCAAGTAAAACTTAAGCATCTTTAAACATTCTTTCGAGCGAATTAAAGTGAGTTAAAATTTCAAACAACTTCCAAAACCAGCATGCTTCTGCCACGTCTTAATGCCGTTAATCGTATAATTCACCTGTTTTGTAGTAAATAAAAGAAACAATACTCGCTTCATTTCTCCCCTTTTACAAAAATATTCGTCCCAGAATTCGGTCATAAATCACATCTAGGGACAAAATAGACAGAGTTTCGTAACAATACAGAAACAGGCTTTGTTGCATGAGAATCAAGCGTGATGTTATATGGGCGCTCAGCACGCCTGAGGTTAATTGCTAAGACTGTGAGAGACGACCTTTCGTTTGTCATGAGCTGTATAGTCACAAATTGAGTTAAAATATCAGCGTTTTGATAATTTTATAAAACCTTTTGTGATCTGAAAATGACGTGCGAGATTTGGGTTGTTGTGTTGGTTAAGTGGCTTTTTAGTTGGCTTAAACAAACTTTCTTCGTTATTAACGCGTTAACTGCGTTAGAACGCAGTCTCAAATATACCGCATTCTGTGATTAAACAAAAATTACAACTGGAAAAACATGAAATACTGTTATTAGAAAATAAAGTGTCTGAGAGCTATTGCTGAAAGCCTCTCAGCTTCGCGCCGTTTACCCGACACTCGTTGTTGGTGGCAGTTTGATGGTTGTTTACTTCTTGAAAGAACAATCTTTTAATGCATAAACTGAAGCAAAGTAATATATAAATACTTTATCTTAACAAATCTCAGTTTTGAAAAAGCTTATTACAATAAGATGGATGAATTCTAGAGAACGGTGTCTCTAGAATTCCAGAAGAAAAGAACGCGCACTTTTTTAATTCGTTGAAGAAAATTCAAACAATTTTTTTACAATTTGTCGAAGATACTTCAAACTAGAAACAAAATAGCCGTAACTTAAAATTTTCAGGTAAATCTAGTGAAAATCTTTGTCCCTATGTTCAATTATTTGCGCTAAGACTTGCTAAGTGCCCATTGAAACCAGCTGAAACGGAATATACTGGAAGGTCAAAACGCCGTGTGACCTTATTTCGAAAAAATTCGTATTAAACATCTTTTTGGGAGCAAAACATGGGCAGTGGCGCAGCCAGTCCACAAGTTTGGTTGAGCTATATAAATACAGAATGATAATGCATTGTTTGTTTATTTAAAAATCTACTGATTTTACAATGATTGATTGAACACCGAAGTATTCACTCTTGGGTACACTCATTTATTGGAGGATGTTCCATGGAAAAAAATTTTGAGAAGGCGTGGTCAACACCATTATGTTCAAAATAATTATGCATTTTTCAAAATTGATCTGATTTATAACCTAGATTAAGAGTCAAACCTATTCAAAATGTCATAAAAATGTACATGTGACATATATGCGTGGGCAAGCTTTTCTTCAAAATTACTTATTGCCCCACACGACAAATATGGTCTATGACGGAGATAAAAAAATGTTATGATAAACGTAAAATTGAGTCGTAAACAAGGAAATCTAAAAAAAGTGGTTTCACAATCTATTTTAACGATTACTTCTGCATTGTTAAAAACTGATTCGACTTGTTAACAATTGGACATGTTTTGCCGGCTAAAGAACTTGAAGCAAGACTAGAATGTTACAAAGTATTTACAACTTCGCGGAACAGGACACCAACGTTTTAGCGTCATTATCTCCACATATACAGTAAACGGAGAACCATAAAAACACATTAGCAAGATCACTACAGCGTGGCTCCTGCTAAGTGATTGTAATTAGAGCTTTTATTATATTTATTAGAGATGATTTACTGAACGCGTTATTTTCTTTCTGCAGACTTTGTATTTCATCAACTGCATCTTGAACATTGCTTCAACCGACATAGCAGCGAGTTATAGAGAAAACGTGAACAAGGACTTTGAATACAGCAGTACGTAAACATATTATGTTATTTATTGACAACAACAGTACGTAAATCCCGAAAGTGCACGCGATAAGCTTTTCTTTCTGTCCATAAACAGTGACCGCAGTGCCTGAGGTTTCAATAGTGAGAGGGTCCCACAATCGCACGAGAACATACTGTTTATTTAATTTTTTATTAAATTTAGCAGCGGGCGGAATCCCAGTCTTTTCTGCAATCTGATTGGCTGTAGCATTGAGCGGAACTTTACTGGTTTTCTGTTTTGTTTCGTTTGTTTTGTTATACAAAGACAATTATTTGTGAACTTTTGATTGGAATAATCTTTTAAAGTGAAGTTTGAGTTTTCAAAAGTAAAATGAATAGCAAAGTTTTGACTGTTTACTTTGCTGCGATTGTTGAACCTGACTGCATAATCTAATAAGACTGTTGCCCTTAGCAAAAAAAATAAGTACGTTTTTTAACGTTCTGGTAGGTCAGGATAGAGCCCAAAATGAGCCCAAGGCCACAAGAGACATCAACATCGGGAAATATTTTTGTATCCGGACCAACCAGCCGAATTTCACCAAATAAAGTCTTTGTCAATGAAAAAATAGGGGAGGTAGCATGGCCCTTGTCATCCGCAGTCAATGTTATAGTAAAATGTTCACATTAAGACCAACATAAACACACAAGGAGGAAAGTAACGTTTGGTAAATTTCATATCCAACGCACTACGTTGTCTTCTAATCTTATCATTATTAAGGTTAAATGATCAAAATTGAATATGGAAAAGAAATTTGATAAAAGTTTTGTAACTTGTTTTGAGAGCAGTTTACATCACACCAAGATGCTTCAATCAAATTTGTTACTCAGGTTTTTGTCTAGAATATATAATGCACTGGAGAACGGGCAAATCTTTCCAACGAAAAAAAAGGCACGCATGGCCCCACAGAGCTTCGATCGACCCTCGTGATTCTCTTAAAGAAGTATAATTTGCTTCCAAATTTTTCTTTTAGGAATCCAGTTACTTATATATCACTATATATGTCTCACTTTTGGTATTGTCACCATTTTTCTGTCGATTATTCTTCTTGTTAAATTTACTGAGGTATGTATACGTGGAGAGAAAAGGACTCAATTTTTTATCTTCACCACTTGGCGTCATACCATTATAAAATAAAAACAATAAAAACAATAAAACGCGCGCGCTGGTAGGTCTGTAGATGCGTGTTTGCATTTGCTTGTGCAAACCAATCTGAACTCAACCAATCGAATTGAGCAATCAATCAATGAGAGTTTATAAATCGATCATGAATACATTTTAGTGTAAAAATTTGTTTTAAATTTGCCTAATTTGCATTATTAGTACATTATAAAAAAAATAAAAGATGTTTTTCGTGTTTGCACTGGCTACGAAAAACTCGGAGAAATTTGTGAAAACTCTCAAGCACGTGCAATCCTCAAACTTCTGTCTCGGCCTTGCACTGATCTGCTCTCGAGATCTCTCAAAGTCTTCTCAGTTTGCATAATCCTGTGTAAACACAGTAAACATCTTTTACTTATAAATAGTTTTATAAATAGAATACAATTATTTTAACAACAAGGAATTCACGTGTTTTGAAAGCAAGCATGATGCAAGTCAAGATGCATCACGCGTGTGTTTAATTGTCTTGATAAGAAAGAAGTTAAGACCTTCATAGGATTTGAATTAACGACGACTTTTTTCTACAATCTTCTGAATCTGGATGGAATTGTTATCTGCACATTCAATAGATAGAATAAATCCAAAACAAAGTTTATGCAAGACTCACTCGAAATGTTTGGGGGTTAAAGAAAATCTTCTGCATTTGCTTGGATGTTAGTCATGTTATTTGTGATGACTATTTTAACTTAGCAAGGATACTCATTTAAGCAGACAAAAGTTTTTCTTGGCGTCTTGCTGGTCGCAAGACGAAGTCAGTAGAATCCTGGGACGAACTATTAGTGTTTATGCTGACTGATGTTTTCTCAACCAAGACTTCACTTGACTGTGAAGATGACTACCTCTAAGGTTGTCGAAACGCAACAGTCAACATCAACACAAATAGTTTTTTCCAGGACTCTACATACTTTGACGATCTACATCTACAAACATGTAACGATACTGCCGGGTACAAACCATTCCTTTTAACACTTTGTAAATTGCTGTTGACATGAAAGAATTACCTACAAACAAGCAACTCAGTAAAGTCACTGCACACTTACAGCACAATACAATACCAGTAACGTAGCCAGCCCACAAGTTTCGGTCATGCAATGTAAATTTCATTATTAATTTCTTTAGAAATTCATTGTTTTTACAGCGAGCGAACACCCAAATGTTTACACATAGCATGAACAAACTTCCGAACTGGCTACACCATTGCATAATACCACACGGAATGTGAACGAATATCTGTACAGTATAGTCAATATGAGTCAGTGCTGCACGACACAAACTACGCTCCTCTTACTAACGAAATTGTATTTCTATTCTTCACAGTCAGAGGATTTTCTTCATTTCACGGTGAAGTGGAACATTAGCAGATGTTTCATTGCCCTCGTTGCGATAGTATACGTCGCAGTAGAAATGAACCATGTGAGTATCAGAATATCTTCCATCACTGAAATGAATAACGTGAGCGTTAAAATAGCTTCCATCATTGAAATAAATTCCATGATTGCCATAAAACCTTCACCACTGAAATGACTCACGTGATTTCCCTAAAACCTTGACGACTGAATTAAATTTCGTGATTGCCATAAAAGCTTCACCATTGAAATAAATTCCATGATTGCCATAAAACCTTCACTACTGAAATGACTCACGTGATTGCCATAAAACCTTGACGACTGAATTAAATTTCGTGATGGCCATAAAAGCTTCACCATTGAAATAAATTCCATGATTGCCATAAAACCTTCACCACTGAAATGACTCACGTGATTGCCATACAAGCTTCACCATCGAAATGAATCACGTAATTGCCATAAAACCGCCATTTAAATGAATCACGTGATTGCCGTAAAACCTTCGCCATTGAAATGAATCACGTGCTTGCCATAAAACCTTCGCCATGGAGATGAATCACGTGATTGCCATAAAGCCTTAACCATTGAAATGAATGACGCGAGTGCCAAAATATCTTTCATAGCTTTGTCTTTATGATTTTTTGCCAGATCTTGACTGTCAGCTTATCAACTATCATCATCATGATCGACCTTTGCGCTTCGGTAAGTCAACGTATACACTATTGTACGCACATAAAAACCACGATTGCAAAGGTGGAAATGCTTTGCTTTAAACCACAGGCATAGTCACACATTTACACAAGACAACCTGTCCCAAAATGGTTTGCAATGTTGCAATGTTTGCAATGTTTGCAATGTTGAGTTCGGCTTAGTATGCTAGAGTTATAAGCGAAATATTCCTTTCTACGATTGACTTAATCGCTATATTATTTTTATAATTGAAAAAATCTCTTTTCAGGCTTATTTCACAGGTGTTGTGGCATCATACATTAAAGAACTAGAACATCCCATTGGACAGGTAATCAAGCAAAACACTATGATATTTTTTAACACGAGGCATTCCTAGTTGTATGAGTACGTTTATTTAAGAAATCTATGCATTGAAGCTTCTATACGTAGCAACGATTCAGGACAAACAGTTATGACACCACATCGCACACAGTAAATTGATATTTATACAAGAATAATATAACAACAATAGCGACTACTGCGATGACAACAACAAAAATGTACGAGCTGTAGCAACAAAAGAAAAACAAGAAAAACGACAGCAACAACAAAAAGAAGGAAAACAAAAATAACAACAACAACATTAATGAAAAGAACAACAAAAAAAACTATTACAACAATTCCAACGACACACACAATTGGGGTGGTCAGCTAAATTGCTGAGAGAGAAGCATGAAGAGATTTTCTGGGGGTGCCGTCCCCGCAAATATCCGATTTCATCTTTTAAACATGCAAAACTCCTCTAAGATCAACATGTTCCTCTGCAAATACCAGATGTTTTTTCAATTCCTGTCGTTCAAACATGGTTTCTAAGTTTTCCCTCCATTGAATGCCTAGTCAATGACGCTTACACTCCAGTTTTACCCTCTAAATCACGTGGAAGTTGCTTTTCATGGGAGTCTCTATTAGATTGTGGAACACTTTGCTTAATGGCTTTGCGCTTTTGCCCGAAAAACGATTGCGATAGCAATTCCTTGGTTTTAGACCGGTTCGGTTTTTCTTGTTTCCTGAGTAACTATAGTGTGATTCATCACAACTATCCTTTATCCCACGAATACATCCCAAGGATTTCATGATTTTCCCCAACTTTTGCGGCTTATACATTTGGATGTTTGTAGGTATAAATCGTTCAGGCTGGTATGAAGTCCTGAAAAGGAACTGTTGGTGTTGATGTTGACTGACGTTCCGATGGTCGGATGAGCTTAAACACTCCCCCTCCTATTCTGAATTTTGCAGCTCTATAAAAAAGGTGGTAGAGTCTAAGCTCATCACACAAAATCTTGCCAAAAATTGCATGTACCTTGCAAATACCTTATATTTTTCCTTTTGAAGAAGTTTTTTTAATTCTTAAAAAAAATTGCTATCCAATAGATAACGCTATCCAGGCTTCGTGCAAGGAATACATAATGGAAATGTAAAAATTAATTTCATGTACGTCTTATCAAAATAGGTGGCATACACCACACATACTGGTCGAAGAACTGCCTGTTTCTCAAAAGAAAAACGAGCCAGATCAAGTAAGCTTGTGACTGCTGTAATTTACTGAACACACCTACACCATCAAAGGAACTTAATACGGTTAAAATATATGAATATTGGCAACCTATCCCCCATCCCCACCCCAATTATTGAGCTGGCTACGCCACTGGTTGTGATGCACGTTTTCAGAACCCAAAATTAAGCTGTATTGTTTCATAGGTGCTGTGTTTTTCAAATGCGACTGTTCATTCGTAATCACGTGACTAAAAACAAATGCAATGTTTCCCGCTGGAGAAACGAGTGCAAAATTGTTGCCCGCTCATTTTAATATCATATCAATAAAACAGCAATGGAGCCAAAAAGTGAGAAAAAAACATTTCTCGAGCTTACTAAGCGACGAAGCTAACTATGAATTGGAATTCAGAAGACACTCGAAATTCGACCAAAAATGCTGTGGTCATCCTTGTAACAATTTGAGTTTTGTCTCCTAGTTTTGTTTTTGAGACTCTTAGAAAACAAAACTCACTATTTCCTTCGAGAGAAAACATTAAGTGTATTAAGCATCGAATGCGTGTGTTAACAGGCTTTCGACGAAATGCTCATCATAAATTTAAGGTATATTTTACGTTTTAAATTCAGGTGACCTACGTGAATGAAAAGCTCGGGACATCGTCGCAGTCGGCCGATGATTTTGAGGAAATAGAGTTGAAAGACGACATCGGCAGTAAACCGGCAACATCGCAACCTTCCACGTCAGAAAAGACAAACTTGGGGAATTCCCAGTTAGACGGAAAACCTTTGACGAAAGCACCGTCAGATCAAGGCGAGACAAACGACAAGGAAGGAATGTCGGAAAACGAAATTGATGAAGAGAAAGAAAAAAGCCCTGAACAACAAAAACAAGAAAACGACACTGCTGGCAAAACTGAAGATGATGCCACAGAGAGCCCAAATGTCGATCAAGTTAAAGAAGACCTTTCTTCCAATCAAAAAGACGGAAATGGCAACGTTGCAACACCTATATTTGTGGTCATACAACCAAGTTTGGAGGACAAATCGGAGGCGCTATCGAAAGAGACTGGAGAGGACAAGAGCAAAGAAAATGAAGGATTTGAAGAAACTCCATGAAGACAACGACAGCATGCATGTTAATGTGAAATTTACAGAGTAAAGTGTAAAATTCGATATTTATTGTTCGGAATTCATCGAAACTCCACACGGAGGGCGATTCTCTTGATTACCTTTGATTAAAGCAAGTTTATAAGATGGGAAAGATGAGAAGAAAATGCGCGGAATTTCATCCAGGGCATGCGTTTCTTCTGATTTTAAAATTGAGATGAAAATATTCACAATGAAATTTTTTTTTGCCTATTTTGCAAGAAGCGGTAATTCGATATCGACACAATATTTGGCACTTTCACTATTATTCATATGAATAAACTAACGATTAATTAGTTGTGAGAAAGAAGGGAATGCAGAAAAGATTTAGGGATCTAGGGAAAGTCGAAATAATTTGCAACAGTTAATTCTTGTAGTCTGATATACAAGGTGTATCAATCAATCGTGAAATTTCAACGCCTGATAATCATGCTAATCCCATCGGTGCATTCCTCTTTACGTTTTGCTCTTATGTCGAATTACCTGGAGCAGAAAAGCTTTTGTGCTTGTGACAAATAAAGTATTATATTCACGTAGTTGACAAAATGCACCACCGTGGATTAGCATGGTGATAGGCATAGAAATTATCACGTTCTTTAATTTCTAAAGTTTTTCTTTCTTCATACACCATGTATGTTTCCATTTGAAATACCAGTATAGACGTTTATAAACGATAGCAACGTCGTGAAAGTATTTCGAATGAAAAATTGAGTAAAGCTATATACAGAATTTATTTCTAGTAGCGCTAGTGAATGTTTTTGTTTGTTTCTGAAACATCTCTTAAAGTATTAGAAAATCTGTAAATAGTTTTGCATTAATTGAATAAATATGCAGCCAGACAAACTTAGATTGACTGATTTTGAAGTAATTTACGTCACGTGCTTTCCGCGTCATAGATATGTTACACATCAATTGCTAACCCATACATAATACCTGATGCCAGCAAGACACTTTTGTTTGTCAATTCCACGTGGAAAACTTATTATTCGTAATTTCTCGTTGATATGTTTATAACTGTGTTTATCTCGCGGCTAAGGCTGACATCAAATTTCCCACATTGCGTTTGTACTTTTTATTGTCCACTTATTCCAATCAGGGATATTATTTAACAATGCATGACATGAGTTCATTTATGGTTAAGCCTAGGTTTTTAGAGTTCGGTATGCGCAAAAATGTAACCTGGTTGATTTGAATGTGGTTTAAACCCAGGTTAATCTATTCGTGTGAATTGGGTAAAATAAATTTTACACGGATAACAACACAGACTAATGAACAAGTACAATCATGTGGAACACAAACATACCGGATAAAAGAATTTAATATTGCGAATTAACAATAAACTGGCACTATTCACTGCTTTCGTTGAGCTAACTAAACAAATGCTTCCCTTGCAGTAAAATTAAACAGAGTTTCCACACAATCATGTTGACATGTTATGCAATTGCTAAATAATTCGAACTACTTTATGTCAAAATTTTTTTAATGGTTCTAATCAGATTTGATGTGTACGTGTACGAAACCCTATCGGATGTTCTTTTTAATATTATGGAAGTAATTATCTTCATAATATTGCCTTATGTTTTCTATCTAGCAGTACATCAGATTGTATTTTTATCTTATTTTCAATAATTCACCCGACAAATTCTCGTAGCTTGCCCGACTATACGAAATATTGGAGGGGGCATGGGTGTATCACCTCCCCATACCCCCACAAAGACATTTCGTCCCTGAACGGTCAGAATAATCTTGTTTAGAGGTGGGGTGATTTCAAATGCAATTTAGCCAAAAAGTGAAAGATGTTTTATTGTGTTTTTGCACAGGCTTATGAAAACTGTAGAGACCTTTGGGAGAACTCGAGAGCAGATCAGTGGAGCCTCCGAGACCAATGGTCAAATTTATTTGTTTCGCGTGATTGTTATTTTATAAAAGAAATAAAAGATGCTTTTTCGTGTTTGCATCATATGCAAACCTTGGAGACGTTTGAGAAACTCTTGAGCAGGTGCAACTAATCGAGGTTTGCACTGATCATCTCGATTTCTCCAATGATCTCCTCAGTTGACATAAGCTAGTGCAAACGCGGTAAACATTTTTTTCTTAAATATTGCATAAATATTTTTCATGAGCATATATTTCTTATTCTATCGAATAATCAATTTTCACTTTAGTACAAAACAATGAAAAATAAAATATAAAATAAATATTTATGCATGTATATAAAATATATCATTGCAATATAAATTTGAAGAATGAAACGTGGGACAGACACAACAACATCCTAAAATTCACCATATAAGATTTTCAAGGCTCTTTCTAACCATCGTTCTGAATTTCCACTTTTGCACTTGCGTTGTCAAGAGCTTCACTGGCATTCTTCCTGCTTTCCTGAAAAATATTGCTTCATAAAATAAAAATAATAACATGTAAACGCAAAAACTTTGTCATCACCAGGAAATGAAATGTACAACGAACGTGGTTGTTTAAAGTGCCACTAACACAATTTTTTTGAGCGATATCAAATCTATGCAGAGTTTCTAAAATCTTTGCGGAGACAGAATTTTAAGTTTTCATGGCAGTTTAAAGATGGCAAAATAGACCTTTCGGCTGTCTTACTTCCGTGAGAATATACTTGTAGGGGAATGAAACGAGTGTATTATGTGACGTCACACAGGGTATTCTCGCATTTGTGCCATACAAATCCTATAACATCAACATACAAAGCGTCTTTAAAATTACTTAGTAAAAAGTTAGGTGCGTAGCTGCTAATTGTACAAATAAGGCCAGTCTTAAAGATGGCATTAGCCTTCGCACTATTTCGTTTTTTAACGATGACCTGCCTGAATCCAAAAATCGAAGAAAATTTGGGTCGACTTTGTCAAGTCAAAACGGATATTTGAGCCTTCAAAATCATCTACGCTTTGCTTTGACCATTTCCAACCTGACGATTTCGAGAGAAGATTTTTTATTTTGCCAGGCCAAAGCATGCCAAATTATCAAAAATTAAAGACCGGCATATGCGCCAGCATTAGAATCATCAATATCGTCATGATAAACATTGCCATCGTTATTTATTCTCGCATCCTCGATAGTAACATACCACGGAATAAAATTTATATCCGAGTCATCAGACTAATAACAATCAGTTGTTGATTCACTGCTAGACATGATTATCGAGCAATATACAAATGCTACAGTGTCCAAATCGGTCGGAATTACCGCAAAGTCTCGACGTGTATGTAACATATGAAAGCATCAAAGCAAAATGCCCCTATATTGCGTGACGTCAAAACAAACGCTAGATCCAGACCTTTAATTATCACGGAACTGAGCCGTGAAAAGCTAACTTCACCACGTCATATAAAGTAGACGTTTTATCTAAATTAATTAATTTTTTTTAGCAAAACACTCTAAATAAACAAAATAGTCGATAGGAGAAATAAAAATATTGTGTTAGAGGCACTTTAAAACAAATTTCAACGCAGTGTTCCAGAAACAATTGACTAACGTAATGTGTGTCAACCAAAAATTAAGGAGCACCGCAACTACTAAGGGAGCTACTATCAAGAATTAAGGGCAAATGTATTTTGAATTTATATAAGAGAATAATCCTGAATTTTTAACATGTAACCACATGAACATAACTAAGGGATTAATCAGTTTGTAGAATTGTTAAAAATATGATGAAATACGATCAAAATGCAGCAATTTTTGTAAATGGCGACCGTACTATGGTATAGTCAAACTATGGAAAATGACCCAAAACTGCATGGAAATACCTAGAATCATATGAATTGTACTTCAGAAGTACAGTTGAATGAAATATTGTCATTTATGATCGCAAACTGATCAACCCTTGAAAATTACCGGCCTTTTTTACGAGTGATTCGGAGTGAAACCTGCATGCAAACTGTTGTTATACGACAGATCTTTCGATGGGTTGGTTTTGGTCCCTTAATAATGGCGGCGGTGGCTTCATATCTCGTTTACCACGAACGTAGAGTTTCCCGAATTGATCCCACGTGTCTTTCTGCGATGAAAAGATTTCAATCGAAGAACAAATCGAATTCATTGTTGATTTTTAGAAATTCGCTGCTGAAAGCGCGCAATCTTACAAAGATGGGTAAATTGTAACTGCTGACTGCAACGCAGTTTCAAATGTGTGCGTGTCTTATCTATGATTCAACTGCGACCCAGCATGACGACTACTTTTGTGGCTGAGAAAATAGCGGATTTTGTTAATGTTCGACGCCGTAAAATTTTTCGCAGTAGAATTTATTCATTAAATAGTCAAGACATGCGCTTATTACCACTGTAAAACATTGCTTTTAAGTAATTTAAACAACTTCTGATTCAAAAGACTTCCTTGTCAAAGCGAGGAAGACCAATTGTAAGTGGATTAACTTATTCAGGAAAATTACACGACGTTCCAGCTATTCAGTGAGCCGCGGGCTCAGGAAGTCAAGATATAAACATAATTCACAACAGACACACATTCTTTCAACGTCAGAGCCAACATGTCATTCTGTACCTACAAATTCCTAGAGGGTGTGTGCAGGAGGGGGGGAGTTGGTAACCACTAAGGGTTCAGACAAGGTGAAATGGTTCGCTCACTGAAGGAAGACCCTGTTAAGAACATACTATAGAAAAAGAAACATTCGCAATGTACTCTCTGATATTAAAACGCTGGACAGAAAAATCAGTGGCTCTTATTTTTACCGCTGGAGCGCCCAGATGTGGTGTTACGTCATTGATCACGTATATTCAAAATTAAAGCTTAAAATCAAAGCAATTCTTTTCAGTATAAGGATTCAGCCGTCACGTTAGCCGACGAAAGCAATCACGGGACTTAAGACCTTTTTATTGAAAACCAAACGATCGTATATGAGCCGATGATAACATGTAGTCATTGTTCAACAACGGTATTGTAAATCTCGTGGAAGGACACTGAGTGTTTTAAACCAAAATCATAAAACATGACATACTACTTACTTTTTGAACAATAGCTCGCTTAGATTTTCCTTTTTTAGGCACGACTATCTTCGTGATTTTTGGGCGCGATTTCTCGACAGCAACAACTCTAAGAAAACAACTAAATTAATGGCGGCAAATTTAAGTATGGAGAACTGTTCGAAAAAAGAGGTGCAAATAAACAATCTGCTTAAAAAAGCCAGTACGAATTTATTTAATTAATAAGATTTCACAATGTCGAAACGCAACGGGGATCGGAAAAGATCGACAAAGCCCAGAAAGAGGTTAAATTGGTTTGTACACAAATAAAGTTCGGTACAAGATGATCATATTTTTAGCAAAGAAAGCTCTAATGGACGAGGGAAACTAGTTTAGAGGGGCCAGTCACAGAATAAAAAAATATACAGAAGGGCCACAGTGTTAAAATGTTTTGTGCCACGCATTACTAATTACGCACATAACGACAGCCAGTCAATTGTCTTTCTGACCAATAGGAATGATGAAATGGCAAACCGCTGTCAGTAATGGAACTAAATGTAAAGCACAGAGTCGTACATTGAAGTGGACCTTGTTGTATAATCCTTATGCAGTGCCCCAGTCAAGTGATGTTTTCGACAAACTGCTTGGTTCAAAAATCATGAACGAAACATTATTAACCGCAAAGGGAACATAGGGAACATAAAAAGCAAATATCATACCCTAAGCATTCCATTTTTTTTGCATCGATCGTAGATTTTCTGACGTCTACAAAAAATTCATGATATGCTTTAATGAAAGAATATGCATTTTAAAGTGGCCCGTTATGACTGCGTTGGACGATCCACATCTAGCTACAAACATGTAACGATAAGTTAAAAGAAATTTTTAAAAACCAATCTTAGTAACAGTACAATTGTGGCAGAGTCAGGTATCTAGTAGACTGGATTCTGGGTAACAGCCTGTGGGCCGTAATACAAACTGGAGCACTAACTCTAAAACTAGTTCTTTGCGCAATCTTGAAGCCAGTTAGTTATGATGTATTTATACGAGCGTTTTTAGGTTTATTACCAAATATTTTGTGGTAAAGCTTTTCAGGGGCAAATTGTGCTTCTGTATTTTATTTATATCGTCGTCAATTTTCTAACATAATACCACGAAACTTCAAAAAACCCAGAAAAACAATCATCAGTTTTGGCTTCAAATATGGCGACGTTTAAAGCTCTCCAGTTAATAGTATAGTTCAGTGTTCATTGCAGTAAACTGACAAGGAGCAACAGGAAAGCACTACACATGCGCAAGTTGGTTGGATGGCAATGAATACATGATAAAAGCAAACATGAATACATTGTCTCAATCTTCACAATAAAAATAAGGAAGTGGAATCTAACCAAGATTTTTTAAAACGACCAAATTCTTATTATCAGCATGCCGTCGTTCAAACTTTCTGACTTCGATTGAATCCACTTCGTTCCATTTCTCTGGAAGTCTAAAGTCGAGCATTGACTCCCGTAGTTTTGTCACAACTGAATTCCGCAGCTCAACACAAGTTGAACGTCCTGTCCTTTCCCTACGAATATAAAACGATATTGCACAAGGTGCGTTAAAAACTGAACAGTTATAGAAACCGTTCTTAAAAAGATCAGCACTCAGGTTTGCAAAACCTTCGGTGGAATAGATATAGTTAGACTTCAAATTTTCTTTTATCCGACAATGAAATTTTTGCAAATACTAGCCATTTTCTGAGTGAGAATGGTGTTAACGAGAAGCACTTTTGAAATAGCTTGCGAACGAAAATGACAAAGGTAAAATGAAATACATTTGACACATAGGGTTAAATTACGACACATGTTGTTCAAGCTAACATAATTTTAGGAAATTTGCCTTATGTGTGCGTAAACGCATACCTTTCAAATTGCAAATAATTTTGGATTTTTCGTTTTTAAATGACACTTATTTATAATAATCATCAATTATACATAAACGTGAGCGTAAATTAAGGCAAATATGAGCAATTGAAGAAGGTTTCAAAAAAGCAAATAAAAAGGAAAATCACAAAATAATCCGCGTTGCTTGAATAACATCTGCTATATTTTAACCCTGTACGTTCCAACTGCTCTGTACCTTTGTCATTTTGTGCGCGATCTATTTCAAAAGAGCTTCTCGGCAACACTATTCTCACTCTGAAAATGGTTATTATTTGCAAAAAATTTACTGTCAGATAGGCCATTGGAAGTCCAACTACCTATTCCATCAAAGGTTTTTGCAGATCTTTCGTGCTGATTATTTTATAGAAACGTTTTCCTGTTTGTTCAGTTTGTTTTTGATACACCATGTCTAGGTAAAAACGAGGTAAAACAAATGATACACACAAATGATACACACAATGCTAGGTAAAAACGAGGATAATAAATGATACACACAAATGATACACACAATGCTAGGTAAAAACGAGGTAAAACAAATGATACACACAAATGATACACACAATGCTAGGTAAAAACGAGGTAAAACAAATGATACACACAAATGATACACACAATGCTAGGTAAAACGAGGTAAAACAAATGATACACACAAATGACACACACAATGCTAGGTAAAACGAGGGATAACAAATGATACACACAAATGATACACACAATGCTAGGTAAAAACGAGGATAACAAATGATACACACAAATGATACACACAATGCTAGGTAAAAACGAGGTAAAACAAATGATACACACAAATGATACACACAATGCTAGGTAAAAACGAGGATAACAAATTGCTAAGAAGATAAGATATCAAAACGCTTTGGATGAAAGCACAATCATTGAGTATGTTGAAATTTCGACATCAAATCTAAGCTGATCATACTCTAGTGTGGAATACATATGGACGGAAGTTTACAGCATCAGTATAGGGAGAATATACAGTAGGTCCACTTCGTCTGCAACTGGCTACCGTATATTTAATCAGGCAACTGCCTACCGTTAGCATTTCATCACTAATTCCTATTGGTCAAAAAAAGCAATTGACTGGCTGCCACAATGGTAATCACATGCGTAATAAAATATTTGTGGCCAGGAAAAAATTCATCGGAGTAGCTCTACTGTATATTCACTATACTGTGATAAGTACTTAGGTTCCAACATCAGATCATTTATGATGAAGACCATATTCACAATGAGAGAGTGTCTGGAAACATTGAATTTGAATTGTTCTCATTGTCAATGTGGAGTCCAGTACAACGTGTTGCAAAGCCAGCCAGTTTTTAAATACAACAATGTAAATATTCTTATGTTTAATCATTGGAAACACGATGAGTGGAATGAATTTTTCAAAGAGATGAATTATAATTCTGGTGATAAATTGCACTGTCGGAGTTAATGGTCGGTCTGGCTTCGCTACTGCTTAATTCTTGGTTTATGTAGAAATGTGCACTTTCATTGCCGAGTTCCTCTTGTTTTGTGGATTAAACATTCATTGATTGCAGGAATATGCCAATAGTTCAAGTCAAAGTTGGTAATCTGGCAAACTTCAACGCTGTTCTGAACAGAATATTTGTAATTTTCATTTAATTTTAACTATCTTTGTTTTGTTATCAACAGTTCTTTTAGGAAATACTCAATTTTCATTCACCATGACAAATATACGCTATTCAGAGCAAAATTTCTACATGAACAAAAACACAACATAAATAATAATGAGAAATATTCAAATTCAAGTTTCAAGACACTCTTTTCCAGTGACAAAGTAAAGAAAGAAGACTGGAGTACGTATGGGTTGAGGTACACTAGACTGGAGTACACAAAAACTCAATTTTCAACATTAGATCACTCGTGATGAACACACTAGACTGTAGTAAAACGAACTCAAGTTTCAACTTCAGATCACTAGTGATGAAGACACTAAACTGTATAGTATATAACGACTTAATATAACTAATTCAACAGTATTGCACACTTTTTACTCACTTCTCGTTTGCACAGGAATATTGCCACTTTTCTGATTTGCTGTTGTTGATCGTAAATAATGGCGTCTATAAGTTAGAAGGTTTTTATTAAAAACCACTTTCTGTGTACTCATAATTTGCACGAAGATCACAAAAGATTGCTGCATACTGTTTTCGCCACGTCAAGCCGCTTTCTTCCGAAGCCTTTCATCTTCTATAAAATTAAAATACAATCAGGCAACAATCGTAAAGTAGTTTATCTACACTCATAAACTAACTTAACACGAATTTATCAACTAGCTAACTTATGCAGTTAAAAGCTTGATTTCAAGACCAACCAACACAAAAACTGATCGAAAAGTTTGCCATAGTGTACAAACAGTTTTTACCATGAATAAGAAGTAGTTCCGCCCAGACACATTTTGGGGGTATGTTTTGTCGTGCGTTACTAAAGAACGTTGTTATGCACGTTAGTGAATGGTGGATACGTTAGTAAACACAGTGGTGGGTACGTGGGTGGATACGTTGGTGAACACATTGGTGGCTACGTAGGTAAGTACGTTTGCGGATACGATGGTAGGTACATTGGTGGATACGTTGGTAAGCACATTGGTGGGTACGTGTGTAAGCAGGTTGATGGGTAAGTCAGTACGTAAGTTGGTAAGTTCGTCAGTGGGTAAGTTGGTAAGTACAACAGTAGGTACATATCGTAACTAATTTAACCTCAACCCTAACCACAGCCCTTCCACAATTGGCGTTCTAGTTTCGGCACTGAATGGATAAGCTGGTAACGATATTTTACAAAATTTTCTAGATCGACAGACCTGTGGGCTTTTCGATTGACCACTGGCAACAGAAGTCTTTGCTTTCTTTTCCGACGGGCATCGGTAATACGGCGATGTTTTTTTGCAAGAAACGTCTTTGGTCAAAGAAAAATTGTTCAATTAGTTATTCAGATCAACGACGCACAAGAATTCAATGGTCATGACGTAAACTAATGATACACAATTCTCAGGCATGTCATGCAGAATACATCAAACACAGACTTTGCACGATAAAAAACTTAGCCCACAAAATGTACCTTGCGATCCACCTACATCGCTTTGAATCCTCTGTCCCGCTGCATTACTAGACAAGCTATCAATGCCAGACGTGGGCAAGTGAGTCAAATTACTGCTGTTGACACTAAAAGGGACAATATAAAAATATACGATTATGGTTTAGTAAAGTAGAGATGATTAAAGGATAAATGAGATAGTTGTAGATAATTTTTCCACATAAAAAAGTGGAAGTGACGATAGCAAGGGGCAGTGGAAGTACCTAGAACAATGACCAAGAACCTAATCTCCTGGATAACCGACTCCACCAAAATTCTATAGTTACAAGCATATAGTTACGAGTGAGGAAAGCCGCCATCTTGAAATGTGGCAAAACTGACGATATTTACGTTTAATAACTACTTTTCCTGAGTTATACACAGTTGCAAAGTTGATAATCTAAGTTCTATTTTTAAAATGACTGATGAGATTGGTGATTTAAGCTTTCTTTTAAATTAATTTCCATTTTGTGTTTTGCTTTTTGCCACATTTCAAGATGGCGTTCTAGCCTCATACGGTAGTTAGACATCTCGAATATTGGGTTCGAAATCATTGACCTAGACAGAGTGTTAGATAAAATACGAATTTTTGAGCTTCACGTTCAGCTGATTCAATGATTTGTAAGCAAATAGCCCTCGGCTAATCCGTAACAATTCCAATGATTAATTTTTAACAAAAAAACCTGATTGGCTGCAACGTTTGCATCGGGCGTGTCACGTTTGTCATCGAGAATTGTGACCAAATACTTAATGTAAGTAAATCAAATACACAACTTCGTGTGATCGACTTCGAAAGTAAATACTGTGTAGACAATGCACTCTTTTCTTCCCAGAATACAACCTGGTCGTTTTGGCCTGGAATCGCATTCCTTTTTTCGTTGATAATGTAGCATTTCTATTTGATTTGATATAACGACGAACCCAATCCTTGACGCCTTCCAAACAGCTATATTCGGACAATGGTAACCTCGACCACGGATTCGCGTTCAGAATGTCCAACGCTGAAACAGCTAAGGCGCGGCCAACCTTTTGGAAAGAATATGAATGCGTTTGACATTAAAGGTGTATAAAAAAGAAACTAAACATTTGGGAGAACGTCTCTAAAGACATATAAAGTCGGAGAGTATTTATCAAGACTGTAATCTTGGAATGCCACTTGCATGAAGAGTGACAGGCGTTATACGACACAGGCCAAAAGCTTAAGGCCACCTTCAGCAATTAAAAGAAATAACAACAATAAACGAACATTTGTGTTTACAAAAAACACGCAATAATAACCACATATGATTGTGAATACAATATTCGAGATAATTTCACACTTATATATGTGTGCAAGCTACGTAATGGCCGCCATGTTGGATGACTTTAACAAAGGATTTTCCTTATTTACAATGTAAATGTCATCCAACATGGCGAACATTCCGTTGTTCTCTAACTCTAAGGGAATAGTTGCACACCATCTACACGCGGTAAATGTTTAATTCAACAAAGTTTCATTAACATTACGCTTTGACAAAAAACATCTTTTTGCTTTAACAACTTCTGCGCACGATTCTACTATTCGGTGTAAAGGTTTATGAAATATTGTGCTCTGCAGGTTCTGCCATTACTTCTTCAAGTATCGTGGCAGTTCAGTTTTATTTAAAGGTAAAAAAGCTCTCACATTTCGGTTTAATTTAGTCGATACCAACTCATTGAGAAACAGAACAGGCGACTGTTGAAGTCATTCGATCCTCGTGAAACCAATAGCACTTGCACCGATTAATATACAATAAAGTTGTTTTTTGCTTTCTTAAATTATACCTTACCGCGTGTCTATTACTTATTTCTTTGCGTTTTATAACCATTCTCAAGATGGTTCTTAAACTTTAGGCAAGTATCGTATCAAGTCTCGAATTTGAAAATAAGATTGCTTTCTTTTCGAATAATCATGCCATTATCGAAAGCGAGCAACATGCTTTCTTAGCGAGTGCCTAGCTCGTATCGAGCATTTTCATACTGGTAAACTAATACTGACCTCTTCGTATATTTCAGGGGTGTAACGCGGAGGAAATCCCGGGGGAGGCGGAGGGGTGGCGCGTCCATTGTCACGTGTAGCAGGTGGAACAACATTTGTGCTTCGCCCGCTGTTGTAGTTGCATTCTAACGTGTAACTGAAATCGACACATAAATGAAAAGAAAATGAAGAAAGCGTACGAGTTTTGTTGGATTATATGTAATTTCATTGCATTGGTAAACTTTCTCTTCTATTGTTTTATTATTCTTGCTGCTGGCAAAAGAAGTGTTGCGAAATAAACGAGCTTAATTTTGTGAATGGTCTCGGCACTAAAGTATGGCTACATGTCTGTCGATGAAGATCGTCCAGGTTAGTAAAGTCTTGAGAAGAACAGTCGTCGTTTATGTTGAATGACGTTTTGATATCCTTAGCGGAAATCATCTACAGAGTCAAGTGATCTACATCTATAAACATGTCATCATACTGGCGAGCTTAACCCATTCACTTTAAATTTCACTTCATTAGCATTATTTTTGACAGAACGCTATCGCGAGTGAGTTTATCATAGCAGGCTACGTCTCTGTTGATGCTTCGCCAAAACAGTGGAGGAGCTAGAGTAAATTAGAATACATTATAGTGACTTAATTTAAATTCAAAAGACCGTGGGTATAAGCTATTATAGCAATAAGTCTGTTGGTTAAAATCTTTCAAAGAATATTTTGAAGCCAAAGGGACTGTTTATAAAGTATTTTGATGAATAATCATATCATTTTTTTGATGTATTCTGACTCACCCTAGATCCGCTACTGACCACAAAATCTTTGTTTTACAATTCCTCGATGTTCCAAACTCGTTTTCAGGCATTATAACGACCGACAAAAAGCTTGTTTTTTGCTTTCTTTTAAACCGCAGGATTTGTAAAGGTTTTTCTATATTTTCAAATCGCCAGTTAAAAAGATGTAATAGAAAAAGAGAAGGAGCGTGCGCATCGAAAAAGCGACAACTTTGACACAAGTTGCGGATTTCGACAACTCTATACAGACTCATCAAGCAGACGTTACAAAAGCATCTGGACATCGGTTGGTCATGGAAAGTTCCATAAGGCGTGCATGCAGCATAGATCCTACACCTGATGCATTTCTGACTAGGTACACAGTCTCAAACCTTTCACGTCATTTAGCAAAGCCAGCCTGCAAGGTTAGGCCTGCTATGTAACTTAAGAACATTATCCATATTCATTTTTAAAGAGAACACAGAAAAATTGCTTCGTACGTCATATCCGGCGCTAAGTCTCCTACTTCTAGACCCCCAAACCCCAATGAAGATGAAATTTTCGACCTATCACATACATTGCAAATGTTTTTAAAATCGATTTAATTATCCAATGAAGCACTTTCTCTCGCCTGTTACAGGCACTTTCAAACAAATGTTAAAACGTTAAAGACAGAAATTTATCACACTGCTTTATGATTACATTGCAAAAGAACGTTAAAAAAATGACTTCTTGCTAAAATTTTGATCGTTTAATTTCTACTAGAAATATTGAGCTTTGCTTATTGTCACTATGACACCATATCGGTCAATGCCGCTTTTTAATTCGGCCATCCAAAACGGAAATTCAAATTGCAGTCGTGATAATTCTGAAAACAAAGACGATTTTTTGCCTAAATTGACTTGGAGTGCATTTCACACTGAGTAAATGCGAACTTAAATCAATATTCGTGATTTTTCTTTCTAATCTTTTAGTGTTTTTGACTTTGTCCTTTAGTAAATCTTATGGTTTGGTTCACTTTGCAGAATTTCACTTTCATATTTCCGCGTTTACCTTAACTCACCCTTAATTCCCGCGTTTTGGATCAGGCCAGAGCCCAACATCATAAGAAAGAGTTGGGACACCGGATATAAATTTGCCTTGCTTCCGCCATTCTTTTCCAAAAGCTAGAAAATATAGAGCATTAAAGGGGGAAAAGACAAATTTTCTGCTGTGTTTTCTTATTCATGAATAGATAGCGATCGATATTTTTGAAACTCAGTTGTTTCTAGATGCGATGATAATAGAAAAGCATTTATTTAATGCAGTGGATGTAATTTATTCTTCTAACTTATACTGTTCTTGCCACAAGGGAGCGCGTAAATTTCTATTCTTCATCGTTTTGATTAGCACTATTAAAACGCATCATAAAATCATTTTAAACATTTTTTTTAAATTCATCACCTGTGGAAAAAATAGCTATAACCTGCGATTTAGAAACAAAAATGGCGGCTAGATACCCATGTGACAATATTTACCCACACTTTGGTCATAATGCGCAATGCGGAGAACAAGACGTATCCCAACTCTTATAAATACAGGGCTCTGGATCAGGCCATCCAAAACGGAAACCGTTTAGTAATTGTTTAATCCCAAATGCTCGAGATATGACTCACCAGTGACAAAGCCCCGTCATCTTGTGAATGGCAACACGACCGCTGCCTTCTTTCGACATTCCGTCGCGTCTGTCGCGACTATACATGTTCTTCTCACTAAAATTGCACGCGGTAAAGTCGAAATGACTAGAGTTAATAGAGATGAGCTTGGGGAACAACAAGCATTGTTCATATTGCTCTTCGTCTGCTATGTAATTCCCGTAAATAAAACAACCTTTCTTTGAAGCGTGTCCATGTAAATCAACGTAGAAAGCCAACTCGGTGTCCGCGGAGCCATCTGTAAAAAGACTATCTTGACTGTGCTTCGTTGGACTTAAATTACCAAACTCTGAAGAATTTGAAACTGATTGGCCAATCATTTTCACTCCTGTCGGTGAACTCGGTGGTACTGAAGGATTGCTAAGCATTTCATTGCTATCGTCACCACTGTTCATTGTATCGACAGCACCGCAGTTCAAATCATCGACAATGTTGCTTTGTTTAGGAAAACTAGAATTTTCGGATGATTCTGCAACTTTAGAATATTCATTGCTCACATCATTACATGTTAGTACAAAAGATTTAGCGTTTGTTTCACAAGTTGCAGAAACTTTCGATTGGTGGTCATTTAAACTTGCCTCGACAGCAGCCTTTAACACCGAGGAATTAAAATTACCTTCCGAACTAGACGAATTTTTCATTGAATCCTTCGAGTCTTGTTCAATAGCTTTGTCCAAAGTGGAATTGTAATCTTCATTATTTTCGATTCTCTCAACATTGCGAAGGTTTTCTTTAACGCTCGAGCCGACTGTAGCAACATTTTGAGATGAAACGGTGTTTTCAAGCAATTCTTGTTTCGATATGTCGATGTTTAAACGTTTCTGATCACTGTGTGCATCGCACAGATTAACTGAAACGTTTTCCGGTGGATTGTGACCGATTCTGCTTTTTATACTTTCTGAAAAATTGGTATTGTCATCCACCTTGTCTTTAGTTTTCTTAACTTTCTTTTCTTCAAATACTTGACTGGTCACAGCAATATCTTTCTCAATAAAGTCGTGTGAATTTGAGTTTGCGTTGTGAACGCTCTTCTCAAAATCTTTAGAATTCTGCAAAACTAACATATTGGACGAACAGCTTTTCACCAAAGAATTTTCACTTTTGTCACTCTCAGAGGCTTCTTCGGTCCTCGCAATATCAAAATCCTTAAGCTGCATATTATCACAAACGTTGACCAATGAAAGGGCGCCGTTATAATGATATGCAACCAGACTTTTGGCGGCAAAAATTGTAGGATGCAGTTTTGGATTCGGATCAAGATATACACGATTAAGATTAACTCCCATCTGATCCGTTCTATAATGTCCACGTTTTACACCATCCGGATTCAACAACGGAATGAGTTTAAAGACAAATCTATCCCTCAAAGCAGCCGCTCTTAAATCATCCTGGCGAGTAATGAAGTCCAGAAATCCCTTGAAAACGTAGCTGGACGGTGTCTCGCCGGGGTGTACACGACTTGTTAATATAAAGACCTAGGAATAGATAGCTAATCAGACAGATGAATTTCACACAAGTTTTGTGAAAGAGAGTGATTGAAAGCAAATTTTTCAGTCCAGTCAAGTTGACATGAAAAAGCTCTTTGTAAAGACTCAATTGTTTGTTTCCTAAATTATACCATATCACGAGCTGCCTCAATAAATATATATAGTAGTAATTTGTACACAATGCACAATCCATAACAACAAAAGAAAAACAAATTTTATTGTTGTGCCAGGATGATGCAACCACGATTGTGATTGGCTAAGAGCCTACAAATAATTCTCAATGTCTTGCGACCTACAAAACATTGAAAATTATCTGTCGGTGACGTTATTTTTAATGTGGTACAAAAAAGCAATATGGCGGAATCGTGCTAGGTATTTAAAAGCGTTTCACCCAGTGGTTTCACCAGGGATTTCGTTCCCATGTTTAAGAATAAGCAAGCAAAAATACGAAAATAGCTACACTGACAGTTAGGATAGTTTTCAACGAGTTTGTTACGGGGACAAGATGAAACAGAAAAGCAAAAATTATTTTAAATCGGAGCACGGACAATTTTTTGACTTCAATAAAAAAATCGTTCGAAAGCTTCTACATTTATAATTGTACAATAACAATCATCGTCTTCGACTTCGGCCTCATCTTCAACTTCGATCTGAATGATTCTTGACATCGTGCCCAGCCTCGTTCGATAACTTTTCTATATCACCATTTGCTCATCATTAGAGTACATTGGACATGCTTTGACTTACCAATAGCGCTGTAGAAGATTTATTAACACGAAGGAACAATCAATAACATGAGTCGACAATCAATAACTTTTATATTTATGACGCATAACAATCGGGAATAATCATGTAGCATTAACTTACATTAAATAAAATCAAAGGAAGGATAATTAAAATAAAACAGACATTCAAAAAAACTTAAACATACTTTGTATGACATAGAAGTGTGATATTGCAATTAAATAAATGTTATTGATGGTCGACTAGTGCTCTTGATTGTTCCTTCGTGTTAATGAATATTCTAAAGCGCTATTGATAAGTCAAAACGTATAATTGAACGTGCAATGTACTCTAACGATGAGCAAATGGCGCGCATCTAACAAGGAACAACTAACAGTACTGAGCACGTCAGCAATTACTAACACGACATGAACATCTTTTACATGTTTTTCAAACTTCGAACTTACTAACACATAGCTATAAAATGTGGAAGAGAATAAAACTGGCACAAATCACCCCGATTTATGGTATACCTATCTGTTACTTTATACCTTCTTTCCTTTGAATTGATTGGCTCGCCTTGTAGCGAGATCGGGAAACAGTCCAGCTAACCTTGGTTCTAAATCTTCAAGAATCCCCTTGCGAGAGCTAACTGTGAGGAGATCCACTCTAAGACCGTCGATTGAGTTACAAATCAACTCTCTGTGATAGTAAATCGTGGAGGTTTGCACGGCGTCCTTTTGAGTTTCATATTGATGAGAAAACGTCTTGTCGAACTCATCGAGATATAATTGCACATCTTCGTAAGAGTAAGGATAACAGAAGGCAAAGTAACATACCGAAAATTTTTGATCAGGGAAACGGAACGCGAAAGACAATTGAAATTGATCATCAACGATCTATACAGAAAAAGGAATCTATTGTTTAACAAGTATTTAAAACACAAAATAGACAACTGGTCAAGTTGTTAAAGATAAAGAAACTTGACGCAATATGGATTAAGTAAAATGATGTTAAAAAAGGCGTTTGTTCATTTAGTTTTTGTAAAGTTAAAAAACTGAATTCAAATAAAACGAATTTACATTAATGCATCAGTAACGTTGTTGTCACTAATAGAGATGCATCGGTAACGTTGTTGTCATTACATGTTTGTAGATGTAGATCGTCCAGGTTAGTAGAGCCCTGAGAAGGTCAGTTGGTGTTGTTGTTGATTGACGCTTCCACAACCTTAGCGGTAGTCATCTACAGAATCAAACGAGGAGTAAACGTCAGGTTAGCCGTATTTGTTATCTGGTTCTTGCGTCATTGTATTGTGTGTACAGGAAATGTGTGGGTGTCAATTGTCTATTGTCATCGTGGATTAGTGTAAAGTGTTATGTTTTTAGTTGCTCGTTTGTTTGTATAGTAAATAAATCGTTTGTAAGGTGCCGGTAATTGCTGTGATCCGTTCAAGCCGTTGTCTATAGTCAGTACTGTAAGTAATGCATTTTGCCGAGTCCCAGTCAATGTTGTGTTTTGTCAGTTGGTAATGTTCGGCAATGTGATTGTGCTTCTCGTAACGTTGTGATTAGTTTATGTGCGACACGTATGTTGTATGGTCGTAAGATACGCGAGATAGTCTCAGACGTACCTTTGATGTAAGGTATCGTTGCTGTTGTCGTTGAGTTGTTAGTTTCGTTGGGTTCGTTGGGTTTGTAAGTGTTTAATAAGTTTTGTGTGTTTGTAAGATGTGTTTGTAAGATGTGTTTGTAAGCGTTTGAAGAAGTCAGAGTTATAGTTGTTTTTGTCAAAAACACGTTTAAGATAGTTGTTTTCGTTGTGTAGAGCGTCCGGTGAATCACATATGTTTTGTGCACGTCTTGTTAATGTTCTGATTGTGGTGGCTTTGTGTGATGTAGGGTTATAAGATGACTGGTCTAGTAGTCGGTCAGCATGTGTTGTCTTGCGATAAACTGTTGCTCGTAGTTTTTGATTGTCATGTTTTACCAAACAGTCGAGAAAAGGAAGAGTTCCGTTTTCTTCGACATCTTTGGTAAATTGTATGTGGCTGTTCTGTTTGTTGATGTGAGTGTGAAAGTCATCAATCTCGTCTGCATGTAGTGCTGTGATTGTGTCATCTACGTAGCGAAACCAAAAAGGTAGTGCATGTTTGTAAATCGTGAGCGACCGTTCCTTTATAGATTGCATTACAATTTCAGCAACTACAACAGAAACGGGTGAGACCATTGCTGTTCCATGTAATTGTTTGTAGTGTGTACCTTTCTACTGGAAGTAAGCCGAGGTGAGGCAGAGCTCCAGTAGCTCCATAATGTCTTCTGTCGGTAATGGCAGTACGTCCGTGGTGTTTGTAATGAGGGTTTTTGTACAAGTAAGTGCCAGATTAAGTGGAATACTGGTGAACAGTGAATAGTTCTCGTGTATTTGTATAGTGTTCAGTTTTTTAATGAAGGTTTCAGTGGATTGTAGCTTGTGTTTTGATTTGCTTGTAAGTGGTTGCATTATGTCAGTCAAGTACTTTGAGAGTTCGTAAGTAGGCGAACCACAGAATGTACAATTGCTCGCCTGGGTATTTGTGGTTTGTGAAGTTTTGGTAGTCCGTATAGTATGGGTGGTCGTTGTACTGAACATCTGAGTCGATAATAAATACTTTCATATATAATGTTAGACTTTCTCAAAGAAAAGATCTTGCGTACTAGTGATGGTGTTGTACTTGTTAAGTTTGCGTACTAGTGATGGTGTTGGGTCTCGTTTGAGTTGTTCGTACGTTTGTCTGTCGTTAACAAGGGTGTCCATTTTGTCGAAGTAATCAGTCCTGTTCATTAGCACAGTCACGCGTCTTTTTTAGTGCGTTTTAAACGTTTATATTTTTGTTGTTGTCTCATTTGGCGTTGTGTCTCGGTCTTGTTTACTCGTTTGCTTGCAGCGGTGGTTGAACCAGAGTTGTTGGCGTATGCGTCTGACGTTGCTTGCAAAACGTATGTAGTCGTTAGCAAGTTGTTCGCTCTGTCGTCCAAATGATCGTAATAAAGTAAATGGTTTCAGCGCGAGTATCGTTACATGTTTGTGGATGGAGATCGTCCAGGTTAGTAGAATCCTGAGAAGGATTGTCATTAATAGAGATGCATCAGTAACGTTGTTGTCATTAATAAAGATGCATCAGTAACGTTGTTGTCATTAATAAAGATGCATCAGTAACGTTGTTGTCATTAATAAAGATGCATCAGCAACGTTGTTGTCAATAATAGAGAGCTTTAACAAGAGTACGACTACGAAAACAAGTACGAAGTTTGACCGTGTAAAGGGAATGGGGCGAGGAAGTTTGTTGTCGTGGTCGCGTTGTCAAATTTTGCTTTAGCTGTACACAACAGAACGAGCTTTTTATTGTGAAAAACACAGAAGTTTGCGAAGCAGCTACGCCTCCATTTGTCACTAATGATATCAATGAATCGGTAATACTGATTTTGCGAGAATATAGGACTCTTTAGACTGAAAAATCTTCACTATTTTAAATTTTATGCACGATATATTTGTACTATTTTATTGTTTGTTTACCATTCACTTTGCGTACGGCATACATGGAAGTTTTGTAGGTTATATTTTCGTTTTAAATGTACATCTGAGCTCAAAAATAGTTCTGAAAGAAAGCCTGGATGATCGAAAATAGTACTGTAAACTAATTTCTTACACAATGAAGAAATATACCTACTTTCTTTGCTTAAAAAGACATCGTAGTCGCGACTACGAATTTTTACAAAACATCGTACTCAGATTGATGACGGCTACGTGTTTTTGTTGTTGCAACAATGTTTTCGCGCCAAAATGACGTAAATCGTACTCGTAGTCGTACTCGTATTCTTTGCTAAAGCTCCCTAAAAAGATACATCAGTAACGTTGTTGTCAATAATGAAGATGCATCAGCAACGTTGTTATCAATAATAAAGATGCATCAGTAACGTTGTTGTTAATAATAAAGATGCATCAGTAACGTTTCTATCAATAATCAATAATAGGGAGTTTTAGCAAGAGTACGACTACGAGAACGAGTACGAAATTTGACCGTGTAAGGGAATGGCACGAGGAAGTTTGTTGTCGTTGTCGCTTCGTCAAAATTTTGCTTTAGTTGTAAACAACTGAACGAGCCTTTTTATTGTGTAAAAAACCGACGTTTGCGAAGCAGCTACGGCTCTATTTGTCAATAATGATATCAAAGAATCGATAATACTGGTTTTGCGAGAATATAGGACTCTTTAGACTGAAAAATCTTCACTATTTTAAGTTTTATGTACGATATATTTGTACTATTTTATTGTTTGTTTACCTTTCACTTTGCGCGAAATTGTAGAAGTTTTGCAGGTCATATTTTCCTTTTGTACATCTGCGCTCAAAAGGGTTCTACATTAAACCTGGATGCTCGAAAATAGTACTGTAAACTAATTTCTTACAGAATGAAGAAATATACTACTCAGCAAAAAGAATCGTAGTCGCGACTACGAATTAAAAACATCGTACTCAGATTGATGACGGCTACGTGTTTTTGTTGTCGCAACAATGTTTTCGCGCCAAAATGACGTAAATCGTTTTCGTAGGCTCTGCTAAAACTCTAATAAAGATGCATCGTTGTCAATAATAAAAGTGCATCAGTAACGTTGTTGTCAATAATAAAGATATGTAGTAACGTTGTTGTCAATAATAAAGATGCATCAGTAACGTTGTTGTCAATAATAACGATGCAGTAGTAATGTTTCATTAACAAGATGCATCAGAAACATGGTTGTCATTAATAAAGATATATCAGTAACATGGTTGTCATTAATAAAGATACATCAGTAACATGGTTGTCATTAATAAAGATATGTTATGGTTGTCAAGACATCATTGGTAAGATACATCAGTAACATGGTTGTCATGAACAAAAATACATCAGTAACATGGTTGTCATTAATAAAGATACATCAGTAACATGGTTGTCATGAACAAAAATACATCAGTAACATGGTTGTCATGAACAAAAATACATCAGTAACATGGTTGTCATGAACAAAAATACATCAGTAACATGGTTGTCATGAACAAAAAATACATCAGTAACATGGTTGTCATGAACAAAAATACATCAGTAACATGGCTGTCATGAACAAAAATACATCAGTAACATGGTTGTTATTACGAACCAACAAGAACTAAAGAAAAACTAGGGAAATCTTGTCCAGAACAAACTAAAACCAATCAAACAAAAGTAGATTGAATTTGTAAATATTGTAAGCCCATTAGAAAAAATTTGACATTTTCCTAATTGCGCTCAGATACATCATCAGAATCTAAACTTAAAAATTTTCTTTATATTATTGAAGGTGAAACTAAATCATGAATCTGGTTTTTTAGAGTACTGGTCTGACAGCAAGTAGTCTCACAAAATTAAAATGGATATCTAGTAAGGACGGTTGTAATGCAGACAAAATGTAAGGAAACTACAGTCAAACCTCTATCAAGCGAAAACCTCCATTAAGCAGACACTAGACTGTTCCCCAAGGGTTTAAGCATAATGCAGATTTGACTAGAACAAGTGACATTGTATCTATGAAATTGCTCTTCTATTGCAGACATAGTGCAAGTAAAATGATACTAAATGTTACCACATTGATTTCAATCTCAATTTGCACAAGTCCACAACTCCATTCAAAAGCATGATTTAGGGACAGTTCAATTATTGATCATATTTTGAAAATCATTTGTTGTCAGATCAACTCTGCGAACGTGGCTTTGCAAAAGTTTTTTACCACGTGAAATACAGACAATGTTCCTTGTATGAATATATAGTCTTAAAGCAAAGATGAGTTATGTGCCAAATACTTCTGCTACAAGTTTTAGTTTTCAAAATAAATCAAAGAAGAAAATATCCACACTAGCTACATATGTAAATTTTAAAATACTCCTTTGACCATCTATAACCAAATTTAAAACTCTCTTTATGGTATCTTCTAACTGCAGGGCCACTCACACCCAAATGCACAACTTTGGTTTTATGTGTTCAATGATATTTTAGTTGTTGTATCCTTAGCATTTTCTTGCTGCCCAAACAAACTCATTTTCACAATGAATATGGTGTAGTCCTAGTCTAAACTTCAAATTTAACAACTTGACAAAAGCTTACTTAAATACAGTTTATAGTGGATTTTTATGAATGATATATCTATCTCGATCTAAAGTTTCTATATTTTAATGAATCTTCACGTTTTAAGCGAACAAAGGATCATAACACATTTCATGATAATAGATACAACGATAATCAAAGCTCAAACCTCGTACGAAGGCCTTTCTTTGATCCGCTGCCATTTATTTTTAGGGCAAATCTTGACAAATGGCGCCATACCGTGGCCGTAAAGCTTTCCCTGCTTGTTCATGTTCATGATATTAAATGCTACCGTTTTGCCAAAGATGCATCCCTTCACACCAAAGTAAAACCAAGTACGATTGCCATTCTCGTTCACCGTCCCTCCACAATCAGGAGTCGTCCACAAGTTATACTCAAGAAAATACTCTGAAAATGAAATACTTTTCGACAATCGTGAACCATTTTATCTTTTTACCGTCGCACGGACAACTAAATCGACAGATTTATCATTTGCATTTGACTCGCTTGATGAAACTTTTCCTTCGCAAGTCAATTTTGTTTCCGAGTTTTGGACCCGTTCTACGCGGGCCAAGTTGCCCGAATCAAAGTTGGAAAAAAATGTCAAAGGGCCACATTTCATCTCCATTTTCTGTATGAATAACAATCAATATAAACGAGGAACTCTTTTATTTCTTGATAATTTCATCGTATTTTAAGTCCAATGAATTTGACTGAAACAAGCGCCATTTTCATCGTCATCCGTTGCTAATGGAGATACACGATGCAAAGATTCCTATTGGTGGATAAACTTATATAGATTTTAAAATAGTATCGATTCGATTCGAAACGATATCGATTACTTTTGTCTGAAAGTATCGAGGTATCGATTACCCAAACCATTACTTTCTCTAAATTCCCCAATAATAAGTGTGAGGCACTTCATAAAGATTTGATGACGTGACTGGTTTTATATATTCTTATGTATTGCTATATATTCACATTTAACTTTGTGCTCTTGAGGATGTTTGGTGTTTAAATACTTTAATGCCCAATTTTAATTTTCAATAAAAAGAAAAATTTTCCAGATTTAACTCAAATATGAACGGTGTAAGTAATCATGACATATTAGACAAGTCACTGAAAGGATTTATTAAATACATTTAGTAAGACAATTGACATTTTGCTTGTTTGTCCGTGTTTGTCTTTTGAAAACAATTGCACTCCAAACTTCGAGATTGTGCTGAGCTGGGCGATTGTATTTCTAAAATTCATGGCATATTGGAAAAAGTCATAAACAACACAATGAATTCTTTGCCTTTTTATTAGCTCCGAAAGCTAGAATGCAAAAGTGTATTACTATAAATTTGTAAGATACCAAGATGTACAAAGCAGCAAAATAAAGAATAACATACTTTGTCATAATTAAGGACAAAAACAATCACAAAATTTGATGTTAATAAAATTTCAAAATTTTAAAAGTAATCGGAAGTCCTTTTACGATAACACGAAGAATCTACTAATTCCGGCTTTAGGATAAATATTGAGTGGTACGATAGCAAGTAATAGGTAATAACCCATCACTAATTGTCATGTTAATAAGTTGACTAAAAACAGACAAACAGAACATTTTACCACAAGGTTGTCTGTGGCAACATATGATTTTTCCATTAAACACAAAGTTTAGGTTTACTACTTTTTATCTAGTAAACACATTGACCTCGAACGGACATAAATACAAAACTTTCTGTTTTGGAAATAGACAAAATTGCACCACCAAGCCCTCAGTGGTGACTCATAATTTGTATAAAGAAATAATTTTACGTTTTATTTTGTCATTAAGCAAAACACAATGACCTCAGCGTGATTTCAACGCACTGACAAGACAACATTTTATTCTGGAGTCAGACGCGCTACCAATTGCAGCACAAAATTGCCATAAATACAAACTTTAACGTTTTACCTTTTTATTCAGTAAAATACAGTGACCTTGACGTGATTTGAACACATAACCTCTGATCTGGAATCAGACACGCTACAAATTGCGCCACAAAGCCACTTGCACCAACCAAGATTTCCATAAATGAAAATTTTAACGTTTTACTTCTTTATTCAGTAAGATACTATGACCTTGACGTGATTTGAACACATAACCTTCTGATCTGGAATCAGACACGCTACCAGTTGCGCCACAAAGCATTTTGCACCATACAAAATTTCCATAAAAATAAATTTCAAAGTTTTACCTTTTCGTTCAGTAAAAAACAATGACCTTGACGTTATTTGAACACATAACCTTCTGATCTGGAGTCAGATGCGCTACCAATTGCGCCACAAAACCACTTGCATCACCCAAGATTTCCATAAATAAAAATTTTTACGTTTTACTTCTTTATTCATTAAACACTATGACCTTGACGTGATTTGAACACATAACCTTCTCATCTGGAGTCAGACGCGCTACCAATTTCGCCCCAAAGCCATTTGCACCACCTAATTTTCCCTAAATATAAATTTTAACGGTTTACCATTTTATTCAGTAAAACACTATAACCTTGACGTGATTTGAACGCATAAACTTCTGATGTGGTGTCAGACACGTTACCAATTGCGCCACAAAGCCACTTGCACCACCCAAATTTGCCATAAATACAAACTTTAACGTTTTACGTTTTTATTCAGTAAAATACAATGACCTTGACGTGATTTGAACACATAATCTTCTGATCTGGACCAGACACGCTACCAATTGCGCACAAAGCCATTTGCACCACCCAAAACTTCCATAAATACAAACTTTAAAGTTTTACTTTTTTGTTAAGTAAAGTACAATGACCTTGACGTGATTTGAACACATAACCTTCTGATCTGGAGTCAGACACGCTACCAATTGCGCACAAAGCCATTTGCACCACCACTTATACAAACTTTAAAGTTTTACTTTTTTGTTAAGTAAAGTACAATGACCTTGACGTGACTAGAACATATACCCTGATCTGGAGTTAGACGCTACCAATTGCGTCCACAAAGCCATTTGCACCACCAAAAATTTCCATAAATAAAAATTTTAACGTTTTACCTTTTTGCTAAGTAAAGTACAATGACCTTGACGTGATTTGAACACATAACCTTCTGATCTGGAGTCAGACATGTTACCAATTGCGCCATAAAGCAACTTGCACCACCCAAAATTGCCATAAATACAAACTTTAACGTTTTACCTTTTTATTCAGTAAAACACTATAAGCTTGACGTGATTTGAACACATAACAGTCTGATCTGGAGTCAGACACGCTACCAATTGCGCACAAAGCCATTTGCACCACCCAAAACTTCCATAAATACAAACTTTAAAGTTTTACTTTTTTGTTAAGTAAAGTACAATGACCTTGACGTGACTAGAACATATAACCCTACGATCTGGAGTTAGACGCGCTACCAATTGCGTCACAAAGCCATTTGCACCACCAAAATTTCCATAAATAAAAATTTTAACGTTTTACCTTTTTGTTAAGTAAAATACAATGACCTTAACGTGATTTGAACACATAACCTTCTGATCTGGAGTCAGACGCGCTACCAATTGCGCCACAAAGTCATTTGCGGCAAACAAAATTTCCATAAATATAAATTTTAACGGTTTACTTTTTTACTCAGTAAAACACTATGACCTTGACGTGATTTGATCATATAACCTTCTGATCTGGTGTCAGACATGCTACCAATTGCACCCACAAAGCCATTTGCACCACCTAATTTTCCCTAAATATAAATTTTAACGGTTTACCATTTTATTCAGTAAAACACTATAACCTTGACGTGATTTGAACACATAACCTTCTGATCTGGAGTCAGACGCGCTACCAATTGCGCCACAAAGCCATTTGCACCACCCAAAATTTCCATAAATATAAACTTTAACGTTTTATTTTTTTGTTCATTAAAACATTTAGACCTTAAAGTGATTTGAACACACAATCTTTTCATCTGGAGTCAGACACGCTACCAATTGCGCCACAAAGCCATTTGCAGCACCCACAATTTCTATAAATATAAATTTTAACCTTTTTTTTTTTCTTCAGTAAAACATTTAGACCTTAAAGTGATTTGAACACACAATCTTCTGATCTGGGCTTAGACGTGCTACCAATTGCGCCATAAAGCCATTTGCACCACCCAAAATTTCCATCGATAAAAATTTTAACGTTTTTCCTTTTTGTCAAGTAACGTACAATGACCTTGACGTGATTTGAACACATAACCTTCTGATCTGGAGTCAGACGCGCAACCAACTGCGACACAAAGCCACTTGCTCCACCCAAGATTTCCATAAATACAAACTTTAACGTTTTACCTTTTTATTAAGTAAAACACTATAACTTGACGTGATTTGAACACATAACCTTCTGATCTGGAGTCAGACACGTTACCAATTGCGCTATAAAGCCACTTGCACCACCAAAATTGCCATGAATACAAACTTTAACGTAACATTATAACCACTATACCTTGACGTTTGAACACATAACCGTCTGATCTGGAGTCAGACACGCTACCAATGCGCCACAAAGCCATTTGCAGCACAAAATTTCTATAAATATAATTTTAACGTTTTATTTTTCTTCAGTATTTAGACCTTATTGTGATTTGAACACACAATCTTCTGATCTGGGCTTAGACGTGCTACTTGCGCCATAACCACACCACCCAAAATTTCCATAAATACAAATTTCATGGTTTTACTTTTTATTCAGTAAAGACTATGACCTTGACGTGATTAGAAGACATAACCTTCTGATCTGGTGTCAGACACGTTACCAATTGCGCCACAAAGCCTTGCACCACCCAAAATTTCCATAAATACAAACTTTAACGTTTTACTTTTTTAAGTAAAATACAATGACCTTGACGGGTATAGAACACATAACCCTCGGATCTGGGGTTAGACGTGCTACCAACTGCGCCATAAATACATTTACCACCAAGATTTCCACAAATAAAAATTTTAACGTTTTACTTCTTTATTCAGTAAAACACTATGACATTGACATGATTTGAACACATAACCTTCTGATCTGGAGTCAGAGACGTTACCAATTGCGCTATAAAGCCACTTGCCCCACCCGAAATTGCCATAAATACAAACTTTAACGTTTTCATTTTATTCAGTAAAACACTATAACCTTGACGTGATTTGAACACATAACAGACTGATCTGGAGTCAGACACGCTACAAATTGCGCAAAAAAGCCACTTGCACAACCCAAAATTGCCATAAATACAAACTTTAACGTTTTACCTTTCTGTTCAGTAAAATGCAATGACCTTGACGTGATTTGAACACATAACCCTCCGATCTGGAGTTAGACACCCTACAAATTGCGCCACAAAGCTACTTGCACAACCCAAAATTGCCATAATACAAACTTTAACGTATTACATTTTATTCAGTAAGACACTATGACCTTGACGTGATTTGTACAGATAACCGTCTGATCTGGAGTCAGACATGCTACAATTTGCGCCACAAAGCCATTTGCAGCAACCAAAATTTCCATAAATATAAATTTTAACGTTTTAGCTTTTTGTTAAGTAAAGTACAATGACCTCGAAGTTATTTGAACACATAACCTTCTCATCTGGAGTCAGACGCGCTACCAATATCGCCACAAAGCCATTTGCACCATCCAAAATTAGCATAAATACAAATTTCATGGTTTTACTTTTTTATTCAGTAAAATACAATGACCT